TACCTAGGCCTAGAACGGAAGGGCAGAAAGATTAAGGGGTGCTATAATAAAAAGGGCCCGTATAATAAGACTTACTATAAAGCTTCTATATAACCTTTAGAGGGAAGTCGTTAAGACCGCTTATTACCTTTAGAACCGGACCCCTAGGGACCTTAAGGACCCTAGGAAACTTATAAGAAGGTATAAGTAATAAGCGTAGAATCGGGTAATCGATAACGTAGGCGGAAAGATCGGTCGAAGGAGTATAGGGTAGGATTTCGTCCGGAATTTATAACGAGCATATAAGGGGCTAAATAATATATTGAAAGAATAGCGTTGCAAAAGATGCTTGCGAACTTGCTTTTTTTTTCTACTACTCCCAGGGAAATCCTTCGTCTTTTATAGACCATTGCTCGCCCACTAGTAGACCAATTAGTTAGCTTTCTAGCACATTCTATAGTGCTTGAAAAGCTCCATCTATAGTATATCTTCCTAACTTAGTAGGTGGTCTGATTGTGGCGTGATGGTTAACGTAAGACTATGGGTTCTAGCATGAGTAGTGGATTTAACTAGAATGTTCTATGCCCTACCTATTCTTGTATCGCGGATATCTTCGGAACCGCTAGGCCAAAATAGGCAATAGGGTATCCGTTCTGCTTGTAATTGACTTATGCATTTTATGTATATTTTTATTTGTAAGGATAGGCTTATCCTGACCCGCTTTTCCTAGAGGAAGGTATAGATGTCTAGTAGAGGTCTTTGTCTTTTAAGGGTTATTCCCTTAGACTATATTATAGAGCCTCTTTTTACTAGCTTATTCTATAAAGCCTCCCTATGCCTGTTATTTCTTTATAACAGTAAAATAGGAATATAAGGGTATATTCTTATAAAACTAAACTAAGGAATAGACTAGAAATCCCCCTTTAAGCTCTTTATAAAGAAGAGGGCCTCGCTAGCCTACCTTTATGCCTATAGCTATAAGGCATACGCTATAACTACCGATATATAGCTAAAAAGGAAGAAGAAAAGAAAGCTTAATCCTAGAGCCTTTATTAGTTACCTTATTAGTTATAATTCTACGAATATCTTCTAGATCTAGATTCCTCTTCTATAAAAGGTTATTTTAACTAAGGATATAATTTTTAACGAATTTAGCTTCTTCGATAGAAAGAGGGATTAATAGCCCCTCTTACTCTTATAACGTTAGCTAATTTAAAAGATCTAAATTCCCCCTTCCTAATAGTTATAAGAAGAGGCCCTAGATAAGGAAATAAAAGAAGAAACTAACGTCGAAGTAGTCGAGGAAAACGCTAACTTTAAGGAAGAAAAAGAAGAGGAAGCTACTAAATTAGATAATCTAGATAAAGAAAGAGACTATAGGAAAGCGGTAGAGCTAGAATACGCCTACCTTCCTACGCCTCCTCTTATAGAATAAGAAGAAGATCTAGAAGTAGCTTTCTTTATTAGTCTTCCTATCTTAACCCCTAAGGGGGTAGGAAAGGCACCTCTCTTAAAGGATTACCTAGCTGCCTTTTTATCCCTACTTCGAGGAGCAAAGGAAAGTATAGGGCCTAATACGGTTACTAAAGAAGACTAACCTCTCCCTTATTTTAATTGTTTTTCCGACTTCTACCTAACGCTCATAAAAGACGGTTCCTACGGAGCGTTTATAGTAGGCCGGCTTTTTAAGCTACTATTAGCAAGGAAGGTATATAAAAGAAACCTCCTAGACCTACTAGTAAACTAAAAGCAGCTCGAAAAACACCCTTTTAAAGACTAGTTTTTCTAGGCCTAGAAAGACTACCTAGCCTTATATAAGGAGATAGGGTCTTTTAAAGAGGTCCTTAAGGAAAAGGTAAGAGGAAAATAGGTCCTTAGCTATAAGTAGGTCTTTATCTATAAGACTAATAAACATAGCTTCCTTTAAAAGTATAAAGCCCGGCTAGTTATCTATAGGAATTAAATAGGAAAAAGGGGATTTACCTACTAAGGCAACCACCCTAGTAGGAATGTCTTTTAGACCCTTATAGCTATAGTAGTAGAATTCGACCTCGAACTTAATTAGATAGATATAGTTAACGCCTTCGTTAACTGCTTACTTAAGGAAGAAGAAGTTATCTATATATAACTTCCTCTTAGTTTTTAATAGCTAGGAAAGGTTCTATAGCTTAGGAAAGCTCTATATAGACTACGAAGATTACCCCTTCTTTAGTAATAATATTTAATAGGTTCCTTCGAAGCACTAGGCTTTAAGAAAGTCCCTTAGGAACTATATATAATATAGAAGGGTAAAATTATAGTCTTCTTTTACGTCGATAATATTATCTAGGCCTACCTAAAAGAGGAAGAAGTAATTATAAGGGAGGCTATAAAATGCCTATAATAAAAGTATAAGATAACTAGGCTAGGGGAGCTAAAGTAGTTCCTAAGGATACGAATCCTTTAAAATAGGTCCTAACGGACTATCTAGCTTACCTAGGACGCCTATATCGATAAAGTCGCTTATAAATTCCTCTTTAATTCCCTTAATAAGAAGCTTCCCTCTACGCTTATATTAAACGAAGAGCTTTTACCTAATCCGTTCTTTTAAGCTAAGGAGTAAGAGAAACACTAATATTAATAAAAGGTAGGCTCCTTGCTTTTTTTAGCTATTTCTACTAGACCGGATATCTCTTTTACGGTCTCCCGGCTAGCTAAGCATAACTAGAATCCTAGCCCTAGGCACTAAGAAGTAGCAGACTAAGTAATCCTTTATCTCTATTTAACGAGATTATATAGTCTATGCTTAGGAAGGTAAGGAAGGAAATTAGCTACTAAAATCTTCCTTTATTTAAGCGATTCGTCCTTTATAGATAATTCCTTAAATAGAAAAAGCTTATAGGGGTATATTATATCCCTTTTTAAAGGAACTATTACTTAGAGAGCTTCGAAGTAAGCTACTATTACGACCTTAAGTATAGAGGTAGAGCTACTAGCTCTTTTAAAAGCGTCAAAAGAAGCGATTTTCCTTAGCCGGCTACTAATATCTCTACGACTATAAATTCCGACCCCGTTAGCTATAGAATACGATAATATATAGACTATATAAATTCTTATAAAGGAAAATAGTAAGCTATTAACCTAGCTAGTATATCGATATCTACTAGTATTAGTTACGCTAAGAGGTCTAAAAGGGACTTATTTCTATCTATTAGGTTCTAACGGTATTAATAAAAGCTAACGGTCTTATAAAGCCCTTACTAAAGTAGAAGCTAGCTATCTTTTTATAGTAAATTAGGCTAGAAGACGTTTAAGAGAAGCTATCCTTAGAAGCCCGCTTTAAGAGTCTACGAGAGGAGCTAATAGCACGTAAGAGGAAGGAGACGTCTATAGCTAAAGAGAGGAATTAGGACTTATCCTAAAGGAGGGCCCCTAGCTTAATTAGGACTTATTCTTCTTAAAGGCCCCCCTTTTTAAGGACTTATCCTTAGAGAAGCCCCCTTTTCTTATAGGACTTAATTTCCTCCTTAAAGCCCCTTTTCCTAAAGTAGGTCTAAAAGAGCCTAGGGCTAAAACCTAGATTTCTCGAGTAAGGGATAAGTATAGACTAAGACCTCCTCTATACGCTTACCGGCCTAGGTATTTAGCTTTACCCTTTCTATAAGGGCAGGCTATAGCTAAGGGGGTATATCGCGAAGCGTAGTAATTGTAGTTCTCGGAGATATCCCTTAGTATAAGGGACCTAGGAAGCTAAAAAACAGGTTTTAAGGAAGGAGCTAAAAGGAGGTGCAGAGAGGAGGGTAGGGGTAAGAGGGGAAGTAGAAGTAGCGATAGCTTCTTATAGAGGTGGCGAAAGATAAGACGGATATGCCGGTAACGGCTAGAAAAGAGGGAAAAAACCGGTAAAAAGCTCGGTAGTTAAAAGGATATTAGTAGCTTCTTTAAGTAGGATCTTCTTTATTAATTAAGATGCTAGATAGGTATAAAGAGGGGCGTTAGATAGAGGAAAGAAGGATAATTAAGGCAATATAATAATTATTTCCCCTGCCGTAATTGCTGCCCCCGTAAGAATTAAATCTCTCTGCCTTACCTATCCGACCCCTTACTTTTAATTTTACCTTTATATATTTTTATATACTTCTTATATCTCTCTTTACGAGATTAGTAGGTTAAGCTAAATAAAGATTTACTTTAATATAAATAGTAATACTTAATAGTAATACTTATTTATATTAATAAGGATTTTTATTTTTATTTTTATTTCTTTAATATTTTAAAAAAAAATTAAAGTAATTATTTAAAAAAACGCTATATATAAGTAAATTATATATATTATATTCTACTATATTTAAGTCTTTATATATTAAAGCTTAGTAATAGGCTATAATAAGTAATTATATATAGGTAGCTAAGGGTATTTAATATAAATATTTATAGACTTTAAGCTACTAACTATAATATACTTTACTATATATAGCGTTTTTTATTATCTGCCTTAAATAAAGATCTATATAGTTTAATAGTACGCATTGCTTAGCCTTTATCTCTTTATAGGTACGCTAGCCTTAATCGATTGCTACGAACAGCTCATCCGTAGGGTCAGTTAGATAGGATGGTCTATTCGTGCGTAAAGGTCTCTACTACGGAGGGCAGCAGAGGCCAGCTATACTCACGATGCCAGCCTCCCTTATAAACCCTAAACCTTCGGCAGCCTGGGCCAGATGGACCCTTGAGGCGTGCGTCGTGCCCACTACGGCACACACACAGCTTCCAGTTACTCCGTGTCGTAACCCGGGAGGGACGGAGAGTCCGGATAGGTCGGCGGAGGTGGGGGAGGCGGATGGCTGTACGGGCCCCCACCGCCGCCAACGCCGCATCCGGGTCTCTTGTCGCCGGGACGGCAAGGCTTAGGACCACCACCGTGACAATGAGGACGGTTGTCGCCGCGATGACACTTACAACGAACCCGGCGGTCACCACGGTGGCAGGGCTTGGGGCCGTCGTCGCCGCATCCGGGTCTCTTGTCGCCGGGACGGCAAGGCTTAGGACCTCCGCCGCACCTTGGTCGCGGGTCACCGGGACGGCAAGGCTTAGGACCACCGCCGTGACAATGAGGACGGTTGTCGTCGCGATGACATTTACAACGAACCCGGCGGTCACCACGGTGGCAGGGCTTCGGTTTCTTACCGCCGCCGCCGCCGCCGCCGCCGTTGTTGCAAAGGCCTACGGCATCGCAGAATAAGCAGATAGTCGAGCTGCCCTGGTCGTTGTCGGCCTCTTGGACCACCTTAATCCCCTGGAGGTCGCGCTTCTTGGGGCAGGGGCAGATGCTGCAAGCTGCAGCGGCGTCCTGTTCCGACATAGCTTTAAGCTGTTCGACGGTAACAGACTGGACGGAAGTCATGTCGTTGATCTTCATGTTGTCTGGTGAGGCCATGGTGCTGGCCACAAAGGCCATGGCCATCGCAAAAGTCTCGATCTTCATTTCGTCTCTTGAATTAGGAGTTGCTTTTAAGTGAAAGGACTGAGCGACGCTTGAAAATAGTGGACAGCCTGCTGAAGAAAGGATAGGCCTGGCGAGCCTAGTATCTTTATACTTGTCAAATCAGCCCTAGATTGTGTGAGGACACTGCATACATCTATCTAAAAGATACTTTATCCATTCCTTTCTGCGTCGATGAGGAGAAACAGAATTCTTTCACATGCATGAGGAATTCTCAAGTTTCGTTCTAAAAAGGAAATCATCTTACAAGGAAATAGTCAGTCCACTTTGATCTTTAGGCCGTGATGGTAAAGCAAGCATGCATACATCCCGGTCGGCCTGACATGTAAGTCTCTATCACTTGATTGGCGAGAGTTTACCTGAGACGATGCCGAGCTGCTAGAATACCAGAGCATGAGTACATGTCTTAGTATTCTCGTGCTGGCTGGTGTCGTTATCTTATGGACAGTGCTCCTAATAGTATAAACAACCGATCTAGTCCGTCTGGTTTGGCCAGACTGTACTATCAGCCCGCCTGATTCTCTTACAGACATCGTTATATTCTGATATAGTGATATAGAGGTTTTATTTAAAGAGAGTCTTATATGGAAAGTCTCGAGACATTAAGGGGTTGAGCGATTGCAGGATTGGGCGATAGAGCCAATGTATTCATGCGGTTTTTGTCAACAGTGCCTTAGGTGGGGCCGTACCTCCAGGCTACGTGTGGGGGAGCACGCAGACTAACTCGTAAGGAGCCGGTAGGCTAACGTGTCGTATTAGGCTTCAAAGTCACTCTGAAGCTGTCTGGCAGCTTATAGCAGGTCGCCCCACTGTCCCAGTTATACTTTAGGTATCCTATCTGGCACGAGGGACGGAAAATCATGGACGCCGTATAATATAACGAATCCTCAGCCTTTAGGTAATACTTATTTAAAGGCATACCAGATCCTTCGAAGAAACGATCGGACTCATATTTCCAAAGGTTCTTCCCGCACACACGGACTGTGAAAGAGTGAATGATCTTGTTGCTGATTCTAGCTATAGAATGGAGTGGAAGTTTGAGCTTTACATAGACATAGCCGGCAGGGATCGACGTGGCCATGAGACTTTCTAGAGACAGCCAGTCTCTTCCAACAGGTCCCGAATCAATCTCCTAGGTGGCCAATATCGATGGCCTGAATTGTCTTGCTACCATACTGCCCAACAAGCAGCGTGTTCCCGTCTGGGCTGACGGCAAATTCACGTGGAAACGACCCGGTGGGGATTCGTGGAAAACCCTGCTTCCCATTCAAAGCCGCTTTAACGTCCACGACCGTGAGACCAGTGGTGGCTCCGGCGTAGCCAAATCTGTTTGAGTCCGATGTGATTATATAACGTCCGCCCTTGACGAGGATAGAGCTGACAGGAGACGTGCCAAGTTGCACACTCGCCAGCAGTGCATCTGGGGATTTTGACCTCAACTTTTCCGCATCGAAGGCAAGAAGTTTGTTGCTGCCTCGGGCTGTGACCCAGACGTACCTCCCGTCCTTTGAGGGTGCAACCCGGACAGGCTGGCAGCCTGCTTCGACACGGAAACGGAGAGCGTGGGATGGATTTGTCTTCAGAGTTGCAACATCAAGAACAGAGACCCAACCCGGGGTTTTGTTCTGAGGTGTTGTATTGCTCCTTAACTCACTGGTAACATAGAGGACCTGTCCATCAGGCGACAGGGCGCTACCAACGACTGCATAGCCGAGCTCTGCAAAGCCCACATAAGTGCTCGACACCAAGCCACCAGGCTTCCTGGTTAGCTTGAAGACTTCAATTGCTCCTCGGCCGTGAGTGATTCCGGCTCCATATTCCTGGCTAACAAAAGCATAACCCTCGCCAGCTGCCAGCGTGACTTTGATTGCGCTTGTACCTGCGTTGCCGCATAGTCGGCCAATCACCGGGTTTTTGTGGCCAGCGATGGCCTTTGCAACATCTATGATGACTGCTCCGCAGCCTCTGGCGACATATAGGTGCCGCTTGTCACCAGTAATTGCGAATCCAAACGCGTTGCCTTGTGGTCTACCGTTACGGGGGAGCGGGAATTTGCGAGTCAAGGTTGGTTTGATTTTCGAGGTATCCAGGATGCCGATAGAGTTACCAAGAGTGACGAACGCAATATTTTTCCTGGCGTAGACCAAGCCGAAAGGAGGGCCGGGAACTGACAGGCTGCGTGACGGCAGGGACGTCGTTGTTTGGGGCGGGGCGGCCGCCAACTGACAAGCTGGAGAGGAACGGCGGGCGATCGCAGGAGTCCCGCTGCGGCATGTGTGGCCCTTTGGGATGCAACCCCTGCCGCACTTCTTTTTCCCCTTTAAACACTTGTGGCATTTTCGACCAGAAGAACATGTGGGTGGAGGCGGGCGGAAACGGCCATTCGCCTCGTCAGAACTTGCGTACTTGATGTTGCGCTCGCTACATGGAGGAGTTACGCAGGCCGAACCGTCGGGGACTTCATTGGAGTTCTGGGCAGCCTCCGCTAGCCCGACTCGGGTTTTTCCAGGAGCAGTGGGTTCGTTACCGTGCACGGCGAGCCCGTTGCCAACAAGGCAAACTGCCGCGACTATATTAAGCTTCATCTCTCCGATGATGGCGGAGCGGAAAGCAAAGGCAAATACAAGAATACCTCCAGTAGCGAGCAATTTCCGGCTTGCTGCTTACTCAGAGAAGATAGTGTCAGGTGGCAAGCGCGTTTAAAGACTTTTTAAGGTCAGCTGTGGGATAGGGGATACACCATTGACCGCTTTGCTTGACTGGAATGACGTTATATCGTTCCAATGGTAACTCGAGCTTGATCCTTCGATATGACTTGAATTTCCGCCAATAGAAATGATCCGGTAGTGGGGGTAATGGTGCGCCTGGGGAAAGGTTCTTTAGACTTCAGGGGCGGCTTATAGGAATTCCAGAGCTATGAATCATTCAGCCCGAAGGGCGTTCTATTCAGTCAGAGACAATGGCAACAAACCTCTTCTGATTGGCTAATTGGTCTGGCCTGTGCTCAATTCGTGTTTCCGTTAGCTGGCGGTCCAAAGGCTCGTCAGAAATTTCTGACACAGGGAGGCAATCTGTCAGTCAAAAGTGACTAGTCATAGTGAATAAAAGGATGATTATTCAACAGGAGTGACAGGATGCTCCTTTAATACACGTATGAGACGAGAGGCCCCTAATCCGCAGAAAGACTAGGAAAAGAAGAAGCCTCGCGTGAGCTTATGCTTCTTAAGTGCAACATTATTATATATTATCCAACACATCCCAGACGAGGTCTTGGCTACCTTTCACATGCTACAACTAAGGTCCTTTCTGGGTTAGCTCAGCCCGTAGAACTATCCCAGAATTCCTAGTCGAGCTTGTCTCTCGATAAGATCGTATCCCTATCGTGTCTGTGCCCCGAGGTAAGATCTCTTCTATTTCCCGCCTGCCGTCTGCAAGCATTTCTGACTGAATAACTCCAAACTCTCGTAGATTCACTATAGTGTGGTAAGCGAAGGATAAATGCATTATCTGGGGAACAGCTGCGGGATTCCGCAGGACAGAATCTTCTACTCTCGGAATACCGGCTTCCTTTCTAGCTTGCTACGAGCTAATAGCGGTCCTGCCGTCGACGTGGCACTTAATTATCTATCAGGAAATTTACTACATGCCTCTTGGCAGTGCGTTGCCAAGTACGGAAGATGGTGGATGTTGGGAAACTTGGTCTAATCCTCCACAGCCCGTTGATGATCCTACTCGATGAAGAGATGAAAAATGAACTGGGTAATTACGGATGCCTGTCGACTTTCGTAGAAAACGCGAGCCACCTCCAATGCTTGGCGGCAGACCCGTAAATGCTTCTTGAGTCTCAATCTCATCACAGGGAAAGTGGGCGCACCATGTGCTGATTCGTGGTCCGTTTGGCAGAAGACCTAAATCTCGGCATGATCCTGAGCTTTGATGGGCCTTGATTCACTGGTCAGTGTGAGGTCAGCAGCTGGTGGCATCCAGTGATGGAAGTTGGATTCGCCGTCACGAGAATCGCGAAGGCAGGAACACTTGGACGTCTCGGAAACATGGCAGTCGATCTGCTGCAAGAAAGTACGGCGCCAAAGCAGATTGCAAAAATGGCGTCGTCGACCAGAACAATGGCACAATGGACTTTTATTCAAGGCCACCATGACTTGCGATCCCCATATCCAATATCATCCCGTGGCCTGGGAACGACGAAATAAGAGGGGCAACTGGTTTGATTTTGTGAGGCGCTTTCTTGAAATTCATTGCACAGGGCTGCCGTGTTTAAGCAACGTCATCAATATTGTGTTCAGCCTGTCGAAAGGCTCATGGAGATGCCTTAATCTGTCTTCGGTGGAGGCTCGTCGTATCGTGTGGATCACGCACATTGACAAACACATGCTCAGAGCCTCGAATGCCTGAGCCACCATACTGATGTCGCAATCTTTCCAAGGAAGCCTGACTTTAACGATACCGAAATGCCCCCATCACGCCTGGTGCGGAATGTCGCCGGCTTCCTGCGGTCCGTTGGCCGTAGTCGAGATACCTCGACGGTAGCGATCTCCTTTTACGTGAAACGAAGAGGAACTGCCGACAAATTACATAACATTGAATATTGAACCAGCGAATCAATCTCCTTGGGCTTATCTTTCCTAGCTGTGCCCCGATTTTACTCCAGTTGAAGTTTCCTATTCGACGAGCAGCCTGCAACATGCACGCTCGAGGCACGCTCTACATGCATGAGGTCAGAGTCATCAAAAACCGGGTGTGTGGCTTTGACGGCGTCAGATGGGGGCATCACGTTGCAAGAATGGCGTCACGAGGCCTTTTGTCCTATAGAAATGCGAATGGCATGCCTCCCGACACGAGAGGTTGGCCTAGACATAGGCTTTGAGAGGGATATCTCTTTTTTTCGAATTTTGAGCTGGCGGAAGGTATAACGCCCTTAGGCTTCTTCTTCAGAGGCCAACTTAGGAAAGTCGAAAGAGGAGTGTGCCGACTCGTCGATTGTGTCGTGGTTTCGTTTGCTTGCACGAAGTACACGGACAGGGTGTGTGCCCTGCATGCTTCAGAAGCTCGAGCGGCTCCAACGGGCATGAAACGCAATGTAGCAGGAAAAGAAAAATGAGAAGAAGGGATGGTGTACTTGGCTCGTCTGACTCTTTCCCTGCGTTCTCATCCGAGTCGAATCAATTCTAGAATCTGAAAACATCCGGGATGCACCCTGGTGTGCGAAATTCGATGCTGTAATCATCTCGTACAAGGAAGAAATCCGCGAAATCCGGCAGTACTAAAGCATTAACCTCAATGTCTAGGCTTAAGTTTCGACACGGGTTGTCTCAACAGCAACTTCATGCAGTGGAGTTGCTTGTGCGCTGTTGAAGGGCGCAAAAGGAAGTGGTGCTAGGTTCCCGAGTGACTAAACGCGGACACGTCTTGTCCAGCAACGGGGTCCTGTGGAGCACGTTGAATGAATGCCGGACCAGACATCAATATTGATCTTGAAAAGGTCATGTCCAGCCCTTGGAGGTGGAACAATAAGTCTTTCCATTTCAGCTTGAAATCTCTTCTTAACTGAACTATCAGGCGTTAATGGAATTCACGCCTCATTGTAGCACGGTGTTTCTCCGCCATTGGCCACCGCGTAAACACAGTCGAGGGTGTAAGAAATGCCGTCAAGCACGGCGTCAACGCCACTGAGATTCCGCAGCCGAATGTACACTGCGAAGCAAATGTTCGCGACCATCGCCAAGGAGCGTTAAGCCGGCGCCAACCTCATCTTTGTGTCACGGGCTGTGCCCGGCTGGTGGACCCGGTTGTACCGGGTCCGGTGGGTCGTGCTCCGGTGGCAACACCGGCCCCGCTCCGCGGACCCAGAAGCTGCGAGAACATTCCGAGAAGGGTAATATAAGCTCGCACTCGAGGCTACGCCTCGAGTTCAGCTTCTTTTCCTCCTTAGCTCTAGATAGACAACATCTAGGCACCTGCTTGTTGAATAAACTCCGGGCCAGCCTTTCACACTTTGTCTGGCTTGATCTGAATAACCCTGACAAGGACAATGCCAACACCAGCATCGAGGGCCTTGGAAAAATGGCCCGCGAGATTCTTCAGCGACGCGCTCAAGTTCAGGTTATATATGGCTTCTACGGGGGGATGTCGGCAAGCGAGCTTACCGAGTTATTCGGGACGGTTTGAATGACCAGGAGATGATCGGCCTCGACGGCGACGCTGCCTTACGTCCAAAAGACTTTTGAGTCGGGGCGGCCCCTCGGATATTCAGAAGCGCGTCACGTCCAAGGGTCTGTTTAACGCATGGTTCAAAACGGGCAACTGCAATGGCAACGAAGGTGGCATCTGCCCGCAGCTTCGTTTGGGCGTTGGGTCTGGGGCGTTTGACATGGTGTTTGGCTGGACTGTTGGAAAGTTCAATGCCAAGCAGGCCGAGAGGATGGTCAGTGACGCTCATGTGGACGGTCTCACTTACGGGTTTCCCGCCATCTCGTACTTTGACCATGCCGATACAACCACACGTTGAGATTCATCAGACTGGCTCAAGAACAGCGGCGACAAACGATACCCAGCCCTCGCCAAGCGCCTGCATAGGTCTTAATAACTGTGAGATATTTCGGTCCATGGAGAGAGGCTCTCAATCAATGCACATTGACAGACAGCAGGAGCCAGTTCAAGGGGCCGTCCCGGTTGACAAGCTCTTGGTGGGTGAGCGTCTCGGAAAACTCACACGACGATCAAGTTTTTTTGTAATGTTAATGCGAACGATAATTTATCGATTCTAATCGAGTTATGGGCTGCAAAGGACAAACAGACAGCGCCAGTACGCCGTTTCCCCAAGGCTTTCCGGGCCAGCCACTCGTTCCTGGAGCCGAGGCCTTCTTACCTTGTTTTATGTTGCTCTTCACATCCACACAAAACAAAACAAAAGAGTTACCAACCAATAGGCCGCAGAGCGGCATTTTGGCTCAGGTATATGTAACACATGGACAAGACTCCCGAGGCCCGCAGTAGACAGATTCAGTGAGACCGACGTGTACTGTTATGCGAAATGGGTCTTGACATCTTCTTTGCTGGACAAAGGGCCAGGCGAGCAGGGGTTTTATTGTCTCGTGGTTCTTGAACGTACAAGTGTCTGTTATGCTTCTGCTTGAGGCGGCTCGAAGACTGAGCAGCAGCAGGTGCAGAACCCACGCAGTGTGGTCAAACCTACCTTCTGTCCATCACTCTATTGCCGTCGTTGGCTACATTCACTTACGCGTTGCATGCGGTCGGCAGCCAGCCCAAAGGACAGAGGCGGCATGGGAGAGCGCGTGTTGCCCGCATGCGCTTCTCGGTCCGCGTGACCAGGCGTGTCTGAGGACTGTTGCACTACCGCCCCCACATGACGATGGCCTCGCCGCCGTGACGCACCAGCCATGTTCAAATCAGACAGTGCAAAAGGGAACAAGGGGCACGCTTACGTCGGACTTTGAGCACAGAGGCCCGGCGTCATCTTGATCGGTCGTCAAGACTCCTCCGTCAACGGCATTCGGCCGCTTCGAGAGGCACGGAACCTTTGTCATGACGTGAAAGCGCTGGCAATGTCATTTATCTGAGTTCGTTAGTGTCGTAAGGATACAAGGTATGTACAGTCGGGTTTGCGTATATACAGTCCGCTTGCCTCGCGATGCTAGTCTGGCCTCCTCCCCTTGGGCCGTTTCCGCAGCGCATCTTGCGTCGGTTTCTGTATCCTGCTCAACGCCTCCTCCGGGCTTCGCCGCACGTCACGCGTGGAATAGCCGGGCTCTCGACACGCGAGGGCAAGTTTGGGAGATGGCGCGCGGTGACGAGAGAGCACCTTCCTCACCGGCACGGGTCTGTGATCCATGTAACAGCATGCCGCCGCCGCAGCTGCAATGCCTTCTTGTCGCGGAGTTGGGGTATCAGATTCTAACATGTCATTCGTGGTGTTGAGGGCGTCGAGATGACCAAATTGATCGTCAGGGAGCTGCGCAGTTGGAAACTCATCGTCTTCTTCGCAGTATGGTGACCCGTAGAATTGCGATGTGTTCTCCAGCAGAACAGCTGCGTCATTATCAAAGGTGGGTCGTGCCTCTTTCAGGCTATAAACCGAGGTGTCCGCGGTGTCACAATCGTGCAGCGGGTAAGTCTCGTCCTCGCCGCGGCGACTGAACGAGCGCCGAGTCAGTCCAGGGACAATGTGTCCCGACTCGGACCCGGAAAAGGACATCGAACGAGAGGGCGGATTTGTTGACGAGAAGCTTCGCGAGTCAGCATCCGACGGCGATGACACGGATGATTCAGGGCTCATGGCCTCGGATGTCGAGGGCGACGGGGCATCTCCAGAGCAGGCTTCGTGGTGATGGACATCATCATCTAGCGTACAGGGCTCAACGGTCACGACGGGCCCGTCGGGGAAGAAGTCGTCGTCGAGGAAGAGAGCACGGTCAGCGCTGCTGGCTTTGGTGCTCAAGGTGTGAACGCTATCCGCCTCTGAAAAGGAGGAACATGATGAGGACGACTGGTAATCATGGCGGTTTAGGTAATGGTCGGGGAGGTAGCTAGCGAAGTATCTGACGATGGAATCGTACGACTTGGTACGAAAGAGCTGCAGGGCGTATTGCCACTGATCAGATGCCATCAACTTGGGATTGGCAATGATCTCGACAGCCAGAGTGTCCAGAGACTCGTTAAGCTCACGGAGGCGCTGTTGGCGTCGGTCTGCCATCAAGCGATGGAACTGTTCAGGGGTGTCGGCGTCGATTGAAATTTCGTAAACATCGTGGTGGAAAGCCTCGGGGTCTTGGAGGGAGTAGGTAAAGGTATTGTAGCGTTCGTGGAGCGAAGTGAAAAGGTCGTCTCGGCGCATGCCAAACTTCCAGGCGGGCCAGGCCCAGTCGGGGTCGTCCATGTCTGGCAACGAGGTAACGAGGGCGGTGGGACGCGGACAGAGAGCGCGTCCGCTTGTATTCGAGGTCGACTAGGTTCGGGCGGGCGGTGCGCACCGAGGCACATTCACAGCTTCGGTCCAGTCATCGTGGCCATGGCGACGGTGATTGGGGAGCAAGAGCGTCGAGTTTCGAGGATCGAGTGCCGTGGTCAAAGGGGGTGAAGCAAGAGTTGAATGAAGGGCCGGCGATGCATCTGCTAGGACTCGACCGGCACTCGGGGGAGGCCCTCCTAGCAACATGGCCTGGGTCTGGAATTGCCCAACGCCAAGACACGCCAGGAGCGTAAGACTTGTGGCCTGAGGCGTCAGTCGACAAGGGCTCTGATTGGACGCCACTGTCTCGCGTTGCACCCCTCCGCGATCTGCTCCATCCAATGAAAGGCCAGTCGGAGCAGAAGCTGACCAACCACTGACTAGCAGGTGGGTACTCTCATACCCGACATTAGCTCTATTCCTCGAGGAAAAGACTGACGGTGCTTCTTAAGAAGCTTCGCACAGTACTCGCCCCGCTCCCCATTATCTGGGCTCCGTGTGCCAGCGAACGACGACGTCGAGTGCCTTGCGCGCCCTTGATTTATGCGAGAAATTGTATACAGACCCTAAGGCTCTTTCTTATTCGCTTCTGCACTTTGCTCTCATGTCTTGAGATCCCGTGTGTTGTAACCGTGCATGGCATGAATGCTGGCGAGGCAAACCTTGGTCACACAGTGGCATCGCCGGTGCTACAGTCTGTTCTGGTGTCGTGCACTGTATCAAGAGGATCATGTGGCGGTGCAGCAGGCAAGCCACTAGCCCCCACTACCGGCAGGCTTACGAAGAGGGAAATATACATATGTACCGTACGCCAAAAACAGCTAGCCGCATTGCATCCAGCTGAGGTCAGACGATAATAATCAGCTCGGAAGTACGTATAGTGTACGAACACACATGTACAGTACTGTACAGAGTACGGAGTACCATGAAAATTTGCCGACGTTTGCTTGGCGTTGAACATCGCCAACTGACCGGGTGAAAGACGTTGAGCTTGAGACGAGAAACGTTGAGCGAATAGGCACACGACGTCCTCTCCATCACGCCTCCTTCTCTCTGCAACCTCACTTGCTACGCCGTCTCGGTCGACCTCCCTCCCTCTTGCCGACAGCGTTCATCACGCTCGAGGTCCTCGCGGCACCGGCTTGGCGGATGATGTGGCAAAGCTGGCCATGGTTGGCGCAGCTGACAGACAGGCCGGGTACTCGGGTGGAGGCGCGAGACGTGAGGCGCAGGCTCAGGCGCAGGCAGGTCTCGCAGCAGCAGCAACCCTTCGGTTCCATTGCGACGGTCACCAGCCTCACCTCCTCAACACCACCGCTCGCACAGACGAGCGAATACAGGCCCTGTCATTCGCCCGTTGTCTCCATTGTCACCCCCGCAGCCCGGCTTGCCGCCAAGTTACATACTCGCCCTCTCTCTCTCGCCCCAGCTGATGTCTGATTCGATCATGAAGCCGGCCATTTCTTGTCTGCCTGTGCCTCGCCACTGATAAACTGGATGATGGCCCCTTTCCAATCGAGCAGAGCGGTCCGTTGCTCGAGACACACGCTGTGCTGTCTACCCGTCAGGCACCGGCCCACTGTCCGTCGGCGGGAAAGACACCGCACGGGGGAGCCAATTGTTGCTGCCTTGCAAGGCGTGAGCGATGACTCTGGCCGATGGGGCTGACACGGCACCACCCTTCGTCGTCAGCGGTCGGTACAGCGTGCCCTCTTCTCACCTGCGCTGGATGATGATGCCAGCTTGTCAGACTGCACGCTCGCCCTCTGGTATTCGTGCATTTATGGCGTGCAGCAGCCGCCAGCACTGAACTTGGCTTCTTCACCTCCCGAGGACTTTCATCCGTCTTTCGCCTCTTGACAGCTCTGCAGAGGAGCCCCGCTGTCCCGTTAGGTACTTGTCCAAATCCACCCTGCTTCATTCAGTCATCGCCGCAAGCCGTCATATGGGCGGCGTGCCGTTGGGCACCACTACCACCACCACCACCACCACCATCATTTCCCCCCTTCCTCATGGTCAATGCTTCCGAAGGGGCCTCGGAGGAGAGGACGGAGCCCTTTTCCCAGTCCGAACTTGATGCCCGAGTAAGGGGTATCCGCGTCGACGAGCCCGGCGGCCTCCTGGGCGACAACGCCGTACCTCTCGACATCCTGCAGGTCGAGGACCACCACCACAGACAGGGCATCCGCATCCTCTTCCGCCCACTCACAGACCTTCCCGGAGCCCGCTCCGTTAGTCCCGGCAACGACAGTTGTCAGTGGCTTGCCTTGCGCGCCGAGGTCGCCTCCTCGGAGCAGCCCGAGCACAAGGTCTTGGCCGTGACGCAGACTTCTAAGGATATTAAATTCTCTGTCAGGATCCCGGGAGAGTCTCAGGACCAGTCTTCGCGGCCGCCACTATGGTGCGAGTTGTATTACGACCCGGCCAGTGACAAGGTCATCTTCCTGAACAAGTCCGACGTCCCCATCCTGCTCTCCCGCATATGCCAAACCTCGTCTCCTCCCGCCAGCCCACAATTCAGCGAGGCTCACCTCATCAACCCCAGCCTCGCAAAGGCGCTGAAGCCCGGCACCTGGAGGATCAAGGTCAGGGACATTGCTGTCCTAGACTTTCGGGTTCTTGAAAAGCGCCCGGTTACTCTATACCAGGTGCACAAGCCGTCGTCGCCCATCCGCGCATCTGCACCAGCCTGGCCCTCCGACCAGTCCGCCTCCACGAGCGGGAAGAGATCCATGAGCTCGGACGATGAGGGCAAGAGGGTCAAGCGCCGCATCTCGGATACAGACGGGGTGGACGATGGCGTCATCATGTTCCTGCGTCCCGCCGCCGAGCCGCTCGTCTTTCCGCTGCCGAACGCATGGGAGAGCAAGGAAATATCTGCCACCCACGGCCACGCCCTGCTGGACGCCCAGAGCGGAGAGACCATAGCCGTGCCCGGGGTCTGCCAGGTCGACGCGTACCAGCTCACCAAGCGGGAGCCGATAGCGTCCACCGCCCTGTCGGCCGTCTACAAAGCATCGCACTCTCATGTGCCGGACAACATCGTGACTGTTAAGGTTCTCAAAACGAGGGTGGCGCCCTCCAACGACAAGCCGCTCGCGCACGAGCGCAACGTCATCCGCCAGGCCGACATGTGGCTGCGTGAGTCGCAGAGCCAAGAAGATTTGGAGCATAACTCTATTGTCCGATACTACGGGGGTGACGCCCGCTTCCTGTCCCTTTACATGGAACATGTCGAGGCTCCGGATCTCGCCTCGGCAGCTCGATGGCGGAACAAGGCCGACGAGTTTACGGGCAGCCGAGAGGATGCGTGGCGCATCTTGCACGATATTGCCAACGCACTGGCATACATTCACAAGCGAAAGCTGGTGCACAACGACATCAAGCCTGCCAACATCCTTTACTCTCCTGAGCGTGGCGGTGTCATTTGCGACTTTGGACTGTCGACTCTCGCAGCCAATTCTCCGACCTCGGGCGGGACGCCGTATTACGTCCCCCCAGAGTTCATCGGCAAAAAGCTTCGCGGGGCCCCCTCCGACGTATGGGCCCTGGGCATCACCATGCTCTACGTCCTAGGCAAGATTCCATTCCCCGACAGCCGGGCCAGGCGGCATCATCCGAAGCCCCTGTACTGGCAGATTGGAGGCATCCACAACCCAGCCGTGGCCTACAAGCAGCATGGAAACGGGCAGCCTGCCGTGAATCAGATGCGCGACTGGCTGTCGGAAATCTTCGAGACACGGGAGAAGCTAAGCCCGCGAGATCGTCTTGAGCGATTGGTCAAGGAGATGTTGATGCCGAACCCCACTCAGCGGATCACCATGGCGAGGGTGCTGCAGGAGCTCAAGGCCGAACAACCGGCCTTTGTATGATGAAAGTGTGACTGTGCAATGCTTTGTTTTCCCTTTGCCATCCACACTACTAGAGTCGAGAGTCGGGACACGGCTCGACCCGATTCGCTGTTGCCTGGCCTAGTTTCTTTTCTTGTCGTATCGAACAGGGTTTACAACGATGACCTTTGTCGGATCGAGCATTGAAGGATTAAGTACTTTGCTTGAAGCAGGGTAAGCAGCGCCCATCTCACAGACTACAGGTCACGGGCTCACCATGATGGAAAGATGAAATGGCATAGCTATGTGCTTGACGGACGTTGAGATGTCCAGTGTCCTCGTCACTCAGCATAGCGCATCACGTTGTTTGGCGTTGTCGTTACATGTATCGCCAATTATGGTGAATAGAGCATGGTTTTTACTAATGGGCCTATCTTTTGTCGCCGTGCTTTCTGTTGACTTCCCCCTGTCTGTTTGTGCTTTGAATCCTCCTTTTGCCCTGGCAAAGGCACTCGAACTGTGACGAAGCACCGCGCGCGAGCTAGAACGCGGCGTCGATGGCAAAGAGAGAAGCAATAGCAGCAACAGCTACAAGACCAATGGTGCTGGTGACGGCCATGGCAGGCCCGGCACCGTTTCTGTCACCCCCCTGTCCATTGCCGCCACCGGTCGAGTTGCCCCCGGAGCTATTGGTTCCGTTACTCTTTTTTTGGTCCCGAACGGGAGCGTATTCGACACCGCTGCTCGAGCAGTTGCTCAGCGATTTTGCATTCCTGTTGAAGCGGATATCGGCGCAGTTGTAGAGCGCCGAGCCACTCGCAGACGTGGTGACGACCTGCAGAGTGGCCAAGGTGCCGTTCTCGACGTCGATGGGGACGGGGACCTTTTCGATGCACAGCGTGCCCTTGCCCGTCGTGTTCCAGAACTCGGGCGTCAGGGAGACGTTGAAGTTGGTCGTGTTTTGGCCAACGCCGAGGTTGACGAAGACGTAGGTCCACGGGTGGTGCAGCTCGAGCTTGAGTGAGCCGCCGTCGAGGGGCCAGTCGGTGACGTTGCCGGCTCCGTAGTCGACGCCGGCGCCTGGGGCGGAAAGGCGTCAGCGGAGACACTCAAGCCGGGTGATGGGACGGGGTCTTACACGGATAGGTCCATTGGCTATACTCGGAGTCGGCGTCCTCTGCGAGCGTGTCGGCCCGCCACTCGGGGTATGTGAGGGCAAAATGGGCGAAGGCGCCATGGGCGGCAGCCAAGGCGGTCCCGACGACGGTGACGACGGTCGATAGCATCCTGATGGATGGGAGCTTCAACGCGCAGTGGAAGGTCAGGGGGTCTGAAGATATCGTAGTAGACAGGAGATGTCACAGTGCAGGTGGGCAGGGCTTGGCAGCTCCAAGCTGGACAGGCAAGCTCTCGGAAGTAGACAAGGCTGGGAGAGATGGGTTTGTGCGTGTCCCGGGCTTCTTTATAGACTTGAGCTGGGGGGTCCCGCGTGGGAGGTGATGGAGTCCCATGTATGGAGTCCCATGTATGGAGCACCACTTGGGACTCGGAGATGATGAGAGGCTAACAGCCGCAAGGTGATTCGCTTCTGGGCCTGGGCGGCAACTGGCCAGGATCTTTCCGGCGTTGGCTAGCTTCCAAGAAGAGGGTGAGGCTGTGTGGCTTGAGAGCTTGGTTGTACAAGCACATGGACGGGGCGGTAGGCGGTTCGCCGGTAGGGGGGAGGTCGGATCACCGGGGCCGGCACCGGGAGATGGGATGGATGGGTGGATGGATGGGTGGATGGATGGGATGAGGTAGGGATATAATCTGTACAGTACATGAGAGTCAAGCCACTGAAACTTTCTCTTTTTCTCGCTCGGCCGAGTCCCTGTCAGATTGCCGTCCTCTCCAGAATGCGGAATAAGCTGCCTTCTCTCAATTGCTCTTCTTGGTAGCGCAAATACTTCCTTTCACGTCTTGTCTAATGCTTTCCGATGGCTGATGTCAAGACCTGATGCATCCGCGGAGGACATATTTAGCTTCATGTCTTCAGATCATCGTTGACCAGGAAACGACTCGGGCGAATTTTTTAATTTTTTTTCACCAGGCAGTCTAAAAAGGAGGTCTCTCGAGCTGAGAATACAGAACGGTTAAAAGCTGAAAAGGCGGCGCTTAACCGTAGGGAGGCGTGCGACGACGAGCTGCATCGGGGGGTGGTGGAGGCGACAAGACGAGGGAAACTTGCTCAAATGCACGCAACGCAAGACCCCGAGCGGTGGCGCGGGGACAGGTGCGGAGAAGCCAGTGGCCTGGGCCTCGATGGAAGAAACGTCTTTCCAAGAAGTCGAAATATGGCTGTTTAGCTTGGCAGTAGCTGAGAGGGGATGAAATTGATGGAATGACCCGGGAGGCATCGGGTGAGTTGGTAGGGGGTCGGTTCGGTGGAGAAGGCTCAAGACATGGGCATAAAGCCGCAGCAGGATGACGATTGTTTCATCCCACCTGCACGGACAGTCTCGTCTTGGCATGTGACATGGTGGACTCAAAACGAGAGGACGGAATGAAGCCTAATAAGCTGCAATGGACCGAGGCAAGGCGAGGGTTGTGTACCACGTCGACGTATAATACAACTCTGTTGTTTCCAGAGCCCTCAGAGGCCGTCACAGCCAGGGTAATGGAGCACGTTTCTGAGTTCCTTGCTTCTCACCAGTCGCCACGTGGAAGCGGCCGGCGACGGGGTGTCACGGCATGTACAAGCACGGCGACATCGTCCCGGCAGAAGATGCCCTCGTCCCTGCCCGACACGCCTTCACAGCCGTGCCGCCTCGTCCTGCTTGTCCTCCCGCAGCACGGCCCTCCTCGACCGAATCTCCAGATCCCGCGGCCCCCCCTGGGCAAAGTTGACCAGCACCACCCTCTCCCAGTCGCCGCCCCTCGGCTCGCCCTCGAGCTCCGGGCCCGGCTTATCCAGCCCGAGCACAACGCGCCCGTCGGCCCGCCGCACCGGCAGCCGAACCGGGCACATGACCTTTTCGCCCCAGGGGATGCGCGCCGTCGCGTGGCTGTCGGCGGCCGTGGGCGTGCGCCGCAGCCACGCCAGCAGCTTCTTGCGCTGCGCGGCGCGGTGCAGCGGCCCGGCTTCGATGGGTTCCCTGCTGCTGTTGCTGCTGCTGCTGCTGGTATTGCCGTCGCCCAGAAAGCCGTTGAGCAGGTGCAAGAGGTAGTACTGCGGCGGGAAGAGCGTCATGGAGCCGTCGGCGACGCGGCCGAGGGAGACGTGCGCAGGCGCGAAGAGGGCTGCCGTGTGCTCGACGCCGTTGTCCGGCGTGGGGATGAGCATCTCGGACGGCACTGCCGAGCGCGAGAGAGGCAGCTGGTAGACGTACATTTGCGTCGTGAAGCGCTTGGGCACCCCGACGGGGGTGATCCATCGCGTGAAGGGGATGAGGTTCTCTGCGCCAGTCAGTCAGTCACGATTCCCTCGCCCCGTGTTGTTGCTTGGACGCACCGGTATCAGCAACACCGCCAACCGACGCCAACCACTCCCCAAACGGAACCTCGTTGGCATGGATCCTCGCCCGCGCCGCATCCCGCTCCGCCGCCGGCAGGCTGATGAGCCCCTGCCTGCCCGTGGCCAGCAGGATGCCCGTCTCCTCGAAGCACTCCCTGACGGCGGCCATGCGGTAGGCCGGTCCATCGCGGTGCCGCGCCGGCGACTGCGGCCCGGGCACGGCGCCGTCGTGGAAGGCGTCGAGGTTGCCGCCGGGGAAGACGTGCGCCGAGGCAAACGACGTCGACGACTGCACGCGCTGCAGCACCAGCACCTCGTTGGCCGCCGACAGCACCATGACGGATGCGCTGGGGCGGGCCTCGACCATGGCGCCCCTGGACCTGGGCTTGGTGTCTCCCATGGCTGACGGTGCCGCCGGCGGTGTCGCTGCCGATGCCGATGCCGATGGCTGGGAAAACGCCCGGCGGCTCGGCTGAGGATGCGGCCCCGCGAGAGTGCAGCTGAGCCGGCGATGGGCTCCGGGCCAATGCTTCTGCTGCTGCTGCTGCTGCTGCTGCTGCCGCTGCTGCCGCTGCTGCTCTTGCTGCTGTGCACTAACCGCACTCCGAACCCGTAGTCCGACGGCTGAGCATCGTCTCGTCAAGACGCGATGCATGGCGCAACATGGGGCTTCGGCGCTGAGGCTTTTGTAGTAATCAAGAGCCTCGGTCCGGTCAGCCTAGTCGGACTAGTCGGATCCCCCGCCCTCCGTCGGCTGTGTCTTTGCTTGCTGTTAGGTTCAAGGTATCTGTAGTTGCATGATGAAACATTATTAGCACCGGAATGCAGCTTGAGGCCGGCGTTGCGGGGGGGCACGGGTCCGCACATCGGAGCCGAGGCCCAGAGTGCCGACGGCTTGGCCCAACTGCCGAAAGACTAACAGACGCCGGACAGCGTGTGCTTTCGAGGCAATGGGACAGTTGTTAAGACTCTTAGGAGTGTGTATTCACGCACTCTTGACATGATCATCCCCCACTCTCCTCGTGTGCTCTTTCTCTGTTGCCACGACAAAGCTCGTCACCGTGAGCATCGATCGAGGCTCATCGTCGGCGCGAGACATCATAGCAGCTCCGGTCGGCGCACGAAAAACAATGCTTCGACCCATGCCCAAACAACTAACCCGATATGCGCCGCACGCAAACGCCCTTCATCAACCTTGCGTCTCTCGTGCCCGTCATTGACGCCGGCGCCTAATCAATAACGCTTCCTCTCCTTGCCACGTAAGTTCTTTTCCCATAGACACAATATGCTCTTGGACTCGCACCACTTCTTGACCTCGCCCACGCTCGCCTCCCCGTCGCAGCCAACCCGCGTGAGCTGCCCGCAGTTAAGCCACGTTGTCAAGTCCTCCAACACAATTGCGTCGTACATGAGCATCTTCTCGTGCCACGACGGTTGCGCCGGGTCCGTCGTCCTTGGCGCCGTCGTCACTGCCTTGGTGATGTACGTGAACAGGCACGTCTGCTGGTTGGTAGGGGACGTCGCCAGAGAGAGCTCTGTGTCCTCGTCGACGGTTAGGCTCAGGTCTACCGGCTGCGCCGGCGAAAAGGTCGGCTCGGGAGACGAGCAAGGCGACGCCGATGAATCCCCCTCAGCATCGGACTGCGAGTCAGGAATCTCAATGACCCTTCTGGGCGCCTTTTCTTTGCGCTTCGGGGTGGCTGGAGCCGGGCTCCTGTCCTTGAAGGCTTCCTTGGCAGACGTCGGGGCTGCGATCCGTGGTGAGGGCGAGCCGGCGTCTTTCCTGGGCCTGCCCCGCGGTCTTCGGGGTGATTCCGAGGGCTGTGCAGACGGCGGCGGCTGCTTCTGTGATTCCCCTTCACTAGCACTGACTTTTCTCGGACGACCCCGAGGTCGTTTCTCCTTGGCTGTGGCGACTGTCGTGGTGCTCGCGGACCTGGACGCCCCCGTAGTCGTCGTACATGTTGATCCAACTACACCGTGCCCCGGCCGAGCGCTCTCTTGCCTGCACCGGGTGAGGAGAGCAACCATGGCCGTTCGCTTCTTGATTGGTTTGAAGCCGTATTGCGCAACCTGCTTGGCCAATTGTGCGTCCGAGTAGCGCTCGAAAGACGGCTCTGGGGGTGGCATGCCAGAAGTTGGCTGACATTCCGAGGCATCCTTATATTGCCTTCCATCGTCCTCTTCTCGTCCATTCGTCATTCTGTGTTGATTTTCGGCGAGCGACCCAGTCTGCGGCGGACTTTCGATGCACGCGGGCAGCTCGCTTCCTGACAGGTTGGAACTAACGTCAATGATCTCTAGAGGCTTGCTCTGCCCGGGCGGCATTAGAATGTCTGACAGATTGACAAATGAGTCATCATCTCGGGCTTCGTCAACAGCGAGCAATTCCGGCAGGGAGATAACATCGTCTCTGTCGCATCGCACATAGCCAAAGGGATCGGCCTCCGTGGCAGGTTCTGGAAGTCCGGATCCGTCCGCAAAGTTGCGAACCTCGACATCAAACAAATCCCCATCTGCGTCTCTCGCTCCTGCATCCCAAAGCGTCTGTCGCTTCTCCGGGGGCTCCAAAGCATCACTGTTGAGCGGTGTCGTGAATTCAACCAAGTCCAGCTGATTGGAGGCCCTCATGACTGCTTGGAGGTCACGCAACAAGGTGGGAGACTGCTCACGTGCTAGTTGACTGGAAGTGCCAAAGACGAAATCCTGCCGGGCCACCTGGTTCAATGCTGCTCCCGGAGACAAGAGAATGGGCTTGGGCGGCGGCTGTTTTTTCTTAGACGTCTTCGCCGGCCGCTTCCGCGGCTTAGACTTTCCATTACCGATCGCCGCGGGCTTCGTCGCCCCTGATCCTTGGTGCTCGCTCACCGGTGCCGCGACCTGGTCAGGTTGAGTTTGTGGCCTGTAGGCGGCGGTGGCGATTTCTGTGATGGTTCGGGTCTTCTTCTTTGGCGCTTTTCGCCTCGTCGGCGACTGATCCGGCTTCACGGGTCCCGGGCCATCGACTAAACTCGTCGGAACGAGTTCGAGTAACTTTCGCTTTCTCAGAAAGCTCGAGTCTTCACTTGTTGAGTTGGAGCCTGTCTCTTGCTGCAAATTTTGGCTGCACTTGAAGGATGCAAGCAAGTTCTCGAATGGCTCCGATGTCTCGCCGTTCCCTTGGGATTTATTGATGGTTTCCAAGTGAGGGGTTCCCCCGGAATCGATGATTATTAGACTTCTTTTCGCGGGTGGAGTCCAGTCTGTCCTTCGGGTCATCGCGACTTCAAGATTGAGTGGTTCGTTTTCCGCCTCTTTAACCGCTCTCGCTTTTGTTGACTTTTGTGGCTCCGGCGACTTGAAGTAGCAGCTGCGGATTTGTTCCGAGTCGTTGTCGGGGACGGACTCTGGTGTCGGGCCATCTCTGGCATTAAGCTTCGACTCGGTGGTCGCGTCAGCGGTGTTCTTGCTCGGTGACTTGTACTTTTTCCATGGTTGATTGTCAGCGTGCAAATTGGAGTCTGTCGATGTTTCGATCGGTGCCTCGACGCGCTTGGGGGCCGCTCGATTCCGCCGGCGCGGCTTGCGCTTCTGGGGGGCGTCCTTTGATTGTATCTCGATGACGGAGACCGATGTGTCAATCTCCTCCAAGGCTGTTTGATTGGCGACTCTCGGATTGGAACTTGACTTTGGCGAGTCATCCGCTTGCAGCGACCTCCAGAGACTGCCGGCGCTCGTGAACGTCGTCGTCGCGTTTTGCGGAATCGGCGCGGATTTGCTTCCACTTTTTAATGGCGGGCGCGGAGGCTTCTGTGACAGGATATCCTGAATGGAGGGAAGCTCGGGGGACGAAGAAACTGCAGCTTCAGCAGCCCGTAGTCTGGCGCGGGATGGCGAAGACAAGAACGCGTCAGGAGACGCCATGGCGCCGAGACCCAGGAGCCGAGAGCGCAAAGCGCATCTCAGTCCCTCGACGCGCAGCAGGTGGGACTGAATTCTCGACGTTTTCTGCAAACGTTTTGATATGGCGGAGTCTCGGCGTTGGCGCGACTTTGTAGATGGGATGAGCCGGTGGCGACGGCCAAAAGGCGTCTAGGCCAAATTGTGGAGACAGGATTGCGGGAGCGCTGCGCGAGACTGGCGCGGTATCAGCTGACTGATCACCTGATGCACAAAACCCTCCCCGCCCACGAAATTATCGAGCCAATGTCAAATTCGTAGAGCCGAGAACAGGCACAGCATCCCACCAAACGACCTCGACGAGCCATCCCCCGCCGGAACAACTCCCATTCTACCGCTCCCTACCGCACTCCCATCCACACCGTCAAGATGGAGAACGACCGTGGCGAGATCGTCGATCTGTAGGGACTTGCCCGAGCTCCCAAAGTCCGCCCGCGACCGGCAATGCTGATTGATTTTCTCCTCCGTCCAGCTATGTCCCCCGCAAGTGCAGCGCCACCAACCGCATCATCAAGGCCAAGGACCACGGCTCCGTCCAGATTTCCATCGCCAAGGTTGACGAGAACGGCCGCGCCGTTGCCGGCGAGAACCACGTCTATGCCCTCTGCGGGTTCGTGCGAGCGATGGGCGAGAGCGACGATGCCATGAACCGGCTGGCGCAACGGGACGGCCTGTTGAAGAACGTCTGGAGCGCTCAGCGATAATTGGTATGCGGAAAATCAAGGTACTTGATCCCGTCCGTCGAGGTCATGTCTGGAACGGTTTGCTGACTGCTCTACAGGGATTGGCACGGGCATGAAACGGCAAGGCATGCGTGGATCTAGAGCTGGCTGCATCTAGCAACATCCGATTCGAGGCGTTTGGGCTCGCTTCCGAAACGCGGATCCGTTCCTGGTTCCTGACATGCCGCGAGTGACGAGCTACGTGATATGTGATTTGCGCTGGCTAGCAAAGGGTTCTCGGGCCGGTCTTCTGGCCGCCTCTTGCCCGGGGACTCTGGGACTACCTCGATAGTCTCCGTGCCGCAGATCGAACTTGATGGCCTTGAAAAAGCCGTGGCGTTCAAGTCTCTTGCCATGGTACAGATACGGGTCACACACTCCAATAGATGGAAATGAATTGTTCCATCTTCTCCCATACACGATTTTGACTGGCGGCTCCTATGCGAAATGCGAGAAAGGCTAACAAACAGCTTGCCTTGCTCGTCATCGGTTGCGCACACAATTTCGCTACATCCCGCTTTCAATTCCCTCTTTGTATGCACTCAGCGCACGTTCTCGAACGTGCTTGTGCTCGACAATCGGTTTCGGGTACCCCTTCTTCTTGGCCTGGGGTCCCGCGCCGCGACTGTACGGCTCGTGAATCTGCTTGTCGCTGAGATCCTTGAGCTCGGGAACCCACTTGCGGATGTACTCGCCGCTGGTGTCGAACTTTTCGCTCTGCAAAAGCGGGTTGAAGACGCGAAAGTATGGCTGAGGGTCAACTCCGACGCTGGCACTGAATCCCCAACCCCCGCTGTTGCTCGCAAAGTCGCCGTCGATGAGATGCTCCATAAAGTATCGCTCGCCCTTGCGCCAGTCGATGAGTAGGTCCTTGGCCAGGAACGAGGCGACAATCATGCGGCAGCGGTTGTGCATGTAGCCCATGTGGTTGAGCTGGCGCATGGCGGCATCGACGATGGGGAACCCAGTCCGGCCCTCGCACCACGCCACAAAGTCGTCCTCATCGTATGACCACGAAATGTTGGAGTATTCGGGCTTGAATGGCTTGTTCATGCTGCGTCAATGCTGTCAGACCTGCAACGCATGACCCTTGAGTCCCAGGGTAGGGGGTGGAGGACACCCTTACCAGACAAACGGCCAGTTTACCAAGACGTGCTTGTAAAAGTCCCGCCAAGCAACCTCGCTGATCCACGTTTGGATTCCCTCGTTACCGCTATTGAGCTTCTTGGACCTGTTGCCGTCCCGCGCAGTCCGGACACACGTCCTGGCGCTGATGGTCCCACTAGCCAGGTGCACCGACAGACTTGAAGTCGCCTCATCGGCCGGAATGTTCCTCTTATTATGGTAGTTGCCGACCCTGTCGTCGCAGAACTTGTGCAGCCTGTCCCTGGCCGCGTGCTCTCCGCAGGGCCAGAGGGAGCGGAACCGCTTTTTTTCTTCCTGGCTGAGGCTCTTGTTCTCGGGCGCCTCTGGGATGGGGCAGTCGAACAGCTTCTTGTACTTTTTCCGGGCGCCATCTGGGTTCTTGGCTGGCGGGTCGAAGAGCTCCAGGAGATCGAGGTTGTCGTGGACGTGGGCGACCCAGGTCCGGTACCAAGGTGTATAGACAGCGTACTGTTTCCCGGCACCGCTACGCAATTGCCCTGGCGCGACGATGCAGCTATCGTGGACGACCTCGAACGACTTGTCATTCTCGAACAGATCCCGCACCATCTGGGCCTCTCGGCGTAGTTCGTCGACTTCGTACTCGATGTTGGCGAACAGATGACTGCTACCCCACTCCTCCATGAGCTCCAGGATGCGATCGGGGATGCTTTTTCTCCTGGCCACCGTCTCGACGTGGAGGGGAATGTCGAGCTTGGCCAGGTCGTCGCGGAGGACCTCGAGCGTCCTCAGCATGAAGTCGACTCGGACGGGCGAGGTGAGATGGGCCTCAAAGTCCTGGGGGCTGACGATGTAGACGCAAATCAGGGGCACGCCGGCCTCGTTTGCCTTTTCGCTGGCCAGGGCTAGCGACTTGTTGTCGGTGTGGCGCAGATCCATCTTGAACCAATGGACGACGGAGTCCTTGACCTCGACCGCCTTGCGATGCTCGGCCGTGTCCTCGAGCGCCGAGACGAGCTCCTCCATGGGGCGAGGGATCTCGTCATTGTTGTAGGCGCGCGCGCGGGCATTGCTCATCTCATGCGGGTAGTACTTTCGCAGCACGATGCCGTGCTTCTCGGCCTCTCCAGCCAGGGGGTGAGGCTGACGCAAGTCACTGCTCGTCTTGGTGCGCTTGTTGGCGGCGCCGTTGGATTGAGGAAGGGACGTCGACTTTCGTTTGGCCGCTTTGGGGGGCATGGTGAAGAAAGTGCTGGCTGGCAATCGGGTTGGCGAGAAGAAGGCCTGGCGACAGGGCCGTCGTGAGACAATGGGCAGTGTCGAGAATCGTAGAGTTGAGAATCGTAGAATTGATCGGATCAGGGGCATTGACGAGGGCGGTTGCAATCAGGGATGGATCAATTGAGTGTCTCATGAGAAATGGATAATGTTCTTTGCGGATTTCTGTGCGGCGCGGCGTCGATGATGACATTAACAAGCTCCGATGGCGCGGGTCTCATGACGGGCCCGGGGATCGGCATCTGCTGCGTCAACGCCGATGACGTTGGGTGGATTCCGCGAGCACATAAGCATGGGCGACAAAACAGCCAAAGGCTCGATCGAAATGAGCTCCAACACATTCAAAGATTGATCTCTATCTTTCTTTTCACTCAAACTCAAATGGCGCAATGGCATGCCCCGTTGACCAGGCGGTTTAACCGGCCCACACTAAATTGCTGCTGAGCCAGAGAAGTTTATTAGTGATGCTGCCTACGTCCCTACCCTATAGACTAGGCGCGTCCATGATGCTATCTCAAGGTACAAAGTACCGTACCAGCGGAGCGCGGCAACTGTCCAATCATGGTCCGCTGCAGGCTGCCTGCTTGCCGCAAATCGCGCCCCTCCCCGTTCTTCTCGTCCACAAACGACGACACCGACTGCAATCTTTGACGCCACCAAGCGCAGCTCCCGCGATATGTCGTGACGGCTTCATATCATCGTCTGTTCCGTTGGACGTGTGTTTTCGAACTCTGCATCGACCTCCAACCTTGCCAGTGGTGGCCGCATCCTCCCCTCTCCCTCCCTTGCGACCCTACACCAGGCGAGACGGACCGGCACCCGCAGACATTGTGAAACAAGCGCCGCACGTTCAAAGTCTGCGCTACAGGTTTCTTACTGTCGATCGGACGGCATCAACGCTCGACTATTACCGCCCACTTGTCGTTACGGCACCAACCTCTGCGGCCCGAAAGAGCGTCCAGCCGCGGCGGCCAAGTCGCACGCCACCAGATACTGCCGACACACTCCCTCACAACGCCCGCTGTTGTGCAATGACGGACACACGCCTCCACTTCCCCTCGCTGTGCTCATCCAGTCTCGCCCAAGGACTTCGCCAGTCGCACTCTCTTGCTGCCACGCCGCCCACCCACCTCGAAGCGTAGATAGCCCCCGACGTTCAAGCAACGCCCTCCACGTTCACCATCTCTCGCTCACTCCATCTCTGTCTGCGATGTCGTTGACATGGCGGCCTCTGCCGCTGCCTTCGTCCCCCGGCCTACCCGTCCTCTTGGTTTCTGCCCAAGTCGGCGTCGCCTCCTACACTGTCCGCATAACCGACATGGCCAACATGTGGGTGGAAAGCCTGGAACGAAAGGCCATCTGCATGCGCGCCTGGTCTGAAAATACAACAATCGACCCGAGTGACACTCCCGAAAACATGGCCAAGTTTCTCGCCAGCCTCACATCGGCCTTGGATCCCCGCCAGCCCGGCCACGGCGATACTAGCCTCGGCCTGGTCCCCACTGCAACCGACGACGCAGGAGACGACGGGCTCACGTTACGCGTGACATGTGCTCTGCCCGGATTTGCTCCCTTGAAGTGGCCCCTTCACCTCGGAAAGTGCCCCCCATCAGCTGTTGCCACACAGCTCGTGCTACCTCTTATTGAAGCACACTACGCCAGGAAGCGGGAAGTGGAGTCGCTGCTTCAGGCTCTCGGCCAAAAGGACTCCGTGCTCACTAAGCTGTCAGACAAGCTGGAGGCGATGGGAATTGGCCTGGAACATGTGTTCACGGCGCTTTCGGGAAAGAAAATGGTTACCAGATTAGCTGCCGACGACAAGGTCAGGGGACTTGCCCCTTTTGACCGCCGCCGCTGGGAGGCAGACATGTCCCACGATATGGACGGCCCAGGCAACACCGGCGATCTCGTGCAAAGCGTCCTCGGGAACTCGAGCCTTCGCTACGGAAACTTGATAGAGATGGACGCGTCTCCCGTCTTGGACCGATGGTGGCATGACTTTAGAGACACGTCGCAAGTCGCATCCTGCAAGAAGGCCCGACCAGCAACGCCCTCAAGCCAGACCAGGTCACCAAGGTCAGGTCCCAGGACGACGGAGGATGATGACGACTTCCAAGTTCAAGCCACGCCGCCTCGCCTCGAGTCACAGGCTGGGAAGCACAAGGCAGCAGGCGATGCGGCGCCTGCCCAGCAGGCCTCGTCAACGACGGATGAAGACGGAGACGAATCTTTGATTCCCTATAGCAACCCACCACCAACTGTCCCTACATTGGCGCGGCAATCTGAGCCCCGCAAAGCGGCCTCCTCAATACTCGGTTCGATGGGCGGGAAGAAGCCATCAGCGGCGCCTCGGCCTCCCGGGTCAGAAACGGAGCAGAGAGCCGAGCAGCCTGTTGACGACTCGGAGACAGCCTCCGAGGCTTCCGACGACGACGATGCTACGGCCTCAGCCCCGGGTTCTCCCCCTCCTCCGGCCGCAATGTCGACAACGAGTGGCGTCAGGAAGGGAGGCTTGGGGTTGATAGGCGGAGGAGCGCTGAGGAAAAATAACATAGAAAACGAGAAGTGCCGCGAGGCCGAGGTCGGGGTCGAAGACGGGGTGCCAGCTCGCAACAAACTTGGTGTGATTGGAAACAAGACTGGGCGAGGACCGCCGTCGTCAACACCAGCTCAAGAGGAGAGTGAACGCGGCCGAACACCTGCCCGTGTCGAGAAGGAAGATCCGGCGGGAACCATACCCCGAGAAACGTCACAAGAAAGGGCGGATCGCAGGCGAGAGGATCTCAAGCGAGATCTAGAGAAGAGGGCTGCTGCTAGTCCCGCGAGGAAGAAGCGACGGTTCTAGGCCCTGGAGCGGTGCACTCCGTGCAGATCGGGCAAGTAGGTGACACGGCCAACGCTCACTGGCGCCGGTTGCAGACACTGCAGTACGGCACACTGCGGCATCCCTCACATCTAGTCGGCTGGATGCTCGGCGCTCGAACGACGATGCGAGACGATGCTGCCGAGCTGCCACTGGCACGGCACACATGTACGCATGTATTCGCCCACGGGTGGAATTCGCTCCAGGTCAAAACGAAGTCAGTGATGCAGCTCAATATGTCAGTGGACATGGTTCACGTGCACTCCGGAACGCATGTACGACGCTGGAACGCGATGCCACCCCGGCCATGGTCCATACACCTGTCAGTTCGTCCATTTGAGGGGTTCCACGGTGCTCGCTTGGTGCAACGGCTCGTGGTGGAAGAACTGACACCACTCTCACGGCCGGTGCGAACTGCCGGCAGCGGTGCATCGTGCAACAGACCTGTCAAGTTTCAACTGCCATGGAAACCTTGTCACTTGAGGCCATGCACACACGGTGCTTTTCAAGCTTGCCGAAGCGTCAGGCTTTCCCAGAGGGGCCTCGCTTGGGTGCGACGCGCAGGCACCACGAAATTGACTATCGTCTCGCTACGGCATGCATGTGCAGATGGCTTCGATTTCTTGAAAGCCCACGACCATGCGTGATTTGAAATGGACTTGAGCTCGGCTGACAGGACCGAGGAAAGCCGCCTGCACACCATCTCGCGTCTTCAACCTGCGTTGGCGACTCTCGTCTACAGTCTCTCGATACCATTCTTCGACAAGTGTTGGCTCTTGCATTTCAGTTACATGACCTCCCTCACCTTGATACTGCCCCCCAGGGAGGGCTCTAATTACGCGTGCTTCACATGATATTTGCTCGGAAAACAAGGTGCGCGAGCCTTCTCCTTGCCTGTAGCACAAGAGTGTACAGGATCCGTCAAGACACGGCCTGGACGTCTCCGGGACGCCAGATCCATGACTTGCTCCGTGGTGGCGAATTCTGGCCGATGGAGGGAGGAGACATATGATTATGACCAGGGCGTGTGGGCCAGGTCAGCCATGATTTGGACAAGGTAGAGGCAAGCAGGCAAACGGGAGACGATGAATTTGCGGCAGCCCTGATCTGGACCACTTCCTCGTTTCAGTCTTGTTGCGAATCTGGCAATGCATCGCAGCTGCGGAATCCAAAGTCACGGAACCAGTCGACGGTCAGTTCGACGCCTTCCAGCCCTTCGAAGCTGAGAGGTGTAGATATGAGAAGCAGAGATACACACCCTGGGCCGAGCGTCATCGGATCTGGGACGGGCACGTACAGTAGTTTTCAGGTGTTCTCAACGCCGTCGTCAGCCTCTCCGTCACTTTTGCCGTGAACCGCTCCCGTCCCTCGAGACGCGCCAGAGGAGGGAGCAAGGGCGTACGAGGTCGCAACAAACATCGGCAAGGGTCCCCTGCAGATGTCCCAGAAGCGCAGGCGGGAGTGGCTGCTCACCATGCACGATTGGACCCCGGCATCCCCCAGTTTACATGGCCATGTGCCAATAAAACGCCCCAGTTGCCAGGATCGGAAATGCGGGACCGTCGCCGGTAATTCGCCGCCCGCAGATCTGGCTACGTGCGTGTGTATGCCTTCAGCTTTTCCCACACAAGCCGAGAAGCCATCTTTTCGACTTGCACTTTGGCTCCCCCCGCCCCGAAGCGAGAGCTGAGGAGAAGCGGAAAAGCCGACTGTGAAGGCAAAGCAATTTCGAGCACCGGACCAACTGACCGGCCTTGGTTCCGCTCGCCTCAGCATCGTCTGTCATCAAGTGGGCAACAATACGATTTCTCGGCACGGCTGTTATGGTGGTATGCTTCCTACACGCCCCCCCTGGCCCCTTTTTTCTGCCTTAAAGCTCGGCACATACAGTGTGAAGATGCTCTTTGAGTATTAGAGACATGAGAAGAGGTGAGGCTCCCGCTGAAGCACAAGACATACGCGTCATGGGAGGCCATCAACAGCTAGCTGTCCGCTGCGTCAAGTGGCGTTGTGTGTGCATTGAATCGCTTCGAAGCTCGGCTTTGGACGGATGAGACAGACATGTTCGGCTTTGACGAGATCTCAGACAGATGATTCACCTGTCGATGGGGATTTTACCTGGCTTCACTTTCGTCAACGTCGTGCTCGGTACGTCACCCAAAAAGTCGCCGTAGGCTCTCAGCACCAGACAGCCAGCGTCTTTCCTTTGGATTCCTCCCACTCTGTCAAGGCCTGCGTGCCTGGCCTTTCTGACCCACCATGAAGGCTTACGCCGAAGGCTCACGCTGTTGGCTGTGTCCAATACGGCTTCTGCTGTCGATGAAATCTTGTGGGAGGGCTCGAGCGCGGATCGAGTCATCCTTTGATCGGCTATGGACCGCTTCGGCCAGTCGGTAGGGATCCACGGATCATGTTCCGCGCATCCCAGCTGATGGGAACGCAAATGCTAGATTCCGCGTTATTTTTCTTTTTCTTCCTGTCTCTTGCGTGCTCATAACGTGCTTCCGTGCTTCGAGGTGGGGAGCCACACTTCCAACCAAACCCCCTTGCCCCTGTCGATGAGATCTTTCTTGGACAGATGCACATCTAGATGGTGCTCGCACGCGCCCTGTATCCTTCTTTTCTTCCAATGACTTGCCCTGGTCGACACGGATGTACTGCCTGGGTACACCGGCGGAGCTCAAACTGCGGAACAGGGGGGCCCAGCTTAGGTGGAGGGGGAGGTGATAGTGTCCCGCATTGGAAGACGTGCATATCGAGGCCTGCAGTTGAGCACAGATTTGACAGTCCGACGACCTGGAAGTCGGGACCTTCCCATGCAGCCGGGCCAGGAGGACCCGATTGGATCCATAAACAGCAGGGCAACGGAGACACCGACGAGCTATCGAGCCAGGCCCAAGATTGTCTCTGAGACAGAGCGACTTGGAGAGGCCAGGGGGGGGACGGGGGTCTGGTCTCAGGCCGTCCGTCCCTGGACCTGGATAGCACCCAACAGGCCGGGCCCGCGATGATGGTCGCGACGGGTGTCCAAGGCCTGGGGTAGGGACTCGAGAGTGCCCCCCCCTCTCTCCTCTCTCCTCCCCCGTCTCTCCCCCCTCCCCCGGGCCCTCGGTGCCTCGTTGCTGTTCCGCTGTTCCGCTTTTCCGCTGTTGTCTTCGTGACCCCTGTTCCCAGCTGTCCCCAGGGGTTCCAGACGACGCCCTGTTGCGTATTATTCAACGGACACCTCGGCGTCGATGACCGAACGTCGCAGGACCATGAGCATGACGGCATCGATAGATTCGGCTGAATGAGAGCTGTGTCCTCTAATCCGTGTAACACGTAGCAAAGTCTAAAGGGGCGAGGAAACAAAGCAAGTCCAACTCCAAAAGAAGAAAATAACGCCGCTGGAGGAAGGGGAGAAGAGAGAGAGAGTGTGTGTGTGAGAGATGGCGGCGCCCGCGCGCTCACTCCTGTTCCCCCTCCCCCCCTCCGCGCACTCCTCCATGTTTATTTTCTCAAAGCTCCACGGGCTAGGCTTGTGATGAGTGTACCATTGCAGCGTACGATATGCTCAGAGGTGGCACGCGGGTTCCATCCATGTCCAGAACGTACAACATCGAGTGGCAGACGGGAATGCACATGAGCGCGGCCGTGTTGTAGGCATCCGCGCGGCCTTGACGGGAGGGGGACGTCGGAACCGTGCCGCCGCGCCACAACCGTTTTGCTCTCCCTCACGCCGTCTGTGTCCTTCTCTCTGTGTGTTTCTTCTCTCTTCCGGACACGAAGCGCGTCATCTCCTCCGGCTGTCACTCCACCAGGCTCTCTCTCCCGCCATCGGCGTACATGTAGGACGGGCAAGGCGAGGGACAGGAATCCAAGTGCAAAACAGGTTCAGCCAAGGCAGCCTCTCCGGTTAGCCGTGATTGAACCCCCCATCTCCCCTCCCCTTTCTCTGCCTGACAGCCTTCATTGTCCTCCATCCTTGCTTCTGCAGCCCAGTTCGCCGTTCTGGTCCCTTGTTTCCCCATGTCCCACCCAAATTCCGCCCCCCCCAAGTCCTCACGCCCCGTCTCCCTCTTTGCCATGGCACACGCAAACTCCTTCCCTCTCCCATACACACGCCCCTCTGCCCCTCCCCCTCCTGCCATGACGAGCCTTCTGTTCGTGGCACCGAGCTTGGGTCGAACACCAAGAAACTCTTGTTTTCTTCTTTTTCTTTGCTTTTGAAATTGCCTCTCGTAGTTCCTCGGCCCCTCCCTGTGACCTGAAACGAATCAAGAGATGGGATGGGGGGGAGGAAGGAAGAAGGTGGGGAAGGAGGGTAAAGAAGAAGACAAACAAAGAAGAAGAAGCTAGAAATGGAGAAAGAAGAGAGGAAAACATGCCACCTTGGGGCTGTGGTGGGACCACGGTGCAAGGAGCGCGAGCTGTGACTCGACGCGCCATCCTCGATCTCTCGCGCACCACCATTGTCCATGCCACCGGGCGAACGTTTCCAAGGGCTCCCCCCTCCTGGGTGAGTGTATGTGTCTGGGAGCTTTCTAGCACGAGTACACTGTCCAGAATGGAGTCGAAGAAAACAAAGCCGTGAGTGAAATTTCATAGGAAGAGAGGCGGCGAACAAGGCAAGACAGGGCCAAACGAATGAGGCTATCCGTGCTCCTTCACTCTGAGGCGAGAGCTGTGCATGTAGGGTGTGTCAAGCCATCCCCAACAAGATGCACCGTGATGTAAGAGCCAAGTCGAATACGTTTCATTATGCTTCGTACCAGCTACCGTGAGGCTTGCCATCTATATTTTGTCCAAATTCCCTCCCCCCTTCCGTCCCATCCAGAAGCCACAGATGCCCAAAAACTCCCGATTGGCACACAAAGTCAATGGCGGAATAGCCTCCCTCGCTGGTGCCGGCTGTCTATAGTTTGTGAACTCGCAAGCAAGCAGCAACGCCAGGTAGAACAAGGACATGCAGAGGAAATGGAAAGAAAAGAAACCAATGCAAAGAGACGAAATGGGCTCCCTTCCACATGCCTGCCTCCCATTGATGTCAAGAGCAAGAGCAGCCAACCGTCAACGGCTCCCTCGGCCGCCTGCAAACTCCCGCCGGCACTTCCATCTCGATCCGGAAGCCAAGCCGCGGTAGTCCGGGGGCAGCTGCATTGACCAAGGAAAGGAAAGACGAGACCGGGGTACAAAAGGAAACAAAGCGGTAAAATAAAGAAAAAAGTTGAGACATCCACAGACACGTTGCAATCTCCTCATCAGCCACCGACGGCAAACCAGAGCACCGGGACGCCTCGGGCCCATGGCAGGCGGCATTTTCCAATTGCACTGCAGCGTGCAGCTCTCTTCTGTTGGCTCTCCAAGTCATCCCAAGTGGCGCCTTTTTTTTCTTTTTTTTTCTTTTTTGGCAGACAGCAGAAAGCCTCCCCCCCTCCTCTCCTCGCTGTTGGCCGAGGCTGCTGCCGGTCGACATCGAATCACGATGCGTCCATGCAGGTGGCATCCGGTCTGCCGCTGCAGCTCCCTGCCGTGCCGTTCCGAACCCCGGGGTTGGCTTGGACGATTCGTCAGTGGAGAATGCAGGTCTCGACCGCTACTCGTGCCTCTGCCGCTCTTGCAAGCCATGTTGCGGTTCTCGTTGCTCACAATCCCGCCACCCTCCCCCTTTCCCCGTGTATTGTTTGCTTTTTTCCGTCATTGTGCTGTAGAAGAGGTACAGAAAATGCTCAATGGCAAGTTGGTTCCCACCAAAAGGTCGGTATCCGGACGCGCGCGCATACTGCTGCACCTTCACCTCCCGTATGACGTGCAGTGTTGGTCCGGCGCTGGTGTCGGGCTCAGTCGCCGCCGTCGCTCCAGTCGTAGGCCCCGTCATCGATGGGCTCGAACAAGCGTGCCGAGCTGCTCTCTTCGGCCACATGTTGCTCGCCGTGGTAGCCCATGTGCACGTCTCTGATGCCATACAGAAAGCCGCCTTGAGCAGGCATCGCGTAGGAGGCGGCCATGCCGTCGCCGCGGCAAGTCATGGCGCCGCAATGCTCGTTGATGTTGCACATTCCTTGTGCCAGGATGTGCTCGTCCATGGCAAGAGGAAAGGCCATGGTATCGGGTGTGTCGTGAGGCCTGGGTCCGTTGTAGCCACAATGCATCGACAGCGCGTGCCGACGGGCTGCCGAGTCGAGGTGCGACACGGCCATGGTCTCGGACGAGTATAGCTCTGGATAGACCGATCGTGGAGGAGAGAAGCAGCCTTGCTCGATGCCATAGCGGGCGGCTCGGCCCACTGGTTTTCCGTGGTAGAAGGCACGGCCTCGCAGCCTAGAGTCTCTGGCGGCGCATCCGCCTTTCCGGCCAGACATGGCCCTTTTGGCACTGTGCTGGACTAGCCGTTTGGAGTTTTGGCTTGCAGGTTGCGCGCCGATGCGTCTCCGCGAGTTTCCCTTGCGGTACCGCGTCGTGCTCTGAACGCCGTAGCACACAGCCCAGTTCTCCAGCACCCATTCGTTTGCGCGTTTTGCGTCTTCCACAGAGGAGCTAAACTCCCTGTCATCTTCCATGCGATGGCGCTTCGTGAATGCCTAAGATCCATGGTCAGTCGCGTGAATGCTCAGGTGTTGAAAGGATATTCAAAAGACTTACGGCATTCATGCTCAAGTTGTGCCGGATGCTGTTCTGCCAGCCTCCTTTGACACTCACAGCCTTGGTGGTGTTGTCGCGGAACCACTGGTAAATGTCCTGTAGAGTCATGGCGTAGTCTGGCCGACTCATAAAGGCTCTGTAAATGAGCTTAGCGTAAGGCTCATCAAGCTTGGCATCCGTCGTCGACGCATCTACGCTGGTCTCGCGTGCAGAAGCGCAGTGCACATCTGGCACGTCATTGAGGTTGATTGGCGGTGACCCAGCCTTGGGTGCCACCGTCGAAGGAGGCGTGCCGATGAGAAACTCCTCCGGGGACAAGGCGGCGACCTCCAAGGGCTCCATTGACAGAGGCAGCCCTGATAACTCGCTGTACGTGCTGACCGGGAGGCTCGACGTTGACGTCGGTGTGCAAAGTCCGACAGTGTCCTCACACTGGTCCGGGGGCTGCTGGTTTCCGAACTTCCTTTCATGCACAAGAAAAGCCGTGTCGACAGACGGCCAGCTGTCGGGACTCACAGGCATGCTGTCGTAGTGGTGGCTAAAGGCGCCAGCCGGGGCCGGCACATCTTGGTAGCAAGGGCCGCGTTCAAAGTCCCAGGGGCCCAGCGGCGGCGACGGCCAAAACTGCTGCTGCTCGCTCTTGATCAGCATGCAGGGCTGTGTGGCGAGGGCGTAGTTGTCGGGGCACTGGGCCGACATGAAGTGGCAGTCGGGCACTGAGTGGCACACGACGGAAGACAGCGGGGCGGATCCAGGAGACTGTTGCTCCTGGTCCTCCATGGCCGGGGGGGAAGGGAGAATAGGATCCGCCTCGTGGAAGTGGTCTCCAGATCCGATCCGCGAGGGAGCCACGCAGGCCAGGGTCTCCGCTCCACCGGAGTATGGAGTATCCATTGCTTTCAAGGAGCCAGCAGGAAATGAAAGGAATTTTAATAGAATAGGAGGGAAAGTTGAAAAACAAAAACCAACAGTGTTGATTGTGGGCCCGGATAAGAGTGAAGCAAGCAACAATCATGGGATCCAGGGCAGAGAAACCTTACCAGAGCTACCGATAGAAGGGGAAAGGAGGACAACAAATCAAGGACGATAGAGCTTCTTTCTCGACTTCTTATGGTCCCGCGACGTGTGGGAGAGAAACAGTTTGCCAATGAGGTCAATATCAGGCAGGTGGAGTAGCTGTTGCAGAAAACAGCTTGCTTCGAGCCGGGATGAAAAAAAAAATATGAGCATCTAGACGGCCTTGATACAAGGGCGGGGTCTATTGGCAGACCCAATCGTCCCCTCCAACTCAGAATGAAGAGGGGGTGGTGTGAGCCGAGCGACACGGCCTGGCTGTTGAGACGGGGTAGGGCAGGGTGTCAATGGCGACAGATTCTCTCTGTCTCCCACCCTTTGGCCCTCCAGCGGCGACCAGGTCTCTTGATGGAACCCCAGGGCCGGCCAGCGTGTGTAGCTTCGCCCCGTGTGTCTGTCCGTGTGCCCCCCCTCTTCTTGTGTCTCTGTGCGTCTGCGTACATGCGTGTTAGGTGTCTCCAGGTATGCATCGTCGGTGCAGTTGTTAGGATCTCGGAGGTGCAAACTGGCCCAGCCAGAGATGATGCCAGGGGGCTCCATGTCGCGGCCAACATAGCCTTGCAGAGGCGCTCAGGGTCCATGGGAGGACTTGGAACATAGCCTCTAGGAGCACGCCCGGGTTGCTTGAAACCAACGCAGGGTTGCTTCGGTACTCGCTGAGCGACACAAGCCAAGGAAACGGCAACCAAATTGGGACGCCGCCGATTGAAGGATTCAGGGAAGAGGAACGCCACAGGCGGCCAGAGCAGTTTCTCACCAGGCGATGCTCGTGTGACCCCATTTTTACCCTCCAGAACTTTGGAGCTGGCAGGGGTGTCTGCGCTGGCCGGGAAGGGGGGAGGAGGAGGGCGCGGATGGCGATGTCGGCTCTCCTGCAACCCGTCAGAGCCCACTCTGGTCACCTTGAGATCGTGCAGAGAAAAGAAGATCAACACGCCCCCTCCCTTTCCCTCTGGCTCCCGGGCTTCCAGACCTACAAGGTGACCAGCACTGAGATCCATTGTCGATGTCCCTGTCGCCCCGCAGCCTCCTGCTGAGCGACCTGGAGGAGCCATGGCGAGGCTCCTGGGCCCGCACTGAGTGTTTGGGTGCATCAGCGCCTGGGTCTCATAAGAATGTTTTCAGGCGGTCGTTGTACATGACCTTGCCAGTCCGGGGGGCTGAGGGAAAGACAATTGTCGATGTTTCCATGGAAGCCTCCGCAATGCACATCATCGTCGAGCCCGAGAGGGCTGCTCGGTAGAAAACAAGGCAACGGTCCGGTAAAATATCGCGGCAGCGTGTCCAACGTTTTAATCATTATACTCTGAATCAAGAGACAAGCGCCTCGCGAATGCCGTCAGCTCCCGATGACGTTTGTTGTACTTCGCTGCTCCCGGATGCTTAATAAATAACGATGGCGGTCTGGCCTTGTCCGTCGAACCTAACATCGCCAAGTCCTCGAGCGCTTCCTCTCGTCTCATTCCTTTGGAGACCATCATCGCAGCACGCGCCTGCCGAAAGCTGTCAACGGATTGAAAAGCCTGATGGCTTCAGCTCAACGCCACCAATCGCGGCTTGATTCCGCTCCTTTTGTGCGTACCTCTGCCAAGTCTGTCACACGAGTTGAAGCCCAGTCTCACCAGTAGAACATGGCGCAAAGACGGAGGCACAAGACACCCCCTCCTCCAGGTGGTCGCACAAAGAGAGTGCTCATGGAGAGGTTTAGGCGATGACAGTGGCCGGGGAGATATGAGCAATGGCGGCCGTCCCACGTTGTTTTCACCGAGACAGTAGTTCCACCTTGCCGCCTAGCCTACCCTGGCTGTCTATCCGGACGCAACCTCCCTGCAGCTACCCATGACCCTACTAATGCCGTTATGAGAGGCGTTCCAAGGTGAAGAATGTGCGTGGAGCTCGTCATTATACATACGTCTCGATCGTGCTCAAGTAGACTGATTGGCAACCGGTGCAAGTCCAGGTTGCATCTACTTTCGATAGAAAATCTTTTAGCGTTTGTCAGCGTTTGTTCTCTTGTGTCTCCTTGTTCGACGTCGAGTATGGCCTACTTTCTTGAACTGGAAATGAAGCTGGAGAATTCCCTGCACAAAAGCTTGTCAGATACCCTTGCTGCAGTGTGCAACCCAAAGCCGACTTAAGCGTGCGGTTCGGTTGTCGTAGTCCGCCAAGGAGAATGTGGGGGAGGGGAGACGAGACGAGGTGATTGTCTGACTTTACCTTGTCAAAGGTGCTTCTGAATCCGCGGTCCCTCTTGGCGCTATAGTCCCATTCGCGGTCTACGATGCGAAAGGCAATGTCCTCATATGGGGGCCCTGCGATGAAGTGGATGAGGCACGTATCTGCCTCACCAGCCGCAGCATGGGACTCTCCCCGTCTGCGTCCATGCTCTCGAATGATTTTAAAGGTCGGAGCCTTTGTCACGTCGATCAGATCCGGGTAGAAAATGTTGAACTTGTACCCTTGGACGACCTTGGGAGGTGGATTGTCGTGATCGTAGTGCGTCTGGTTGTACTTGTTCCACTCGTAGCCCATCTGCACCCTGTTGAAGTATCGAGGCTTCCGCGCTCTGTACTTTTCTGTCCACTGCGGCTTCACACTGCTAGGGACAGCTTCCTCGGCCGTGAAAATCTCTTCATTCTCAGAAATACCCCGCGCAGCCTCTCTGTCGTAGAGAGCCTTTGTCACCTGAGACGCGTCCTCGTTGCCTGACGGCTGAGCTCCGCCTGGAGCAACAGCATCGGTCGAATGGGAGTCCGAGGCGATAGGCTGAGACTGAGGCTGATCTGGGTTTCGTCGCTGCTCATGAAAGAGTTTAGCCCTTGCCTCAGAGGCGGCCTGGAAGATGCGCGTGAGTGTCGCCTTGCTCTTGCAGACGAAAAGTTTGCACAATAATTGTTCCCAGTAGTCGGCATCGATGTTCTCGTTGGACCGCAGCTTTGCCCTGATCTGCTTCTCCAGTGCCTCGAGCTGATCGTACGTCTTGGGGCTCAGGATCCTGTCAATGTCCTCGGCGACGCTGTGCAAAACTCGATCTTCACGGCCTTGAGGATCGAGTTTGGACTTTCGGTCTCCACACAGTGTTTGAAGAGCCTCCCAGTATTTCCTATTCGTCGCGTCTGTCTCGAGAACTAGGAGCGTGCCGATGTCGGCCTGCAACTCATTGAGCTGATCCACGCCGAGGTTTTCAACGACAGTGGCAGGGGCCTGAAGCTCGATGTCAATGTCGCCATCATCGTCGTCGAACACGTCGCGTTCGGATTCAATGTATCGCAGGTTGAAGGCAAGGTGGTCGATGGGCTTCGCTCGTCCTTCGCGCACCCGGATGTCGGCTTTCTTCTTGGACTGCTTGAGGACAAACTTGTCCTCGTCGGCCACGAACTGGCGGGACTGCTCGTCCTGCGACAGGTATTTTGCCGTCTTCTGAGCTGTCTTGGAGTGTGTGTCTGGTCGCGTGGCTTTTCTGGCGCGATTGTTTGGGTCAAATCGTGGAGCCGTGGCGCTTCTGTTCTTGAAGGACCCCTGGTTCTCTATCATATCACGGCGGCCGGGGTCCATCGTTGTGAATCGCCTCTGGAATCGAGGGGTAAGAGTTGGAAAACGCGTGCCTGTATAGCAAGCGAAGCGTCGGTCGTGCGAGGCGTCGAGTTTTCTTTGGGCCAACTCAGGCAAGTAGGAAGATGGTATTGAGAGAAACAGCTGCTTGTCACCTGACTGATGTGCAGCTGGATGACGTTGAGAGCGGGTCCTCGAGTGCATGGAACTTGGGAGGGTATCTGCCTTCTGACTAATCTTGGCGACAGCCGTAATTAGCGCGCGACCTCCTACTTCGCGAACATTACGTCAGCAGGCAGCAAAACATGCAACCTCAGGCTATCAGCTTCCTCCATAGTCCATACTCCATACAAGCCTCATCGCGAACGTGTTTCAGCCCTGCACTCGATTCCCGCCAATCACTGCCTGATGATGTGACTCGCCCAACAGCGTTGTTCGTGCTCGTGTTCATTCTGTGCGCGTCATGCGAACATCTTTGAGTAGTGAATTGTTTCATCGTACGGTACCGTAGCTGTCAAACTGGTTAATAGGCAAAATAGTGGCACCCCTATAGAAGGGCAATCAACGCGTATCATAAGTCTTTATCCTGCAAACAGTAGCTGCGGAATCAAAGTAAACCGCCACAAGCTCCGATTCCTGGGTATCGTAAAGGAGCAAACAGCAGAAACTCCCATGAAGCGGTTCAACCGAGCCGCGCCTCGAGCTCCATCTCTCTCTCCATTATACAAAACCCCCCGCAGTCCATTCTTATCCCGCTAGCCTGTCGAGTTTGAAAATTACGCATCAAACCATCGTTCCTACCGAGGCTGTGTGCTCTCCATCTCCAGCCCGCGAATGCTCTGGCTCCAATCCTGCCAATCAAAGTCCGCTCCTAGCATGTCGGTGTCTTCGGTAAAGGTGTCGTCAAAGTTGGTGTTCATGACTGTAAACGGGTCGGACCATAGGTAGGGCGGGGCGTGATCCCCCTTGGGCGGCTGAGTCTGCAGCGTGAGCGCCTGCTGCCGCAAGGCCTGCTGCTCCGCCATTGAGATCGGGAAGTGGGATGACTGGGGGATCACGGCCGCGCCCGAGTCCTTGCCGCCACCGTTGGTCATGTTCCAAAACTCCACCATGTTGGGGCTTGGCTGTGACATGAATTCATCCACATACTGCATGGCCTCTTGAGAAAGATCCATCGTAACTTGCTCCCGCCCACCCGGTGGTTTCAGGCTTTGCGAAGACTGCCGCATGTGCGGCGGCGTGTTGTTCGTGCCCGAGGCCTGTCGGGAACCGGCAGACGGGCCTGTAGACGGCCGGCGTGCGGCTGCGAAGGGTAATGGGCTGGATTCGTCCGGTCGTATCATTGCTCGCCACTTCTCTCTGATTTGCTCCATTCTATTTTCGGCACCGGGGACTGGCCCGAATCGCGCTTGTGCAGGATTCATACGTTCCGCAAAGTCGAGTCGGCGGGCTTCGTCCTGATTCGCCTTAAGCCGAGTAATCTCTGACTCGCGATGCCTTCGGGCTCTCGCAAACAGCTTCCGGACCGGCAGAAAAACGGCGGCTTGGTCGCCTCTCTTTGCAATCTCCACAGGGTCCTTGTCGAAGCCATTGACGCCCTCCCAGCCGCGCTCCACCAGGGCTGTCCACGGTCGCCGGCAGGTTTCGATGAGCGTGTAGGCGATGGCGTGCCAGTTCGTGTACGTCTTGAACAGCCAGCGGTACTGCTTGCATCGAGGATCCGTGTTCAGCTTGTGGCCGTATTCGGTTATCTCGATGGAGGCAACGTATATCCGCTGACGGATCTCGCCAGACAGCTCGTAGTTGGATCCGGGAAACAGCATGGGTTGGTAGATGACGAGGCACATCTTGGCCATGATGACGCGGGCAATCATGGCGGCCACCCAGTAGAGGGGGTCAGCCTCGTCGAGGACGTGCTGGAGGAACTTGTGCTCGACGCGTTGATATACTTCGATGAGCATCCGCTCTCTATCGGCCATGGTGCCCTCGTCGGCCTTGGGACACATGTCGGCCATGGCAGACGCCGCTGTGACCAGACGCCTCGACAATGCGCATATCTCGGCTCGCACGAGGGAAACGGCGCAGTCCGACCTGCCCTCACGGGGTATTGGGAGCTCGGGGCTTTCGGGGCTGATGTCCGAGTCGTTGATGTTGCTCGGCATCTGCGTGTCGTAAGAGCGCTCCCCGATTGTCATGTCGGTGCCGAGTTCCTCTGCAGAGCGAAGATCCAGCATCAGAATGGCCCACCAGAGGCGCCTCCTGATCTCGGTCTCAAAGGGTGAGAGTTTGAAATGACTCCCGTCACGGTGGAGACCCAGACCCTGCGCGATGCGGATCAGCAGGCCAGTCAGCGCCCAGCAGAAGCGGCTCTCGTCGTGCCTTCTGACGACGATGAGGAATAGGGTGAAAGCTTGTATGACTGCAACGTCTGAAGTGTCTAGGAAATTGGCCTTGGCCAGCGACTGCTCCAACGCGAATCGGTGTTGCGCAAGGAGCTCGTCTTTGCTGGCGCCAAAGTTGGTTACAACCTGCGGGTCACATTAGCTTCATTGCTCTTGTTTCCATCACCGTTTTCCTATTGCGAAAGGGACTAGACGTGAGAGTGGCCTTCGGTGGACCCGGCTCTTGGCACGTCTTCCTTTACCGGGCTCCTCGGAAGAGTATGCGTTGGGCATGATAGCAACATACCTCTTCAGGCTCGAGAGAGGTCACGGCCGCAAAGTAAATGGAAAATGCCAGTGCTTCCTGGCCGGGGGACAGGTTGTCCGAGTTCTTCCTGGCATCGCGCAGGATGAGATCCGTAGTTGGGATATGCAGGAGCTTGATGAGCGGCTCGACGTTTTCTTGGTAGACGGACCACAGAAACGTCACATGAGATGGCAGCGGGTGGCATTTCCGAAGGTCGACGTCGGCCGATCGATAGCCGAGGACAAAGGAGTGGTGGTCAGTATAGGACGAGATGCCGGTCGCGGGAGAGTCGGTCGGCGTCCCGTCGTAGTCGGAGTCATCGCCGTCGTCGTCTGTGAGCTTCTGGGTCTCTTCGCGGATCGCGTCCAACTACAGGATTTCCATTGTCAGCCCCCGATGGTCAGTCATCAAAGGTCCAGAGAGCTTACCTCGTCGTTCAACTTGGACCAGAACCCACTGCTGACGTATCGGGATGTGCCGCGCTGGTCGTCGAGAACCAGGCGGCCGAGGGTCATTTGCACATCCCTCCTCTTGGCCGTCTCACTGGTGTGGTCGGTGACGGACTCGTTGTCCCTGGAGCCGGGGCTCCCAGCACCGACAAACATGTCGAGGCCGCCCGACATGGTGCGCCTCGACGGCTGGCCATCGCTGCCGACAGGATTGGGTTGCGAGGGGTCCGGGGAGCCGGCGGCGGATGGCAGTCTGCCTCCCGACTCGACCTCGATCTGGCCGCTGAGCTCCTCGACAATGCCTTCGAGCTTCCGCAGGCGCTTAACCAGCTCCACCTCGCGCTGACTCGAGTTCTTTGGCGGCGCATTGGGGTCTCGCGGTCGCTGCTGACGAGGGGCGCGGCCCGGGGCGGGAAAAACACAGGGGATCAAGGCGCGACGACAGTTGGAACAGGGCATCTGCTTGTCGCAGCGGACCTTGCGGCGCCGACAAGTGACACAGGATCGCGGGTTCAGGGCGGGGGCTCCGGAGCCGCCCGGGGCGAGGATGGGGCCGGTGTGGGCATCAGGCCCCGTCGTCTGGTAGACGGTGACGTTGCTGCTCTGGTGTTGCGATCGTGGTTGATGCTGCGGCTGCTGCTGCTGCTGGACCGCCGAGTCAGCCTGGCCCGTCGGCGACTGGGGCGACGGCATGTTGGCAGGATCGGCGCTGTCGGACCGCTGGGCCATGTTGTTGAAGCTGAAGGGGCTTGTCATTGTCGTCCGATGGTGGTTGGACCTGGCTTGATCCCCACCACGCAGCGTCGTTCGTGTACTTGTTTCTTTTGCTCTTCAGCGCGACGGGATCGGGCCGCGGGCTTCGCAGGGTACTAGTAGGTGCGCTGTACCCGGTACCTCGAAGCTCCAGAAGGCGAGAGAGGCGGGAAGCGGATCGAACGGCTTAAGAGCGGACAGACGAGGTCGCTGTTCGGCAGCAGGTGTGTGAGAACAGTGAGATATGTAGCGCTCCGGAGGGAACAGCAGCCGCACAGAGCGACCAAGTAAGAATGGAGGGGAGGGGAGGGGAATGAGCTCAGATGCAGGATGGGTGAGAGAGCATTCGTGCGAGGAGAAATAGCGAGAACAAAGCTCCGGTGGTAGTAAGTTACCTCGACTTTTGGTGCCTGTTGGTGACGCTGACAATGGGGGCTGAGGCTGATGTGGGGCGATGAGGGGGAAGGGTCTGGCTGCCCCGGGGTCTGCCTGGGGTCTGGCCGCCTGAACCCTTTAGGGCTGTTGGAGGTCACTGGTGATTGTTTTACACCGGTGGACAGTCCTCCGTCAGTGCCTAGCCCGCCTCTTGATGTCCATGGCGTCGCCAGAAGTAAAGGATCGTGTTATTGCCTAAGTTGCGCACCTGTTCTGCACACCCACGATGCCGACATTCAACGCCCAAAGGCCACCGTAAGGGTTGGAAAATAAAGGGCTTGGACCACCCTCTTGTTGATTCTCGATCCGGGAATGGGGACGGGCAGTTAACTTAGTGTATGCATATCAGTTTAGAGCCGGTTCTAGAGCTACCGTCTCCTTACAGTGCCGGTGCCCCCCACTTTCAACCCCTGGAGCAAGCCAGCCTTTTGGCCGAGGTGTTCTTGCTCCCCAAACACTGTCTGGTCTATTCTGGACTCGGACGCAAAAGACCAATGCAAAGGACCAATGCAAGGCCTTACTCGCACTCGTTCATCGCCCAATGCGTCGACGAACCTTGCATGCCCGTGGTCCCCTGTTGGCTGATGCCGGATCCAAAACAGACGCATGCTTACAAAGCCGACGTCTGGAGGACGGCCAGCGCTACGGCCAACGAGGCCAAAAATGAGTTTGCCAAGCCCTGCGCAGTCGTGACATTGGCTTGCAAGACGCCGCTTGTCCGCGGAGAATGCATCGTGGGGGAGACAAGTCCATCTCTAGCCGCCACCTGCAGAGTGCTTCGAGCGGCGGGCGGCCAGGACAGCTCGTCTCGAGCCGCTCTCCGAAGTCGAGAGGACGCTGGCCGCGGAGGTGCGGAAGAGGTCGGTCGCACGAGCCACCAACAGCGCCAAGACCGGCTGCCGACAGCTTGCATCTGACCTGGTCCAACGTGGCGTCATGGCTGGCCATTGCAACGTTTGCCAGTTGATGCTTGTTGCGAAAAGACAAGGGCGTCGTCGCAGTGTGCGACGGTTTAATTAATTACATGCCGGCTCCAAAGTGGTCCGCGCAAAGCAAGTCACGGCACCGCCGATGCGTTGAGCTAGGTCAGAGTGTAAAAAGAAAGGAAACCCCCAATTTTCTACGCATCCATGCAGACGCATGGGTGGTTACGTAGTACTTTGCGTTGCCAACTGTTTAAGGGTCGAGGAACGAAGGAAACTGTGGAAGAGGAGAAAAGGGAACAAGCTTCTGCTGTTGAACAGCCATATGCAGCGAGAGCATTTGTGCTTAAAGCGTCACATGCTCCAGGAGTCAGCGAATAGTACACCCGCCTCAATGGAGGCAGACTCCGTGAAAAGGTAAAAGCCCGCAATCACCAAGAAGCAGAAAAGAGCCTTAGATTAGGGTATTGGTTTCGAAGCCAGAAAAAAACGTAGCAAAATTGTACCATTGGAAGCTCGTATGGTAGGTAGTACCTCATAAGCAAGCGTCCCAAGCACAAAAAAATAAGTCCTCATTGAACACAGTCTTTGATAGGAAAAGCCCAATGCGGGGGTCGAACCCGCAACCTTGAGATGGCAACTGCTGACAAGCTTACGTAAGAGTCTCACGCTCTATCCAATTGAGCTAACCGGGCGACGCGGTTGATTCAACGACCCAGAATAACCGAATGGACTTGGATGGATGCGGATATTTTTATTAACCTCTATAAAGAGAAGACTCAACTTGGTATATTGAGTTTTGATCGGCTCAAGTGGGTGAGCAAATATCTACTTATACACGTTGCAATTAATCATCTTACTCGATAATGTTCCAGGACACAACTAAATAAATAATTTGAGTAAAAAGCGCGAGCTGCGGTTGGGGGTATTTGTCGACCCGAAGCCGTGAAATCGTGGCTGGATCAAAAGGAGGCCTTGCCAATGATTCAACCGAGATGCCAATATCTCAGCATGTCATGTCATTGCACTACTGTTGCCAAGCGACCGGGATGCTCGGTAGTCCTACAGTCTTGCCGAAGAAGAACGCAAATCGACGTTGGATATATGCAGTTTTCCCTCCAGGACGTCGTGAGCGAAGAATTGCCATGTATCGAGACATCTGTAGAAGTAATATGTTTCCCCGGCGCTGCACGGATGAATCACACGACTGGCTTAGCGAAGCAACGCACGGGAAACATGGACACGCTTCGTGCGTTCCAGGACTCGTGACACTACGAGAAACCCTCAATGACGAATGTCGAGATGCAGCCATGATCCAAGTCGCCGGCATCCTACCCATGCAATTGGACGTGATGAAATTCAAAGAACAATGAATTCCATGGGCAGTTGCTCACGGAAAGGAGGAGGAACCAAAGATTATGACGTCCAGTGACAATGCACAAGCACCGAGCCTACACAGCGATAAAGAGCGTCGTAAAACTGGCCGTTCGTAGAGTCGACTTATAAGTTAGTACGGTGGGCGTGCGCGACATCTCATGCACAAGCGTTCGCGGAGAGAACAGAAGCAGTGATGGGTCGGTAAACATGATGCAGCAAATATTCAACAAAGGGTACTGAAGAGGTAAAGGCATAACGGTCGAAGGAATAGCGCATTGCCAAAAGACCGCTAATAACGCTCCAATCACTCTCACGGCGAATGCGAAGATGCACGAACGCAAAAAGCAGGCGAAAGCCTTGAGCAGGCTCGTCACCAGGTCGCCCCACATACCGTATACACGATTACATAACCCAGGCGCTGGATCCACCACTGCCAAAATGTAGGCTTCATCACGTGCCTAGTCATTCGCTTCGCGTAGGGTTTCTCACCCCACAGATTGCCCTGGAAATTTTGCGCCTGCAAAGGTCCCCTCCGCCCAGTTCACGATCGCACCCCGAGGCTCGGTACATTTCGTCACGAATTAACGCCACCATCAAACCGATACAATGGCCAAGATCTCGTAAGTTGCTCCCGAATCGTCCACGTCACCCTCGAGGATCTCCATGGCGAGAGGTGCAAGAGGAGGCAAGGTTGGGCGGGCACGGCAAGCGCAAAACGATAGGCCACCGACGACGGCTTCGACGAGGGGAGACGGCCCCGCCACTCAAGCGCCAGCAATGACGGCTCGCCATACGGATGGGAGGACTTTCTGATTGCCATGCAAGCACCAGTCGGGGATACGGCTGCATCACCTGCCTTCGAGATACCGACGAACCCGACGAGCGGAAGAGTGTGCAAGGAAAAGACGAGTCAGCTGACGACTTCTCCTGCGATATAGGCGCGGTGCCCCCGGTGGCAAGCTCAAGATGACGCTGGGTCTCCCTGTGTAGGTCACCCCCGAAGGCGACGAAGCCCGGCCTGCGTCCCGCCCGACTAACAAGGCCCAACACAGCGGCGCCGTCATGAACTGTGCCGACAACTCGGGCGCCCGGAACCTGTACATCATCGCCGTCAAGGGTATCGGTGCCCGCCTAAACCGCCTGCCCGCCGGCGGCGTCGGCGATATGGTCATGGCCACGGTCAAGAAGGGCAAGCCCGAGCTGCGCAAGAAGGTCCACCCGGCCGTCATCGTCAGGCAATCCAAGCCCTGGAAGCGATTCGATGGTGTTTTCCTGTACTTTGAGGACAACGCCGGCGTGGTACGTGCCGTCTTCTCCTGGGAATGGGCTTCAGAAGCAGCGTTTTTCTCCAAGAGGCGTTTCTGTGCAGCAAAGGCTCAGTGCCTTGCAGTGCCTTGCGTCGAGAGGAGGCCATCACGCCAGTTTTGCCATGACTTTGCAGGACGAAGAATATTGCTGACACCTGATGCACAGATCGTCAACCCCAAGGGTGAGATGAAGGGCTCTGCCATTACCGGCCCTGTCGGCAAGGAGGCCGCCGAGCTGTGGCCCGTAAGTTGCCCCGCCTGCTCACACATCGAGGGCCAGACTAATGCATCCATCCCCAGCGTATCGCCAGCAACTCCGGTGTCGTGATGTAAGGGGCCAGACGGGGTCGGAGTACGAGATAAAGAAAAGGGCACAGCTCATGTCCCAATGGCCAATGGCCGGACCGCAAAGACGTCTGGCTCTCCATGGGATCGGGGAGGGGGGGTTGAGAAGACATGACACCAGAGTGGGAGGATTCAGCCGCTGGATTTGGTGGGCTCTGCATTTCGGTCGCGGCGTGTAAGGATGTTTCTCATACCAGGTATCGCGTCACGGGCAAGAAGATAAAGATGACACAAAACAAACCGAAGAATCCTGCTTCTGGCGCTGGTGCTCTTCATGCTCGCGGCGGCCTGGGGCTGTAGACTAGACCGTTGCACCGTGCAAAGCCCAGCCAATGTGCGATGCTGCTCTAACGAGACCCATGATTTAATCGCCCGAGTTGTGACGCTGTCTGCCCGTCCACGCCCCAACCCCCAACTTCACAAACAGGAAGGCAACGATCGATGGACTCAACGACGTCTGTAGCGAATCTGTATCTGTATATGCGCTGGATTCTCGTCCATGCCGCAATTGAATTGCTCCAAAAGACATGCAAGCACAAACATTACGACACAGCCATAAAGTATAGTGAGCAGCAAATGCTCCCGCGTTTATTGAATCCGTGTTCCCTGTATCGTAGACACAAGTATGCCCTCCGTTGTGTCCTTGCTATGCAACATGACTTGCTTGAAAATGCAAAGACGTCCTTTCTCCCCTTTCGTTCTCGCCGATGCCTCTCTCCTTCTCTGGATTGCCTGCCGGCTTGGGCTATGTCCCCCAGCGGCCCAGAGAGGTCCGAAGGTTCTCGTGTGATGCGTGCAAGACGCCCAAAGCGCCGATGTATTCCCCCCCCGCGCTCGTGTCCGTTGAATGGAGACGGAGCACGAGACGAAAAAGAAAAAAACACAAGTTAGGTGAAAGACAAGACGCAGTAAAAAGCAAAACCAGATGACGCGCTGCAAGCGCAACGGTGGGCGCTGCTGTGGCGCTTTTGAATGGACGACGTTAATGTACAAGAAACCGTTCTGGCGTGCCATCGGGGCACCCAGCCCCAGAAGGGCAAACGGCAAAGTGAAGACGAAGTCGGAAAATCGTCAGGATCAGCTCGAGCTGCAGGACTCTGGATTTCCGTCGTGTTTGGGGGTTTGGGTAGGGCCAATGCCCTCGAGGAGGACGGTGAAGATCAGTCATTGTGAATGATCTTGATGAAATATCGACCATTGCCGATAGTGTTGGCGCAGTGGCGCTCAACTAATTGTTTGCAGTCGGAGGGGAGCCCGCTCCTCCGGCCACGCCGTGCTGAGTGAACTCGGTCGATTGTGCTTGTTGCTGCTGCTCTTCCCGAGCGGCATGCTCCTTCTTGATGGCCCGGACCTTTGTCGGTTTCGGGGCATTCGTGCCAGCCTTGTTATCGGCGGCAGCCTGAGCGGCCTTCTTGGCGGCCAGAGTGGCCTTTCGCTTCTCCACGGCTCCGGCCATGTTTCCGTTTGCCCAGCGGCCTGAGAAGAAGGTACAAGTTAGCACAGTCTCAAGCACTTGCGTGAAGGGTCAAAGGCAAACTTACTCTTCATCGAGGCAGACATTTTCTCCGACTTGGTCATAGACTTGTAGTCCTTGGGGCGATCCTCTGCTTCGCCAGCTGTCGCGGGCTGGGAGCCGGGTGTGCCGTTGCGGCTCGCAGCCGTCTTGGAAATCACCTTGATCTTGGGGACCTTGCGGCCAGCGGGAACTGCTCCAGCCTCTGCCGCAATCATTGCTGCCGCCGTAGCCGCGGCAGCATTCTCTGCCCTGTCGCCGATGACACCATCCTTTGCGAGAGCGTCTCCCTGGCCAGCCGCTCGCTTGCCTCTCTTCTTAGGCGGCTGCTGGTCGGAAATCTCGTCGTCCTCGGGTTCGTCGCGGAATCGCTTCTGGCGCTTGGGCCGGAAAGAGTAAGAGGACTCGGCCGTGTGGGAGGTCGAGTCGGATGAGGCGGTAGAGGGCCGCGAGTCGCCGTTGTCTGTGATTGCAGACGACGGCTCGCTCAAGTTCTTGGACTTGGGAATTTTGAGCGTCAAGACGTGACTCTTGCGCTGCGGCTTGGCAGGCCTAGCCTTGCCCTCGTCATCGAGGGCCTGCTCGGCCAGCCGAGAAGCCTTCTTGCCGCGAGGGCGGCCAGGCTTGGCGAAGGGCCCATCTTGAACTGCAAGGGCCTCTCCCGAAGGAGACGAAGAGCCTTCAGTGGCGTTGAAAGAGGCCTCCTTGGCAACAGCATTTGTGCGGCGGCGGCGGCGATCCTTCTGCTGAGGGGCCTCTTCAGTGTCCGGGGTGGACTCGGCTCTGGCCTTGCCCGACGTGGTTTTCTGTTGGGGCTCGCCGTTGGCGGCCCTGTTACTCGCCTGCCTCTTCTTGCCCGTCATGTTGGAGGCCGGTGTTCCGACGCGGCTGGGCTGCTGAGACGCGGGATCAAAATGCTGCACCGGCTTGCGCGTCCGCTTGGTCGTGACCTCTTCGGCCTCGGAGGCCTTGGCCGTCTGCTTGGGCTGGTTGCGAAGCGATCGCGAGCGGGTCTTGACGCCCTCATCGATGCAGTTTTCGAGATCCTGGCGACCAATCTTGGACGGGTGAGGATCGTAAGGGAAGTAGTACGAAGCAGCCATGATTCTATCCTGGGCCTGCATCCAGCGCGTTTCCTCGATGTTCTCCTGGTCCTTTTGCTTCGCCTTGTAGCCCTTGACGCTGAAGTCGGGCTCGGCATGATTCAAGCCCGGCACGGTCAAGTCGCGCGTCTTGTTTTCGTATTTGGCGTCCGCATCTTGGCGCCTGGTTGCGTTCTCCCAATCCGCAACAAAATGGATTGAATCCTGATACTCGTGCTGCCACTCCCGCATGGCTGCATTAACAACGTCAAGGAGTTCATAGAGGTCCTCTGTAGACATTTGTCTGTGGTTCTGGAGCGCGGCGGCAAAGTCCGCGGGACTTCGGATCCTGCGGTACTTGTAGAACATCGGCTTGCCGGGGGCCCCCTGAGGTTCGGCCATATTGGCATCCTCGCAGTTCTCCTCGGCAGTAGCCGCAGCCGGAGAGTTGATGGCAGTGGGCTCTGTGGATTCGACGGCAGATGACTCTCCCGCCGGAGTGCCAAGCGCGGCCGTCGACGAATCATCCACAGGCGGATTGCCAGCGTCGCCGCTTCCTTCTTCTCCAGACGACTCCGGGTTTTCGACAGTGGTGATGCTCTTGGTGCTCTTGTTGTCCTTATTTTCGGACGTCTGTCCAGCGCCACTCGCCTCTGTGTTGTCGCTCTTATTCACCGGGTAAGTATCGTACTCCTGGTGCAAGTAAGGGCTCAAGTGTGCCCAGGCGCGATCCTGACCAGCTGGAGCTGTCTGACCGGTGACGGAGTTGGCATGTGCAACGCCCTGATCTGCAGACTGGCTAGACGACTGGTGCAATGCCAGGGTACCCTCAGGCGGGGAAATATGAACGGCTGGCGTGCCGCTGGTTGCGCCTGGGGCCGGTTCGGCTGGTCCGGAAATAGTGGAAATGATGGAGGGCTGGGAAGCATCCGAGACGGTGATGGCGGGAGGCTCCGAAATGGGCCTCTCCCCCTCTTGAATGCCGTGGGCAACCGATACAATCTTGTTCTCCTCGAGTTTCTGGCCAGGGCTCTGAGGCTGCTCGCCAGAGTGGTTGGTTTCCTTGGCGATAGCAACCATGTCTTGCGGAACCGGTCCAGCAGTGTCAATCTTGGGCTGCGCATTCTCTTCGACGGTGGTAGCTGTAGCAGCGCCAACGTGGCCCTCGCCTCGATCCATGAGACTAAGAGCTGTGGTTTGCAGAACAAGGTCTGCGGCGGATGATTTCTCTGCCTGAACCTTGGGAGATGGGTCCACCTCATCTTCAGCAGCCTTCTGCTCGATGGCCAATACCTGGGGCTTGGGAGCATCTTTGGCGTCAGCCGCAGGAGAAGGCCGGTTGTCTGGCAAATCGGTTGGCTCGATGATGGGCTCTTCGGCGACCGAGAAGGTCTGCTGAGTATCCTGGGTCGAGTTCAAGGTAGACTCGGCGAAGCTGGATGCGTTGTACGAAACAGAGCAAGCCTCTGGCTTGGGCGACTGGATGGCCTCTTTCTGGGCAGGGACAGACGCGTCGTTTTCGGCGGTGGACAGCAGGTCAGAAGACTTGGTTGGGGCATGTGCATCCTGATGAATGCGTGCGGCAGGCTGCTGTGCCTTGGCCTCCGATTCGGCGGTAGCCGCAGGGAGCTTCCACGAGGCCTCGGGAGACTGGGCAGTCGAGGAGTCGCCGGAGTGACTGGCCCGAGGAGGATCTGACTCATCCACATCGGAGAAGGAAACGCCGACCTCGATGACGTCTTTGACGTCGTCGTCTTCCTCGTAAATCCTGGTCTCGGTACTCTTGCGAGCAGGGTTGCGGCGGACGCTGGAGAGAGCATCGGCGCCGAGAGAGTTGCCTCGCTTCTTGGCAGGGGTGGGACCATAGAAGTCCTCGGAAGCGTCCATGTTGTCGGACTTGCGCTTCCTGCCACGGGTAGAAGAAGAAGAGGCCATGGTGGAGTTGGGAACCATGACTTCATCGTCAATGTGCTCCAAGGTGTAGTCAACGCGGGCACGCTTTCGAAGGCTGTGGCCACCCTTCTTGGGGCTGCCATCATCGGCAAAGTCGTCGTCGGCAAAGTTAAAGCCATCCATGGTCCTGGAACGCTTCTTGGAGGACTGGGGGCGGTTTGGGCCTGGGGTGGAAAAGGCAAATGCCTGCTGGGCTGCCCTGCTGCCTCGGCGGCTCTGGGGTGCCGTCTGGGGCGTGCCGGCGTTGGTGCCCTGCGGCATGCCGGGACTGGTGGGAGACTGAAGACGCTCCATCGAGGCTTCAGACGTCGGCTGGGGAGATGCAGAGCCAGGCAGAGGTTTGCGGCGGCTGGTGGCGGCAGCGCGGCGAGCGCGGTCCATGACGAACCGGAGCAGCCAGCGGTGCGTGTAAGAAAGAGGCTGACGGGCAATAAAACAGGCGGCGGTCGGACGAAAGGGCGCGGTGATGAAAAGACGGGCGCGAGGCTCGGGAAAGGAGACGCAGAGCGTGTGATGGGCAGGGAGCTGGCGTCGGGGTGAGTGACGAGGTTTTGTGTATGAGAGAAGGCCGTGTGCGTGTGTGTGTGTTTGGTAGTTGAGGGAGACCAGAGATGGGGTCAGGATTGGAGAGGGTCGAGTGCAAGAGGTTGGAGGTATCAGGAGGGATGGGAAAAAACACACACGAGGGCTGGCAAGGAAAAGCAGACGGGCTCCGACCACCAAGCTGAGGGACGAGTGTTGCCAGCTGCCAGGGCGACGCAGAACGGGCGGCGATATCTCATGGGAAGTTTTTCGGTCGCCGGTTTGATGAATGAGAGAGCCGCTTTCTCCTGTTCTGGCCGTTCTGGCGGGTACGGGGGCCTGAGGTACTGGCTACCCGCCTGCCGGGGTACTCGCCGGAGCAGCACAGGCGTGAGATACCTCGCCGGTAGCCGGGGCCTCGGTACCTGACACCTGTGCGGTACGTACTGGGTACCTGGACCTGCCACGATCCCTCCACCGTTGCTGGCGACAAAGGGGGACAAACGAACCGGGGGCTCTTTTCTTCTACCTCTCGGAAGAGTCAGGTGTTTCTTGTATCAAAAGAACGCTTTCTTCATCCCCTCTGCTGTCTCATGATACGCCGCTCGTCTTTGCCACGGATTGCTTCCTTTCCCTATACCCTTCATTCTCGGGCTGCGCATCGAGAAGCGATTCCGCGGGGGGGCAAAGACAGGCAGTTTGGGGGGGCACATGGCGCTGTGCCGTCACTGTTCCAGCGTCTCGGAGCCATGGTACACGCCTCGCAGTGCCTGGGCGCCCCCCTACAGGTACTGCCTGCGGCCAAAGCCCTGCGCGAGGCATCCGAGGTACCGCAGGTACTTGAGGCGTCTGAAGCAGGCAGGGCGTGTACTTGGACATGTACCTCGTTGCGCGAGTAGCGGGTGTGCCATCCGTCGAATCAGTACATCAATGGCTGCCTCTCCCACTCAATAAGCAGGCCAGGAATTCACCCGAGGCAAACAATAGCATCGCCAAAGAGAGAATATACCCGTCCAATCCGCCGTCAGCCTCTGGCAGTGGGCAAAGCCCGCCCCGTGATACCTCAGCTTGGGCGGCAGGTACGAATACGTCGCACCAAGGCAAGGTTTAGCCTTGAGTCCGGGAATTCTCCGCCTCCAGAGGCCAATCAGGGAGCGCTGCAGGTGCTTCGAGCCTGATGAATGTACATACATGGATGCATACTTGGCCTGATCCTATGCCATTCCAAGTGCTGCTGGTTTCCATCCTATCTATTCATATCCCTATTGTCAAAAATGACACCGTCATTTACATGTACTGTACATGTCCTTCCAGGCTGCCCTGCCAATGCTTCTGGTCCAAGGCGCGTCTGCGGCCATTTGATCTTCATCCACCTCCAGTCCATCGATGTGTCTACAAGGGTCAGATCTGGTACCGTATCCAGCATGTAAGGCACGAGTGATTCGCTGCAAAATGCGCGTCAGCCTTCTCTCAGGACCCAGCAGGTACCTCTCACTTGGGCCGAGTGCATGAGACAGCCTCGCGCTTGGTGGCGTGGCCTTGCGCTCCCTTCTCCCATGAGCGAAGCACACACTGTGCCATCATGGTGCAAGGCTACTGTGCTTGGGTCTCCCTTCTCTTTCTTGTTGTTCACGTCAAGCTCCACAAGCGCACAGGTGACGCATGCATCGGGACCACTGTAACTCCCCTGGAAATACAGGCTGCTGTGTGCTGTATTGTCGTGTGTACGGAGTAGCAGTCCTTGGCAATCTGTACCCCGTACCTCTTCTCGCCAATCAGAGCGAGCTGCATGTTGTCGTGTACCAAGTACTCCGCGCATCGCACCCGGCGCGGCAGCGTCATGTGCTCAACGACAACTCCATCTCCTCCTTACAAGACTCTACCATCCGCCATGGCATCCAAAAAGACAAAGGCCGCGGCTTCTGCCGCCGATGCCAATGACAACCTCGACGAGCTCTTCTCCGGCATTGGCGACGATGCCAAGTCCTCCAAGCCTTCCGCCAACCCCAAGTCCTCCAAGCCCTCAAAGGCCATGGCCGGCAACAACGACATCCTTGCCGACCTCGAGTCGCAGCTGGCCTCGCAACAGCCCTCCTCTCGCCCACATACCCCTCGCCTCAAGGATGCTGCCGGTCTGAAGCGCCCCACGGCGACGCCTCCCGCTGCCGGCGACGACAAGCCCGCTTCTGCTGGCCGCAAATCCAACGACAGCACCCGGAGCCTCAAGGCCAGCTTCACCCCGAGCGCCGCCAGCTCCGAGCTGCACGACGCCGAGAGGAAGGGGACGGTTGAGCAGGAGCAGGAATTGCAGCAGCAGCAGCAGCAGCAGCAGGGTGGAGGGGGCGGATGGTGGGGTGGCATCCTTTCCACCGCATCCGCCGCCATGAAGCAGGCAGAGGCAGCGTACAAAGAGATTCAGCAGAACGAGGAGGCCAAGAAGTGGGCCGAGCAGGTCCGTGGTCTGGGTGGTATAGACGTCGGAGCCATCAAGAATTACGGTAAGGCTCAAGTCCCGCTCCGTCTCCTTGTGCCCAAAATGGCCGTGACGCCGCGGCTAAACACTTGAACCTGCCATCCAGGCGACGAGCTGCGCAGCCGCGCCCTGCCGACCTTTACAAACATCCTCCACACCCTGGCGCCGCCCATCAGCTCGCACGAACGCCTTCTCATTCACATCACCCATGACCTCGTCGGCTACCCCTCGCTGGATTCCCTCATCCATGCCGTCTTCGCCCGCGTCATGTCCCAAGTTGAGGGTGGAGATCTACTCGTGGTCCAGCGCGGCCACGAGAGCAGCTCTCGGCGGCTCAGCGAGGGCTCGGCTGGGTGGCGCGACGGGCCCTGGTGGAGACAGACCGACTCCCATCGCGAGTTGGGCGTCGTTAAAGGCTTGACCGAAGGCACCAAGCTCTGCCGTGCCGGCGCCGAGTCGTATTCCGACGAATACTATGCTTCCAACGGCGGCTTGGAGCAGGCCAAGGCCCGTGCCACGGAGGATCTGAGCGAGAGCAATCCGGTCCGAACCTCGGACCTGTTCCTGGCCGTGCAGGCCATCAGCACCGACGCAGACCAGGCGCTCTTTGCCCGCGCCGCGTCGGCCGAGAAAGAGAAGGAGTCTTCTGCCGTCAAGGAGCAGGAAGAGGCGGATGAGCTTGTCTGCTTTGCCATCTTCATCCTCGACCCTATCCACGAGATTGAGTTCTCCACCGTCAGCCAGTCTTTGCCCTCCAAATGGGTCCGTTGGCTCGATGCCGCAACGCCGCTGACCCCTCGCTCCGCCGAGGAGAGCCACGACGCCTTTGCGAGCGGGCTTCCGGATGAGATCAAGGACATACTGGACGACGGGGGAGTGGACCCCAGGGAGTGGGTGGCTGAGTGGATCGAGGAGACGTTGAGCCTGGCCATGGGCGTGGTGGCTCAACGGTACGTGGCCCGCAGAATGGGCGTCGGCGAGGGTGGCCTGGGCCGGGGAAAGAAGAGAGTCGACGACTCGGTCCACGTTGCCGGCGAGGCCGCCCGAGCGGGTGTCTTTTAGCTGGGAGGTGGGAAGTACGGGTATCAAGCCGCTGATTCCTTTGCTAGGAGGAGCAAGCCTTGGGGGTTGGCCTCGTATTTTGTTGATAGTCGTCGTGGTGGTCTGATGATTGTAATTTGTATGCTCCCGTCATCATTTGTTGCTTGGCTGTGCGAAAGTAGCCTACCTCGTTCAACGACGGGCCTGCAACTACTAGAATGGAACACATTGATGCGAATGATGGGCCCGTACACGATATACGTCAGAAGATGTACTCATTAAGGACTATAGGCAGCGGCTCTGCTCTGGAGACAAGGTGCTGTTTCTCTTGACCGTGCCAGCCTTGCGCAACTCGCCCCGAGCCTCGCGCGAGGCCCTCTCCCGGTCGACCAGCCTCAGGGGCCGATAGGCAGGCTGCCACATCTGCGCCCCGATCCACCGCTCCAGCTCATCGGCGCCCTCGGGTATCCCCTGCTGTGTGGCGACGCCCTCGTCGACGGCGGCCTGGACGACGCGGCGGGCGACGCCGAGGCTGACGCTGCGGATGGCGTCGACGTCTGGCAGCAGCGGGGCGCGGGGACGGCTGCGGGCAGGACTGTGGGCGGCGACGCCCTCGACGGCGGCAACCATCATGCGGTCCGTCAGCAGGCGGGCGCGCGAGAGGACGCATCCGAGCCCGACGCCGGGGAAGACGACCGAGTTGTTGCACTCTGCGACCTCGACACGCACCTCTTCCCCGTCGGGCCCCCACGGCCCAGTCACGGGGTCGAAGGGCGATCCCGTGGCGACGAGGGCGGCACCGTCGGTCCAGGCGAGCAGGTCCGCGGGCGTGGCCTCGTGCAAGCGCGTCGGGTTGGAGAGGGGGAAGATGATGGGTCGCGGGCACGACTCGGCCATGGCGCGCACCACGTCGCGCGTAAAGGCCCCCGGCACCGTCGACGTGCCGATCAAGACGTTGGGACGGACGCGCCGCACGACGGAGAGCAGGCCTGTGTCGTGGCCGTTCCACTCGGAGGCGTCCCTGAGAAAGGACTGTTGTGCGCCGGATGTGTCGGCCGTGGCGGTGGTGAGGAGGCCTGGTTTGTCGATGAGCCTGTCTTGCGTGTGAGCCCAGCTCTTACAGGTTATTCTGGAATTTTGCCCTCTCTCGTTCTTCCTTCTCGAAACTCTGCATCTTCGGTGCTCGAGTGCGCGGAGAGTGTGACTTACCATATCTTCTTGGTGGCTTCTTCCCGGCTCACGTGGCCTTGGGTGGCAATGGCATCCCGGACTTGGTCCGCGATGCCAACGCCGGCGCTGCCAGCCCCAAACACGACCATGCGGACGTCACTGAGCTTCTGTCCGCTGACATCCAGGCCCGCCATGATGGCGGCCAGGGTGACGCAGCCGGTGCCCTGGACATCGTCGTTGAAGCACGGCATGCGTGGGCGATATAGGTCCAGCAGTCGCCTTGCTGGGTTACGCAAGAGGTCGAGTTAGCCTTGGCTACGATGTTCATAACTCAAGTAAGAGAACAGAGGCAAAGGGGGAGAGCTGACCGTTTCGGAGGCCAAAGTCCTCAAAGTGCAGATAGGCCTTGGGGTACAGTGTGCGGGCTGCCGAGACAAAGGTGTCGACAAAGTCGTCATATCTCTTCCCCCGGACGCGGTTCTCCCTCAGTCCAAGATAGAGGTCATCGCCCAGCAGGTCGGGGTTGTCGGTGCCGCAGTCGAGGACGACGGGTAGGCATCTATTGGGGTGGACGCCGGCGCACAGGGTGGCCAGGGCGAGCTTGGCGATGGATATGAGGATGCCGCCGACGCCCTGGTCCCCGATGCCCAGGATCTCTTCGCCATCTGTCACTCTCGTTCCAGTCAGTCAATGCCTCTCGGCTGCCGAGACAGACTTGCCTGTAACGACAATGTAGTCAATGTCGTCTGCGTTGCCCCACTGCGAGAGGTCGTGGAGGACTCGATCCTGGTCGTTGATGTTGAGGAAGCAGCCTTCGGGTCGGCGGAAGAGGCGCGAGAAGTTTTGGATGGCATCGCCCTCGGTGGGAGTGTAGATGACGCTGAACATTTCCTTGATGTTGTCCTGAAGCAGCTGTATCGGTCAGTCTTGATGTCCCTCGGGCCGGTGGCATTTAGTTACCTTGTAATACAAGACCTCGTTCTGCTCCTTGAGGGAGGCTAGAAAGGTATTCTTGGCCAGCTTGTTGCTTCGGGAGCAGTACTGCTCATAGGCACGTCTGGTCTGGACCTCCAACGTCTGGACATTCTGGGGGAGTAGGCCGGTCAAGTTGAACTGCTGGCGCTCATCGGCGGGAAAGGCGGATCCCTTGTTGAAGTACGGGGTGTTGAGGAGAGCTTCGCCGGTGAGAGCGCAGTCAAGAGGGCCGCTGGAGCTCAAGGGGAGGTTGTGAAGCCCGTACGATACTTTCTGGGGAGTCATGACGAGGTTTGCTTCTGGGTGCCCCTCCCCATGTGGTCGCGCCACCGGTGCCTCGCAGTATCGTGTACGCGAGGAAGAGAGCGGGATGCGCTCTCGCGGGGATGGCCAGGAGCCTGGATGAAGCGGAAGCGCGCCCACAGTAGGTTCCAATATATTCTCAAACTAGCGTTCCGTCCACTCTGCCGGCGATGTTTTGAGCCCGTCCTCTCTCACCCATTTCAGTTCAGTCTGGCCGTCGAGTCGCCATACAGTCCGTGACCAGCTTTCGCACGGTATAAATCCCCTGCCTTAAGGGATTTTCCGGTGATCTGCCGGATCTGGCGATTCGCCGGATTTTGGGCTCATTGCATTCCAGCAAAGAACTGAGAATAACTTCACGAATACTATTTGAATTGTTCTAAAATCTTATAAGAGCAGTTAATAATGCTCAAAGATGCCACTCAATCTTTTTGAAGTCATCCAGCCATCGAGGTCGTCTTCTGTTACTCTCCGATCGCGCAAGTCCCCGAAATGCACCCATTGCCTCCCGATCACTATCAACAGCTAAAGAGGGCCTTTGAGGACAGGATATGTCGTTTGAAGTTATCATTGCCTTATTATTTGCGTTATTATATAGTGTGTTTGGTACCTGCAATGCTATGGCCCGCTCTGGTGTGAACGGAAGAGTGACAATTTTTGCAGCGTGAACATCCTGACTCCTCTCGCGACCCTCAGAAGCCACCCGTCGCTCATTCTGCATTTTCTGTGGCTTTTCCACTTTCAAAATCTTCAGCTCTTGTTAATAATGCCAATTTATCTCCTTATTTTGCTTCACGGCCTCCGTCATCCGTCGTTTTCTCCCAATTTCCGCCTCTCATTGCTTCCTCTTCTCTAGAGCGAGAGCTTTTGCTCCGCTGCCTTCTGCTGTCGCTGAAGCTTTCGGGCCTCCTTCTTCAGAGCCTCCTCTTTCTTTTGGAGTCCTTTCACTGTCATTTTTTGGCGAGCTTGAGCCACAATTTTAGAGCTAAACACCTCGTCTGCACTAGAATCTGTACAGCAGAAGAGATCATCTTTTGAAGCCTTACCGGTCTGCCTGCGCTGGTTCTTGTGACTACTTGTTCTCTGCATACTTTAACTCTCATATCAAGCACTTAAAACTCATATTGAGGGCTCCTGAGGGTGCTGCTCAGCCTTCGGCTGTTGCGGCCAGCATCAACAGAGGACTCTCGACTACTTCCTGAAATGCGTTCCAAAACACAGTCTAGATCTTCGATTTCAGCAATCCAATGAACCTTTTGATTTGTCTGTGTACTGGATAAGATCATGCGTATACGCTGTTGAGAGAGGCTGAATAACGATACATCAAGGGTTGCAGCCGATGAATGGATTGAGGGGAAACACCACAACGATCACTCGGTGCCGGTCACACCACTCCATAAATTCGATACTAAAATGGTTAAGTGGCCATCGGGAACCAAAGGCGATAAGCACAACCGTTTCGAGCTTTCACCCTGGTAAACCGGTCGAACGTACCGGTGAGCTGCTCATTTCCAATATTGTGATTCGTCCACCTCGTTTTTGACGTGTTAAAAATATTTATTGACGACTTGATTCACGTTTCACGAACCAAAAGTCCAGAGTTTGTGCTGGCTTGTCTTGGTGGATGAGAAATGGGGCAGCGATGCCATCTCTTGACTGACGCACATCTTGAACGTAAGGGAGGATGGGTTGCCATTTTTTAATACGCCGAGCAATTTTGCCTTGTTTTCTTATAATAAGAGGAATACCCTGTTCGTTCAAATGCTCATAAGGAATAGAAAGCCCATTTCATCCATGTTATACGTGTTTTAGGGTAGGGTGTCGAATTTCTCAATTTTCGTGCACGTCTTTCCTTGTCAGGTGTGAAAGCGGAGCCTCGCGCACTGAATTTCAAGCTAAAAATAAACCTTACATTCAGATGCATAGATAGGTTCTTTTCAGAAGATGCTTGTACCGTCGAATCACGTTCAATCTGGCTCATTACGGGTGCGTAGAATGAAGTTATCCAGCTCGCCCTTCCAACCCCATTTTTGCAGTATCCTGAGCCAAGTTCTGCACTATGGATAGAATGGGAGAATCCCACATGATTAAAGCCTACGATGAAAGCCAATAATGTTCTGTTTTTGCTGTATTGGCTGAAATGACTTACACAATCTGTCGGCATCCTATTTTGGCCGTTGCTTGGTTTGATGTCAGCACCGCAGCGCATTGCCCCTAGATAAAGTTCTAAATATATGCCAGACTTTCACTGCTTCTGATGATTCAGGAAATCAAAGGATACGTCAATTGGCACCGTTGTTGTTGAGCTATTGTCGATTGATGTTGAGCGTGCGAAGTCGCCGCAATCCGGCAGATCACCAGATCCGGCAGATCATCGGAAAATCCCTTATACATGAGCTATCACGTGCTCTTCCAGTCGTCTGTACTCTGTACGTCTGCGCAATGGAGATCGGCCAAGCTAGAATCGCGCGTTAACTAATATTACCACCCCAGCTCCAAGCAGAAGAAACTCCAGAGCCAGAAATAGGGCGTCCTCAAGAACTCGAAGACAACTGGGCGTGCGGAAATGCCCGACGACCCTTACCTCCCAAACACTCCGAAAACCACACTGGCAGCCTTTATCGCCTTCAACTGCGATGGCAAACCTTCTGCCGAATGATGGGGAAGGACTGGAAGGCTTTGGTAAAGACTCTGACCTTTGACAATAAAGGCCTCGGCGAGTCATCATTCAATATCTCATTCGAGACCTGGTCTCCGCCGGAAAAGATGCATAATCAACTCAGAGAGCTCGGTCCGAGCATATACAAAGAGACTCGGAGGGCTGTACAAGAAGTACACCGCCAAACCAGAGGCCAACAACCTCAGGGACCATCTCCGCCAATACGCCCAGATTTTGTTCACACCGGGATGGAAGTTGAAGCGGGAGACCAAAATCGAGCTCATCATGGGCCCTAAATTCTTCATTCGTCATACCGATTTCCTCTCAGTCCAAGACGCGTCCCGCTTCCATGTCGGGCTCGACCGCTCGACGACGCTAATGTCCACCGCACCACCATGCACACCGGTTGTCGAAAGCATGAGCTGGCCTACGCCAAACCTCGAAACCAGGACGAGCTCCTGAAGAAGACGGCCGAGGATGAGGACCCGTACACCGACGTGGAAAACGCAACGGACGACTGTGCGCGACATCGTCCTAAGGAGTGTTGGGTGTATCGCAGTTTTGACGAGCGGTGGGACGATCCGAAGCTGAAGGTCCTCTGTTGGGGGGATATTGATGTCTGGATCCTCCGCGATCCCGAGCGTGATGGTGGCCGTGACCGCCCCGCCATGCAGGTCCTCCTTCACTGGCGTCTGGCACAAGGGGCAGGACAAGGAGATCGTGCTAACATTCTTTACTTTCATAGAGGAAGACCAGGGACGGTACGCCCGTAAGCGGGAAGAGCTGCGAACAGCAAGGTAGAAGCACCGGAGAAAGGTCTTCAAAGTGATATACAAATACCATTTCGACTCCGAGGGCAAGGAAGAGCTCCAGAAGCAGCTGCAGGGGCTCCGGGAACCCGAGGTGAAGCGAGACGTGTGTCATGTCGTGCCAGAGCGCACCCAAGTGGCAGACATCCTCATCGACATGGACGACGACCTTCCCCAGAAAGAGATTGTGCAAAGAATGGTCGAGGCATTGGGTTGCCTACGCCTCTGTGTGCGAGTCAGTCCAGCGCAACCAACTGAAACCTAAGCGGCCAGCGACCGGCAGCTCCAGTGCGACACGCTCCGCTCTCCCTGCAGCACCGTCACCACCTCAGCCACCCATAATGGATGTTGTGCAGCAACTCGTCCCTGCCTTACCAGAAAGCCTGACCGGCTTCACCCACAAGCTAGCGCTTCCTCAAATTCCAACCCCCCCATCGGGCAGCCGCCAAAGGGGATGTGCACGTTGATCGCGAAACCACCAGACCCTGGTCTACCTCACGACCAGTCCATTGCCAGAAACCAATGCCCTCTTGTATCCGTCGCTACTGATGTCGCTCGAACAAAACAGCAACCGGTGACGCTTGGCAAGACAGACTCATGTGTCTTCTGCAGGAAGCGATACGCTCGCCTTGTACTGCTATGGGATCACCTAGAGAAGCACCTGAAGCAGGTGCATGGTGGCCCGATACGGTATCCTCGGCCCGAATGTCGATTCGAAGGGGTCTTACTGGAGGACATTTGTGCAATTCAAGGCCCATGCTGCCCGCCTTTATGATTCTACGTTTCGGAAGATCAAGATCGTCCACTCGCGGCGTCGGGATCCGCCGGGTTGTGCTCATGCGTCCCTGACACCGGGAGTTCATTTCATTCAAGCAAGCGAGAGCCAGTCATATCCGCGACGCCCGAGAATCATCATTGCGTCGCGGTCCTTGGACAAAAGTGCCAAATAGCTGTTCCTTCTCATCTCCTGCTGTCTTAGTTGCTACAAATACATTATTCGTGAGCCATTTTCCGGGACCTGTATTAGTGATTGGCGATGGCCAGGCGCTGAATAACAGAACTTCAGAGGAATTCAAAGTGGTTGGTCAACCTCAGCATCTTTTATGGTACTATGTCGAAAGTACGGTCGGCGACGTTGATACAAAATATCAGGCCTTTGGCACATGGAGCTGCAACGGGAGCATCATGATAGGAGCTTTATCCGGTTCGAGTTGATCTACCAATGTTCTGATTCCACGCCTTAACCCGTGATTGCATCGTGCATATCTTCCTCTTTGGCAACCGGATGACTGGTTGTTACGCCGGCTTCATGATCTTCGACAACGTCCGTAGTGTATGACAGGTCGTGGATACATTTCGAGCTACATCTTTTAGCTTGTTGGCCTCTGACCATACCTCACAGCTGTGCTCCTGGTCTCGGACAGGACGTCTTGCATTGGCACTAGTCCCTAGGGTTGTTCATCGTCGTACCGGGTGGCCACATGTGCCGTTGGGACTGGCCTCAGCTGCTGCCTATTTCAAGGCACCGGAGTTGGATAGGGCCGTTGTTGCATATTCCCACTTTTGGTCCTAAAACGCCTTTCCAGAACTCTCAAGAGATTATCAGTGTTTGAAGATTTCAACGACCATATTACTGCAGCTGGACAATCCCCAGTTACCCAGACACCTGCAAGTGGACGTCGCCCGCACCGTACATCCCAGCATTGGTGCGGCCTTTGCCTCTAGAAGCCCCGACCTGGAACAAGTTTCCGTCTCATACATGGTCAATGCGGAGGGTTTCTTTCAAGCTTGCATGCGAATCTGGACTCGACAGCACCTGCAGTCTCTGGCACCAGCATCGTAGCTCCTACAATGCATGGGAAGCCGCCAGAAGGCCTGTGCTCTGCTATGTAGTGCTGGCGTTGCTGCCCTGCATAAGCGCAGAGTGCATACTTTGGTGCTCTGGAATGGCACGGGGGGATGCCTCTGCATTTATATTCCATACGGATAGAGACTACATATTACTTGGCGCGGTACACGGAACTAGAGCTAAGCCCTCGGTGTGGCCAAAGTATGGCAACGCGTTGCCTATAAGTTCCAATTGTTTGAAATCGGGACCGACAACGTTACTGGGTCCCATGGCGATGCCATCCATCATTTGGACTTGCCCTGCCGACATGAGTAGCTTCCCCCATCAAATGGATTTATTCTGCCATTACGGCGGCTGGAGCATAGGTCGCCAGTTCGAGTAAGTAAAGATTGATGGACTGGCTGCATGGTGACGTATCGATGCCAGTATATGGGACTAGATTGAAGGCATGCACATACTGTTAGCGAGAAGCATGAAGCTGCAAGGAAGTCGTCCGGCAACGAGTCACGTTGCTTGAGCCAGAGTGCTCGGATGTTGGTGCTCAGGGAGCCACGCCCATGGAGGGAGAGTAAGATAGGCGTGGACTATGACGGCCCGGGTTTATCTCGCAGCAATCATGAAGACGCATTCCCGCAGAGGAGAAGGCGCCTGTCCAGCCAGCCCCCTTCCAGCGCGCGGTGCAAGACGCACAAACGCGGGGAAGGCCAACAAAGACTCGTGGGAGTGGGAAGCGAGTGGCTGGAGGACAATTGCTGCATGCTACGTTGGTGCCTCGATGCTCTCAGCTGCCAACCCAGAGTAAAAGTTGGCAGTGAAGCGGCGGCAGGCCGGCGGAATGAGAAATGCGTGATGAGAGACAGACAGAGACTGAAGGCATGGAAAAATTTGTCTGCAGACAACCAGATTGAGAAATTGGCAGCGATAAGATAAGAGAGCGGTGGGGTGGTGCAAAACAACAACAAAAACGCGGGGTGAGAGGTGGGGCGGGGGGCCATTTCTACTCTCCACACACAGCCCACCTTTCTCTCTTCTCTCACTCTCACACATAAATCACCTCTCTTCGAACTTCCACCACAAGACATTTCGACGAGCTCTACTAGCCTGAACTGGTCACTTTGCTGGGCCGTCCACAGCCTCAGCGTCAACGCGTCAACTCCCCCGCTTCCGGCCCTGACGGCCAACAGCCTGCAAATCGTCAACATGGACCTCATGTCAGGAACCTTCATCGTTGAACTGCTCAAGGTGCAGCACACCAACTTCGCCAACACGTACAAGGCGCACGGCGCCGCAGTCGAGACCTTCTGGCGTTCCCTTGATTCCCGGCAACGAGCCAAATGCCTCCTCCAAGTCGAGCAACAAGTCGAGCAGCAAGGCAGTGGGGAGCTCGCGGGCGGCACTCAGACAACCGGCTTCGGGAAATTGCTGCCTGAGAGCGATGTGCGTGCCTTCACAAAGGCCGGATCAGACTACCTTCTTGAAAATTTCAAACACCGGGCCACAACCTCTCTCTTCTACCAACATTGCCATGGCCTCAATGGCCAGCTCGGAGACTATCACGTCGCACTCCAACTCTTGCGAAAGCATGGGACTCCTCCCGTCCACCCAACATCCAAGGACTGCTAGAACCGTTTCCTGGATGGCGATAGATACGGAGAGGTCGTTATCGTTCCGCCTGGCACTGAAGAAGCCGAGACCTTGACCGCCCTCGGCCCAACCGTCAACTTTGCCCCTTGGTCGATTGGCAACTTGATTCTGCTGAAGCAGCTTAGCCTGTTGCAGACGCTCAAAGCCATTTTCAACAATCTTCTGCATGAGTCTTCACGACCCACATATGGACAGCAGCTCTCCCAAAGCCCCGACAAGGCGGCGAGTGCTATTCCATCTGAACCGACAATCCAAGCTCCTCCTGCCAAGATGTCTCTGTCAAGCCTGGTGGCCTTTGCTCGCGACCAAAGAGACTCGCTTGGCGAGAACTTGGACTTATTCTGCACGGAGCCTCTTGTGCTCGCCTATTATGTCAACGCCTGCCTCCGTTGCCAGCCGAAGGCTGTCGCTGACGGGCAAAGCCATCCGGAGTCCGCCAAGACCGATGCCGACATCTGTGCTGCTTTTTATCGGGCAGTCCACATTGCCAATCGAAGCGCTGCCATTTGGAACTACATCACACATCTACTCGAGCTGCTCGAAAGTTGCACTGCGGATGAGGCCTTCCGGGGAACCCTTCTACAAGAAATATCCAACGCCTGTCATGTCGAATACAGCCGTGCGCAGGCTCTCGTCCGGCAGTACATCCAGACGACCATCGGAGTGCACTGCTTCGAGACAGCGTCCAAGGCTTATGATGAAGCGGGCAACCCACGTATCAGCATGAGAGGCAAACCCGAAGACTTGGCCCCGTTTGACTCACAGCTCCGCTGCATACTGCGTCTCTGCCAGCCTGAGACCAATGCATCCAAGGCCGCCCAGTGGAAAGACGAGCTGGTTGCCCTTCATCAAGCTCACCGCTCGGAGCGAGAGAGATTAAGCATGAGGGAATCTGAGGCGCTCTGGGGCCTTTTCGCCATCATCCAGCTCATCCAGGATTTATCATCGACGATCTCAATGCCCTCCTTCTCTCGCAGGAAGAGACGAGCATTCGTCTCAAAGTCACGAAAGCTAGAAGTTGAGCTGGACCAAATCGGAAAGCAGATCAAACCGCGAGAGACGCTGCTCCTCTTGAACAAACTTCGCGAGACCACAGCGTCTGTACAGGCTTTGGTAAAGCTCGACGAAATAGTCGCCGAGAAGGCTGGCGCCAAGATGAGCCTTCTCTACCAGAATCTGGTCGATGAATGCCTTTCTAATATCCGAAAACAGCACCTGCAGGCAGAGTCTGAAGCTAAGCAGGAGAACGAAGCCGAATGGGTACCGTTTCCAGCATCCGCTCAGCAGTCACCCAAGAGGCAAATCGAGCCCCAGAGACGGAGACAGAAGACGAAAACGCGCCCAGCGCATTCATCCGCCTTGGGAACTGCGCCGCCTGCGGAGCCCCCCGTTCCGCAGCCAGCCGCCGCGGCGCCACAGACCCTTACCGTAAGCCTATCGACCGCTGCAGTTTTTCTCACACTGTTTAAAAAGTCGCAGGCTCGAGGCTCGGTGAGCTGGGTGGCATTCGAAGCGGCCATGGTAGACGTGGGATTCTCTATCGAGCCCAACTGCGGTTCAATCTACGTCTTCACGCCTCCCAAGATCCTGGCCGTGCAGAGGCCGTTTTCTTTTCACCGACCGCACGATTCCCATCTCGAACGACCCATGCTCCACGTCCTTACTCGGCGATTGAAGAGGGTCTATGATTGGAACAAAGATACGTTCAAGACGGCCTGAGTTGCAGGCGTTGCTACACGCGATCCTTTGGCTAACCACCTAGTCTGGATACACGACGTCAAGGCTCATGCTGTACGAGTTTGTTGCATATGCGAGCACGCCAGCTCAGGCGGTGCGACATGGCTGACAAGCCCGGTTTGTTCTTCTACTTTTCCTTCTCTTGTTCTTTTCCTCCCTCTGTTCTTGTTGCAGCAAAACATGTGCTAGCAGCTACTGCCGATTTCCCCGTCTCATCTGCCTCTGAAGGCAGAACATGTGCTGGCAGCTTCTGCCAATCTGCGATCTCTTGTCTCTTTGAAAACAGGACATGTGCTGGCAGCTCCTGCAAAATTTCACGCCTTTCTTTCTCTCTATGAAAACACAACAGGCGCTGCCAGCTTCTGCCAGTTTTCCCTCTTTCCTCTCTGAAAGCAAAACCTGTGCCGACAGCTTCTGCCACCAGAGCTGCACAGAATGTTGCCAGCGAGTACTTCGTCCCTCACGTCGAGTTTCCGTCTTTCTTCACTTTGGCTTTTCCCGTGAATAGTCTGGCAGATGTGGTGGACAGAAGGGAGCTTTCATCCGCGCCAAGGATCCTACACGCGCTGGGGACGCAAAGCGCAATCCATGTACACAGCATGTATCAAGTACAATTGATTTTTGTCCTCATCATCGTGCCTTGACATGTCGTGGAAGAGGGGTGCCGTCATGATTTCTCCCCCTTTGCCGGTTCAAGAAAGGAAGCGGGGGAAAAGAACGCTTTCCCCAATGAGACGGTGTCATTGGAATCAAACCTTGACCAGCGGCGTTGCTCCCCAAAAGAAGGGGTTTGCGCCTTGTCCAATGGCCAACACTGGGCAGCCTCTGCATGCCGATCCTGGTTCGCCCCCCCCCGCCCCCTCCCCCCCGGGGGGTTCGGATCGGTGGGAAAGATGGGTCGGAGCAAGGGTCCACCTAACACGACATGGGCGCCAGTCTGCTCATGTGTTGCGTCAAAAAGGCCAAAAGGAACGCGCCCCCCTGGGGAGCCTGTTTCCGAGTCTAAGCCATGTATTGTTAAGTCGTGAAATCAAGTTTGGAGTCGATATTTCAAGAGGCCCATGGAAACAGCAAAGCACCCATTGCCGGTGCTTTCAAGACGAAAAAAGCTGGGAGACGTAATCATGTGAATTGTGTGAACAAAGTATGTACCGAGAAGAAGGATGAAAATAATAGCAGGCCATTCACAACCAAACTCCCTGTGCTTCATGCTCCAGACAACGCGTGTCCATCAGATAATATCCAATCTCAAAGTCCATGCCCGCAAGCCTTTCCTCTCTCCACTCTGAACTAGGTACGCCATCTCTTTCACATCCTGTAAACCTTCGCATATCGTATCCAATGGCACGCTAGGCCAGGGCCAAAAAATTTACCAAAAACCAAAAACCAAAAAAACCCAGCGCTCAGGCGGGGAAAAGGAGAATAAAAAGGCGAAAAGACTCGAAGCCTCACTCGTCAGAACCGTGAGCATTGTTGTTGTTGCCCACTAGATTAGGCGAGTCCTTGAGGTCGCCAGTGATTTGGTCCTTGGTCGCCGTCTCCTTGAGGTGCTTGGTGACGTCGGCCACGCCCGTGACGTGGTCAACGGATATGGCGGTCAAGGCAAGGCCGACGACGTGCGGCGTCGCCATGGAAGTGCCCGAGATGGTGTTGGTGTCGGTGTTGTTGCGGATCCAGGCAGAGGTGATTTTGGAACCGGGGCCGAAGATGTCCACGACTGGACCGTAGTTGGAGTAATCGGCCATCGTCCAGTTTACGCCGATGGCACCGACCGTGATGGCGCTGGGGGCCGAAGCTGGAGATACGTCGCTGGCATCCTCGCCCTCGTTTCCGGCCGCGATGACGGATATGACACCAGACTCGGAGGCCGTCTCAACCGCTAGGTTGAAGAGGGCAGAATAACTGCCTCCTAGGGACATGTTGATGACAGCTGTCTCGGTTCGTCTCTTGTCGACAATGTGGTTGCAGGCCCAATTGAAGCCGCCCAGGATTATGGACGTGGCCGAGCGGCGGCCCTGGAAGACCTTGACAGAGAGGATCTTGGTCTTCTTGGCCACACCGTACGTTTTCCCGCCGATGGTGCCGGCGACGTGCGTGCCGTGGCCAAAGGTATCCGCCGTCTCGTTCTCAAAAGCCGTGTAGGCGACCTCGGCGCGGCCCTCAAACTCCTGGTGTGAGATGAGGACGCCACTGTCCACAACGTAGGCATAGGTGCCCTCGCCAGCGTTGGCGTTGTAGACGTAATTGGCAGATCCTAGCTTGCGGTGCGAAATGGCTCCCAGACCCCAGGTAGAGTTGCGCTGGGTAGACAGATGCCTTTTTTCCAGAGTCACTGTCTTCTCGCCTCGGGCAGTCCGAGGCTCAATATGGTTCTCCTGAATAAAAGCTAGCTCCCACTCCCTGTCTTGTTCCACCACGGCGACCTATCTTCATGTCAGCCATGCTTTTGTTGGTCAGGAATCCGGGGAGTTTCCCGCCCCGAGAGAGGGGGCAAGCGGGAATCAAGCTACTCACATCGGGATTCTCTCGAATCGCGGCGATTGTTGCGTCGTCAAAGTGGCCGGCATAACCACGGAAGTTAGAACTGCCCGAGTATGTCTTCTCGACGCCCTGAAACTGCTGGGCGCTCAGACCGCGCTTGTGGACGCCGTCAACCCAATCCAGATGGGTGTCGAGGTCGCGAGTCTTCAGGCCAGGCTTCAGGGCAATGATGTACTTTCCCTTGATAGGGGTGCTCTGCTGGCTAGTAGCTACCGATTGGCCTTTCGCCGCCACCATGGGGACCGCAAGGACAGAGGAGAAGAGGGCCGCCGCCACCACGGCCAAGTGCTTGAGGTTGACCATTGTGAAAGCGAAGAAACTCAAGCAGAAGTGACAAGAAGAAGATCAGACAGGAGATAAAAAGGCTAAGAAAGCAAGGGGAGAGTGCTGGAGCCGAGTTGAAAGAGAATTTTGTGCCCGGGCACTGGCGATGCTTTATACTTGACGTGTTTGACGATCCGGGAGAGTAACATCCTAGACATGGCCTCTTTTCTCAGCCGTAGAAGCCGGAGTATGGGTTTACCAGGATGATGGTTGTCAACGGAGGTTCGCTCTCGATGAGAGGGGAATCGAAAGGGAGGGGCGGGTGGAGGGAGTGCATGGAATAAAGCAGCTTCCTTATCCAGCGGCACGCGAGCTACCGCAGAGTGGGCATAATGACAGGGCGATGATATGTCGGTGCAGAAATGGAAGGAGAGCAAACGCATCCAAATGGCAACCAGGGGTAAGCGTGTAAGTCGGGTCGGTTGATGAGGCTACTGGCAGATGGGCCTTGGATAGCGGCCCCCGCAGCCAGGCTTGGAGACATACATGCAGGTTGTGGGAGCGGGCATCGCGGCTCGTACTGTTCTGGAGGACGTCGACTAGGTGCATAGGCAATGCAGCTCGACTTGTCACGTTGTCCGCGCTTCGACCGACAACGTAGGTGACCAGACTGGCTTGGCAGGCTGTCGGGAGCGAATGAAGCCACAGTCCCATGGCGGGATGAAAAGGTGGACGCCACGTCCAGGGGGGGGACCAGAGTCTGAAGACGCATTGGAGAAGCGAGGTCCAAGCAAGGGAGTGCCCGGCCCGGATCGGCGGTAAACTAAACAAGTCAATCTCCAGGAACCCACGTGTGGACCGTCTCGTATCAAAGCCGGAGGGCTGGCCGAAAAGGAAGTGGGGATGTGAGCTCCCTGGAAGGGGGCCATGACGAGCAAAGTCAGCCAATGCCAGCCCACCACTATCCGATCGCAAGAGCGCTTGTGCACAACGCCATCACAGACTCGGCCTCCAGCCGCCCAGGCACGCCTGTGGCTGCTGCTTGCATGCCAATGCCGCAACGACGGGAAGGGCGCCAAGGTTTTGTGCCTGTCTGCGATGGCGCACGCTCAGTCAACGGGCAGAGCCCAAGCCATAGGCGCCGAGCCGACTCGTCGCCGTTTGGCGGCGGTCTCAGTATGATTAGGGCGGGCTTGACGGGCGGAACCTGGCGGAAGCCGGAGGACGAAAAAGACAAACCAGCTCCGGCCGGGATGCAAGGCTCACGAACCGGCGCCACAGGCCTTTACAGAAGTCACCTCGGGTCGAAGCCGTCCCAAAGACCCGGGGGATCAAGGGGGCCAAGGAGACTGAGCGTCCGTCCGACAATCGGCATTGCGAGCCCTCGGGAACCACGAGACCCCTGTGGTCGTGCTTTGGACGGACGGGCTGCAGCGATGAATGACCGGTCGATGTTGCTAGACAAGTGGCCGGGAGATGAACGAAGCATCGGGTAAATAGCCACAGGATGCATGGGACAGCTGTCAGGGCCGAGGCCATTCGTGACAGTGGCCTGTGGCTGATCAAGTGGCCGTCGTCGGGCTGGTGAGAACCACGGATCCTTGCCGTGTCAGCCGTGCCAAGTACGCAGCAAAGGGCTTCGTACATGTGAATGCATGTAAGTTGCATACATATGCACATTTACCTTCCAATAAGGGAGTCTTCACCTCAGGCAGCGAGACGTGATGGCAGAAGCAGAAGCACAAGAGGAGAAAGGGGGGCTTCGGCTGCGGATGAGCCATCCCGCGGCGATGGCGTTTTCTCGACGTCGGAGGCGAGATTTCCAGGGAGCGGGCGCACCGTTTCTCGATGAGACGCTCGTTTAGGAAGGCTGGCAAATCGCGAGATCGAGGTTTGCATGGCGTGATGAGTCGAAGGCAAGGCGGAGATGGTTGTTTCTCGTTCTTTTTTTGGAGGTTTATTTTATTTTATTAGGTGCTTGGTTGTATTGTCCAGGGATGATATCAGCCAAGTCGCCCCCCCGAAGGAGACACGGGTCGCGCTACCTAAGCGTGCTAAGCACCTGCCACAGCCTGTATTTACAGTGCATGTACAGTATCCAGATACCTAAGCGAGGGCGAGATGAGCATGTACTGTACTTTGTATCGGAGCTTTTCTTTGCCCCTCTCCACTTGTCCCCTCTCCCTCTCCAACGAACCTCTTCTTCTCCATACCAGCCCCGCACCATGGAGAGGGCATCCATCCAGTTTCCCCATCCATCCGTCTCCTGCTGCAAACCGTCGGCAGGCAACTCGACCCTCGATGCAACCGACTCGGTGTTGCGCTGCAGACGCCCTGCGAATGCACAATGCACATGGCGACAAGATGCCGCGACCACATGACGTGCGCGCCGGGCTCGACAATGAATACACCCCCTGCCACCACCCCGCCGTCGCCATCGTCACCGACTCTTACCGCTCGTCCCCGGCGCCGACCAAGGACACAAGCCACGATAGGCAGCCGGCTAATGACCCACGCTGCTACCTTGCCATTGTTTCCAGCATCGGGAGCAAAATGGGCGCGTCTTCACCACCGCCAACACGTGCCCTTAGACGCTGGACTCCAACATTAGCCCTCCCACCATCGCCAGTTTCCCCTCATCTGGAGTCCCAACCGTCTTCTCCAAATTGATTGTTCTGCGTCTTGCTCCGCATCGCGGCTCCCGCTCAGTCTGCCCCTTGTCTCGGCTACCTTTCCATCTACGGCGCCATGGCAGTCGAATAGCGACCTACCCAAATGCGAAGGTCCGTTACCAGGCATCGCCCTAAGAACCACCCTGCCTGCTCTTCCCAACGTTGCATTGCTCGCAATCGATGGAGACTTCAGACGCGTCCGGGACTCGCCGGGCGACATCCCAACCGCAGCACTAGTGTTTGCCGAAACAGAGGCATGCAAAGTGAGGAAACAAGGGACGGAAACTGCGTGCTGTCGGCTCTTGCTCAACTACATTGCGCATGACAGATATTCACCCCATAACCCTGACCGGCCTTGTCGTTAGAGCCGTGGCTCCACGCTGCGACGAGACGCACCGAAATACCGAAGCGTCCTCGCAGGGATAGCCCTATCGCTGCAGGCCCTCGGCCATGTCGGAGGCGCCGAGAAACTAAGCCAGTCACTTTACGAGTCTATCAACATCACCATCATCTCGGATCCCTTGCTACCGACTTGCCCGTTTGAGAAGGTAGGCCGCGGCCCTTTCAGACTTCCAATGGTCCGAAACTTGTTTCTGCTGGCCCAGCTCGCTCGGCTCGTGCAAACCCAGAGGGCCCAGGCTTGACGAGCTCCCGTGCCTCGTGACCTTTTTCGTACGAGGCCATCCTTCAGTCTAGGCCTGAGGGAGATCCGGGTGCCTGACGCCCTTCGGTTCATCCGATCACTGTCAAATTGCCGTTCACACCGTGACTGAAGGTGCAGTATGCCATCGCACCCAAGCGCCCCGCTCCCCGACCTGCGGCCCAGCTTCCGTCATCAACCTGCTGCTTTTAGCGATGCAGACGACCGGAGCTCTCGAGTCGAAAAGGTTGTTCTCGCCGCGTTTTATACCAGCACCCCCGTTCTTATCTCGCATCGTCCTTTCTCATGTGCACAGCCTCGCATCTCCGATCGAAATGCCTCTCACCTTGTCGACCACATGCCAGGCGCCCCGCAGACTGCCTAGGCCACTGCTGACGAGGTGAAATTATGCTCCGCGATAACAGCCTGCAACTCACGCCCCCTCGCTTATCTCGCTCCGTGCCTGGTGACGTAGCGCAGCCTCTGGGCAGTCTTGCGATGCGTGTGTGGTATGTAGGAAGTACAGCACAAAGCGCATACGACAGGGGTGAATACCTACGTCCGCGGGACAATATGGACCGAAAGACCGGACCCTCCGCTGCCTCTCTTTCCCGGGCTACCTTGAGTCTCCCGCTGCTTCTTCAGTCATGCTTGGGAGACAAGACTGACGATAAAATATGCCGGGCTTTTGTCTCGTTCAGAGCTTGCTGCTGTGGGGTCGGATGACACGGAATGTTCTTGCAAGACAGGCTGAGAATCAAGTGATGCTGCCAAACTGAGCATCGACCAAAGATACTTGGGTCTGGTGAAGAGCTCTCCCCAGACTTGTCAATACAACACAAGCGGTCGAGATATGCAGTCACTCTATCACGCCCCGAGATCTAGTGGCCGTGTCAACCCTGGTTGAGGCCGACCACGAACCAATCAGGAGACGTTGGGCATCGAGTGTCTGTTTTCGAGCCGCCGTTGGGAGAGAGAAGCTATGCGTCGACCGCCGCGGGCCGGAATAGTCACACGGCCTGCCTGTCCCGGTTTGCTTTCGCAAGGCACAGGCAAAATTGCATCAACCGTGCATCGCCGGAAGCCGACGCTTTGCAAACTGGGCTTATCCCGTCCCTCCAGATGAACACGGACACCACCCCGGCTTCCCTTGTTTTCCTCGTCTGCTTGGCGCTCTCCTGGCTGACCCTTGACTCCAGTGCCTGGATCATGAATAGATTGAACGGGTGTGCCGGTTCGGGAAGGTTGGCAGCAATTCGAGCCGCTCTGATTGGCCCGCCCGACGAGTCTCCTGCATTCGTGTTGTCTGCAAACCATCAGAAAGTGGCACATGTCCCCCAGACGTGCCTTCTGGAAGCAACCGCGTCGACGCTGTGCTATCGCATCCTGGTTGGGTGGAAGCAGCTGCAGAGAGGCGACTGCAGCGGTGCATCGGCTTATCAATGCCCATACGACTTCACATTGCTTCTTGACGACTACGATGTTTCCCAGAGAGATTGCGCCATACTCAGGCTAATCGTATTTGTAATGAGGGGTTTGGAGACGAAGCTGTGCAGCGGCAGCCCGCTGCTGATGGTCTCCCACGGAGTGACTGACCTTTAGAGGTATGAAAGCCGGCCCGCGGAGATGGCTATTCCAATGATACGGATGAACGACTCGGGCTCAAAGAAGAATCCAGATTGAGCACCGACAAGGAGTTGGCTCATCATCTTGGTTGCGCCGGTAAGGTCAACCCATCGCTGGAGACAACCATGGAGTGCGCGGGTCATCCGTCTCTTCACTCAGCATACGTGTCTCAAGGCAGCTGTGGATCACGCCATGAACTACTTACATCAAGCCATTATGCCCAGATGCTGCGTCTTCATGACCGTCTTCTTGGACGCGCCCCTGACCCCAATGATCACCGTCTCTCCGGGCACAATGTCAACCAAGTTGTCGTCAAACACGACCCCGTCGTCGTCACACTCGAGCGCGAGGCCCTTGACGGGCACCTCTGCGCTGACCCGCACCGTCTTTTCGTCGTCGCTCAGCTCGGCCTGGAGCTGCTTCGGCTTCTGCAGGTGCAAATACCTGAACGGCTCGGGCCAGTTAACGTAGCGGGCGACTTGAGCGCCGTCCTGCCGGTGCAGATAGGCCGCCACGACGGTGCGCGCCTCGAGGCCAGAGTTGCGGGTGGGCACCGGCACGTCCATGGCGAAAAGCTCGGTGGAGCGGTTGGCCGCGAGGAGCTTCCGGGACGAGACGGTGTGCGAGTACGTCTCCTTGCCCGTCTCGACGTCCCAGGCCTTGACGACGCAGTCGACCGTGACATCGTCGAGGCCGAGGTTTGACCCCCAAGCCTCGACCGTGACGCGCTTCTCCACGTCCACCCGGCTGTGCTTGCCCCTGGCGTGCGTCGTCTCGAGGCGCTTGATGCCGACGGAGAGGGGCATCATTTCACGCTTGACGGTGTAATACGCCGGCTTGGGCCGCAGGTAATAGTCGCAGATGGACCACGAGGTGACTGGCCAGCAGTCGTTGATCTGCCACACCAGCGCGCCGCTGCAGTACTCGCGCCCGGGGCCGCGCCACTCCCGTTTCCAGAGACGGTATGCAGAGCCAAGACACTCGGCCTGCATGAGCTGCGTGCAGTAGACAAAGTGCTCGATAGGGTCGGGCGCATAGCGAAAGTTCTCGGCGAGGTACAGAGCGATGCGGCGCTCGTGCCCGGCCGCCTTGTTGTGGAAATCGACGGTTGAGGATTGCGGGTAGCGGTCGGGATCGTCTTTGCCCTTGGGCAGAAAGGCCTCGTCGATGGTCTTGATGGAGGGGAAAGCCTCCATGCCAAACTCGGAGACGAAACGGCCGACGAGTTTGTCAAAGTCCTGCCACTTCTCCTGAGTCCCGTGCCAGACGTTCCACTGATGAATGTCTCCGACTGTCGGGTCTGTCGTGTTCCGGCCGCCCCACGGACAACCCGGCCGGTACGGGAGACTGGGAACGAGCTCCTTGCACACATCGGGCAGGATCTTCTCGTAGATGTACCTGGCGGGGAATTCCGACTTGAGCCAGTTTTCGGGGTTCATATCGTTGGGGTCGTAGTTGAGGCGCTCAGACTCTGCGTACTGGTAGTCCTCGTTGTTGCCAGCCCAGACAACAATCGAGGGATGATGCCGCAGCCGCTTGACATTCTCCCTGGCCTCCCGCTCGACGGATGCGAGGAATTCGGGATGCGCGGGGTAGTTGCCGCAGCCAAACATAAAGTCGTGCCAGACCAGGATGCCCATTTCGTCGCATGCGTCGTAAAAGGCCTGCTCCTCGTAGATGCCGCCGCCCCAGACGCGAATCATGAACTGGTTGCCCTCGGCGACGAGCCGGACCCAGTCATAGTACCTCTGCCGGGAGATGCGCGCGATGAAGCTGTCGGCAGGGATCCAGTTGCTGCCGCCACAAAAGATGGGGATGTTGTTGACCTGGAAGAAAAAGGAGGTCCCGGGCTGGTTTTGGACAGGCCGCTGGATGAGCTGTATCTTGCGCAGGCCGATGTTCTTGGACAGGCTGTCCAGCTCCTGGTCTCCGTCGAGCAAAGTGGCTGTGATGGTGTATAGGGGCTGCTTACCGTAACGGATGGGATACCAGAGCTCCGGGTTCTGGACCTTGAAGGTGGCAGAGACTGCGCGGTCGGTAGCATCCGTCGTTGCCGAGGCCACCTTGTTGCTCCCGAGACAAATGTCGAAGCGGACCTTGGACGCCCGGCCCTCGGTGGAGGCGTGGGTGATGACCATTGCGCTCTTGAGTGACTCGTCGACGTCGACGTCGACATGGAGATCGACGAGGCGGGAGTTGTAGATGACGAGATGGACAGGCCTCCAAGGGCCACAGGTAAGGAGGACCGGGCCCCAGTCCCAGCCCTATTCACGCAAGATGCAACGGTTACGAGAGATTCAAGCCAGGGCCAGGCAGACTCACCCAGTGATACTGCGCCTTTCGCACAGCAAGCCTCGAGACGTCGCCATTCCAGCAACCCCACTTGTGCTGAGGATGCTTGTCAACAACATCCCAGCCACGAAAGTAAGCGACGTCAAACGTGATGACGAGCTCATTGTCCCGGTCCCTTTCCAATGCGTCGGTCACATCCACCCTCTGAGGGGTAAACATGTTGTCCGTCTCGAGCACAGGCTTGCCGTTGAGCACGACCGATGCAAACGTGTCGAGCCCGTCAAAGGCGAGCTCTGCCTTGGCGCGGCCATGCATTTCGGGCGTGGGGAAGGTGGTCCGGTAGACCCATGGCTTCTCGCCGACCCACTGCACGTCGAGCTCATTCTTGCCGATGAAGGGGTCGGGGATGAGCTTGTGGTGGAGGAGGTCGAGGTGGATCTGTGTCGGGAACTGGCTGACGGGCCGGTAGGGACTGTCGTTGTTGTCTGCTTGCTTGAAGTGCCACTCTTGGTCAATGGGGATTATGCTGCAGGGAGTCATGGTGGTTGTTGGTTGTCGCCCGGGCTGGTGGTAAGTGGGGAGCAGCTATAGGACCTTGGCTGATGGAGGAGCCTCTGGGGAAGATAAACCAGACAGGTAGTTGCTCATCGAGAGCTCGCAGCTGAGGCTGTTTATTAGCTAGACTCGAGGGGCAGCGACGGGCCGACGACTGATTCGCAGGTCTCGGCTGCTCCCGCCCCTGCTGATCATGGTCACTTGATGGACGTGCGGGCTCGTAAGCGGAAGCAGAATACCACCCATGCGTGGCGTCGGCAGTTGAAGGTCAAAACGCCGTCGCTATCCCGACTCTGGATGCCGGACGTTGGATCGTCAAGCACCCCCATGTGACCCGCCCGCTGCGGGGAAGGGGCTCAGGCGGGACGACTCCACTGCAACCGCCAGCTAAGCCGCAAGTCTCCCAGATGCTGCTCCTGACGTGGACATGGTGGCTCGAAATTGTACGAATTGATCACGCTGGCAACGCAAGTCAAGTTGAACGCAAGAATGCCCGCCCTCTGTCATTAGTTCTGCCTCATCAGGTCGTCTCATCTCATTAATATCGAGGCATGCAACAACGTGGATCCCGCGGCCATATCCAGCAGCCAGTCGTGATCTATCCCAAACCTGCCAGTGAACCCAAGGAAGCCTCAAGCGCCAAAGACGTGACGAACCGCTCACTGAGAGATGAAGAAACATGAGAATCACATCAAAAAATTTCAACGCTCGCTCCGTTTGATACCGCCATGACCGCAGCTCACTGCTCGCAACCCGCAAAGAAGGAGCAAAAACAAGGGAAAATCAGCAGCAGTTCCCGCCGCGCCGACGGCTGGTCAAGGTAAAGACGTCTTCCCACTCTCGCAGTCCCCAGTTCTGCCCCCTGTTTTTCGCTCTCCGCCGCCTTCTGACGCTGCCCACGGGGTCGTCGACCGTCACCCCCGTCATCGAGCTTTTGATGCTACCACCGTCGCTCGTGTTCCAACCGCCACTGTCGCCGTACTGGATGCCGCTCATGGGGTCGTCCGGGTCAATGTCACCCAGCTCGATCTTGGTAAGGATCATCCGCGCCAGGCGGCCGAAAATCTCGTCCACGCCCTCGCCGCTCAGCGCGCTCGCCTCTGTCACCACGGGGATGCCTGCCTGGCTCGCCCATCTACTCGCGTCCGCCCGTGTGATTTCTCTTCCCTCGGGCGCCACCGTCGCTCTTTGCTGGTTCCCAGAGCCCATTATGGAGCCGCCACGGTCTCTGTCCGATGCCCCGCCCGTCGTGTTCATGGTCGACAAGGACATGGGACTGCCCGTCGCCCCCGCCTTAAGAGTCGAGGTCGAGCCCACGCTGCTCGGAGTCGCGGGCGGCACGCTCGTGTCGACGAGCGAGGCCGAGGCTAGATCCACCTTGTTCCCGACCAGCATGACGCTCAAGTTGGGCGAAGCCAGCGCCCGTGCGTCGTTGAGGAATGGTTGTAATGCTCGAAATGATGCGTGCGACGTGATGTCGTAGATGAGTATAGCACCCGCCGCGCCGCGGTAGTACGACCTCGAGACGGATCGGAATCGTTCGGTGCCAGCCGTATCCCAAAGCTGTCCTCTCGCATCAGCCCCGCAACTTTGTCCTGCCGTTTCGTCTGTGATGCATGTAGCAGTGGCTATGGATTCGGCGTACCTGAAGTTTGATGCGTTTCCGCCGCGCCCCGGTGCCGACCTTTATGATTTTGCTCGCAAACTCGACTCCGATGGTCTGTGACGACAGCACCCTCCACTCGCTCTTGAGGAAGCGATGCAACAGGCAAGACCTGGATTCCAAGTCAGCGTCTGCGGGTTCGTCGGCGCCGTGGACGCTGGACTCACTTTCCCGTGCCGCTGGGACCTAGCAGTATAATCTTGGCGAGATAGTCGTACATGCTTCCCAGCTCCTGAGGGCGCGTCAGCTGTGGCCTGGGTTCCATCAATGCCGAGCGGCTCGTACCTGATCGTGGGACATGGCTGTGCTGTCCTCGCTGGCGGCCGAAGATTGGCGAGGTCTCGTCATTGTGGTATCGAGCCGAGACGCGTGGACTGCGGTCCGAGCGTGCGATGCGTCTTTTCGGCCACTTGCGGGCGCCCAAGGATGATATTTGTATGATGAGCAGATGGCTGATGGTTGACACTCGGTAACGGATCATTCCGATCCTGATGCTCGTGACATACACACCCACGTCCTGGATGACTAAGCATGCTATGCGATAGCACAACTCAGGGGATGATGCATGGATCATGGGGCAATCCGGCACGCGTTCAAAGACCTAATCATGCAGACCTGGCTTGGCCCGAAAGGGAAGTTGGCCAATGGCTGCCGATTAAGCAGACAGCATTGTGTGTCTCCTATATTTAGCAGTGTCGCAAAAGGTATGTTCATCTATGCCGAGCTTTGTACATTGTACCTCTAACACGTGCCGAGGTCCGAGATGCCCTCCAATCCCAGCTGTCGCATCCTCCCTCCCAGCACCAATAACCGACGCAGAGCGAGCCATGAAGACGGAAAACAGGACCTTCATCGTTTCCGGCGGGTAAGCGCGCCATGCTGTTCTCCAAGATCCCTCTTCTAACGTCGCCTTGACAGGGCGTCGGGCCTGGGCAAGGCATGTGTCGAGGACCTGGTGAGGAGTGGAAGCACCAACGTCGCCATCCTCGACATGACTTCAGATGCCGGAGAGTCTCTTGCCGCCGACCTTGGTTCGTCGGCAAAGTTTTTTTCCTGCAATGTGTCGGATACCTCGAGCATTGCTCAGGCTGTCCAAGGTGCCGCCCACTGGGCTCAGCAGACGGCCAGACCTCTGGGCGGCGTTGTTTCTGCTGCCGGAATATCCCTACCGGCGACGGTACGCCCGCCATATCTGACTCTTCAGTGACGACACTGACATCTCAGATGCTCGATCGAAACGGCTCCGCCTTCAGCCTCGATGACTTTGACCTGGTCCTGGGCGTCAACCTGCGCGGCACCATCGACCTCGTGCGCCAGTCCGTCGAACAAATCGCCAAAGTCGACGCCGATGCCGACGGAGAGCGTGGCGTCGTCATCATGGTCGCAAGTTCGGCCGCATTCGACGGCCAAAAAGGCCAGCTCTCGTACTCGGCCAGCAAGGGGGCCGTCGCCAGTATGACCCTCCCCATGGCGAGGGACCTGGCCCGCTACGGCATCCGCTGCATCACGATAGCCCCGAGCTTGTTCGAGAGCAGGATGACGAGCATGATGTCTGCAAAAGTGCGCAGCAGCCTCGAGGCGACTTTCGAGTTCCCCAAGAGAGCTGGACGGCCGGACGAGTTTGCTCAGTTGGTGCGCCAGTCCATTGAGAACTCGATGCTAAATGGAACCGTCATCCGGCTTGACGGTGGCTCAAGGCCGAGCAAGATATAGGGCCTTGAGCCAGCCATGCCGAACTTGAGCATCAAATTGGCCGTCTGGCGCGATAAAGCCGTATATACATGCAAGGCCTCGGTCTGTCTCTGACCCGTCGTCCCAATCTTTCCGCAACGCAAATCTCCTATAGTAGGTAATCTAGCTGGCCCTGCCGCTATCTGGAGAGATCCAGCCATCTGGTCCGGAGATGGGGACTGTCCCGATGACAAGGGTCATCTCAAGCAATGGCTTGAGGTCACAATGGAAGAAGTAAGGGTCGCGCCAGTACCACTTTGAGAGCAACGAGTCGCAGCGCGTGCGCTTCTTCTCGCGCAAGCAGAGCTACCACGAGAACACCATGGCGGCCATGTCCGTGTCGTACGACCTGGCGCGAATTGTGTCGTACCAGTGCTTCTCCTATCCGCACGTCTCACACGTCACGTACGCCTACCGGCACAAGCACGCCGCGGAGTCGGAGGACGACTTCACCGCGCGGCTGCTGCGGGAACTGGAAGACGAATTTCTCAGAGTTGGGCCGGAGACGGTCGTTGCCTTCATGGCGCAGACTGTCATCGGCGCGATGTCGGGTGCGTGGCGCCGCCGCGGGGATACTTTAATGGCGTGCGGGCGCTGTGCGACAGGTACGGCATCCTACTGATCCTGGACGACATCGTGTGCGGCACGGACCGGACGGGAACCTTCTTTGCGTTTGAGCAGGAGGGCATTGACCCTGACATCGTTACCGGCGCAAAAGGCCTCGGAGGGGGATATGCGGCCATCGCAAGCATCTACGTCCATGGACGGATCATCGACACGCTCCGTCGGGGGTCCGATGGCTGTTGAGGGCGATGGAATTTGTCAGGGACCGCGACACCAGGGCGACGATTGATCCGGAAATCGGCTTCGGCGTCAAGGTCCAGCAGGCGGCGTTCCAGCGGGGCGTGGCATCAGCGGCGATCATGTCCTCCCGGCGCCGCCGTTTACGGAACGGAGGGCAGCTGGGGGTGGTGTGCAGGGTGCTGCGGGAGGCGGTTAAGTCTCAGGAGAGACTGTAAATGAGTTAGATTGGAGAAGTTGCTGATGATGGATGCTGGCATTTACATGCACAAGCTCATATCGCGTTGGGATTCGCAAGTTGTGACTCAAGAGGGGAGGTTGCGTTTAGACTAAGGAGCAACTGGCTTTCTTGAGTCTCGGTGTGGATCAAGATTATGAGACTAACTGGTTATTCTCCAGCCTCTAGGAGAGTAGTTTTTTTGTTCGGTCAAAGAGCCTGTGTTTGTCATAGACCGCGTTCTTCGTCATCTCCAGGACTGGGTTCGTCTTGGACCCGGGGCCTAACCTTCACAAGCCACGAACGAGGATTTGTGAGTCCTAGAACTCCAGTCTCATCGCCAAGCTCTATCTCAGTCCCGGAAACACGTATCTTGGGACTAAGAGAAACAAAAAGGGTAGCATTTACTTCGTACGTTCTGACATCTTTCTGCACACCGCTATGATTCACTATCCAGAAAAATGCGAATTCCAACATCCCGACACACACCAAGACCCATGTCGCCACCATCTCAGCAGCACCTAAGGTTTACTTCCGCTGATGAGCCCTCTTCCTGGGCGGCTTCTTTGCCCCCTTTGTCACATTCTCATTCAACGGCTCCAGGCTACGCCTGGTCACCCTTCTCGTCTTTGGCCTCGGCATATCATCTGTACCATTGCGCTTGTCGGCAGGTGACTTGGACTTGGCTTGTAGACGCCTGCTTCTCCTTCTCGGTCCTTCGGCCTTGGGCTCTGGCTCTTGCACTCGAGGTAGTACCCGCTCACCGGCCGAGTTCTCTTCCAAAGTGTCGTCGCTTGTGCGTCTTGCAATAGCTTCCTCAAGCAGCTGGTTGTTGCCCTGCACCGAATATGGGTCCGGCGCCTGCGGTGGTAGCTCAAACACATTGCCATTTGGGCCATGTGTGAAGAGCGGTGCGTGCTCCCCATCTTCGGTAGACTGCATGACCTCGTCTGCCGGTGTGCACTGCCCGGCAGGAGGGACACGGTCCCAATTGTCCACGGAACGAGGCGTTTTGGGTTCCGAAGGGGAGTGGCCCGCGTTGCCACTTTGTAGACCATGCGGGCCTTGGGCTTCGGGCTCTTTTTGACGCGACACGTCACGAAACGATGGTCCAGACGAGAAAGACGAGACTGGAACTGCGGAAGGACCGTGGCTGGTTATGGCGGCTGGATCACCATCAGAAGCTGTCGGCTCCTGCCCCATTTCCTCAGCAAGAATCTCGTGGAGGGGATGCTCATGCTTCCACGTTGTCCCAGGCAGGATACCCCACGTGCTTCTCCATATGGCTTGCTTCATCCAGAAGCTCCTTACTCTCTCGTACGCTTGTGTGTTGATGTCGGCGGGGTCCGAGGCACCATCCTCATCCAAGCCAGACTCGGCACGGATGCGTTGTCGTTCAAGGGCGAGCCGTGCGGTGAACTGATTCAAGGGTCGTGATGCCTCTCGCTCTCGCCGGCGCCTTGCAAGTCTGTCAGCGGCAAGCTGCAACTCCTTGGCGCTCTTGCGCCGCTGCCTTGGCGGCTGAAGAGAACCGAGCTGGAACGTGCCGTCGTCGAGTGTCTGATTAGTCTCGAGCTCAGACTCGACTTCAAGGGGTTCTTCATGCTTCCATGGCCCTACGGGATGGCTCTTCCACTTGCTATTCCAAATGCCCAGTTCCATCCACTGCTTCTTGACAATGCTCATGGAGTCCTCGGACAGCTCATCGTCGAAAACAAAGCCGCCGCCGCACAAGATTGGATTCGCAGCTTTTTTTGGCCCAATGAGGCGATCGTACTCGACGGTCACTTGCGCTTCGAACTGGTTCCGCGGCCAAGAGGCATGGCGATGCGCACCGATGTCTATTCCGCGCTGAAGACGATCGCGACGCTCCTGCTCCTCCTTCGGCGGCGGCGGGCTGGGCGACAGGGTCGTTCCTCCGGACTTACAAGTTCGGTAGACAGGCGGCGTGGATTCGAATCGACGTCTTGCGCTGTTGAGGCGGTCAGAATCCTCGGCCAAAGCCTGAAGCCGGCGGCCGGCTTTAAGTAGCTCAGTCCACGGGAGCGGGTCGGCCATGGATGTTTACTAACGGTCGCTTTATTCGTCGTCCGGCGGTGGCGAACAAAGGCGGAGGCGGAAAGGAAAACTCACGAGCACGCAGCCGTTGTCGTCCACCATGCCAGCCTGTCAAGTTGCAACCTGGCTTACGGGACGGGGTACCGGTACAGGCACAAGACCACAAGACCGGTAACCCGGTACGACTTCTACGGCGTGTTTCGCGCCGAGCTTCGGGCTGAAAGTAGCGGCCGGCGGCTAATTGCGGGGGGGACGGGATGGGCGCATCTGGTGGCGGGCCCGCCAACTTTCCCTCTTCCATCTCTCTAGTCTCTACTACGGTGACAACATGTCAATATCCACGACATATACATACTATTGCCGCCTTTGCTGGGCCACAAGCCCAGACGATACCTGCCAGCCGGCTTGTCCGTCATGCCCGACCATCTCTCCGACCTTCTCTCCGACCTTCTCTTGGCCTCCCACGTCTCCACACCAGTAAGTAATACGGCTGGTTCTCCAAGTTGTCAGCCGCCGTGTCAAGCGAGTTGTCCCCATTCCCTATTCTGCTTCTGCGGCCCGCCCGCTCCTCGTGTTTTCAATATTGCATGTAGCCGCCCGCAAAGAGCGTGAGGCGGCATCATCTGCTATGCGGATGCTGTACGTGGCACTGGTGTGCAAGGAGCCTCCTCGCGCACCCGATGTAACCAACCGACAGCGGCATTCATCAGGATTCATTGGCTATTGCGCCGTTGTTCTCGTACATCAGCCATTTTCGACGGGCGGCTGCAATGAATGATCCCTATGATTCGTTGCCTTTCTGCATGTGGGCGATGCTCCGAGGCCGAGGCCGCCTCTCCCTCGGGGGCTGAGAAGCTGAGCAAATCCCGTCAGAACGGCGCGTATGCTCATCGATAAAGGAGACCGCTTTCGCCCTTGACTGTGTGGATGCGAGCAGTCCATCATTCACCTCAGGTCCTCGCGTTACCTCTTGGTCTTCTTCTCCAGAGGTACATTCAACTGCCATGCCTGAGCTTCCATGCCATGAAGGCCCTCACCCCTGGGCCCTGTTCTCGCTCTTTGCGAGGAGCCCCTTGGCGGCAGATGCCGTGGCCCACCCAAGCAATAACCACCTCCGTTCAATCATCAATGGCCAAATGGTTCTCGATATCGGTCACGTCAAGTCCCCGGAAATGTCCGACGCTCTCGCCTCCCTAGGTCGAGAGGGTGATGTCTTGATTGACAGCCCAAAAATCTGTCGAAGACAAGCCTATTTTGACCTCGATCCGGACACCGATGCCGTCAGGTTGTGCGATACATCCACATACAGGACGACCCAAGTCTCTGGAAACAAATGCGTGCCCTTTTCAGACGACTTGAGAGGCATTCTGCGCCAAATCACAGTCAGCCCCAGAGTCAACACCCTCATCGGCATGGGCGGCCACCGACAGAACCTCTGTGTCTTCGAGCTGGTTTGGTATTACACAACCGAGTTGGATATCAAGAACTTCCTGCGCGAAAGGGCTCGCACCAAACTCATGGATAAGCCATCGGCTGCCCAAACCCAACATGAGCTTCCTCCCACCCAACCACACACGGGTGTGCTCACCAGAATACACGCCGGACCTAAACAGCCACCGATGAAATATAAGTACATTGCGAGACTCGGCGCTGGAACCTTTGGGGACGTGCACAAATAAAAAAAACTTGGACACCGGCGACCTGATGGCGGTCAAGGTCCTCTGGGCGCCTCCACGGAATTCAGGTAAATTCGACAAATTTTACTTGAAGCTGAAGCGGGAGGTGGAAACCATGGCTCACCTCCATCATGTGAGTAAATCAGTGCAGACTGAAATGCCCCTGTTACACGCCGTCCTGATTACCCTTCGCTGCTGGCTGGATATGCTTGGCCATCGGGTTTACTCCTGTCCATCACCGCCTGTTCCTCATCATTACCTGCTTTTTAACACGTTCATCTCCCCTGCCGAATCGACTAACTCGTACTCAGCCACACATTATCAATATGATTGCCTCAAAAGGCTGGGACAGTGAAGCTCCCATGATCTTCATGGGCCTCAAGGACGGAACCGTGACTCAACTGTTCGAAAGTGATCGTCCGCCTGATACGACCACTGCCTATCTCATCATCCACCATGTACTACAGGCACTAGACTACCTTGCGATAAAGAATCTTGTACACCGCGACGTGAAGCCTGACAATATTTTCTTCGACAAGATGGGTCAACGTGGCCAATTTTGCTTCGTCCTCAGCGATTTCGGCCTCAGCAACAACGCCATCCAGGCAGAGACCCCAGCGGGGAGCCCCTTGTTCATGGCACCAGAAATGCTCACTTCGAACGATCAGACATCCAAAGTTGACGTCTGGTCGCTCTTCGTCACGATGCTGTGGATCCTAGATATCGAAGGCTTTCGCAATGTTTCAACCGTATTGTCAGGCAAAGGGAAAACCGTTCAGCAATTCGTGTGTGAAATGTCTCAGTACCCTTCCATCTCGGGTATTAGCGAAATGGTGAGGGACAACCCGGTGGAGCGTGCCAGTGCCGCACACATGCTTGTCAAATGTTTCGATGGGGACGGACTCAGCACACCGAGACGGAAGATTAAGGCTCTACCAACTCCGACTCAGTCAGTAGCCGGCCAGTCGCAAGTCGTGGCGGCGTCAGCGGCAGGGTCACAATATAGCATGGCTGATCAGAGCCAACGACAGCCTGGGTACTCGGAAAAGATGGACTGGCTACCGTCGGTGGCCGCTGCTGTTCAGCCAGAAAGAGCAAACTTTACGGACAAATGCTGAAGGGGCCACCCCCCAGATTGATTTGATTGATTTGACAGCCTCGAGAACGGGGAGTGCTGTTCCTAGGACAGTGGGCCGGAGAGAGATGCGCCAGGCGTACGCATCGGCACCAGAGAGACCACGAGAAGTGGCCCCCGCGTCAACTAAGGGGGTGAAGAGGATTGCTGACCGGTTCAACAAATAGTCTCTTGTAGAAGGATTGCGATGTCTGGGCTATGAATCTGCCATTTTAGTTTGTGTTCGAGTTAAATGTGCGATCCACGCAGTACTAATGTAACTCTCTTATGTTCTCGAATATGCCATGACTCGAACGGCCACTCCTGATACGACGAGGAAGAGATTATAGTGCTATCGCTGCCCCCATATAGTCGAAAAACAAGGGCATACTTTAGGGGATTCAGCGTGAGCGCTACGTACAAAACCAAGCAAGTCGTAACCGGCCACTCGCTCGGCGGCGCAATAGCTACACACGCTTCTGCCCATCTTCGGTGTGGCGGGATACCTCTAGATGCCTACACCTGCGGCGCACCGCGCGTCAACGAAGGCTTCGCCAACTTTGCCTCGTTGCAACCCAACGGCACCACGTATCGTATAACGCACGGTGCGGACATATTGTGCCGCTGGTGCCGCTCTGGAGCTCTGGCTATGAAAATGCGCACCCGGAATACCGGATCGACGCGCTCGCTTCCGATGATGACCCTAGTGAGACGAGAATTTCCGTGTGTACATGGGTTCCGATCCCGGCGTGCAGCTTTGGCACTCGGGTTTCAACGTCATTGCCCACCTTCACTACTTTGAAAAGACTGATGGTTGCCAGACGCTTGAGCAGCAGAGTCAGCCAGCAGAGGAGTTCAAATCGGGAGACGAGCTCCTGGAATCGATTCGCAAGGGTCAGCCCGAGTTGAGTGAAGCAGACATCATCGGCTAGTCTGATTTGTTTGATAAATGCCTGCAGCCCAAGCCAACAGCACATGTCCTCATCAGTGCCAGCCAAGCCACCTGTTCCATCGCTCTCGACCTCATCCCATGCTTTGCTGCAGACATAGCACCTGTAAATACTCGACCCTCAAGAAGAGCGGCTTCTTCAGACCAGCCGCGCAGACCTTCCTCGTTCCCGGTGGCACTGCGTCTAGTCCGCAGACTTGGTCTCCTCGGCACGCTTCTCGGCGAGGTCTCCGAGCTTCTCCACGGCAGCGCCCAGCTTGCGGGGGTCGGCACCCTGGATGACGGCGTCTCCGTTGACAGCCACCTGCTTGCCGTCCTTCAAGAAGAGAAATGTGGGCATGGCGGTGATGTGGTAGGTTTGCGCGACACTGGCGACGTGGTCGACGTTAACCTTTGCGAACGCGAGGAATTGCGGCTTGGCGTGCTTGGCGGCCAGAGATTCAAAGACGGGTGCGATGGCCTTGCAGGGAGGGCACCAGTCTGCGTAAAAGTCGACGGCGACGTACGTCGTGTTTTGGAGCAGCGCCGTGAGCTCGTCGGCAGAGTTGATGTGGTGGATTGTGTCTGGAGCCATGTTCTTTTGGCTGCTGCCTGTGAGGGACTCGGATATCTTGCGGTGGTAGAGATTGAAGCTCTTCAGAAGATTCAGCCCGAGATGATGAGTCCTGCCTTTGAGCCACCTGACAAGCTATCTATCGAGAGGCAGGCTGGACGTGTGACGGATGGAATATTGAGCGCAAGTCAACTGGGCGGTCATGGACATTAATAATCCGCCACGTGATTACGGATATGGGGTGAATTGGTGCGAGTCTGGGCCACCTTCTCCAGCCATCCATCATCTATCCATGCACTCAGGCTTGCTGATCAACGCTAGGTACGGACCGCAGCAGTCAAGAAAAGCAAGGTTCTCAGCCGCGCCGAGTCCAGGCAGACAGTTGAAGACGGCCGGTTTTTCTTTTGCCCTCAGCCCCGGGGGATGCGATAGCCGATCGATAGCCGAGGCGAGCCAAGGCCGCAACGACCTCGTTCCGCACTGTTTGTGTACCCAAGAAGATGCACCGTGGCCGACTGATTGCATACGAGCTGCGCCGACGAATGACTGGCAGGTGACGTTTTCAGCGCAGCCAGAGCCAGTCAAGATCCAACGATTTCCAATACGAGATTCCGATCATTTGGACCGCTGGCGAATAGGCTCCATGAGACACGACTCGAGTATGGGGACGAGACGGTGTCTCGGGGCAAGGCGACGGCTCCTTTGTCCGTGGACCGTTGGGCTTAGTTATGTCTTTATACTATACGGTACATGCCATGTTTTCATACTGCAAGTACCATGTCGGTGCCCTTCTCGAATGCCAGACGGTTTCTGTGGGGATTGATCCATCGGACGCGTCTCATGACTCGTGCCGAGTTTGCGCGGTTCGGGGAAGGGGACCATGATCGGTGACTCAGCGGGGACTAGGCGAGAAAGGTACAACGGCGTCAGCAGCGCCGAGATAGACGAGTACCTTGCGTCTCTGGCGCCACAGGACCTGGCCCAAGTCCCCAGCTATCAACGGCTGGACCCCTCCCCCCCTCCCTTCCCCCTCATGCGCTAGGCAGGCTCCGCCTTCCCTAGTGCCACCCGGTGCTCCAACCCCCACACCTTTGCCTTCTCCTAGCCTTGATGGAGCAAACGGGCCTCTTTTTCCAATAACATGGGAGCCTTTTCCTGAGCGTGCCCGGACCATGGCGAGCCCTGATGCCACCTCGCCTTCGTCGCGCAGCATGTCGTCGGTCAAGACCAAGAAGAAGTCGGCCTTTAGCTGCGACCCGTGCCGGCGGCGCAAAGTAAGTTGCGAAAACCGGTGGCCGTTGGAGTGCAGGATGCTTCGGCCCGCTCACCAATCGCCCACCCCAGGTCAAGTGCGGTGGGGAGCAACCCGTCTGCCAGCGCTGCGCCGCCCGCAACGACCAGTGCATCTACAAGCTGTGAGCCGCCACACATCCCTCCTTGCACTTGGTCCTTACTGAGGCCCCCCATCACGCCTGCAGAAACCCGACATTGTCGTACACGCAGCGCCTCGAGGAGCGAATCAAGGAGCTCGAGGACCAGCTCGCCAGCGTGGCCCAGTCTCCCGGCTTCGCCTCTTCGTCGTCGCAGCCCAGCCCTCCCGTTTCCGACGCCCACGATGGGCCTTGGAAGCGCCCCTCTGACCAGCAGTCCATAGCGAGGAGCTTCCGCGGCCTCAAGATCGACGACAAGGGCGGCATCACCTACCATGGCACCACCAGCTTCTTCAACCTCGCGAGCGACCGTGGTCCTGCTGCCATCGTCGACCAGCTGGCTCCCAACGACACCGACGTCCAGCGACGAGAGCGTCTGGTCAGCAACGCCTGGCAGCAGCGTGCCTTGGAGACCTTGTCCCACACCCCCGTTAGTCCCTCCGCCGCGCATGAGGACCATTCACTGCGACTGACGGCGCCTGCGGGCTAGGAACCCTTTCAATATCTGCTCAACGTCCACTGGTGCTGGATCCAGCCCATGTTCAACTTTATCTACCGCCCAGCTTTTACACGTGCGCACCCTGTCCCCCCCGCGGCATGTTAAGCGAGACGAGGGGTGGATGACTGGTCGCGCTGACGAGCTTGGGCCACAGGTGATATACTGTCCCTTGGGCCGTATTATTCGCACACGCTCCTCAACGCCGTCATTTCGCATTCGATCCGATGGGGCCAGAGCGACCCATTGATCAAGAAGCATCTCGATGACTTGTACGGCGGCGGAGCCGTCTTCGCCGAGTACGCACGAACCAATGTCTTTGAAGAGCTTAGCCGGGGCGTCTGCACCATCCCGACGGTGCAGACGCTCCTCCTCCTCAGCGCCCAGGAATGTAGCCTTGGCAACTCAACCCAGGCCTGGACGTACAGCGGGCTGGCTTTCCGACTGATCGATCACCTCGGCATCTGCGTCGATGCCCGCCGCTTCCCGGGCTCTGTTCCCCTGACCGATGAAGAGCTCGAAATCCGCCACCGCATCTTCTGGAGCTGCTACTTTTGGGACAAGCTCATCAGCCTCTACTTAGGCCGCTCTCCGTCGCTGCAGCAATCAAGAATCTCGCCCCCGCAGATAATGTGTAAGGGCCCTTGTCTCCTTTTGTGCGCCGCCGTCTTGGCTGACGTCTTGGCTAGTCGATGATTCGGCCGAGGACGATATATGGGTCCCGTTCGGCGCACAACAGGTCGGGGTGACGTGGAAATACCCGCCGACAACTGCACACTCGGCCTCGTGTTTCATGAGCATGTGTCGCCTGTCGGTCATCTTCAACGAGATACTCATTCACATGTACGACCCGTTGTCGCAAAACACTGATGCCGAGGTGCAGGAGTGCCTCAGGTCGCAAGAGCCGGCCCTCCAGGAATGGTGGAACCAGCTACCGCCGCACCTCCGCATCGACCTGACGGCCCTCCCAACGCTGGCACCGCCGTCGCACATTGTGACGTTAAAGTCGGTTGCAAAGCCTGTCCCCATCCCTCGCAGTGCATCGCTGACACCCCAGCTGCAGCTGTCTCTACCACACGTTCAAGATTCTCCTGTACCGGCCCATGCTCACGGGTCGGGGCAAGCGCAACGACGATGACGACGACGACGACGACGACGACGACGACGGCGCCTGGCCCGCCAAGAGTCATCTGCTCGAGTGCGTGTCGTCGGCGACGGCCATCATCACCATTTTCGACCTCTTTTGCAGGACCTTCACCATGAACTACTGCGTCTTGTCTCTTGCCTACAGCGTCTACACGGCCGCGTCCGTCTTTCTGCTCCAGGTGCAGGCGAGCCCTGGCGAACAGCAGGCAATGCGGAAACTCGAATATTGTTGCCAATGCCTGTCGCAGGTCAAGAACATCAGTCCAGGTATGCACAGCCCCTTGCCAGGCGGCGCTCGTGGTCGACTGCTAACATGTATGCCACTTGCTCAGTCATCAACAGCGCTCTCAACCTCATCACAAACGCTTTGAATGGCATGGGCCTCGACATCCCATCACCACGCCAATCGCATCCCGTGCCTGCTTCTACACGATCTCAAGTCCCAGCTTCCGTGCCCATGTACCAGAACCCAGTCGATGTGTCCCGGCAGATGCCCCTTCCCTCGCACCCGCTGTTTCAGCCTGCCATGAACCACATTCTGGGCCCAGAATCCATGACGATGCATCCCGACGTGTTCGAGGCCATGTCGACCCTGGAGCCTTTGAGCGTGAGAGTCGGGGCGATTCAAGGATCTGAGAATCAATCGTCGCTGGGCTGAATGACTTTGTGGTGCGCGTCGATGAGGCGCCAACAACATTTCTTGATTATACTGTACGGTGATCGAGAGGATATATTCCAGACGAAATTGCTGAAACCTATCAGAAGTGCTCTTTACTCATGCGTCTCATTCAACACGGAGCCCCAGGGAGTGCGCAATGAGAGGACGGGTTGGCAAGGCAGGCTTGAAGCGCCACGCAAGGCTTGATTCGCCTCCCAGGACGACGTTGGGCGTGGCGAGCATTTCGGTATCTCTTGACATTTATCCACGCTTGAGAGCATGCGCCCGCCAAGCAATGGCAGCAGACGCCGGCAGTCGAGCAGCATGTTGGAGAGCACCATGGCGGAGCGCCAGTCGGAGATGGCGGGTGGAGCTGACAGGATGTACCAGCCCGTCGGTGGCTTGGAGGAAGAATGGCATGGTTTGCTTAGTGGAAGGCAGCGTAGAAGCGAGGAGAAATGCATGTGGTTTGGATAGGGCTGGGACCCGCTTGGACTGCCGATCAGGGAGGCTGCAGGGGGAGCTGCATGCATGCGGTGCCATCCATGAGTCGATACCGGTAGCATTATAGACCAGGCTTGGTCCCCGCTGGCATTCGGGCGGGTCAATGTGAAGTTGGTAGGCAAGGAGCTGTCAAGGGATCGGAACTTGGCCGAGGCGGCTCCCGGCCCTGGCAGCGGCTCCGGCAAAGGCAAGGATTGGACGAGGGCGGACCCGAGGGCACGGAACAAGGTCCATGTCGGCCAAGTTCCGTGGGAATGTGGAGGGACGGCAAGGCGAAGCGAGGGCGGACCTGTCTCGCCCACAGGCGGCCCGACGCATGCAGGGCAGGCTTGCCACGCGAGTCAAACGTGGTGTTTTTCGGCTTGCTGGGTTCGGATCCGGGTCTACATGCCGGACACAGGTGGGTTCAAGGCCGTGGCCCGGCGCCGACGAGACTGTCGCGGCCGAGACGGCGGAGATGCAAGGCGCAAGGCAGCAGTGGGATTTGAGATGCCCCTCTTTTCCCCCTTTCCTCTTTTCCTCTCTTCTCCTCTCTTTTCCTCTCTTTACTTCGACTCTTTTCTTTTTTCCCTCTCTTTTCCTCGGCTCCTTTCTTTTTCTTTCCTTTCCTGCCTGCCTGTTTCCCCTCACTGGGCAGCAGCGCGTGTGGGAGCAGCAGCAAGTCAGCACGGGAGGAGGCATTCTTCACGGCATAGCCACGGACAACGGGGCAATAATATGTACGAAGTAGCTTGTCTGGGCTTAAAAGGGGCGGCTGAGCGGTGCCATGCAGCGCCATGCATCGATAAGCTTGAATACAACTGTATGCGCAAGGCGGCTGGCTGCCTGGCCGTCCAGAAATATGTATAACAACATCAACAGCAAAGCGGGAGGGCGGAATTTGAGTTTGGCGGTCTACTCTTCCTTTCTTATCCCCCCCCCACACAAACAGCGACACGCGAGCTCTCACGACCATCACGACCCTCTTCCGCTCGGCTCACGGCCCATTGTTGGTCCCCGCATCCCATCCCGCGGCCGCGCCCGCAGTTAAAAAGAGACGGCCGTCCTGGCGAGGACTCTGCTCGCCGGGCCCTCTTTTTCCCACGTCCAACCTCGTCGACCTGGTGATTGGCATCAAACGGAAGAAAGTCGACCATGGCGAGGTTCAACCTGTACTACGCCATGAACGTCTTCATCATTGCCGGCGGGTCCATCCCCAAAGGTTTGTCCACTATGCCAAAGCCCGTTCAACCACCGACTGACTGACTGGTCGCAGGCTATGACGAGGGAGGCTTCGCCGCCGCCTCGGGCCTCGACTCGTTCCTCAACGACTTCCACCTGGCGCGCAGCGGGCGCTGGACCAGCGCCTCGTCGCCCGCCCAGCTGGCCTCGCGCCGCGCCGTCGTCACCTCGCTCGGCGTCCTGGGCGCCGCCGCCGGGGCCGTCGTCGCGTGCCTCATCACCGACCGCATCGGCCGCCTGCGCGCGTGGCAGGCCTTTGCCGTCCTGTGGATGACGGGCTTCTTCGCTGCCACCTTTGCCTCGGGCAACCTCGGCTTGTTGCTGTTTGCGCGCATCTGGGGCGGTGTTGGGGCCGGTGGGCTGACGGTTGTCGCGCCGCTCTATCTGGCCGAGATTGCGCGCACTTCTTCGAGGGGCATGATTGTTTCCGTTTACATGGTTATTCTCCTGTCGTTTCTCATGGTTGGTATGCATACCTTGGCCCTGGTTTGAAGACAGAGGATTCATCCCGGCCGGTGTGCTGACGCTTCGCACAGGCTTCTTCGTCAACTACGCCGTTGTCATGACGTTGCCCTCGACGCGTGAGCAGTACCGCGTGGTGCTGGCCGTCCCCCAGATCCCCGTCGGCCTCATGCTCATCGCCTCCATCCGCCTCAAAGACACCCCCCGCTGGCTGGCGTACAAGGGCAAAAAAAGTGAAGCGGCCGAGGCGCTGGCCCTCCTGCGAGGCTTGCACGAGAATGACCCCGAGGTAACAAGGGAGCTTCAAGAGATTCAAAGGCAGATCTCGGCCGAGGACCAGCTGCTGGGCGACGCGTCGACGTGGACCATTGTCAAGGAGGTGGCGACGGAGGCGAGCTACCGGCGCCGCTTCCTGCTGGGCGTGCTGATGCAGACGGTGGCGCAGTGGAGCGGCGGCAACGGCATCACCTACTACATACCCGAGATCTTTCGGCTGGCGGGCGTCACGAGCAAGCGGAACTCGCTGGTGACGGCGGGCTCGTACGGGGCCACCAAGCTCATCTTCACCGTCATCTTCACGTGGGGGCTCATCGACTACTTCGGGCGGCGGCGCTGCTTCATGACCGGGCTGGCGCTGCAGTTCATCACGCACGTCTACATGGCCATCTACATGGCGCTGTGGCGCGACTCGGGCAACCGCGCGGCGTCGGACGCGGCCGTGGCCTCGGTCTTTGTCTACGCCGTGGGCTGGTCCATTGGCCTCTGCACGGTGCAGTACCTGTACGGCACCGAGATCCTGCCGACGCGCGTGCGCAGCGTGTGCTACGCGACGAACATGGCCATCCACTGGCTCTACCAGTTCGCCGTCGTGTGCGTCACGCCCACCCTCTTCCGCCGCCTCAACGTCTGGGGCGCCTACGTCTTCTGGGCCTGCGTCTGCGCCGTCGGGCTCGTTGTCCTGGGCTTGTGGGCGCCCGAGACCAAGGGCGTGCCCTTGGAGCGCATGGGCGAGCTGTTCAAAGGGCCCTGGTACGAGGGCTGGCGCGCCAAAATTTCGCCGCCGAGCGGGGACGTCCCGCTGTCGGCCTTTCGGCGCGGGGAGAGAGCGTCATGACGGGCCGGGCTCGACGCAGGGTCCGACGGCGACGGAGAAGGGGGGCCGCGTGAGAAGGGGGGCCGCGTGCTGCCTCTGAAAAGGGAGCGAGGATGGCGTGGTAATGCTTCACTTTCTTATTTTTCAACTCCCTTACATTCCCTATATTCATCGTCCCCCGTCCCCTTTTTTTTGTTCTAGCAGTGGGCACTTGGAACCGGCGTGGCCAGAAGAGGTCGAGCACCAGAATGTTTTGGATATCCGGCGTTACGACGTCAATGAAGGAAAAAAGAGGGGTTTCATGGTGGGCACATACATGTATGTTTTGACAATACGTGCCATTCTTTCAAAATACGGAGCAGGCGAGTTGTTATGGCGCTTTTTGTCGGTGTGCCCAGGGCTTTGTTTGACTTGACGGATACTGCACTTCCATGGCTAAAACGCGCGAAACGGTAACTATGGATCCCGCATGCGAGCAACTCGTTGCCCTGGCAACGTAATCCACCTCCCCCAGGTTCCCCGCATAAGGACGGACGATGGGCTTCGCCGGCGGTTGCATTTGGCAGCACGCGCTATTGCCATGACAGACATGCATCAATGGCTCGACAGCATCGACGCCGATGGCAACCGTGACAGTGCCCGCCATCAGTGCCCGCCATCCCGAGGAGGCCTTTGTCGCCGGAGCCTGAAGGGGGCTGCCCTCGGATCCGTACCGTGACAACGCCTACGAAGAGGAGGAACCATGCAACTGGACGCCGCAGGCAGTACTCCCAATCCAAGCGTCCTGAGAGCAGCATCTTCGTCCCCCGCAAAGTCGTCGGCCAGTCAGGTCTCCCATCCAGCTCCCGAGGGTCGTCGTCGTCGCGACGCAGATTGCCCCGTCGTGACGTCGGCGAAGAGGCGCTCGTCCGGCGGCAGCTAAGCGGCCTTGACACACCCGGCCTTCCCTCGGCGATAATCACGGGATGCGCTGCTGAAGGCGCAGCATTAGCAGCGCAGCAGCTCAAGCGGTGCAAGGGCGTTCTCTCTCCGACGGCAGTCCAGGCTCACTTGGAAGGGTTTCGACGCGGCTTCGACCTTGATGCAGTGGGCAAACACATGCGCAGACACACACACACACACACACACACACACACCGCTCACGTCCCGCATCTCGAGCTTGGCCAAGTGTCGAGCGACGCTGGACTGGCCGGCCAGGACCTGTATGCCCTTCGCGGACGGCGTCCCCCGTGCAGCGGCGGATGGGCATGTTCGGCAGCCTCGGCGACATGGACACGGGGCTTCCGGCCCGGTATGTGGTCCTCGTCGAGATGCGCGCGAGCAGTGTCCGTCTTGAGCGTAGTCTCGCAGCGTCGCGGCGGGCGCGGGGTCGTTGTAGCAGCAGCCGAGACGAAGCCTCTCGCGCGCTGTCTGGGATTGCGTCAGTGGTCCCCGATTAGACTAAGCCCGTTAGGGCTACCTTTACCTTTAGCAACGGTACTTCAGGGTCAAGGGTGCTGACTTAACCGTCGTCATCCATGACCTCGTCGTCAACGGCGATCCCGCAGCTCCATCCACCACTCCACCATCCGCAGCTCTCCATTTTCGACACTTTTTTCCCCCATCGCGCAATTCACGCCACCGCCGACTCAACCGAACCCGTCACCAGACACGACGCCGCAGCCGCAAACCAAAGCAAAAGACATTGACACGCGCCCGCAGCCCCCCGCCATGCCCTCCCCGCTCCTCGCCCGCCTCACGGGCTTCCTCACGCAGCAGCACCCGCTGCGCCTCTCCATGGCGCCCGCCGACTCCGCCGCGGCGCTGCCCATCCCCGAGGGCGCCCAGCGCTGCACCGTCGCCGCCGGCTGCTTCTGGGGCACCGAGCACCTCTACCGCCGCCACTTTGCCGGCAAGGGCCTGCTCGACGCCCGCGTCGGCTACATCGGCGGCGACGTCGACGATCCCTCGTACCGCGCTGTCTGCGGCGGCAAGACGGGGCGTATGTCTCTTCTCCTCTCCCTCCTCCCTCCTTCTCTGCTGCTGCGATCCGCTTCCATGGCTAACCCGCCGATCGAACCCCCTTCCCGCAGACGCCGAAGCCGCGCAAATCATCTTCGACCCCGAAAAGGTCTCGTACCGCCAGCTCCTCGAGTTCTTCTACCGCTTCCACGACCCCACGACGCTTAACCGCCAGGGCCCGGACGCGGGGCCCCAGTACCGCTCCGCAATCTACTTCCACGGCCCCGAGCAGGAGCGCGTCGCCCGCGACGTCACCCGCCGCGCAAACGAACAGTGGTGGAAGGGCGCCGTCGTCACAGAGGTGCTGCCTGCCGGCCGCTGGTGGTCCGCCGAGGAGTACCATCAGCTCTACCTCGACCGCAACGCCGGCGGCTACGAGTGCCCTAGTCACTTCCTCCGCGACTTTCCGCCTTTGCGCGACTGACGGGGCTGGGGTGGTGTGGGAACGGGAATGAAAAGGGAAACAAATGTTGCGAAACAAAGACTACGGGTACGATTTATGCTCTGAATAAAGCCACTGTGTATCACACTGCCTGAATAAACTACAGTGTGCCAAGTGTGGAAACATGAAAATGAAATAGAACCAAAAACCAAGTTGCCAGTCGTCAGCTTTCACGAGAAGTTTAATTCGCAAAAGACACCATACAAACTGACAGTCGCTCGAATCACACCATCACATGATAAATATCTGACTCGGTTTTTTTCAATCTCCCAAAACTTCCCACGCCTATGAGTACACCGTTGGGCTTCTCTGCCCCAGACCCTAAAGAAGACTCAATGAGAGGGGTTCTTTGCAATCAAACCAAGTTCCAGCCACCGCTCCGTCCCCATTACTTCCGTTTCTGGTTCATGGACAAAATCTGCACCAAGCGGACGAAAATGTTCAAAAAGTCCAGCTCCAGCGAGATGCTCTCGTTAACGGGGTCGCGCCGCATCCGTCCCGCCTCGGCCATCCTCGCGTGGTAGAGCACCTTTTGCACGTCGTACAGCGTGAAGCCTCCAAACACGGCCAGGCCGCCGTACAGCCAGATACCCTCGGTGAGGGCGAGGGTGCGGACGGCCGTGGCGGGGATGATGAGCGGGGCGAAGCCAGACGCGGCGACAACGGCGAGGCCTGCCAGGAGCGGGCCGCCAATGTAGAGGTACTTCTCCTGCTTAGCCGTCGCGCCCACGATGGATAGGGAGCCCATCATGGCCACCGTGTAGAGACCGGCACGGGCAATCAGAGGGCCAGGCACAAAGGCAAGCAGAGGGGCGACGAAGGCGGCCTGCGTGGCGTTGAAAGCCACCCACATGGCATACTTGGGAATATAGCTATGGTTCGCACGGTTAACAGCAGACCTTCCCCAAGGCTTGCGCATCAAGTGGTTCTCAGACTTACTTGTCAGGGCTAATGGACCTAGCGCCAATCATGGTGGCAAAGCTGAGCGCGAGGCCGCCCAGCCCAACGACCCAAGGATTCGTCACCATGAGGCGATACACGAAGCCCGTCTGCACCATTTGCCGGGCCGTCAAGCCGATGATTCCGATGCCCAGGCCCGTGTGCATAAATGTGCTGTTGAGGTATTCGCGTTCGTAGAGGGGCATGCCGCCGTCGTCTCTCGTCTCGCGGTTGAAGACGGCGTTGATGGCCACCAGCGTGCCGCCGAAGACGGCGCCTCCGACCAGCAGCCTGCGCATCGTGGAGCCGCCCGCCGCCGCCTGCTGCTGCTGGCCCGGCACCTCCTGGTGAAACAGCCGCCCGCCGCCGCCGCGAGCAAAGGCATTGCGCGTCGCCGCCGAGGTGGCGATGCGAGGGGTGAAGCGCTTGGCCGTCGACTTGGCCGCCGGCCCGTGGAAGCTCCGCGAGGTCGCGAGCAGCGTCGACTTGGACAGCGCGGGGAGTCGCTGCGCGAGGCGCGCAGGGCTCTGCCGGATGCTGAGCACAAAGGACATGATTCTAGGCGAAACCGTATGCGTGGATATGGGTTTCTGATGCCGCGTGAGGGTGTGATTCGTTAATAGGCGGAAAGGAAAAAGGTACACGAATGACGCTGGCGGGGGTTTCCATTACATGACGTCCCGGTCGGAGTCTGGAGCTTAGTAAAGTCCGAGCATCACGTGGAACTTTGTGGAATCTTCAACTGCAGAACATGAGTCAGCCGAGGCGTTTCGCAGGCCAGATCCCAAATCGTAACATAGCATATCCGTATTCGTACCTACCCAGCCAGGTGTTCTCTGCGAGGAACCTCAATCAAAGGTTAGTAGAATGAGGCATGCTTTCCTTAATGCGAGGAGGTCTTTCGCCAAAACGAATCGGGCTCGGGAGGCGCAAATGGTCTCGATTCATCTAGAACACGAGAATAAAAGCACATGATTGAGTCCAACATCTCTCAAACCTGTCAGTCCTTCAACTCCCGCCATCGATCCGACTGCATGACCACCCAGCCATCACCGCCTTCAGCTCATGTAAAAGGTCTTGAATCAACTCGTATGTCTTGTCATTGTTTATGCACAGGGTATCATGTCTCGTTATTTGCTCGCCCATTGCTCTATCAGTCGCCTTTATCCACCACAATCATGAGATCCTGTCAACGGATCCTTCCACCCACCACACGTGAGCCCTGGGACCGGCAAGTTTCGGCCGGCGCGTCCGAGGGTATCATCGTAGCCCCTCGCCCCCCTTCTCGACAATAAATCTCACGGGCTGCCTCGTCCGCCTTCCCATGAATCCACTAAATCTTGCTCTAGAAAGTAAGCCAGGCGTTGTCAGCATCGCCGCCACGCTCATCGACTTGGGTGGCCCAGGACGCCTTGTTTCGTCAATGCCATCCTCATCGCTCGTGGCGGGCGCCGGCGGCGACATCGAAGCCGGAATCATCCCGGGCGGCTGCTTGACCCCCCGATCGTCGTAACCCCATGCTGCGAGGCTACCGGTGCAGAGCCACCCTTCTAGGTTGCGACACTGGCTCACATCCACCCAACCGAGGCGTGGGCAGCCTTCCAGCACGCTCTCCAGGCCCCGACCCGTGACCCTCACGCAGCCGCGAACGCTCAGGCCCTCCAGCTCGTTGAGGTGCAGAGCGATGCTCTCAAGGCTTCCGTCGCTCACGGCACTGCCGCAAAAGGCCATCCGCAGCTCCCGCAGCCTCGGGAGGCCCAAGGCGACAACCTCGGTCGATGTGTCGGACAAGGCGCAGCAGAAGGAGAGGTCTAAATGCGTCAAGTTCTTGGCAGAGTTGACGAGCGCGACAATGGCGTTGTCCGAGAGGTAGGTGCAGTCCGCCAGGCAGAGATGCGTCAGCTTCGCAAACTTGTACGCCGTCCACGACTGGAACCCGGCATCGGTGATGGAGGTGCATCTAGTTAGGGAAAGCGATCGGAGGCGACTGGAGGCGTGGGCGGCCAGGTGCGCCATTGACCGGTCTGTAACGTGCTTGCAATAGGACAGGTTGAGCTTGCTGAGCTTCGGGCATCCAATCACAGCGCCCGGGCCGACGGGCGCTGCTGCATTATGCTGGTTCTTCTTGGACGCCTCTTTGTCGTCCCGACCATTTGCGTGCTGCGCCTGTTTGCTCTGGCCCGCCTTCCTCGTTCTCTTCTTGTCCCTCGACTGGCCCAGCGGGTTGGACGACGACATCATCACCATATTGCCTCTCTTCTTGGTCGCCACCATGGCGCCGGGAGGGGATGCGCTAGGCACAACCCATCCAACCACGCGGCCCAGAAGGTTGTCTCCCACCTTGCGGCAGTTGCTCCAGTCTATCTCCTCCAGATTCTTTGCATTTTCGCTCATCTCCAGAATCTGGCTCGCGGAGACGTCCCAGACAGACCGCATCCTCCACTCCTTGATATTCTTGCCACAGCCGCGCCAAAGAGCGGAAAACCCCTCGTCTGTAATGTGAAAACAGTTATTCAAATCGACCGTCACGGCTCGTGTGCCGATGAAGGGAGCGAGGACGTGGACGATGACATCATCGTTTACCGTCCGGTTGTAGCGGGACAGGTGGACTTCGTGGCAGATGTCGGGCGACGTGGTCAGGATCTGGCGCCATCGTCTGCTCACGATGCGCAGGCGAACAAGATCTCCGATATCGAGGTGCTTGAAGATGCACACGAGAAGGCCGTCCAACTTCGCGGCGGTGGCGGCGGCTGCTACCGCTGGTTTTCCACTCGTTAGGGAGGCGGGCCGCTGGGTAAGTAGAGTCTTGGCCCGCTTGGCCCGCACGATATGCCCGGAGTCTGGAGGAGATTGTGCAGCTAGATCCAATTTGATGGGCGTCGTCATCACGTCTGTTAGAGGCGAGCGACCGACGCCATTCGATCGGCTGGGCGTCGTCGGCTCCAACTGCGGTGTTGGTGGAGTGGGAGGAGCTAGAGACTGTCGCCGGCGGTTTCTGAGATTTTCCATGTTGACGCTTAGGAATGGATCGGGATCCTTGGGCTCCATCATATCCGAGTCGTCTTTGCTACCCGGGCCAATCTGCTGCGCCGACGGGTTCGCGAAGAGCAACTTGGACATGGAGAGCCTGCTCGAAGGAGCCGTCGGCGGCGTATGGGGCAGACTGGAAACCTGGTCGGATCTGTCGACATCGGCCATGTCAATGTCCTCGGCTCCCTCACCTCGACGGCCCCCGCTATAGCGCATCCTAGCCGTCTCTTCGACTTGAGATTTGATGCCTGGCGGACACCGTTGCCATAGCTCCTCCAAGACCTCGCCCGGAACCATCAGGCATTCGACTGTCGTGATGGACCTCACGGTGGCGGTTCGATCCGCCGAAAGCCCCAGGCTTGCCACTTCGCCAAAATACTGGCCCGACCGGAGCCGCGGCCGCGAATGAACCAAGCCGCCAAGAGATTTTTGCTGCTGGGCGCCTTGCCGTTCACCAGGCGGGTCGTGGTGGACCACTTCAGCCTCGCCCTGAACGATGAAGTAGATTTCGTTGCCGGAGCTGCCCTGCTGGATGATGTCCGAAAAGGGCGGCCACGTCTTGGGCTGCACGCTGAGCCCCAAAAAATGGAGAATGTCGGGAGGCAATGTTGAGAACAGGGGAAGCTCCTTGAGGGTTTTGCGGATATTCACCAGGCCGCTCCCAATAGCACTGCCGCCGGCGGCTGGGTCCTCGATGATTCCGGGGCTCGGGGACTTTCTCTTCTTGGGGTTGTTGACGACTGCCCCGTCCTTGATGGCGCCGCTCTCGCCAGTCGACACCTCACCGGGCGCGGTTGCCCGCGAGGCGGCAGCTCCATCTCTTATTCGCCCCTGTGAGGATCCGACCGATGAGCCGCTTTGGTGCCTTTTCTTCTTTTTGAGCAGGTGAAGGCGCTCTTGGGCCTCTTCCATGATGGCTTGTTCCATTTCGGGAAACCCGGGCATGACGAGTTGCAGGTCTTCCTTCTTAAGGACGAGCAAAAGGCACTTGGTTCGAGCGACAATGGTTGCAGTTCGCGGCATGTCCATGAGGACGCCAATCTCTCCGAAGAAGGCGCCGGGTTTGAGCTCCGCATAGACCGCCTCCCCGTCGCGGGACGTGACTGCAACAACCCCGCGAACGAGCCAGTACATGGCCTTTGCGTCGTCCCCTTCGGCGACAATGTGATCGTTGGGTCCATGGACTTGGGGCTTCAAGTGGTTGCCTATGGCAATGAGAAATTCCCCCGGGGCCGATTGGAACAGGGGAAAGGACCTTACACGCTCCACCAGATCGAGCGGCATGTCCCTGATGGTGGAGGCGGCGAGTGGGGATGGACGGACCGGCCGCGCCGGATTGGTTTCGACGTCGAAGGATCGAATGAGAGAGCTCGAGTCGGACAAGACGGCGGATGAGCCGGCCTGGTGGACATGATGAGCCAACGCCCGGTAGGGCGAGGCCGAAGTGGAAGGGCGCCCGCGCCTCATGATGAAGTTGCAGATTGGTGGCCCGTCGGAAAAGGTATGCTAATCACCACGAGGTCGGTTGAGCAGGGGACGCCAGAGAAACGGCGACCTGCTCCTTCCCCCCCTCCCTTCCGCGGCGAGAAAACTATCCGTGGGGGGAGGTAGGCTTCTGCGGGCCGGACGCGAAATACTTGGCGACGGTCCAGCCGTGGCGACCCGTAGCTCTCGACACGCGTACCGTGTTCTCGGCGCGGCAAGCAGCTCTCGTGGCTGTCGCGAGCACTGGCCGCTTGTGTTGGGACTCGAAAGAAAGCACGTTGTAGCTTCACGCGCTGCCGCTCATGAAGCCAATATTCGGGAACAGGCCACCAACAAGGCACGGCCGGCGGCCGGGTGCCTGACACGAAATCTCAACGGTTGGCTGGTACAAGGCAAGCATCCGATGGCCCGGGCTGACTGAGGCGCAGATAGCGGAATGAGGGGAAGCGGCGTCGGAGGGGGCAAAGGTCGGTCGATGCGCACAATCACAGCCTGTGATGTCGCAGCACGGTCGATGCAAGAGCGGCTTCGGAGGGTGGGCGCGAGAGCGCAGGTTGACTTGTAGTGGTGGTGGTGGCGGATACGGATCAAGTTAGGACGAGCACCGGGCGCAACGATGACAGCCGGACAGCACGGGGATGCTGTGTCGCTGGAAGGAGTCGCCTCGAGAACGAAAGCGCGTGTTGCCTGTCTCGCCGTCTCTCGATGGACCAGAGTGTCGCGGAGAAGGCCGACGGGCTGGCTGGAAGCGAAAGAAGCAGAGTCAGCATGATGACGACACGGGCAAAGGAGCGGCGGGAGGGCAAGCGTACGGGATTGCAGGGGACAAGTGCAAAAAGCCTGACAATTGTCGCGGTAGCTGCGAGGACGGGTGGGCCGAGACAGAGGATCGGGTCGATGGGCGCGTCGACGGGAGGAAAGGGTTCGAGAGAGACGGGGGCAGTGGGATGCGGGATGAGAAATGGGCGGATTGCGTAGGTACAGGGGGAAAAGGCCCCAGCTTTGGTGGTGGCCCAGAGAGGAAGACAGCTTCAGGGCTGGTGCACGGGTGGGTGCAGGTACTGTCTGTCGGTAGCTCACTCCCAGGCCCGAACAGGCGGGCTCGGCCAGTGGGTTCCAGGCTGGAGGCACCTGGATGAGACCCCAACTGCGGCGGAGGCTGACGTGGGAGAGACGGGCAGAGACACGCATGCATGCAGAGAGGGAGAGCGGAGAGACGGCGACTCCGGAACATCCGCAGCGCATCCTTGTACCCCATGCTCTAGGTCTGCAGGCCTAGGCTTGCTACGTCAGGAGAGAGTTAGAGAGGCACCAAGCCGCGGGTCAGCCGATCAGCGGCCCTGGCTCGCTTCTTTATTTTTCTTTTTCTCCCCTGACTCTGCGCCATTGAAGAGAGGGGTTTATTCAGGAACAGAGGGCATGGCGCGCCTTGTTGAAGAGAGGAACCCTTGTTGAAGAGAAGAAGAAGAAGAAGAAGAATGTGGTGAACCAGTTGTAGGTCTACTAGTAGTACCCAGGTACCTACCTAGGTAGTACGCACCAGGCGGATTCTACAGAGCGCAGCAGCGCCTTAATACATCAACATTTCCTCGAGACTCGGGCAAACAAAAACTAGGTAGCCAGAAATAAATCATACATTGAGAGACGTGTCAAGGCTCGAGTCCCGTCTCGCGAGTTTCCAAATACCCGACCGTGCTTGGCCCGCACGGTGCCGCCCCTCGTCCACCCCCCCGTCTCCGCCTCCGCCTCCGCGCACCCTGTCATCGCTCTCCGCCACGGCCAAGGGGGGGCAGACGGGGCAGGGAAGACCTTGTCTGGCTTGGTTGGTCGTTGAGCACAGGCCAATTGTTGAAGGGCCATCCATCTCTCTACGGAGATGATTCTACGGAGATGGTTATTGTTGTTTCTCGGCATCCGTACATGTATTCCTGGCCACGCGCTCCTTGGCCAGTCCCCTTGGACCGACGTGGCTGCGCCCAGGGCGCCCTTTTTCCCGCCATGCCCCAAACGCTCCCGCTGCTGCTGTGTATCATTAATGCCGTTGCAGGTGAAGTTGGGAACGGGTGTCGCAGCCGAAAGCTTGGGCAGGCCATTACTAGACCTCGACTAAGACCCCCGGAAGGGGGATAAACAAAGTTTTAGGTCCACAGATGGAAAGATTTTGGAACAGCTGGCACAGCCTTTTGGAAGCGGTACCCGCTCTGCTCCCGAATCAGCTCTGCTCCCGAATCATCGCCTTGCTCTGCACCTCGACGAATGTCGAGCCCAAGTAATATTACCCGGAGTGCAGGGCCCACCGCCTTGGGACACGCACTCCAGCCCGTCGTGCCGTCGTACTGCACCAACGTTTTGGAGTCCTGCCTTTGCCTCTTCACCTTCAGATTCCTCTAGACAAGTGTCCCGGTTGCTTCCTATGCTCAGATGCTGTGCCCCCATGGGGACATGATGCACCATCTCGATCCTCCTTGGCCAGGGACCCCCCTCGGCCGGTCGCCACGTGGATACGGGCACCGAGTCAAGCATTCTCGAGTTGATGTATTTAGCCCAGCCCGTCCAGCAGCGCTCGAGGCCCGGCCCAGAGGTTCATGCAGGTCGGGGCAGGCCTGCAATGCGCGCGGCAGGCGTCTCGTCCGTCCCTTTTTGGCCGGCAGACGCAGATCCAATCTCTCCCGATGCTCTCAGCGCAGATGCCGTCTGCAAGTGACCGAGACAGCGCCCTCGTCTGGTGCCCCTCGTCTGGTGCCCCTCGTCTGGTGCCCCTCGTCTGGTGCCCCTCGTCTGGTGCCTGTGCATGTGCCGTTTCCAGGTTGATGTATCCGTAAGTTACTCCGCAGTTACCAGGCAAGAAATCCCCCGCCAGGCTCTCCTCGGTAGCACAGTGCAAGCACTACCAGGTAAAGGGAGGTAAACGGTAAAGGGTATTGGGTATTGGGTATTGGCTGTCGCCGTGCACGCCATGATGCACTCCGCACCCAACACATGCTGATGAGCTCCTTCTCAGCGCTTAGGTTTGCACCTTTTCGTCACGTGCCATGCAGTCCACCAGTCCAACTTCCTCGCTCTTTTTCCTCTCTCCCTCGTCTTCTTCTTCATGCCGTATTATTATATCTTCCTCCAGTCGTGCCCGAGAGTCGGAACGCGTTTCGTCTTCCGCCCGCCCACGAACCTGTCACCGGCCCACCCGTGCGGTCCCAAGCCCAGATCAGCCCTTAGCCAGATGCACGTGGATCAATCTCGGCGCATCCCGATGTGTCGCATCCACGTTGCAACCGGCGAGGCGACGGCGCGCTGCCTTTGTTTCAACTCCCTTCACCCGATGGCTGTTTGTTTCAGGGCCAGAATCCTGGCTTGCTCTTTTGCCTTGTTCCCTAGGTAGCCAGCCATAGGCTACAAGTCTGAGCCTCAGTGTGGCTCGCCTTATCCCGTGACAGGCCAAGTCGGGTAGGGCTTATCCAATACTCGCCAATAATCCCTCTCCCCTCTCTTTGGCCAATCCCTCCCCAACATTGACCCAGTTCTAGATCCTATCTATTCTATCAAAGCTTCCCCACTGTGCTTCCAATGCCGCTTCCGTGCCGGCGCTGCACGAGGGATGGAGCCACAAGTGGCCCTCCGTCACCGGTGCTCTGCTCCTCCAATGCTCAGCCCGATGACCGACGGGAAGAAGTCTTGAGAAGCTGGCCGGGGTTGAAGAGCGGGCGAGCCCCTCTTGCTCATGCCCGCAAAAACGTCTTAAACACTTCTGAATCCGTGCACTCCTCAAATGGGTACCCGACCTCGCCCAGGAACTGCGACAGCTCGCCCGCCTCGTCCTCCGGGCAAGAGATGCCCGCCAGCACCTTGGCTATGTCGCCGCCGTAGTTGCGGTAGTGGAACAGGCTAATGTTGAACTTTGGCCGCAGCGTCATGAGGAACTTCTCCAGGGCGCCGGGCCTCTCGGGGAAGCTAAACATGTAAAGCCTCTCGTTGAGCACACCCGAGCGCCCGCCTACCAGATACCGCACATGGCTCTTGGCGAGCTCGTCGCCAGACAGGTCCGTCACGTCCATGCCCTCGGACTGGATGCGCTCCAGCAGCGTTCTCAGCTCCTCGTCGCGCTGAGTCGGTGGCGCCGTCAGCGACAGACCGATCATGACACGTGCGCGCTCACCCGTGCCGTACCGGTAGGAAAATTCGGTCACGGCATGGGGCGTAACGCTGTCGATGAGCTTGGCGAAGGCGCCCGGCCTCTCGGGGATGGTGACGGACAAGAGAACCTCCTTTCCCTCGCCCAGGGCCGCGCGCTCGGCCACGAACCGGAGCCGATCAAAGTTCATGTTGGCGCCCGATGTCACGGCAATGAGGGTCCGGCTCGGGTCGTGCGACGGCCGCTGCGCAACATACTTTTTGAGGCCCGCGATGGATAGCGCGCCGGCGGGCTCGAGGCCAGAGCGGGTATCGTCGTACATGTCCTTGATGGCGGCGCAGATCTCGTCGGTGGTGACTTCGACGACCTCGTCGACGACGTCCTGGGCGATGCGGAACGTCTCCTCGCCCAGTGTCTTGACGGCAGCACCGTCAGCGAAGAGGCCGACGTCCTTGAGGACGACCCTCTCGCCCTTGCGCAGCGACTGAGCCATGGCGTTGGCGTCGCGGGCCTCGACGCCGATGATTTTGACGTGGGGCGCCATGCGCTTGACGTAGAGGCCGATACCGGCGATGAGCCCCCCGCCTCCGCAGCAGCAAAATATGGCCTCGACCTTGGACATGTTGACCTGGCCAAAGAGCTCGTTGCCAATGGTCCCCTGGCCGGCGATGACATAGGGATCATCAAAGGGCGGGATGTTGATGAGGCCGTCCTGCTTCGCGCGGCGGGCGCACTCCTCCTTGGCGGCGTCAAAGTCGGCGCCGTGCAAGACGACGTGGCCGCCTAGGCGGGCGACGTTTTTGTGCTTGATGCTCGGGGTGCCCTCGGGCATGATGATGGTGGCCGGGATCTTGAGCTTGCGGGCGGAATAGGCGACGCCTTGGGCATGGTTGCCGGCGGAGCAGCAGACGACGCCGCCCCAGCTTAGGGCAGGGTCCAGGTGGGCCATCTTGTTGTAGGCCCCGCGCAGCTTGAAGCTGAAGACAGGTTGTGTGTCCTCGCGCTTGAGCAGGACGTTGCACTCGAGCCGGTTGCCCAGGTTGATGGCCGGGGTCAAGGGAGTGACGCGGCAGGCCTCGTAGACGCGCGAGGTCGCGCTCGCAATCATTCGCAAGTACTTGGGGACGGTCAGCCGAGGAGTCGGCTGGACTGAGGGAGGCCTACGTCTGGATAGCCATTGGGGAGAAGGAGGTCGTCGGGGACCAGCTCGCGGAGGCGCGCAAGCTTCTCGCCGGATGGCGGCGACGGGTTTGCGCTGTACTCGGTCAAGGCCATTGTGCCGGCGGGAGTCTGGGGCCGCGGGTGGCCATCGAGGTCCGGGGCCGCCGCGCCATTGGTGGCCGGGAGCCCGTTGAGCGACGGCATGTCGAGATGATGGATGGACGGGGAGTGTTGGAGGCGGGGAGTTGACGAAGAATAGAGTCGGAGGAGAGATGGGGCCTTGGGGTCCAATTTTCGTGATTGTTTTCCCCCCTCCGCGCCAGGTCCGTTTTTCCCAAGCGGTATCGGCGCGGGGGACAAAACCGACCAGTCGGTCGGCCATATGCAAATAGAACCGCTTCTCAGTGGAGGACGTCTGCATCAATATATTCGATATTTGCTCGATGATGTACTTTGTCGACATGATAAGGATGTCTCATGTTTCATGGACCAGCATCGATCCGTCATTCGCTGCATCCGCTTTCCCGCCCACACACACGCCGCCGTCGGGGACTCAATTGATTTGGATTCTCGGCCGTTCTCGTTCAAGCCTCTCCGCCGCGCCGCGCCAAGCTCCTGGGACCATGCATGCGTACATTTGGAGGGCACTCTTGTTGCTCTCCAAGACGATGATCAGGCCCGACGGGATTGCTTGAAAAGTCCTTTGGCACATGTCCATGTTGAGGAGATGTATGTATGTATGTACACGCGTTCCACCGCTAGCAACAGCCTATTCTTCCCAGTCGACTGCAGTCGATCAAACGCCACGGTCATGATGCGTGCAAAAGCCAAACACCTGGACGGTCACGAGGGCTTGGCAATAGGAGTAAAGATTTCCTGGATGCGCTCGCCCGCCACCTTTCGGCACTCGGCGTTTTCCCGCGCCAGCCCTTCAATGGCCTCCGTCTCCAAGCGCCGCAGCTCGTCGCGCCGGGCCGAGAAGTCATCCAGCGTCTGGACCAGCCGTGAGCGCGTCCCCCTGACCTGGCGCATCATCCTGTCCATGACGGGCGCGGCCGCGTCGGCGAGGTCGACAATGGCGGCCGCGCGGGGGCGGTCGCCCAGCATCAGGGCCAGGGCCTCGGCGTCGCGGAGGAACTTGTTGGCCTGGACGACGGTCATGGGGATGCGGTGGACGGCGGCGTGGCGGATGAGGGAGATGGACTGCAGGAGCTCCTCGAGCGGCACCGTCGTGCGGCCCGTCTCGAGGAAGTGCTCGTCCTTGGACATGAAGGTGTCGACCATTTCGTGCAGCTCCGCCGCCTCGGGACAGTCCCATCGCCGGAGACGCATCACGCGCGGCATCACGCGCATCCCGTAGCCGTAGCACACGGCCTCGAGAATCGTCTGCAGCCGCCGGAGCATCTCGTGCTGTGCGGCGAAGGGGAGCTTGGTCGGGAAGGGCGGCAGCGTCTCTTCCGGACACGGCAATAACCGGTCTCTTCTTCTCAGGTGCGCCGTGTCGTCGGACACGGGGGCTAAAAAGCTTTCAGCATTCAACCGGTTTCCCTCGTTTTGCGTACAATGCACATGACCTACTTATAGATACATCAGAGGTGGTATCTTCGGCGAGGCGCGAGGTAAAGGACATCTTGTCCGGCGGCCTACTGACATCGGCAATGGTGAGCCTGTCGAGCTGAGCCTCGAGATCCGCCTTGGCCTGCATGGCCGCATAGGGACCCCCTCCCTTGAGCTTCTCAGGCATCTTGATAAGGCCAAAGAGGTCGGGCAAGTTAACCTTGGCCCTATGAAGCGACGTAAAGATGCGCTGGTGGAGCATAACGCGCGTCATGTCGCACACAAAGCCCAGGCCGTACATGTCGACCAAGTCGCAGACCTCCCTCCTCCTCATGTTCATCTTGATCACCTTGCGCACATCGCGGCTGTTGCGGTAATGCGACGGCCCGCGCTTGAAGACGTCTCTCAGCGCGAGGTAGATGGCTTGCCTGACGCCGTAGCGCGTCGTTTCCGACTCGATGGGCGGTTTGTGAAGGTGCCGCCGGGCGAGGGCGAGCAGCGGACTTGGAGAGAGGCGGGATGAGAGGCGGGGCAGTGCCCAGAGGCATTTGAATTGAGTCTTGCTCATCGTGCCCCAAGCTGATGGTGCTGCGGACGCGTGGGGAGGTTGACAAAGGAAAGAGCAGCAAATGCAGATAGTAAGTCGACAGGATGTGGTTGAAATCGCGATATTCGGACATGGGCATCTTTTTTGGACACGTCCGCCCCGCTTTTTTATCATGGCCACCTATTTGCAGAATGTTTACTTGGTATAATTATCCCAGGTAGAATCGCAAGGCGGTAAGCAGCCAATAATCTTATTCTCATCGAGCTCGCGCTGCTTCAAAGCTTCATTAATTGCAACTCATCTGCCAGTCATGACCGCAAAGAATCGTGCTTGGCCTCGCCGTGTCCATGCGACTGCCTCATGATTGGCTGGCGGGCGTCAGGGGGGTGTGCGAATTCAGATTTGTGCCTGTCACAAGGGCGCTCCAGGGTAGGCCGTGAAACGCAGCGATCTTGCTTGGCTCAAAGACAATGCTCACTACTGCTGCTACCTACTGAATGCCGAGAAGTTGCATACAAGAGTCAAGGCACGGAGCTCAAGTCCTGAGCCAGAGTCACACCGCCATCCGTCACCACTGTTGCTGCGAGATCTCCCAGTACGCCCTCAAGAGTGCGAGCCCCCCAGCCTGCGTCTCGACGGTCCGCCCCCGGCCACGGTTGTTGGGATCGTCGTCGCGCTTGTCCGTGCTGCGCTTGTCCGTGCTCTTGCCCCATGCCCTCGCCTCGTCCGGCACTCGGTGGTCTGCCGCAGGCCGAATCCACTGGTCTTGGCAACTCAGCCGCATCTTGTACGCTCCGGGCTCCCACGGGCTACTCTTTCCCCAGACTGCGTCTCGCGGCGTTCCCTCGTTGCGGTAATCGGTGGCGTTGGGTGCCTCGTGGTCGATGCCATCGGTGAACTTGGACACGGCAGGCTGGCTAAACACGATGGCTCCCCACCACATGCCGAACCGCCCTCGCTCGTCGCGGGTCCCCAGTGCCGCCCTGGCGTTGTGCTTTACCCAACTCAGGTATGCACGGCAAGCCTTGCCATGGGCTGCCTGTACATGCGCGTGCTGCTCCAAACTGACGCGGGTGCCATGCGTAGCAACGCCAGCCGCCTCAATGGGCGCGCAAAAGGCCGTCAGGTGATGGAAGAAGATGCCCTTGAAGGTCTGGCCATCCTGCGAGCACGTGCCGCTCGCGTCGCACATTTCCTCAAGAATACCGCCGCGGCCCAGACCATGCCATGGCGGCAGCAGCTGGCCGAGAGGCAGGGCATGCACGTCATCGACCGGGGCGTTGCCAAACACGTCCCAGCCCGTCGCCTTGATGACCGACTGGATCAGCGAGTGGCCCTCTTCCAAGTACGAATGGCTTCCGGTTACGGCCCACAAGCCTCGCTGACCCGTGAGAATGACACCCTGGTTGTACGTGTACACCATCTCGTCGCGGGCGTCGCATTTGACGTTGTTGGGCTTGTTGTTGTCGATATGGTAGCCATCGACGTAGAGTCCCCGCTGGTTGGTCATGTTGACTTGCTTCAACCACTTGTAGCCCTCGACGGCAGCGGCCAGGTACACGGGGTCCCTGGTGGGGAAGCCCTTGCTCGCAACCCAAGCCTCCCGGAAGGTGTCGTTGGGGAAGTTCTCATACATGGCGATGGACGCGGCGATCCAAAGCTCATTCGTGATGGCGTTCTTGTAGGGCTCCAGGCGGGGATTCCAGACCATGCCGCCGCCACACAGCAAGGTGTCCCATCCGTGGGTAGCAAGATCCCAAAACTCGCGAGCGCGCTCTGCAAAGGTGCAGAACCAGTTGTAGCCCTGCCATGGCATGTTCTGGAGCGCTTGGTTGAGCTCCCTTGGCGTGTACTTGCAAGCATTGCCCGTTCCAGGGTAGTGAAGCTCGGCGTGAAGCCGGACGAACTTGATGGCCTCGATCCAGCCAAGAACGACCCAAAGAATGTCATCATACGCCTGTTTGTGATGAGAAGGCACGCCAGAGAGGTGAGCGTAAGCATTCGGGACTTTTCTGTGCTGCCGAGAGCGCTGCGTCAAGGCTTACCTGGTTCTTGATGGCAATGGCGTTTTGGCCGAAAAAGGAGTGGACAACCTGGGCATAGAGGGAGGAGATGAGGTTCTCTCGTTGCTTCCGTTGGGCGTCGCCGCCAACATGCTCGGAGTTGAGGGACCTTGTCAGGGTCGACAGCGTTCCCGAGAGGACCGTCTCGATGACGGCCCCTGTCCAGTCGATGGAGGTTGGCCAAGTGCCGTTGACGGCATCATAGTAGCTGTCTTGCAAGACGGCGAGGGCGTCGAAGACATCTTGCAGCCCCTGACTGTCCATGTCGGAAAGGTCGGGACTCTTGGCCTCCTTTTTCACCAAGGGAAGCGGGAACGGTATGCAGACTTGCGGAGATGGATCGGAGGTGATGGAACAGTAGTGTCGGAGCTTGCCAGGCAGGAAGCGGAGGCCGGAGACAGACACTATGGACTGGGCGCAAAGTAGGCCGGCGAAGCAGCCGGCCAGCGAGTAACGCAACATGGCTCGAGGGCAACGGGGCAGATGAATGGCGAATAATGAGGAGAGAGGCAAGGGGGGTGCAGCTGAGGCTTCGAGGAAGACTGGATCTGGAGATGGGACCCAAACGGCGTTCCAGGCCACACTTATATCTTTAGCTCTGGGGACATCAACCTGGCAGGCCGAGGAGATGAGAGGCTCTTAGCCGGACGTGTCATTCGCAGGTGTTTGGAAAACAGCAAGGTTGGCGGCTCCTGTCATGCTTTCCCGCTTGATACAACGCGAGAGAAGCGAAGGCCAGAGGCAGCTTCCTGATGGGATTGCGGATGTGACCGTGGGCGGAGGAGGTTTGATGGAGGAGCAGGATGAGCATGGAGGTGCGGATGCGCGGATGTGCGGATGCGCGTACGGAGGAGTCGTGAGGCGTGCCCCTGCCGGCGACCTCAGCCACGCGGGTGCGCGTAGCCGCGGGCCGAGACGAGAGACAGCGTCGCAAGCGTTCATTTCGAAGCTCGTTCCGGTGGAAAGAGGCTAAAAGGGTTTAGAGTTGGAGGTTGGAAGAAGAAAGCCCAGCAGCCTGGAGGGAGCCGTTGTCTGTCCCGATTAGGAAGAGTATCGCTGGGGGATTGGGTGGATCAGCAGCCAGGTTGACGTCGCAGTGCAGCAGGTCACGGGATCAGGCGCTCGTCGACGAAATTGCCGGTCAAAAGGAGTCTAGACTTGGACAATCAATCACGCAGTCTCTTGCTGCGGACTACTGTAGCTCGTATCCCGCCTCATGCCTCGCGCAAGCCACCAGCCCGAATGACCAAGCCCGTGTCTCACATCAATTTGTTGTTGGAGTGTTGACGGGCAGGCGTCAGCTGACAGCACTTCTGTGGCCCGAGGATCGTTCGAAACTGGAAAACGCCTTGATGGATCTTCTCCCAGGCCGCTCGGAAAGCCGCATGTTGTGATTCCGAAGAAGCATCTCCCGTCATTGTGTTCCCCGAGGCCTCAGAACGCAGTCGTCCATCGGCTAGCGGACAACGGTGATACATGGATCCGTCACGACGAGGCTTCCGCAGCAGTGCCGCGGCATCAGGAGCAACCACTCGCACTAGACAAGCCTGCTTGCTGCCTGCGCCTGTTTGCTGCCTGCGCCTGCGTACGGCAAAGAGGCGTCTGCCCTCCGTGGACGCGAGCAAGGCACTTGACGTCTCCGACGACCGCGGCTCGACTGGCCGCTCGACCGGCTGGCCAGTCGATCAACGACCCAGCTACCAAACTTACCCGCCGCCTACCGGTTATATCGTACTCGCGCTGCTAGTATCGCAGGCGGAAGCGCAGTTTACAAAGATGAGGCGTTGGTGCGCAGGGCACGTAATCGTATCCGTAATTATTAATACTTGATCAAAAATGCACGTCAACGTTTACAGTGGACAAGTAATTATCGAGTACCTTCGGCTCTGGGGTCACCGGCCTCTGCTCATCGCACGTGATTCGCCCACCCCAGCGGCGCTGTCCCGGTTTGTTTACTTTCCCAATCCCTGTTCCACCAACCAGAATCGCCCCCGAGCCGTCTTCAGCTCCCAAACCACCAGAGCAGTCGATGCTTCACCATCCCTCCTGTCTCGCGCCTCCAAACCGCGCCGCCACGTCGCCTTTGGCAGTTGCTGCCATCCGAGGCATCGCCAACTCACGCCATCAATTCTCCTGCAGCCATACAGCAGCCATCATCACCCGACTCGCCATCTCCCATCCATCGTCGACTCCTCCGCTCGAGCATCGCGTCCAGACGCGTCGTCGGAGCCATGGAGGCCGACACCGCCCAGAGATATCGTTCGCGCATCCTTAGAGAAATGAACGCCAACCGCGCCAACCCCTTCAATTCGCCCCCCTCGTCCACCGGATCCCATGGCACAGTCAGCCCAACCGTGTCCTCTGTCTTCTCTGACCCGGACGGCGAATCGACGCGCAGGCTTCACGAAGACATTGCCAGAGTCACTGCACCGAGGAAGCTGCCAGTCAACTGGGATGCCGCCCACCGCAAATGGCCCGACTTCTTCTCCAAGCCCAAGGCCCGCGACGCGCCACATGCCCTTGGAGATGACCCTGGCCTCGATAAACTTGCCACCGACGCGAGGCCCACGAGATCCAAGGAGAACAAACAGCCCGTGCCTTCAGTTCAGTTTGCCGACGACTCGACCCAGGACATGTGGCCCGGCTCCACCAAGACGCGTGCCGAGATGCAACCTCGCGTCGACAACGAATCCGACCACTCCGACCTCGTCTCCAAGTCGCCCGCTCGAACTCTGGCTCACCGAACTTCCGCGAAAAGCGCTCGAAAACAGACTTCTCTGACAAAGACTACCCACGCAACTGCCTCGTCGGACTATGCTTCTCAGCAGCCCCAGCGCCTTTCATCCATTTCAGAGGCCCTGGACCGATTGCGACGAGCGTCGTTGAGCCCCCCATCCGATGGCGAGCACCGTCGACAGTCACGCGAGAGCGCCTCTCCCCTATTATCATCCGCCAAGTCGAGCTTGACAGCTGTTCCCCCTTCGCCCAATTCCTTTGCCGACGCAGAAGGCAACAGTACATCGCACGCTCGATCCTTCTTCATGCCTGACGTCTCCCACCTTGGCGACTTTGTCACGGGAACCCTCAAGTTCAGCGGCTCCATGAAGAACGGCGTTCCGATCTTCGTCAAGAATGGCCGGGTGCACGATCGACGAGAAAGGCCATCCGCGGGTGCTCACGCCGAGGTGGATGGCATTCAGGTGCCCGAGGTCGAGGATAAGATCTTTGTGTCCATGGACATGATCCGTGACGAGATTGTTTCGCTCCAGGAGCACCATGACAAAGTGCAAGAATACGCCGAGAACCTTCAGCAGCAAGTCGAGAGGCTAGAGGCCCAGCTCAAGTCTAGGAAAGACTCCAACGACAACGCGAGCTACCATCAGCCCGATAAAAAGCTGGTTGCACGCAAACATCGTAAGCGCCTCCGAATTGTGACAAATGCTTGTGGTTCCGCCGCTAACCATCCCACAGAATTGGAATTAGAAGTCACATCGCTACAGTCTCGGTTAGAGCAGACGCAACGAAAGGTGAGCGAAAGTGAATTGGAGAACGTTTCGCTGGCCCACGAGCGAGATCGGGCTGTAAAAAGACTGCAGGGCGCGTGTGACGACATCAGCAAACTCACGCGCAAGCTCAACGTGAAAGAGAAAGAGCTCGAGTCCTCCCACAAACAGCTCGAAATCACCGACCAGATGCGGCACGATAATGACACCCTTCGCCGGGATCTCATGTCCATCAAACAAGGCCGCGATGCTCTGGAGCTTGAAAACGCGTCGCTTCGAGCCGAGAATGAGAGGCTGCGCAAAGAGCTCAGGCAGCTGAGGGAGGAGAACGAGTCCCTGCGGACCGACAACAGCGGCCTTCGAAGAGGTGATGATTCTCTCGCGAGCGAGAACAGGTCTCTTCGGTCCAACAACAAATCCCTCATAGAGGAGAGTGAGGATCTCCGGGAGAATCTCGATGGTGTTCAGCACGAGCTCGACGCAGCTCGCGAGCAGGTTGAGACGCTGCGGCGGCAGGTCGAGACTGTGGACAGGGAGAAGACGGCTTTACAGGAGGACAACGAGAGTCTCGTCCGCCACAACGACAAGTACTTTAGCGAGAACAAGATGCTTCGCCGAGAGAATTCTGGATTTGAGCGCAGCGTTGAAGACCTTCACGAGGAGAACCTCAAGCTTAGGGACGACATCGACTTCTTGAAGCAACAGCTGGATCACTGCCGGCCGCTCCCCAAAGAGGACTTTTCGGCCCGCCTGGATGAAGAGACGGAGGAAAACATGACGTCGGCGTTCTTTGTGCCAGACATCACCATCGACACGAACGAATCAGGCCCAGCAGAGGCCACCGAGACCAGAGAGATGCCCGCATTACCAGAACTTACATCCCAGAGTCACAAGACGACAACTTCACGCAACGACACAAGGCAGGAAACGCGAGACGTAACAAGGCGCGAAGTTCAGCAGGTGTCTAAGACCAAAAACAGCAGGAACGCATCGACCAATCACGCAGTGCAGCAAGGGCAAAAGGTTGCCTTCTCGATCCCCGACAAACCGGCCCAGAGCAACAAGCCCGTGGCAAACAAAGGGAGCAAGCGCCGCAATTTCAATAAGGGGGCTTCACAACACGCCACGGACCTCTTTAACGACCTCGACGACACCACGGGGCCCCAGTCTGTTGACAACATGACCCAGGACCGAGGCACGGTCTCGCTCAACCTGTCTGTGAAAAACAACACGCATGGCCAATCCAGACCGCGAGATACAACTAGCCAAAGTATGAAGGTCCAGCAAGCACAGCAGGCTTCTACCCGCACGACTCAAAAGCTGGTTGTCGAGACCGAGGCCACCACCCAAACAAGCAAGCGAGCGGTGGACACGGGTTCTGCTTGCCCGGCGCTCTCGAGCGATGCCCGCCGAATACTGGATGGGTTGTGCGAACACAACTGCCGGAACTGCATAGTCTGCAGCCGCATCACCTCCCACCGCGGCGTCGTGACTTCTGCAGAGGTCGCCGCCGGGAAGAAGCGCGTCACGGTGTCGCGGCCCGTTCCCGTCACCGACCGCGAAATCAGCGACGAGAATGTCACGGTGCGGCCGAGCCAGTCTCCAGGCCACGCCCTGGCCCTTGTCATCAAGGGCTTGGAAGACGAAGGACAGCACCTACAGCTCGAGCTGTCACGCCTGCAGGCGCGTTACAACAGCGGCGACAAGGCCCTTGGCCGAAGAGAGCGGCTCAGTCTCGCCGAGGGCATTCGCACGCTGCTGAAGCGTCTCGAGGTCAAGAATGACCAAATCTACAGCCTGTACGATGTCCTGGAGGGACAGAAGGCGGCGGGTCAGGCCATGAGCGAGGAAGAGGTCGAGATGACCGTCTTGAACATTACCGGCATGACGGTGCGGGACGTGACGAGCGGCAGTGAGCAGTTTACCTGGGAGGGCATCCAGGATGAGGCTTGAGATGCCGTCTCAAACGGCACATTGGTCTGCCTGGTGATCCTGGAGCATGCCGCTCCACTCGTGAGTGTCTTGGACATGAAATTGCAGAAACCTGAATCGGGTGAACCCAGAGGGCGTGTCATGGCATCGGGGCGTTTTGATCTGGTTTTGTGTCGTCTTTTTTGACCTCTTTGGCTTTGCATCCGCCCAGCTCTGTTTTGCGTTTCGCTCCTTGTTTTGCGGGAGACAAGTGGTGGTCGAGCGGAATTTATCGAAAAGGGGAGGGGAGCTCGCGGAGAGACGGCGACAGGGTCGGGGGCTTGGCGGGAAATTGCATGGCTGGCGGAGTTGGAGGAGGGAACGGGAACGTGGTGGGCGTGCGCACACGAGCCCTCGATGCCGGCTTGGCGTGTATCTTGACTAGGCTTGTCCATTCAGGCCTGCTTGCGTGAGGCTTGAAGGGCGTCCTGGGAATCGAGGACTGTGCTTCGTCTTTGCAGTGGCGGGCAGGGACGGACTTGGTGACGTGCGTTTTTGTGAGCATGGGAGCTCCCTTGGGAAGAAAAGTAAAAGGGGCGAGGGCATCCGTGAATAATTAGTGGTCTTTTCAACTCTAGTTTTCCTCGGGATGAGGAGCCGCGGTCTGCTACGATTCATCGTCTGATTCCTCGTCCTCGCCTGATGCCATCTCATCAGGTTCACTCGCCTCATCCTCGTCCTCATCCTCGTTCCCGTCCTCGTCGTCGTCACCCTCCACCTCCGCCTTCTCCTCCTCCTTCCTCTTCCTCTCATCCTCCAGCCTAGCCTCCTCAAGCATCTTGGCCTTTTCGGCCCTAGCCTTGCGCTGGCCGACGACGTAAGCCCCAAGCGGCGTCTTGGCCACGTCAAAGTCGCGCAAGAAGGCGTCGACCTGGGCGCGGTCGCGGGGCGCAAAGTCGACCTTTGCGCGGCGCTCCTCGACGAACTTTGCGTTGGCCTCGAGCTTCTGCACCAGCACGGCGAGCTGCGAGGCGAGCTTGGCGTTCTTGTTGCCCTTTGACCGGGACCGGGCCTGCTTGAGCCAGCGCTTGAGCTGGATGACGACGGGCAGGGCCAGCTCGGGGAAGGCGATCGAGGTGCTCCAGAGCAGCATGTACTCGCCGAGCAGCTCGACGACCTGCTCCCCGACGCCATCCTGGTAGACACGCGTGCGGAGGTACGCCTTGGGGGCCTTGTAGGCGACGGAAAAGTCAAAGGCCTTGAGGGTGCCGGCCTTGGGCGGCTTCTTCATCTCGGCCGACGCGAGCACCTCGAGCAGGGGCGACGCCAGCGGTATGTATGTGCCGGTGGCGCGCGACGTGCGGAGCAGGGCGCGCACGAGGTGGAACTGGAGCGGAAAGTACAGCGACGTGGGGATGAGGCGCATGGTGCCGAGCGTCACCTGGACGAGCGGGTAGATGAGGAGCTTGAGCTGGCTCTCCTTGCCGGCCTCGGCCTCCTTGAGCGGGCTGCAGTGCTCGGCCAAGACGCACGACCAAAAGTCGAGGGAGTGGGTGAACTGCCAGTTGTAGACCATGCGGAACGACTCGTTCTTGTTGTGCACGATGCTGTTCCGCAGGTGGATCGCCAGCTGGCGGATCAAGGTGAAAGCCGTGGTGTAGCCGACGGCCTGGTCGATGCCCCAGAGCTCCGCAGCCGAGTTCTTCATCAGGTTGATGCCCTGGATGGTGTTGTGGTTGGTGACGCGGCAGCCCTGGACAAGGCCCTGGTATACGGTTTTCAGCACCGCCTCGCGGATGCCCTTGTCGCCGATGACGACGAGTCTCCGCAGGACCAGGAAGGCAGTGATGCGAGTCGTCTCACCACTGGCGGGCTGGGCCCAAAAGTTGACGACGGCCTTTGCCAGAGCCCGAATCAGCTTCCTGAAGGAGAGCAGGTAGGGCAGGATCGGCGTGATGGACGACAGCGTCAGCTTGAGCGTCTTTTCGTCTGACAGCGTGCCGAGCAGGTGCAAGATGGACGAGGTGAAGGATTTCAGTAGCAACGACAGCGTCTTGAACTTTCTCGTCTCCATCTGCACATAGACCTTTCCGGCCGCAGACTCCTTGACCGGCAGGTGGTGGTTCATGATGACGGGGATCTCCTTGAGCGCCAGGACCACGACGTCGTTGAAGACTTCAGGGCTGTCAATCGTCCACCGTGCCGGTTTGTCGTCGTCCCCGTCATTTTCGTTGAGGTGGGCCGCACAGCGAAACGCCAGGACGACTTGCCTGGCTGCCCGGAGCGAATGCTTTTCTGCCATTGCCTTCCGCCACGAAGCCACCATGGGACGGGTCAGCTGATTGCTCTGCTCAGCCTCTTGCCCGGCCGCCTTGCCCTTCTTCCGCTTCTTCTTCTGCGGCTCTTCGCCTTCCGACTCTTCGTCGCCGGCGCTGAGCTCGTCGACCTCGGCCAGGTCCGCGTTATCGTCAAAGTCCAAGGCCTCGGGGTCGTTTTCTTGGAGGAACTTGAAGAACTCGGGGTCCTTGTCGGCGAGGCCAGTCATTGTCTCCTTGCTCATGCCCAGCTCGTTGTCGTCGTCATCGTCGTCGCTATCGCTGACGACCGGCTGCTCGGTAACCGACACGGCAGAGTCGTCGCTTGCATCCGCGTCTTGGTCGGCGGGGTCGCCACGCTTGCGCTTGCGAGGCTTGCTGGCCTTCGCATCTCCGCCCTCGCTGCCGATGATGTCGTCGAAACCGCCCTGGAAGAAGTCGTCGACGCTCATCTCATTGACCTTTTTTGCCTTGGAGCCAACGGGCTTTTTGCGCTCGCCATCCTCGCCCTCCTTGGACCCCTTGTAAAACTCGGCATCCTTGGAGCGCCTCGCCTTTTTCTTCTCTTGGATTTGGTGGCGCTGCTTGATCTTGGCGCTTGCCTTTCTCTTGTCGAGGACACCCTTGAGGTGCTTCTTTTCGAACTTTTTCGTCGCCTTGAGGTTCTTCTTGCCGGGCCCCATGGTGAACGGCGGTGACTTCGAACCACGATTGTGGTTAGGAGTGGACGTGAGGATGGTGGTGGTGGGCGAGAACGACAAGGAGCGACGACGATTCTGGAGACCAATTTTTTTTTTCCCGGGCCCAACGGCTATCGATAATGCATCCACATCTGCGCGACAGGCGGTGAGCTTATTCTGCCGCCCGGACATGACGTCCCACTCTTGGAGGCTTGGAGGTGAGCCTCGACGTGTTGCATCTGTCTTTTGCGCTCGCGTCTTTTGGACGACGACGACAACTGATGAGCTCAATGCAGCTGCCCGACTCACCACCATGATGCCCAGACAAGGCTATGCGCCGACCCCGCATAGCTACGTGCCCAACTCCAACCTGACGGCGACCATCAATCTCGACGAGGTCCGTCCGTCTGTCCAGTCCCTCCCGTCGTGGTCTCCGTGTCTGACCAAGTGCTCGCGCGGCGGCGCAGGAAGTCAAACTCACTGAGACCCGCGCCGAGCGCGACCTCCAAGACTCTCTCGCCGAGCTCTTCAGCATCATCGTCACCCTCGACGAGCTCGAAAAGGCCTTTCTTAAAGATGCCATCCCAGAAGCCGAGTACACCGAGATATGCGAGCGGTCCCTCCGGCAGTACAAGGCGCTGCTTGCCGATGAGACGATCACCCGCGAGTTTGAGGGTCTCGAGGAGTTTAAAGCAAAGTGGGATGTACGTCATACCGTGACAGGGCGGATAGAGCGGAGGAGGCGAGGCTAACATCTCGCGCAGCTCGAAGCTCCTCGCGCCACCGAGCGCCTCCGCGTTGGCATGCCAGCAACCACGGTGACCGCCTCCTCCTCGGCCCCTGTAGCCCCCGCAGCCTCGGCCAACAACACGAGCGGCGTGCTCATACTCGAGGCGACGCAAGAGTTCATCACCTTTCTCGACGCCGTCAAGCTCGGCATGCTGTCCAAGGACCAGCTGCACCCGCTGCTGTCAGACGTGATCCAGTCGGTCAATCGCGTCACCGACCAAGACTTTGACAGTCGCGGCAAGATTGTCCAGTGGCTCATCACGCTCAACCAGATGAAGGCGACCGAGGAGCTGAGCGAGCAGCAGGCTCGCGAGCTTGAGATGGACATCCAGCAGGCGTACCAGGGTTTTCGGCGGACCTTGACGTGAGGTGGACCAAGAACGATCTACAAAACCATGCAGATTAGAGTGGCCATGTATAGAAAATCTAGATGTATCCCAATATGCAACCGTTGCGCCCAAAGCTTCTCCGTGTTCCCTACCAGGCCCAAGCCCAACCGTGTCCACAAGCTTCACATTTCAAACCAGAAACGTCCAGAAGCTTGGGTAGACAAACTCCTCCTCAAAGATCCTGCGCACCTGCTCGAGCACAAACCTCTCCACTTTGCCCACATTCTTCAGGCTCTGCTTGCCCCCGTCGCGCTCGCCAATCTCGCTCTCGACCTTGACCTCCTGCAGCAGCCCGGCAAACCTGCCCTTGCGCTTGCGCTGGCCAGCGCCTGGCCCAGAGGCGGCAGCACCGTCCGCTTCGTCATGCGTGTCCTCGCCCGCGTCAGCCTCGTCGGCGCCTACGGCCATGAGGGCGTCGTCTGGGCTGAGGAAGCAGAAGTGGACCCGCTTGCGTATGTGCGCGAGCACACCAACGCCGTCAAAGGACAGGCCCGTGATGCTCAGCTTGATGGGGATCCCGACAAAGCTCGGCATCGGGTAGTCGAGCAGGATCTCGGCCGTCAGGTTGAGCCTCACGTCCCCTGCGTAGCGTATGCGGAATACGGCCTGGACATCCTCAACCCGGGGCTCTTTCCGCGGCCGCGGCGGCGGCTGCGCGTCGCCATCGGGCGCGAGACCCGCATCGTCGTCGTCGTCCAGGTGCGGCGAGTCCCGCGTCGGTGGGCGCGACGTGCTCACCGACGTGGGCGCCAGCGTCGACACGCTCGACTTCTCGCGCAGCAGCTGTGCGTCCGTGTCCATGGCGTAGTCGACCGAGATGCTGCTCTGCGACGGCTGACGGCTGTGGCTGTGTTGGTGCGCGTGCGTCGTCCTCGGCGACGGCTCCTGCACCGCGTGGCCCATCCAGCCGCCGTTGCCAAGGTGCGCGCCGGCGACTGCAGCCAGCGGCGTGTGCGTTCCCGTGCCGAGGTGGCCCTGGAAGTAGTTTCGCCCGGGCCCGCCCAAGATACCCGGCGTCGACGTGCCCAGGAACGGACTGCCCAGGTCGGGGCTCATGATGTCGCTCCTCTGCACCGCCGCCTGTCCCAGTCCCGCCGGCCGTCTTCTATCGCGGCCCGATCCCACGGCCTGCCGCTCCCTCGCCGCAGAGTTGGGCCGGACACGTCCACCGCCAGTTCCCCCTGCTGCGGCGACGGCTGCGGCAGCCACGGCGCTCGCCGCCGCCGCATACTCGTCGTCGCTCTCGTCGTCATCTTCATCGTCGTCGTCGTCGTCGTCCAGATCCTGTTCATAAAAATCCGGCAGTGGATCAGTGATGTCTTTTAGATCCAGCTCGGGCGGGATGCTGCCAAAGTCGAAGCCGTGGACGTTGACGGATCGGATGAAGCGCGGCAGCGGCACCGTCTGGAACTTGTCGTGTATAAAGGTGCGGATGCGCTCGGCGAGAGCATCGCCGTCGGGGCCGCTGGTCAGCGTCTCCCAGTTGAGGTCAATGGACATTGGGACATTGAAGAGGTTTGCATGGGGAAACAATCGAATTCCTTCCCATGTCGTCGGGCAGCTTTGTGGAGGCGAAAGGTTAGTGTTCGTCTCGGCCGATGCCACGGAGTAACTTACAGCGGGCCATGTGCCCCACCCCGCCGTAAGTTTTAATGGACCTGGTCACGGCGTGTGGCTACAGAGAATAATCGCTTCCGACTTCATCGTCTACCAAATGTATTCCAGGAAGAAAGGCCCCAACAACTGCCCCTGTTGCGCCGTGCAGTCCTGCGTCTCGTCATGGGTGTCATAGCATCTTTTGTCGGCGTCAGAAATCCACCACGGTTGTTGGGTGAATCCGCTAGCCTCCCAGTCCCTAACAACCTCGCCATGCTTCGATAGCGGTTACAAAAATCCAACCTACTCTCTTCCTCGTCATTTTTGAAGAGACGCTCTTGTTTTTTATAGATATACCGATGCCTCTCCTCAGCCTGAACATCATCTAGGCCCCTAGAGCACCGGTGCCTCGGCATCCTCAAACCTCGCCCGTCCGTGATACACTGGGTACTGCGGGTTATTGAAGAGGTGCCAACAGTTGGGAGCCTGGAGGATATATCTGGATTCGAGTCGTCAGTACAAGAAAGTCATGGCAAACGCACCACCAATGCAAAACAAGCACTACATACCTCGCCATGGCCTCTCGGAACCGGGACTTGTATTCCTTGGGGCTCGTCACCGTTGGCCTGTTGCGGCCGCCGCCAGCGAAGCCGCGGTCTTTGATCCAGCTCTCGAGCTTCTTGTCCCAGGTGTACGTCCTGATGCAATCGATGATGCCAACCACGAGCTCCTTTCTCTCCTCATCAACCGCAATCATCAGTGAGTAGTCCATCACGTTCTGCCGCGCAAGGAACAGCGTGTCGTTCCACACCGACGCCCTAAGAAGTTTCTTGGAATGCTCCCGCGCGAACAGAGGCGACTCGTAGATGTACTCGACCATGTTCTCGTCCAACAAAACCTCGTTTTGCTCGCCCGTCGACTGGATCCTGCGGTTGCGCATGGACCCCTTGAGATCAAAGATTCTCGAGGGGGATCGATCGTAGAATAGGTTTTCGGTGATCAACAAATCGAGCTTGGTGTCTGTGCCGGTGGTCGGGTTTTTGATGATCACTTGGAAAAAGCCCAGCATTTTAGCAATGACCGAAGGCAGGTCATGGAAAAGGGCTTCTGCCATGATGCTGAAGTATCCAGGCGCAAAGCGCAAGAAGGCCGACGTTTCCACCGGCGAGAGAGACTGTTTCCGCATCTGGTGTCAGCTGTCCGCCCAGGCAAGAATCAAAGGGTTTTGGAAAGAAAAAAACCAGAGACGAAAAGAACCTGGCCGAGGGAGGCCTTACCTTCAGAATGAGTCGGTCATCCAAAGTCTTCAAGAACACAGACTTCGTCTTGCCGCCCCTTGAATCCCATTTGAGACATCTGGACAGTGACTCGACGATTCGTTCGGCAACGCCGCATTTCCTCCGAAGGGCATCAAACTGCTCAGCGTAGAATATCTTGCACGTCATGACAGCCGCGCCCTCCTTGAACTGGTACTTCAGGTGTGTGCCGGTCGCGCGGAGCAGGCTCTTTTCTTGTTCCGTCTCGTCCACCGTCCAATCCGTGCTCTCGGCCGCAGGCAGCGGGCTTGGCCCGGCTTCACCCGCGCTCTCGCTTTCTCGTTGCATCACCACCTCCTGAGCCTCGCGTCTAATCTTGCTCAGCTTCCCCGTGTAATCTTCGCTGTTGAGAGCCAGTGCGATGACGGAACTTGGCTCGTCTTCTCGCACAATAATGTCCGAGTCGACAAAGATGTGGTCGGTCGAGTTGACGGGATACTCGAGCGGCGGCCACCCGCTGGCGGATCTCTCAGCCCAGAAGTTGGTCAAGTACTTCATCAGGCTGGTCTTTTGATGTCTGGGAAGCTCCAGGGGGATCTCGGCGCTCGGCTCTAGAGCATAGGCGATTTCCTTGATGTCCGGGAGAAACTCTTCAGGAACGGAAGTCTCCAGGTCGCTCACCCCGCCCTCGTCGTCTGATGCTACCTGGCTGATATTGGCGTTGCTGGCGTCATCGTTATCCTCGTGTGTTGGCGGCGGGGGTGGTTGTGTCGGCGCTGGCGCTGGCGCTTGCACTGGCTGCTGAGCTTCCAGCCTATAGATGCTCTCTATCGTGGGCGTGGGCGGCTCTGTCGGCGGCTCCGAAATGGGCATCTCCGAGGCCGTGCTTGGCGCTGCGCCAGTCTGCCTTGGTTCCCCCTGAGGCTCTGCAGCGGGTTCAGAAGCTACGGCTGGTTCCTCAAACGCCTGGTTCACGTTATCGTACACCTGCACGATGGCTTTTGTCGACGTCCTTGGCAGTCTGGCCCTGGGCTGACGCAGATTCGCAGCCCGCTGTTTCCGATCTCTGATACGCTCCTTTTCAAACTCGCGGCTGAGCTGCTCAAAGTGTCTCGCCAAGGCTGAGACCCTCGACTCCCTCTTTTTGTGCACTAGCCGGGGGATGCTTGAAGTGGCCCCCTTGGAGCGATGCTTGAGTGCAGTCAGACCTAGGCGATCAGAGAGTTTCTTATCCACTTTGACGGAGGCTTCGGGCTGTGGCTGCGGGACATGCTCAGAATGAGCATCCGACAAGCTGGTGGCGACCTTTGCGTCTTTAGCGCCGAGAGGCTTCCCCGAAGCCGATGCCAGCGGACGGTGAGCTGGCCGCGCTGGGTGAGAGGTGGCCCGAACAATGGGCGGCGATATGTTGGATCCCGATTTCCTGCTGCTCCCTCCGCGCTCAAGCACCGGCTTGGGGATTTCGGTCGGAACCGTTGCACCATCAGCGGCTTGTTTAGACAGTTGAGCCTGCTCGCGGCGCATCTGGTCGATCTTCTCGGACAAGGACGCGCTGAACGGGGGTGGATCTGTAGGACTGCGGCCAGGTCCTGAAGGGGACGCTGGCGGGGACGCTGACGGGGACGCAGATGTCGCGGGAATGGTCTGAGGGGGGCGGAGCCCGGGGGGGGGAGGGCCCGAGGTTGAACTGTGTGGTGTGCTCTCATCAGAGAGAAGGGAACTCTGCTGAGGGATGGGCATGGAAGGGACCTTGACGGGTGTTGGCGAGCCTGCGAGGTCCAGAGGTTCGATCCGTTCGATGGCGCCTTCGGAAATGGGAATCTTACCAAGCTCATCAGCGGGCTGCCTGTCGTCAGTCTGCCTGTCATCCAGGGGTTTGATTGACGCAGCGCTGGTCCCCATGCCAGTGTCGGTGGTGTAGTCCGTTGGCTGGGTGCTCCTCTCATCGGTCTCGGAAAAGGTTTGCGACGGCCGTTCATCACTGTCAGCAGCGGAACCGTTGCCTTCTGTCGACGCGAGCGACTCCTTTGACTCATTGTCTGTGAACATCTTCTTCAGTTGCATGATGGTCAGCTGCCGCATGTCCTTGTCTCCCAAGAAGTCGGCCTCAAATTTGGCAAATGCCTGGTCCCATTCGCCCGCCTTCTCAAGCATCTCCCGCACCAAACTATTGAAAGGGACGACCTCGTAGTATTTGGAGTTGACGTAGATGCTTTGCAGCTGACGGAATATGGCCGGCTGCTCCTCCTGGGTCTTCTTCATCAAGCGCTCAACCTCGGCCTTGCAGGACGCGGCCTTTTCGGGCAGGACGCTGTCGATGCGTATGCTCTTCAGCCTGGCCCTCACCGACGCCATGAACTTGCTCCAGCGTTCCTCCATTTTGGTGTAGATCTCGTTCTTCAGCTTCAGGTCGTTGACGACCTTCCATGTAATCCTTGCCCGAGGCACGACGATTTCGAGCAGGTCAACGGGATCCCAGTGAATTCTGATGCGCGAATCGCCCAGACTAAAATACCGAACGTGGTCCCGGTAATGGTCGTGAGGGCATTCGACCACGTTCTTCAGCCTCAGACCGCGGCCCCAGTAAAGCAGCTCGAGGTATTTCCCAAAGGAGTATTTGAACGTGGCCTCCGACATAGCAGTCTCTTCCGAATCCTTCTTGCAGAGCTTGCAGTATGTCCACATGGTGATGCCGTCACCCAGCTCGGGTCTCCTCGGGCTAATGTGCGGAACGTGCTCCACAAAGACGGTGATGCGGTGCTGGTCGTGAACATACGTTCGATGGTGTTGCACCATCATCTTCTCGCAGCCGTTCGAGTTGCAAATGTCGTTCTTGCTGTAGGCTAGATCCTCAATGTATTGGCCCAGCGTGCAGTCGGGGTCCATTCCGGTGTCCACATGCTGTTCGTCATAGAAGTTGATGGCAATCAAGCTGGGTTCTATGCAAGGAATCTTGGTCTCGGTGCAAATGACAGAGTACAGGACAACAATGTTCTGGTGAGAGTAGGGGTCAAACAAGTCCAGGTTGCCCTGTATGTACGTTTCCCACTGGCGAGTCTGGGTCTGATAGTTGAAAAGGGCCTTGTCGTACTCGGCGTCGTGGACGGCGTGAAGGATTTCCATTATCTGCCTCGGGGCCTTCTGGCCAATCTTCTCAACCATCTCCGGCTTGATGAGCTGGAACTTGTGGCGGCCGGACTTCTCCGAGTCTTCCTCGACCGAGTCTTGGTCCCGGAGTCGCCGGAGGTACAGCAGACGTCTCTCCTGTTCGCGAGCCTTCATCAGAAGATACGGCTGCTTGAACTTGACGTACGGCGACGCCGAGAGAATCTTGGTCTCGTATTTCGCCACCATGTCGCTGTAGAATGTGGGCATCGGCACGTCGTCGGGGACCTGCGTGTCCTGAGATGCATGGCTATGACGCTCGTGAAGAGACACGAGTTTCTGCCGCTCAAGGGGGATTGCTGCCTGAATCGACTGGGCCGACGATTCGGCTTCTTCGGTGCCTCCGCCACCCAAGCTGGAGCTGTCCATGGTGGTCTGAGACGGTAGCTCGCTTTCGCTAGAAGGGTGATTCAGGACGGTCGTCGGACCAGCCCGGAACCCGTCGGTGACGCTGGCTGAGCTCAAAGACCTCAAACTATCATTCAAAGCTTGGAAGGAGCTCGACATGGAGCCATCTCCAGCGTCAGGTGGCTCAATGCACTCGTCCCGGAGGAGGCTCGACTCCAGCTTCAAGTTGTATACGACGTAGACCATGAACTCCATGACCTGCTTCAGTTGGCCGAGAATCATGTTGCTTGCTCCTCGAAGGCCGATGGTGCACCCAAGGTCTGCCCTGCACCCCGAGAGAAAGATGTAGGACTTCTTCCGCCCCGGATGATCATTGTTGACAAAGGTTCTCACCTCAAACGAGGAACACCGACCGACGCGGACCGGAAGCGCAAGCATGTCCAACGTTTCAACGATTTCGGCTTCGGCGCACCGAGCAACGGCTTCGATGACGGTATCTTTGACGTTGTACGCCACCGAGATGTTGGCCTCGGAGAGATATTGCAGCGCGACTCCTGAGACGCTCTTTTGGGCCAGCAGCACGTGAGGCCTCAAATTCGTAATCCGTTGAACCACGACCCTCAAGAACTCCTTTTCTTGCTCGATGACCGGCTGCAGACTCATAAAATGCTGCTGATGGCGCTGATATTCAATCGGAAAGGTGACAAGCACAATCCGGGGGTTCGTGATTCTGCGCGGCATGCTCTTGAGTGCCAAGTTCTTGGTGAAGACGACGCCAGAGACGTAAGCCGTGTCGGAGGGCTTGCCGCCCGGAATTCTCTTGAGTTTGACGTAGTGCCTGATGTCCATGTCCTCACCCTTGGCGACGTCCGGGGTCACATCGTCTGTCAACTGCAGAAGAATGGGCACCAGAGCCTTTTGCCACGCCGCCTGAGATGGGATTCCGGCGTCCGTCAGGAGCTGATGGAGTAGCTTGTCGACGTGCTTCAAACTGGACTGGTTGAGCTCTTCCTTCGGAGACTGCTTGTGTTTCCGAGAAGACTCGCTCCTCGTAATCGGAGCCCCACTCGGGCCCTGGGTGTCCAGAGAGAGGAGCATCTCCGAGGAGGCAGATGGCCCTTTGTAGACTGCGGACTTGGGTCGCGGGGATCCGAGATGATGAACGCTTCCACTCACGTTGCTGAGGTTCCGCCGCCTGGTCGTGCGTCGGTGGCCTACAAGGCTTGCCGGTCCGTTGACATCGTCGAGCACGCCTCGGCTGGCGTAACTCATGCCACTTATGCTCTTCTCGCCCGTCCTACTGTAGCGATGCTTTCTCGCAGCGTTGACGAACGGCGCAAAACCCGATTTCTCGTTTTCGAAACTCGCCGATTGCAGGTCCGAAGTGCCCATGGTTGCAAAGATGCTCACCTGTTCGTCTCCGCTCGAATCATCGGACATGTAATCAGCCAGATCAGGGTCAATGATATTGTCGTCGTGAAAGGCCGGGAGCTTGCTCTTGTTGACGCTGTCATCGTCGATGCCTTTTCGGAACGGGGCTCGGTCGTCGGCGGTGGGAGGGGGAAGAACGGCCGAAGGGTGAGGGGTAAATGGAGGGTTGGGCTTGAATCGACCAAGAAAGCCGTGCTTGGAATGGTGCCGCTTGTGTCCCGCGGACGACTGCGGACGGGCGGTGCCCAGGGACTTGAGAGAACGGGACGAGCCAGGTCGACTTAGCTGCGGAGCATCAATCTCCAGAACAGCGGACGAGCGATTCGACTCCCTGACACGGCGGGTGGCGGGAATGGCCATCATGGGCGTCGACACTGGGCGCGAATCCTCGGAGCCCTCGGAACCCACGGTCAAATCCTGCTCTCTGGCCCTGGCAGACTGAGTGGCTCCGCTGGAGTACTTTGAGTGATTCGGGCCAAAGATTCGTGGCATGAATGACCGTTCGTCACCCGAGTCGTCGGATCCGCTGCCGTCAAAGCGTCGGCTTATAACCTCGAGACAGTTCTTGCAAACCCTCAGAGAGCCCTGCACGCCAAATTTTTCGCCGGAGACCACTGTTGTGCATTTCGAGTCGAAGATGCACCCGCAGGTTCGGCAGTGGTGCTTTCTTCGGAAAGCCGTGAAAGGGGTCTGGCACAGGAAGCACTCCTTGACCGTGTCGTCTTTCATCCAATACTCTTTGCTCAACACTTGGCGTCGCATCTTGTCCAGCTGAGCGTTCATCTGATCCGACGCTCTTTCTTTACCTCCAGTCGTGCCCGGAATGCGGCCACCAGCAGTCCGCCCGTGGTGAGGAGCCGTGGTGCGTGAATCTTGATTGAACGACGTGTGGTAGACAAAGTTGTGCGCTGACGTGTTGATGGGGCTGGCTTCAGCAGCGCTGCGGTCAAGAGACGACTCTCTGGACTCGAGATCCCCCGGGGACCTGGAGCGCGTGATTTTGGCAATGACAGCTGGCCGTCTGTGCACGCCGTCTGGCGAAAGCATGGAAGAGGTGATGGAAGGGTTGCGGACGTGGCGGTGCTGCGCCGTCTTGAGGGCACTGGGGGGTGCACCCTTTGCAGGGTTCGAAGCGACGTCGGCGGTGCCGTCAACGCTGGAGCCGTCGTCCCTCGCAGATTTGGAAGAAAGTTTGCTACCGTCCTTGGCATCGTAAACGCTGGCGGGAGAGGAAGAGTCGGTCGTCGACAGGTGCGCGTGGAGCTCGGGTCTACCGAGGCTCCTCCGGCTGGAGGCTTGGCCGCCGTTGCTGTCCTCTGTCCGGACGGTGCTACGACTGGCCTCGCGGTGCACTGAAACGGGCGCAGTGATGGTAGGGTCGGCAACGATGGCACTCGTGGCTTTGGTGGGGAGACTTTGGCGGCCAGATGTATGCGACAGCTTTTGGCCGGACATGAGATTGATGCTCGTGGGCTTGGACGACTGCGTCATCTGCGAGCGACTGCTCAACTCGGAGGTGGTGATGGTGAGGGCGGCCGAGGAAACTTCCGTCATGGGAGTCGGCTGTGATGTAGAAGGGGTGGCAGCCAAGGCGGTCGTGTCGGCGCGGCTCAGCGACGATATAGAGGGCCGGGACGAGTGGCCGTCGGCGATCGAGGTCCGTTTGGAGGCAGCATCCGCGTTGTCGTCAGGGATCGCCTCCTTCGGGGTCGTCTTGGTGGGACTAACGCCGCCGACGGCTTCCCGAAAGCGGGTGTAGAGGCCGCTGAGGCCATGCTGGACCAGTTCGCCCGCCGTGCCGCGGCCCTCCAAGGCGGGCAAACGCTCGGGAGGGGGGGCAAAGTCGTTGAACGTCGTCAGGGAGTCGCAGCGACTGGCCGAAGTGTGTATCTTGTCGAGAGCGTGAGCCAGCTGCTCCTTGTCTACAGTCGAGCTCGCCGACATGGAGTTGATGGAGCCGCGGCGGCCCGGGGCGCTTGTGGGCGAATCGCAAGCGGTCAAGGCAGAAGGGGTGTCTGGAGGCTTGGACATTGTGGTGCTCGACGTGGCCCGTGGCCCGCGGGCTTGGCCAAGAGATGGCGGGCAAGTTGGACTGGTCGAGGCGGAGGGTAGGACAGAGAGGTCGAGGGCGTGAGCGACGCGGCTCGTCAAGCAAGGCCCTGGCGGTCAGTCAGGTCCGCAGATGGTAAGGAGCGGCGCAGGATATACGGCGCGTAGCAACCATGGTGTAGGCTGTAGGTCCAAAGGGCTGTAGGAGAAGGGAAAGGGGTTTATGAAAGGGGGAGGCCGTAGCAGACGTATGTAGAGCAAGGGAGGGGTCGGGATGGAGATGGATGTGCGCTTCAGATGCCACAGCCAGGCGCGTTAGTCGTACGCCGACGGGCAGGTACGTATACATCCAAGGGAAAGCAGCAAACACCCGGTCGCGGGGGGGGCAATTGGTGGCACACGCAGATCCGAGATGACGGTGTCGGGCAGCAGGCGAGGTTGGACGGTCGAAGCAAATGACGACGCGTTATCGACTGCGGCTCTTCAGGTATGCGACCGCATCACAGCCAAGAAGGGTCTGGATTTACCTGTAACGAAAGGTAGACGGTGCCTGTGCGCGGGAGACTTGGGTACCTGCACGGTACATGCCCCCACTGTCGAGAACCGCATCGTGCCTCGGTACCTACTTAGCGGCGGCCAAGGGCCCCTAACAAAGCGGGAGAAGCCTTGGGCTAGCGCTTCTAGGAGACCCTGCAAAGGCAATGCCAGCGAGACAATCACGCCCCCAATCCAGCCACCTGGACGACGGCAGTCGATGTACTCCGTACGGACATGCACATAACGAGTCGAGATATCCCACCTTCAGCACCGTCCCGTCCCCCCAATTCCATCGGCCTTGGCTGCCCGACAAGCTGACGCCGCCAAGCAAGCCATGGCTGCAGTACTCCGTACTTGCTCCGTACAAAGTGCCGCCAACATGCCGCCAACATGCCGCCAACATGCCGCCAACATGCCGCCAACATGCCGCCAACATGCCGCCAACATGCCGAGCCCCGCCAGCGCACAATGTACCCACTCAGGGCCCTTCTTCAGCTGCCGCGTCGAGCCGCCCACCACAACCTTAATCACTCGCCCATCGCCACTCCAATTCGAGTCCTATTTCCACCGCCGATCGCGTCTCTCTGGCAGACGAGACTCGCAACTTGCTTTCTTAGCTCGCGGCACATGTCGGGACCCCCGGAAGCGTCGCGACACCGCGCGCCATGTCGATCGCGTCGTCGCCTCGGCAGGACATCGCGGCGCTGCTGGGGCGGCGGTTTCTAGCCGTCATACCCAAGGACCAGCTGCGACTGCTCGAGCAGCCCGATTCGTGGGCGGCAGATTTCAAGAACAAGCCCCACGGGCAGGCCCATATCCCGGGACATGTCCTCGAGACAACCAAGCAAGCTTACAGGGCCAGCAGCCGCAATGAGGACCAAGGCGAGAGCGGCATCCAGAACGAAGACAGCCATGGACACGCGCCGGCCTCTTCCGCGGCCCTGGATGGCATGCCCTCATCTTCACCTGAAAGGAGCATACCATGGAGTCAATCGCCCAGCCGGAGCCGGCCTCCACAGCAAGCTCATGTCGATTCGTCAGTCATTCACGAAACTCCCAAATCCGCATCTTTCAAGGCTCTCCCTCCGCCAACCGAATCGCAGCGGCCGCAGGACCTCGACTCGGACGATGCAATGAGCAGCAATGACGAGGACGATCTAGAGATGGCGCTGCCCCAGGCCCAGGTTGCGGCCGACCCTCCGGTCAACATGGCTGCAGCGCGTCTGGCACCGACGCCGACGCCGTATCGGGCCGACAACACACAAGCGGTAGACACGCCGCCACCCTGCGCTCAGCCCAGCCAACCCGTCGTGATTCCCGCAACCGCCGCAAAGAATGTCAAGTCGTGTCCTCCCCAGCCCTCCGTCGAGGGTCGGCGCCATCGACACAAGTTGATTGTGCTCAACAACAGTACGGTCAAGCCCGTGGCTTCTGCGACGGCCGGGAGGAGAATGCCCGCCACCAAGATGTTTGCCGACGTCAGCGGCTCCCATGATACTACATCGAGCTCAATGGTCCCGGCAACCTCCCAAGACTCCTCGGTGCTCGACGGTGTGGTGACGTCCATCGAGACGACTTCAGATCTTGTCCCACCTGCCCCACGACCGGAGGCTAGCCGCACGGGTCAAGGCGGTTGGAGCGTTGCTGCCGCTGATGCCGCGCAGCCGACGCATCCCGGTCAGGTAGAGCCCCTCGTACGTCAAGCAGTACAGGCGTGGGCGACGGAGCCCGCAACTCATGAGATGAATCCGTATCGAGTGTTCGCGGCGGAGTATCCCGACTATGTGGCATGCCATGGCGGAAGCCTGTGGAATTTCGTCAGAGCATGCGTGTGCGTGGATTATCTACGAAGGGAAAGAATGCTGAGGGAATGCCTGTTTGACGACTTTGTCCGGGCGTTTTCAGTAGGCTACTTACAATATGTCGCCCGAGCAGGGCCCGGCCAGGAACCCCTTCCCGCCATTGAATGGTTCAACCTCCTGGGCGGCGCGCCGCTCTACAACCGAATGGTGGTGTCGAGAAAGAACTTGGATGCCATCCTCGCCGCCTTCCCGGAAGAAGTGAAGAAAGCCCGCAACATCATCAGGGACGACGACGACGACGACGATGCCATCCAGGAGGCGAGGCCGGCGGAAAGGGAGCCGTCCCTCGTCACCGGACCGATGCCATCTGAATCGCCGGAACCGAGGCCGGCCCATACTCCACGCAGTGCCATTGGTGTGGGCCGTCTGGAGACTCCCAGCGCGGGGCGGCGGCCCTCGCGACTGCAGACTCCTCCGGTCCCGCGTCCGCCGTCCCCGCAGCTGGGCTCGGATGGTCCTGTTCCACCCTCGGCCGCGCCCACGCCTTCGGCTTCGGCCAGGTCGAAACGTCCCCCCCTGTCCCAGTACCTCACCCTGCTCACTACCGCCGGGAGGCTGGGGTCGGCGAGAAAACGATCGGCCGAGGACCAGGAGCGGCTCCGCGAGCACTTTCGGCGGCGGAAACTGAGCGGCAAGCGGAGCGTTGCGAGCAGCAGCTGAACGAGTGCGCTCCCGCAATTGTTTCGCCCAGCTGCATGATGAATCTCGATGTTTTCTTTTCCGATCCGGCGTGTGCAGTATTGCCGAGGGTCCGCTGTACAAACAAGATGCACAGCAAGTAGGAGTCTTGGTCATGGACGAACAGCACGTCTACTCTCAATGTTCTGCTGCGCACTGCACTTGAATGAAATGCTTGGAGTCTTGGCTGGTTGGCCTAAAAAACTTGGGCTCCAATACCCTCGCGTCATTTTGCATCATCTATCGATCTATTTAAATTTTGAATGGGCACGAGACGAACAAGAAACTGCACGTTGGTCCAGACAGATGATGAAGGCGTGTCTGGGGAGCAACTTGGCTTGCATTTTGCGCGTAGATCTTCCTCCGGCCACTGATTGCCATTGCCGGGTATGCATAGCTGTGTAAGTAAAGAAGCCCCCTATTTGCTGCTCAAGTGCCCGGGTCGTGGGGAAATGTCTCCTTGGGGAGATTCTGCTGTCTAGTCTGCGTCTGCACCGACACTCTCGACATTGTGAATTCGAGATGAAGCGGCGCGAGCATAATTGGCTTTTCTTCCTTTTCCTCTCCGTCTTTCCTCTTCCCCTCCAAATCTTTCTTCCTTTGGTCGGTGACGGTAAGCACGTATTGGCGGAGGCCAATCAACCCTTTTTCCTTTTTTTCCCCTTCTGAGACATTAAGCGGGCGGGCATCGGCTAAAGCCTCCTTCATGTCTCGTCAGTCGACGGCTGCTGGGCCGCCTCCTTGGCCGCCTCGTCGTCCTTCTTCTTCTTCTGCTGCCGGACCTCCTCGTCGGGGGTCAGGGTCCTGAGCTGGAGGGCGTGGATGCCGTTCTCGAGGGCCATTTCATCGCGGAGGAGGGCGTAGACCATGCGGTGCCGCGCGGGCTGCATCTTGGACTGGAAAGCGTCCGAGGTGATGACGAGCCTATTGATGCGCCGGGGGGAGAGGGGGTTGTGTTAGTGGAGACGGACGCGAGAAAAGAGGAGAGGATCCATGGATGGCCCGCAGGAGCCGGGGAGGGGGGGAGAGGCGGTGAGAGGCCGAGGATGCACATACCTAAAGTGAGTCTCGCGCGAGGTGTTGCCCTGCATAGGCTTGTGGTGGGCGTGGAGATGGGAGTCGTTGTAGATTTCCAGTGTCTGGGGATTCAGGGCCGCGGTGATCTGAGACGCGCAACGGCCGGGGGTGTGTGAGTAATTACCGCATTGTCTTCAAGGTTTCTGGCTTGTCGGTGGCCGATTGAGTAGTAGAAAAGGAAGGAAAAAAGAAGGGCTGACCTTTGCACGGATGACATCCTCCATCGGGGTGCTGGAGCTCATGGTCGAAAACTGGCGGCCGACGCTCGAGAAGCCGAGCGCATACCTTCGCAACATGCGGGGCGGTGAGGCGGAGGCGGTGGTGTGTCGTTTTGTTGTTTTGAGGATGCTGAGGTTGTTGCAGAGGCTGGGAGAGGCCTCTGGACTGGGTGAGTTCAGCCGGGGCACGGGGCAAGGGAGCTTGCTGTGCACTGGGATATAGCAATTGGCAGGGCGCGGGGCGTTGCGGAATCGAAGAAGGGTTGAAGGAGAGAGAGAAAGGAAGCTGCCCGCCCCTCTTGAAGCAAAAACAAGTCTCCGGTGGATGACTTTTTTTGCCCTCGCCTCGCCAGCTTTTTATTTTTTATTTTTCTCACCTTTTCCCCTTGTCCCGCCCGTCCCCTTGATTCGGTGAAGTCGGTGAGATGTACTGCGTCAGTTGCAGAAGGGCTCGCAGTGGCCTGCAGGCGGAGGGGATCCAATGGGGCGCCGCTGAGCCAAGGAAGCGGTGACCGGGGCGGAGGGGGGCCTGGGCTGGTGGGCGTCAGGGAGCCGAACTTCTGGATAAAGGTCTCCGCCCCCCTGGTGGCACGACACTGCGCGCAACCATGCTCAGCCAATGGAAGCCACTCCGTCCAGCACCAGAATGCCGTGTCTGGGTAGGGCGGACCAGATCGAGCCATGGCCCTGCTCACGTTTGCCTTGCCTGGCTGTGTCGCGCCTGGTGCTGCACGATGCAGACTCTCCCATGGCCCCCGTTCCCCCGGTCTCGGGTGGACGGCGCGGCGGTCAGCAAAGCTGGTCTAGCGCAGCGTGGCGGCCTCGAGCCCGTATCCCGGCATTCCGGTCCTCGGGCGGCTGCTCGTTCTTGATCAAGCCTTCCAAGCTTCCCATCTGGATCCTTGCCCATTGCATCTCGAGTCGTGCTCTGCTCGGCTCGGCTACCCGCCGCGACGCCCTCACCATCGGCGGGGCGCCTTGCACGCCTGCCGGGCGGAGCCATTCAGAAGTCGACTCCGTCGTGGAACCACCAGCACGGCCACTGTATGTAGCCACCTTGCCACAGCGTGATGCTTCGTCGCCTGCGTTTCAAGACGCCGGCATCATGGCCTTCCAATTCTTCAACCTGCTCGCGCAATAATCCCTCTGCGTTGCTTTATTATTATTATTATTATTATTGTATTTTCCGTCCAGCGACCTTTAGGTCGCTCAGGTCCCCGAGACGGGGCACAGGACGTGCTGAGCTGCTGGAAGTCTACTATCGCGGAGTAGGCCCACAATACGCGAAACGAAACGAGTACCAATCCGCGTCTTCTGCCCCTTCCACAGAACGTAAACAATCCACCATTCAGCATTTCATCGGCTCAAAGGCGCTTCTTTGCTCAGCCTGCTGCCCGTCAGCGGGACGTTCAGGCGCGACAGCCATGTCTTTCGTTTTGGCCTCACAGGGCCGGTTCCGGAGAGCACCCTCCGCCCGGCCGAGTCGGGTAAGAGAAAATGGTGTGTGTGCAAACAAAGGGAAGGGAAGGAGGAAAGCGGTTGCTGCCGCCTAGTGGCGAGGGCAGATCGTTCCAAAGAACGAGCTTGCCTTCGCCACCTTGACGAACTGGTCGAAGTCTCTGCCTATTGCTCGGTTGACCGCCGCGCTCGGTGAGGGTGCCAACCTCATCCGATGTCGCGGCGCGATCTTCCGGCAATAGAAGAGATGCTTGGTTCTTTTCGTCGACCACATGAGCACGTCAGTCGCGCATCGTCGTGGTTCAACCTTTCGTGGTAATCAGCGAAGTCCCCGTGGTGGGTTCTTGCTGCGAGCAGATGGTGGAGCAGAGGTCGTGGAATGGTAAGTTCTGGCGGGCAGCCAGTCGTGGCATCGAGGTCGAGGACCCTGTACTGTTGGGGTGCAGAAACTTCCCACCAGGCTTTGAATGCGTCTTTTGGTCGCTGCCTAGCGACCTTGCGCAGATATGCCAGCGTCGGGAGAGCGTCTGCAGGCTCGGGTTGAGAGGTTCCTGCCTTTGCTAAGGCGTCTGCCTGCTCGTTACCTGGGATGTTGGTGTGGCGGGGATCCAGCGGATCTCAGTGGCACCATGTTCTGCGGCCAAGGCCTGGAATTCCAGGAACTCCTTCTGGGAGGAATCTGACGGCATGCCTTGAAGACACGTCGCGACCGCGAGGTTATCGAGGCATACGACAATCTGGTCTGCAGCCGGGAGGCTCAACGCAGCACGCAGACCCTCTAGGAGCCTCTCGCCTCGGCATCAAAGACCTCAGCAAGCCCAAGACGGCCGTTACCGCTGAGGACGGTGAGTCCATCCTGATGTACCGCATAGCCGTACCCCGCGGCTCCTCCGGGAGAGGGATCCGTCCGAGTAGACGATTGCTGTCCGTGGAGCAACTGATTGGAGCCACTCGCCGAAGTTTGCCGCCGATTCTTCTTTCGGCGCAGTTTGCAAGGGTCCACGCTGGTCGCTGGCGAACCTACGTGCGAGAAGGTCTGGCCTGGCGCACCTTGGGAGCAGCTCGTCAGTGCGACGCAGTCTGGTCCGGAAAGGTTGTCGTGGACGCTGGTATTTTAACTTAATGGCCCTGTTGATGACAGGGCCCGGATCGGCTTCGTTCGCACCGCAAGCGGGTGCGCTTCGTCGAGGACTTGAGACGGGCTGCGAAGCGCGTTCGACACGCCTGGAGCAGGTGCGAAACTGGCGGTATGCCCGCCTCCCGGTGCCTGGCGCTGAGCGGCGTCGTCTTCCAGACCGGGAGGATGGCTCGCATGGCCGTGTTGAGCGACTTGTCCATCCGCCGGATGAGGTGCCGTATTCTTGATGGCCCTTCCTTTGCCGGCTTATTCCATCGCGGGCAGGTCATGCCCGGGTACCACGCCTCTGCCCCAAAGAACAATTGCGGCTCGATGCAGGCGCGGACGGCTCTCCGGACCGCACCTGGTAGGGGGCCGCGGTTGGTATTTGTCAAACCCTTGAGATGGTAGGCCACTGCTTGCGCTTTGGCAGTCCACTTCTCGACGTGCGTCTTGAACGTCAGGGTGCTGTCAAGCCAGATGCCGAGCCACCGCATGGCTGAGCCTGGCCGCTTTCTACCTCGCCATGGAAGACTGGAGGTGCATTCCTCGGTGTAGTTCGGGAGAAGTGCATGACTTCAGTCTTCTTGGGGTCGAAGGTTATCGCGTTCGCGGTGCCCCATGTCATGAGTTCGTGAACATGTTTCGACGCTCTGTGGGCAGTCTCCTCCAGGAGTCTCCGACGCAAAGGACGGCAGTGTCGTCTGCATAGCCGAAGCGCCCTTGGGGTTGCTCAGGCGGTAGATTGGCTCTGTGTATAGTAGGAAAAGTATGGGAGAAGCTGGCGATCCTTGCGGCAGTCCGCACTGCAAGGGTGACGAGGGTGTCATGACATCCTGGTAGCGGACACGTGCTGCTCGGTCATGCATAAAGGAGCCAGCCCAACGAGCGACATTCCGAGGCCATCCTTGCTGCCGAAGGCGAAGAATGAGCCTGCTACGAAGGACAGTGTCGAAGGCGCCTTCGACGTCCATTGTCACGAGTGTGGCGACCTGCTTGCGCGAGAAAGCCTCCTCGATGTCGTGTACCAATGCGGCGACAAGGTCAACAGCGGACCTTTTCGGCAATGCGCCAGCTTGTTGTGGGTGCAAGACACCATAGTGGACGGATGCCCACGCCAAACGGCGCGCAATAAGCCGTTCGAGGCCTTTGCCCAGACAGGAGAGAGATTGGACGCCAGGCGCGGGCCTCTGACAGGTTCCGTCGCCCTGGCTTCGTGATCATAACCACTTCCGCTTCCCTGAAAGGCTTAGGATGGTGACCGATGTCGAGACAGCCCTGATACAGCTTGTGGACGAGGCTTCCAATGGTATGCCAGACGGCACGGAGCATCTTGACCGTAATGTTATCGGAGCCGGGAGAGGTGTTACCCGTGCGAAGGGTCGCGTCCCGGACCTCCTCCAGGGAAACGTTCTGAGCGAAAGGAATCGTCCTCGCTGTGTCCACTGGGACCCACGGATCCGTGATGTCATCCTGCGAAGTGCGACGTTCGAGCGTTGCTCGTCGCAGGGCGTTGGCTTTGTCTAGTTGGGTCTCATAGACGGTATCATCCACTTGCAGAGGCGGTGGTTGGAAAGCACCGGGCGATCTCAGCCAACGGACCGCCTTGAAGACGGACGCACTGTCCGTGAAGCTGTCAATCAGATCGCGCCAGTAACGGCGCTTGACTCGCCGCACGACTCTCTGGAACTTCCTTTCGCGAGCTGAACCTCTCGGCCGAAACCGAGAGCGTAGACTCTCCTCACTGCGCGATACTCCACCGCGGCCAAGGAGCATTCCTCCGTCCACCAGGGCGCGCTGCGTGCGCCCTTGCGGACCGGCCGGCCTGCAGCTTTGGCGGCAAACTGAAGTAGGTTAGTCACTGCTAAGGCAAGTGAATCCAAGTCTTGAGGGAAGCGGTTGACGGCTCGATAGCCGCCACGCCGTTTTCAACCATCTCTACGAAGCGTCTTATTTCCTCGTCAGAGGTAAGGCGAACCTTCCCAGTGGGTGGGGGCGCTACAGCGAGCTCAGGCAGGGTAGTGCTGAGCGTGAAGTGGTCGGAGCTGGTGGCAAGATGGTCTTCCACCACGGCATTGGCCAAGGCGATATTAGAGAAGGCAAGGTCGATCGTATTGCCACGAGGATTTGTCGGGACGTCAGCCGGGTTGAGCAGGTTCAGACCGTTGGCTGTCGCCCATGCAGCTACAGCCTCGCCGCGGCCCTCGATGCGGCCGGCTTGCCAGCTGTGGTGTTTGGCGTTGAAATCGCCTGCTACCAGACATCTGTTTGGCGCGGGCCATTGGAGTAGTATGTCGAGGGCCTCGTCGTATGACGGTTGGCGGTAAACGTTGACCAAAGTGATGTCGTTGACCGTGAGCCAAAGAATGTCACGAGTTGCCGCGGGCCTCCTCTGATCTACCATCAGCCCAGGCCTGCGGCGGACATAGGTCATGACTCTGGGTCGGGTGCTATTGTCTTCCCAGCTGTCAACCGGGAGAAGGTGTCGTAGGCGGGATGTGTTTTGGTAAGGCATCGGCCGCCCTTTGTTTCTGTCCATGGCTCCTGGAGGAGCACCACATCGTAATGTTCGGAATCGGCGAGGGCAAGGGCGCAGTCGTGCGCCGGCGAGATCTTGCCCACGTTCGCTTGGAAGACTCGCAGAGTCTTATTGCCACATTGATTTGTGCGTGGGTATCTCGTCATGGAGAGACAGAGTCCTCAATGATGCGTCGCTTCTTCGTAGGAGAAGCAGATCTGTGTCGTTGGCCTCCACCCGGAGGTTTGGGTGCCGAGGCCATCATGACGGAAGGCGGGGTTACGGTCCTGGTCGAGCTTAGGTCGATTCGCTACCGCGCCGTGGGGCTTCGTCATGAGGTTGGGCTTGCTGTCCGTCGTCCCGGGCAGCACTTGAGGTCGGGGGTGAGGTGCGTCGATTCCGAGGCGGTCTCCCTGTCAGGCCCAGGCGTTACTGTCTTTTCGGTGACACCACCCGGCGAGCAGGTGGCATCCCGTTCGGGCTGCTCGGATCGTTCTACTCTTTCGTATTGTTCCTTTCGCCGGGCGGACAGTTGAGCGCCCAGCTCTCTGCGTTGCTTTAGCCTTTCCAAGTGCCAAACTCTAGGGTAGGGGGAGCCAGGCCACACATGTCAACGACGCATCTCTCTCGGTCTCCTCTCCTCCAACCTTGCTTCACCCATCACCGTCTCACAGCCTGCTTGCCGCTCAATCTGGTCGCCCTCTCGTCTTACCCCTTCTCTCCCTCAGCCACAAAACGGTCCCTTCCAACTGCTCATGATACGTCACTGCGTGCTCCCGCCAGCCCTCCGGCGCGTGGTCTGCCGCCACCCCCCACTCACCTCCCTGCGCAGCAGCAGCAGCTTCTTCCGCCGCTTCCCCTCGCCCGCCAGGATGGCCTCGACCCTGCCGCGTCTGCCCATCTTCCGCGCCATCGCCCAGCACGACCCCGCGTCTCCCGCCGTGCTCCACTCGGCGTCCGGCCGCAGCTTCGCATATGGCCAGCTGCTCGGCGATGTTGCCCGTGCGCGCGACCGGCTGCGCGAGGCCAGCGGCGACGCCGACCTGGCCGGGGAGAGGATCGCCTTTCTTGTAGAGAATAGCTACGACTATGTGGGTAAGCGATCTCGGACTTGGCGGCGCTGTGTTTCTACGCTTGACCTGCAACTTGCCCCATCTTGACATGCAGCATCGGGTCCTCCAATGGCTAATATGGCTCCCCACGCTCCTCTCTGAATCCCCTCAGTCACGCTACTCGCCGTCATGGCCGCACGCTCCATAGCCGTGCCCCTGTCCCCCGCCTTTCCCGCGTCTGAGCTGCAGTACATCCTCAACCACAGCGAGGCCTCGCTGCTCGTGTCCTCGTCCAAGTTTGCCGCCAAGGCTGCCGAGGTCCTGGCCACCGACCTGACGTGCAAGCCGACCCATCTGCAACTGGCAAAGCATGTCGGCGGCCGAGCAAGCGAGCACGTCACTCTGAGCGACATGGACGGTGACAATGCCGCTGGCTTGATGCTGTACACTTCGGGGACGACGAACCGGCCGGTGAGAGAATGCCCCCCCCTTGCCTCTACCCGCAGAGTCCTGACAGCCTACTCCTTCAACCCACGAGGTAGAAAGGAGTCCTCCTCCCGCACTCGGTCCTCACGGCGCAGTCGCATTCTCTGATGCAGGCCTGGAAATACTCCTCTTCGGACCGCCTGCTGCACGTCCTCCCCTTGCACCACATCCACGGCGCCGTCAACGCCCTGCTAACCCCCCTCTTCGCCGGCGCCTCGGTCGAATTCATGTTCCCCTTTAACGCCGACGCCGTCTGGAGGCGCCTCGCCGCCCCCTTTCTAGCCACCGGCGCCCCCTCGCAGCTGCCCGTCACCTTCTTCACCGTCGTCCCCACCGTCTACAGCCGCCTCTTGGCCAGCCACGGATCCCTCCCCGCCGAGCTGCACGAGGCAGCCCGCCAGGCCGTCTCGCCCGAAAACATGCGCCTCAGCATTTCGGGCTCCGCCGCGCTGCCCACCCCCGTCAAGGCGGCGTGGAGGGAGCTCAGCCATGGCAACGTCCTGCTCGAGCGCTATGGCATGACCGAGGTCGGCATGGCCCTCAGCTGCGGCCTCGACTTTGCCGACCGCGTCGATGCCAGTGTCGGCTGGCCCCTACCCTCGGTCCAGGCCCGCCTCGTCGACGTCGACACCGGCCACGTCATCGCCCCCGGCCACGAACTCGACGCCCACGGCCGCGAGCGCTCCGGCGAGATCCAGCTCCGCGGCCCCACCATCTTCCGGGAGTACTGGCGCAACCCCAAAGCCACGGCCAGCGAGTTCGTCGACGACCCGGACGGCGGTGGGCCGTGGTTCAAGACGGGCGACGTCGCCCTCCGCCGGTCCGTGCCCGTGGCCGGCCGTGGCTCCCAGCCCTGGGCCGTTGGTCCCATGTACTTTGTCCAGGGCCGCATCAGCGCCGACATCATTAAGACGGGCGGCGAAAAGGTCAGCGCTCTCGAGGTCGAGCGCGAGCTGCTCTCCCTGCCAGAGGTCGCCGAGGCAGCCGTCGTCGCCGTCCCGAGCGGCAGCTGGGGTCAAAAGGTAGGCGCCGTCGTCGTCCTCAACACGGACCTTGTCCAGAAGTGGACTCCCCTGGATATGCGTCGTTCCCTCAAGAGTCGTCTCGCCGCATACAAGATCCCGCAGACCATGAAGGTTGTCGATCAAATCCCCCGCAACGCCATGGGCAAGATCAACAAGAAGCAGCTCGTCCGAGCCGTCTTCGCAGACGAGTTTAGCGGCGACGAGTCGTAACCTTCAATGCCGTAACAGACTTGAGAATAGGCGGTGTACGAGTATTGGTGTACAAACTAATTACGGCAATTTTGTAAACGAGGATAGATCTATAGCTCAACAATACGCGCGACGTGGCTGCCACCGTCATGGTCAACGCAACTTGTCTAGCTCCCCACGAGGAGCGAGCAGTCTGATCAAAGCTTGAGAAATCTATGCCCCCGTGCAATACCTGCTGCTCTGTTGAGACGCCACCGACTAAGAAGCTAGGGGAAAACACACAGAAAAAGAAAAAGAGAAACCTGGGAGCTTCCGAGAAACGCCACCATGAACTAGATTTTGGCCCAAACGATACCATGGATACCGTCCACCAGCTGATCGAGCCATCTGATCCGAGTGCATGAACCGCGAAGTCCGTAACCACACCACTTCCCGTCAGCCGTCGAGTGCATCAGAACGAGACTGCATATCGAAACAGGCCAGAGAATCAGAGTAGGCGGATATCCGGAGGCCCATATCATTTTGCCTCGTCTCCTTCGCCCTGCCCACAACGCCGATCCATTCTTTCCGCATCTATACAACATACTTGGCCTTGGCTCTCGTGCTTCCAGAGTGCGCACTTTCGGTGTGGCCGGAGAACTCGACCTGCTCGTTGGCCGGCAGCTCCAGAACCTCCTTGAACCGCCGACCAATCGACATGAGAATCTCTTTGCCCTTCTCGCCAGTACGCCCCTTGCCGCCAGCGACATCGCCGTCGCCGCGGCCAGGGACGCTCTTGCCGATGGTGCCAGTCCAAACGCCAACACGGTAGAATGCCTTGCGGACATTGACGACGACACCCATGACCTCACCGTCGTCCTCGTCCTCGAGCGTCTCGCCGATGGCGCCCATCATGACCTGTAGCCAGAGGCGGTCGATGTCGATGGCTCGCTTCTCCTTGTACTGATAAGACCACTTGCCGCCATGCTTGTTCTGGGGGTCCTCCCATTCCGGCCGCACGCCGGCCTTGAACAGATGGTAGTCCGCCTTTTGCGGCAGTTCGGAGACGGGGGCGACATTATTCTGTAGGAGCGAGGTAAAGGAGCAAAGTTAGACAGGGCGACAGCCTTTAAGACGGATCCGACTTACGTAAACGCCCCAGAATTCCTCAACCGAGTCGAAAGTGATGACTTCCTTGAGCAAATCATTCCAGTTGTCGCCCTGGGGTGCCGTCAGCCAGTGAGCCGATTACAGAAGCGAGGCGCCAACCATACCTTGCCACTTGGGGGCTTGGTGAACCAAAGAGTCCACTTGTTCTGGAGGGGGTGCTTGACATTGAAGTTGTCCTTGTCGTGAAAGACAGTGACAGGCTTCTTGTCACCGGCGTTGACATTGGTAGGATCTTCCTTACCGCCAGGGGAGATAGGGATCGTCGACAGGTCGACCTGCTGGTCCAGCTTCGAAGTTTCGGTCGCGGTAGCCGCCATTGTGTCCCTTTCTATGACGAAGGGAGAAGCGTGGTTGTAGAGTTGACTGGCGATTTGCCGTGCGTGGGGGAACGCCGAGGCGGGCGTTGGTCGATGGTGGGAGTCTTTGCGCGGTGCCTGAGAGATGGGAGGACGGTTGCGCGAGTCAAGGAGGCAGAAATAGATCGACTACTTCTCCTTCCGATCGAAGATGGCGACGGTGCGACTTTGCTCCAGGCAAAGATCTCGCAGGAGAGAGCGGTGGTGCAGAGGATGGAGGGGGAAAAGATGGAAGTGCGAGGAGGAGGGAATGGCTTTCCGGAATCGCTAGCAGTCAACGAGTCGCAAAAATTCCGTGCTTGGGGGGGATGGACTTGCCGCAGCGAGAGTGCGCACGAGTCACGGGAGCCAATCAAAATTGGTGCCTGGATCATCAGGCGCCCACGATCACTTCTGCTTACATAAGGGATTTGCCATCTTGCCTCAGATGGCGATTGGAGTCCTCGACTCCTCCCTTGGACGAGACCTCCTTCCGCCCGGCTATTGGAGGGAACGAACCGTGCCGCGAAGAGGGACGACAAAGCGGCTCAAAATTTCTGCAACAGGCTGACATTGCGTCTCTGGATTGGATCAACCGCTTCCTCACGCCCTGTCGAATGCCCTGGACAGGTGGTGACTTGCTCTCTCATACACGAAACCCGCGTCCGACTGCGATGACACAACGGCAACGGCCCAGGCATTTGCTCCAATCCCGTATTCCGCACGACTTGGCCGCCGGGGCATTGAATGGACGCTGGCACAATGGCTCAGTGCCACATTTTCCGATTGTGATGTCAGTCGGAGGGGTTTAGATTGAGCCATGAACGAGTGAATACAACCGGCGGTGGAGCTAGGAGTTGCCGTCATGGAACAGAGATATATGTGCTAACGGGCAGTCGGCGATCATATTCTGCTTGGAAAGCCCAGCGGCAGGTACGGCAAGAGTCTGGCTGGAGCACATCCCGAAGACATTCCAGGCTCCCAGCGTCATGGGGTTGCTGTCTCAACCTGCCATGGACCAAGCTAGCTGCCGGTAGAGCAGGGAGACTGCGAGACTCGCAGAATGTGAACCCGAGGAATGTGCAATTCATGCTACCTTGCCTATCCATGGAATTGGCCGGAGTCGACCCCGCAATCGTCAGGAGACCATGTGGTCATAAGTCGCCTAGTTCCCCTGGCCATGTTGCCGTGTCGGTTCACAGCAAAGTCTAGTTGCAACGGCTTCTCCGAGAGCCATGCGCCCGACTTCGGCGCGCCCGCGCTTCATATTGGCCACCCGGCTATTTCTGTTGCTGCTCCTGAGCGCCGCCTCTTTCGCCCGGTTTGCCCCCCCGCGTGAAGATGGACGAGGCCAAAGGGCTTCCCCTGGCGACTCTGACTGGTCCCGAAACCGACCCTATCCTGGCCGCGACAAGTATCTCGTCGGCGTCGGCAAAGGCGACATTACCGGTCCCGTTGTCGACCTCAACCTGGCAGGTTATGCCCAGGCCTCGCAAGTCGGAAACGGGTTACGGCAGCGCCTGTACAGCCGGGCCTTTATCATGGGTGACGTCAAGAACCCAAAGGAACGAGTGATCTATGTTGTCATGGACGGCCTCGTTGGCGATACTGCGATTCGTCTCGGTGTACTGGAAGGTCTCAAGAAAGGCGGGGCCGAGTACTCCGTGTACGGAACACATAACATTGCCCTGGCAGCTGTCCACAGCCATGCAACTCCAGGTGGTTGGTGGAATTACTTCCTGCCCTCGATACCAAATTTGGGGTTTGACCGCCAGAGCTATAAAGCTCTTGTCGAAGGCACTTTACTGGCCATCAGGCGGGCCCATGAGAGCCTCCAGGAGGTGGGTTGATCCGATGGTCTCGTGATGTGCGTGCTTTGACAGTTCGGGCAGGGCTACCTCGATGTGGGCACGACAGAAATCAGGGACGCCGCCATCAACCGGTCCCTCTTTGCATATCTCCGCAACCCCGAGGAGGAGCGGCAGAGATATCAAAGTGACACGGATACGACCATGACGCTTCTCCGGCTCAGGCGGGCATCTGATATGAAGAGCATTGGTCTGCTGACGTGGTTCCCCGTCCACGGCACATCTCTTTACAACAATAACACGCATGTGTCTGGCGACAACAAGGGCCTCGCGTCTTGGATGACGGAGCAAGCATTGAAGAAGGATGACTCGGCCGTCGACGGATTCATTGCTGCCTTTAGCCAGGCGAACTTGGGCGACGCCAGCCCCAACACTGAGGGGGCGTGGTGCGAGGATGGCTCCGGGCAGATGTGCAACTTCCAGACGGCCTCTTGCCCGAACGGCAAGGTGACTGGGTGTCACGGGCGTGGACCCATGTTTCGGGAGAAGGACCAGGGCACCAGTAGCTGTCACGAGATTGCCCGGCGACAGGCCACTGCTGCCACCGAGTTACTGGTGAGCCACTAGAGAAGCAGGGTTTCATTTCGGTTGAACTCGCGTGCTAACTCAGCGCAAGGCTTCAATGGATTCGTCCTCTACGCCAATTGTAGGAACAGGAGTCAAAGGTTTTCACTTTTTCCACAACATGGCCTGGTGGAATTTCACTCTCCCCAATGGCACCCAGGTCACCACTTGTCCTGGAGCCCTGGGCTACTCTTTTGCCGCCGGCACGACTGACGGTCCAGGTTTGTTTGACTTTGTCCAGGGCGAGGCCAACCGGCCAAGAAACCCCCTCTGGAAAATCGTCTTTGGCTTCCTTAGGATTCCCACTGCAAGGCAAATTAAGTGTCAATCTCCAAAGCCCATTCTGTTTGACGGTGGCGAGCAGACGTTCCCTTATGCCTGGGAGCCAAACGTTGTGGACATATCCATGTTTCGCATCGGCCAACTACTCATCATTCTTAGTCCGAGTGAGGTCACGACCATGAGCGGCCGACGGTGGAAGGCGGCGGTGGCTAGAGAAGCAACTAATATCCTGGACACGGACCCCGTCGTCGTCATTGCTAGCCCGGTCAACACCTATGCGCATTATCTTACGACGCCAGAGGAATATGCCGTTCAGCGCTACGAAGGGGCTTCTACCATTTTTGGCCCGCACGCACTAAACGCGTATATTAATCTGACGGTCGGAAACATGCGTTACTTGGAACCGGGCTCAACGGATCTTCCGGGGCCAGGCCCACTCCCGCCAGACAACCGAAAGAAGGCATTCAACTTTAACTTTGTATTCAAGCTTGAGGGCAAGCCGTTGCGGCGCTCTTTTGGCGACGTTATCCAACAACCGAACAGAGTACATAGAATTGGGGATAATGTTCAAGCAACGTTCCAGGGAGCGAGCCCTCGCAACAACTTGCGGCTTGAACAGACGTTTGCTGCTGTTGAACAGCTCGGCCCCAACGACAGATGGACGCCAGTGCGCGACGACAGCGATTGGTTCTTGGTCTATACTTGGCGCGCAACGAACAAATTCCTCGGATACAGCGAGGTTGACGTCAGGTGGGAAACAAAGGGGAACGCGGAGCCGGGAACTTACCGGTTCAAGTACTACGGGGATTCCAAGGCGCTGATGAAAAAGGCTGAGCCGTTTCAGGGAACGAGTGAGCCGTTTGAGCTGGTAGGTCACGATCAGCCCGTTGGCGATGGACGTGATGAGCGTGATGGGCGTGATGGGCGCGATGGGCGCGATGGGCACGAAGAGGGCGCGAGTCGCGGTGGGAACCACAAGGGCAATAAGCATAAGCATAAGAATGGTCCCGTGAGGGGCTTACTTGGTGAGGTCTTACCAGTACACGAAGAGGGCGCGAGTCGCGGTGGGAGCCACAGGGGCAATAATCATAAGTATAAGAATGGGCCCGTGAGGGGCTTACTTGGTAAAGTCTTACCACTATAGAATGACGGAGTGTCAGACACGGCTGCGACGTTGGTGGTCAAAATTGACTTGCTATGCTTGCTATGCTTGCCATCTCCCACCTGCCTGTTCAATCAGGGCAGCTTCACAAGGGTGTACTTTAGGCTGTGAATACGAATACATGGTAGGCAAGTTCAATTTGAGAGAATTGAGCAGACGTATTTCTGTCTTCGAGTTCAGAGACAAAAAGTTCGTTTCTTACGAGTGAGCTTGAGCATCACTTCTTTTGATACGTACCGAGTCCGCAGTGCGTTTGCGCGGCAGTTGCGCTAGTCCAGCGGCAGCGGCAGGAGACGCGGGGCGGGGGTTGGAGAAGGAAGCGTCGGGCCTTCCCTTCCCGCCTCTCGCTTGGCGTGGAGTTGATTGGCGGTCAGGGCATTTATGTCTTGCAGGCACTTGTACCTAGGTAGCTAGGTATTGTACGTACTCCGTACCTACGTGTACATGTTTAAGGTACGTACCTGGTAGGCAGGTGCCTAGGTAGGTACGTACTTGGATACCTTGTTATTACCTCTTCGTGCTGCATCGAAACGGTCTCTTTTTCCATTTCCCCCTTTCTTTTCTCATGCTGGTCTCAACACGATGCTCTTTGCTTTGTACAACAAAGCCTTGTTCCCTTCCTCCATTGGCCCATCAGTCCTTCTCCACCCCCAGCCGCCTCGCCTCGTGGCCCCCAGTCGCGGTACGACCATGGGGTCCGGTGCCTTGCAGCCATGGTAGACTTCCAGCCACCTGATAATTATTCACCAAACATCAAGGCAGCGCTACTCACCCGCAGCACTGCCCGATGCCGCCAGTGGCGACTGCAACCATTCGCTCCCCAGCCGACCGCCTCTTCCTCGCCGTCTGCCGCCATCGATGGTGAGTGGCAGCATGATGACTTGCAGCTCTGCCGTTCTGTACAGTATGAGCTCTGTAGGAACTTGTTAATGTGTACCTACAGTATCGGAAGCACGGAGCCGGGCCAGGCTTGGGCGCCGCCTCCAATCCAACCCTTGTCCACGGCCAAGCGTTCACTGCAAGCAAGGCCGACAACCTCCCCATTTTCCTGCCCAATGGCCGGGTCCTTGATAAGGAAAGTCTGTTGCGGCCGCCTGCAGCTTCGCGCTGCTTGATTTCTTCCTGCACAGCATCCGCCGTCCAGCATGGTGCCTCGCATCGTCGTGAGCTCTGGCCGCTGAGAGAGTTGCATACTTAGCTGTTCGACATCTGCGCACACACGCGCAGCTCCAACTCCCATCTCTCACCTGCGCCGCCGCCACCAACTCCCATCCCGAGCCCGGACATCATCGTCATGTCCGCACCCTACTGGGGTCAGCTGCCCGAGCCCAACGTGGCTAGAGACGGCGCCAGGCGCATGGCGACAGACAAGAACGACTACTGTCCGCCGCCGCCCGACTATAGGCAATCCATGGATATGGCGCTTCCTCGTCGCAAGTCGATTCGCCCATCGGCCCAAACCACAGCCACTGAGCCCACCTTCGGTCCGTGCTCGCCTACTGAGCCCAACTTTGCTGCTCACGACGTGGGTCCGGGACACCGCCGAGCCACCGTCCAACGGACCGTCTTGGATGCGCAGGCGAATCCCTCTTCCGCCGATCATCATGACCCTTTATCCCTCCCAACTCCACCATCCGCGCCCGATGTCTCTCGAGGTCCGCCCGTCAACAATCGGCACGCATATGGCAACGACGGCCCCCTCTACACCTATCCGACCTTTACAAACGCCGCCCCCCAAGCCCAGCAAATCGACATGGAACTCCAAAGACACTATGATCCCAGATATGATGCGCAGACGGTGCCCTATCAGCGACCAATCCAGGAAACATCTGCCAGGAGAGACGGCCCGGCCGTCAACCAAGACGCAGCTGCCCAATCCAGACCTTCATTGACTGCATCATCGGAGCGCCGTAGAATGTTCGCAAACGACCGATCACCGCTTCAAAAGCTTGAGCTGACGCTCGACAGCATGACCAAGGAGGAGAAGAGGGCCCGGGTGGAGGCGGCAGAACAGAGAGCCAGGCAGAGAGCTGCGATGCGAGCCGGCGATGTCCCTGCTGGCCAACAGGACCGGTCTCATGACCGTCATCCGTCCGACGTCCGCAACAACGATGGAGAGGTCCCACTCTCGCCAACTGCTCTGACCACGGCATCGGCCTCCTTATCTACAGCAGCTCCCCTGCCCGTACGGGAAGCTGCTGCTCCACGGACGCCGCCCACACCACCGTCTCGATTCCAATCTCATGATTCCAACAACCGTCACCACGACGCTGTTCTGCAGCAAACAACGATGCCGGCGCAAATGCCCGCTGGACCTGGGCTTCTTCAACGAAATCTCAGCTTCCGCGAGCGTGCTGCACGAAACGAGCCAACACTGCCAAGCGAGGAAAGGAATCCAGCATGGCCGGCTACAGGTGATGAGGGCTTGTCCATGGCCCGCAGAGGGAGCAACAAACTGAGAAAAGAGCCACCAGGAGACGCTCATTATCATGAGCAGAGCCGTCCGACAGCCCAAGTATTCCAGGAGCTGTCAGCCAAGGCTGTTCCGTTGTCGACCAGAAACAAGGAACTTCCGTCAATCCCGTCACCTTCACCAGATGCAAGGGATCTTCGGGGCCCTGGTGGGAGGGGCAGACTCCCAGCGTGGGAACAGGCTCAGGGTATGCGCCGTCCCGCCGAGCCGGTTTATGACAGAGATCACGGGCCCTCAGGGGATAGTTTCTCAGGGAATGCGAGAGGCCAATCCTTAAACCCAGCACGAGCAGTTGAGGCAGAGGATGCAGCTCAGCGGAGTGCAGGCGCGCCCTCCGAGTCACTGGGTCGACGAGGCAGCGGACAGTTGTCGGATGCTTCGTATCACCAACACGACACAAGGCCCCCGTATAGAGATGTCGATGACCTGCGTCCTGGGGCAGGATTGTATCAACCGCCGGAGTGGATGGATGAATGGAAGAAGGGTACGACGGGGGCTCTTTCCGGCACACTCTTGGATCTCAGGCACGAGCAGCCGTTCGCGGTCGACAAGAACCAGGCTTGGTGGGAGGGCGGTGGGCGAGGCCCCGGCGACAGTCGCGCCCATATGCAGCGAAGAGCTGAGGCTTTCGACGGCGAGTATGACGATACAAACGGTAAGTCGGGCTGCTCAGGCCACTCTCCTGATATGACCTGCTAACGTCGCCTCTCAGCCCCCACGCGATTCAAACCGCCTCTGTACCTTAAGTGCGGCCCGCTCTTGAGATACTGCGGCACTCGTCGCGAGAGGTTTCCCGCACGAACCCCTCGCGGCGATAGTGTCATGTCTGAACGAGAGACTTGGAGAGGCAGCGTCATGATCGTCACCAAAGACTCCGAGTCGTCCTACGAGATCGCTCCGATGCTTCGTCTCTTTGTCCAAAACGTGGCTCTACTGCCGCCGCCCCCTGAGCTGGTGGACGGTGAGCTGCCACCAGAGTACGTGGATCCGATCGCCGGCCACCCGAAACTGGGCCGAAGAGGCGAGACCTTGTACGTGCGCCCAGTGGAGCACATAGAAGAAGCCAGAGACGTCTCGCGGGATGAAACAGATAATGGCCTGTTCGAAGCGACAAGAAGCCCGCCTGAAGGGATGCCTGCGGACGGTTCGCCGGACCTGCCTGGGTCATTTGCCCGTCGCATCAAGGCGGCCAACGCCGATGGCGAGAAGATGCAGAAGTACAAAGACGTGAGAGGCTTCCGCCTCCACAGCGAGCGAGGCTGCACCTTTTGGCGGTTCAACATCGAAGTCGAGTTGCGTGACAAGCAGCAGCGTATCGCGTATCGCATCAATCGCGGTCCATGCATGGGGTTTTGGGTCCCGTGCCGAGCTCGCGCAATGAACATCATGTTCTACAGCGGCAACGGCTTCGGCGCCGGCGCCAGGCCCGACGAGCTGAGCGGTCCGGACCCGATGTGGCGGGATGTGTTGAACACGCACCAAACGCAGCCATTCCACGTCATGATTGGCGGCGGCAACCAAATTTTCAACGATCCTGTCGCGTATGAGTGTGGTCTCCTCAGCGACTGGCTCGAAATGAGGGATCCTCTGGAGAAGGAAAGCGCGCCATTCACAGTTGAGATGCAAGACGAACTGGAAGCATTCTATCTCGAGCGCTACTGCATGTGGTTTTCTCAGGGCCTCTATGGGCTCGCCACCTCGCAGATACCAATGGTAAACATGTACGACGACCATGATATCTTGGACGGCTACGGGTCTTATCCCCACCACGACATGAATGGTCCTGTTTTTTGCGGGCTGGGGTCCGTGGCCTTTAAATACTACATGCTCTTCCAGCATCAAAGCTTGGTCACAGAGACGGAGAACTCTGAGCCGAGCTGGATCCTCGGACTCCAGACTGGGCCTTACATACATGAGCTGAGCCGCAGCGTCTTCTTATCCTTGGGAGGCAAGGTCGCCTTACTCGCCGTCGACTGCCGAACGGAGCGGACCGAGAATAATGTGATGAGGGAGAAGACGTGGGAAAAGATTATGAACCGGCTATACGCAGAGATACGACGGGGCCAGATTGAACATCTTCTTGTGCTCTCCGCGCTCCCCATTGCCTATCCCCGGTTTGACTGGTTGGAGAACTTGTGAGTCGCTCTTGGGCCGGCGAGCTGTAGTGGACCTCATCGCTGACGAAATTACAGCTTTACCTCGAAGTTCATGAGCCCCGTCAAGGCGTTGGGCAGAACCGGCGTCTTTGGCAAATCACTCAATAGCATCGACGGTCGGGCCGAAATGCAAGACGACGTAAACGGTCACTGGGTTGCCAGGAACCACAAACATGAGCGCAGTATCGTCATGGAAGATTTACAGGACCTGGCAATCGACAAGTCGATGCGCATCACCATCTTGAGGTATGTTGCCGCTGAGGGCCGAGCTGGAGACAGCCTACTGCCTATCTCGTCTGCTAATTGATCCTTTCCCTTTGACAGCGGTAACGTCAGCATGGCCGCGGTGGGCCAGTTTTACTCGAACCCGAAGTTGGGGCTTGCAAAGCACAGGGATCCGAGATATATGCCAAACATCATCTCGTCGGCCGTGGCCAACATGCCGCCGTCGGACCTGCTGGCGGATGCTCTCAGCAAGCGAAACAAGGTGCATCATTTCGACAAACAGACGGACGAGGGTATGATCCCCCTATTCCATGAGGGGATCGATGGCAGATCTAGGAGCAACAAACATCTCCTGCCGCATCGGAACTGGTGCTCCATCCGCCAATGGATGCCCGGCACCACGCCGCCACCAACACCGCCAATGTCTGCTCGTGATGCAAGCCGGAGCCCACCACCAGGCGCAGGAGGGGGGATTTTTCGGAGATTGTCTTCGAGACGCAAAGCAGAGTCCACCCGCCCAGACGGAGCTCGAGAGTCTCTACGAGGCTCCCGGCCGCCCGTGTCCGGCAGGATGGGTCTGTTCCGCAGCCTTTCCCGTCGAAGCTCGACCGATAAGCAGCGTCCCGGTATGCTGGGCAGAACCATGTCTCTTGGCCGTGGCGAGGCCGAGGCGAGAGGATATCCGGAACCCGGGCGACATACGAGCGAGAGTCGACTTGGTGGAGACCGCGCCAACGGTCGATGGGCCGGCAACGGTGCTTACCTGGACCATGGGTACGCTTCACCACATGCAGCACATGCGTCCAATGCGCACAACGCTGTTGCTGGGCAGGATGAGTATACAGTGGGCGATGAGTCTCAGTTCACCTCTGGACCGCCGCGCCGAGCGCAAACAATCAGCAACCAGCGCCTACCTGGCCATAGCGAGCCGGACATGGTGGCCATGCCAACTTTTCACAGGACGCCGACCGGGCTGTCGGCGAAGCAGATGCGCCAGGCCGAGAAGTACAAGGTGGACCTGGAGGAGGGACTGGATATCCGACTCAACGTCGAGGTTAATGCCCAGGATCCGGCCGGAATCACGGTCCCGTACCGGATACTCGTGCCGCGGCTGCAGTACGAGTATGACCCTGCCGAGGACGACTTGGCACAGAAGGGCGGGGGGGCTGAAATGAGCGGACTGAAGCGGCTGTTTAGCTTTAGGAAGAAGGGCGCGAGGGCCAAGTCTAATGATTACGAGGACGACGTGACGAGTGACGAAGACGAAGAGGAATACCCGGTGCGATGAGACGGGTGTGTCTCGGTTTATGATATGTTGGCTCTGCGTGGTTCGTCTTTTCTTTGGGCAATTGGACGGCATGCGTTGGGCGCCAGGGCTGTAGGGGGGAAAAGGAAAGAAGAGTCTTACTATTGGGAGTTTTTTTTTAAAACTTTGTTATTGGTTTGTGCGTGGGAGCCGTGCAACGAGGTGACTGGATGAAGCGAAATACCGCCATTCACGCTGTCATTTCAGTGGGAAGGGGTGACGCATGCGAGACTGAAGCCATCTCGAGCATCGAAGTGTGCGGCCTGTTCGCCTGTTGGATCAGTGGATCAGTGGATCAGTGGATTAGTGGATTAGTGGTGAGCGGAACCACTGTAACTAGAGTGGGGAGGGCATGGAACCTTCCGCCAAGCGCTACATTTGGGCTTGTCCGAAGTCTCTCACCCACCCGACCCCAGTCATTCACAACAGCTGCGCGATCCGCGTTTGATCTCCGCGTTTGGTCCCTTGGCTTCACTATTGCTTCTTCATCCGTACTAGGCCGCGCCTTTCTGATCCCAAGTCGCTCTTCTCGCCGTTCAACGCCCGTCGCCGCCAGCACCATCCCCCTTCCTCTGCCTCTCTGCCTCTCCCCCTTTTCTTCCTTCGAGCTCACGCCTCTCTCAAGTCGGTTGACCGAGATCCCTCGTGCCGTGTCTCGCTCGCTAGCGTCCGATTCCTTCACGTCTAAAGGCGAAAGAGGGGTTATGGCCTGGTGACGGGCCATGACGACGACGACGACGATGGATCGTCGAATCGTATCGAAGCTGCACAGGCTGTACCGCACCTCGTGGCGACGGGTGCAGCCGCTATGGACATGGGCTCGCGGCCCGGGGAGGCATTCCGCGACGGTGCTGACGCGGAGCGTGCTGGATCGAATGGGCAGGAATCTGGCTCCCCGGCGGCTGCTGAGCTTCCCGCACGCGCTGGTCCTCGTGTGGGTGGTGATACTCATGTGGGGAGAGCGCTGGGTCTTTGACAGCAAGGTTGAAGACTGCGCCTGGAAGAATTGGGAGAAATGGGTACGTGGCGAAGCTGGCCCCAAGGCGACTGTTTTGCTAACCGAGTCAAACCACCAGCCCAAAGGAGCGAGGCCTCACCACCTGATCTTCGTCGCCGACCCTCAAATCATCGATCCGCACTCGTACCCCGGCCGCCCGTGGCCGCTGTCGGCCCTGACGGTCCTCATCACCGACAACTACATGCGGCGAGGCTTCGCCGCCCTCCAGCGCCAGCTCCATCCCGACAGCCTCTTCTTCCTCGGCGATCTCTTCGACGGCGGGCGCGAGTGGAAGACGCGGCTGGGCGGCTTCGTAGACCCCAAATGGGGCAACGACCGGTCCGGCCAGGAGAAGAAGTGGGTTAAGACGTGGCATCGCAAGTACGGCGACGACTACTGGCTTCGCGAGTACCGGCGCTTCAACGGCATCTTTACCGACTCGTGGAACGTCGGAGGCGACGCTCCGGGGCCGTGGCAGAGGGGGCGGAAGCTCGTCGCAAGCTTGCCGGGCAACCATGACCTGGGATTCGGTGCCCAGGTCCAGGTCCCTGTCCGCGACCGCTTCAGCGCCTTCTTTGGCGACGTCAACCGCGTCGATGTCATTGGAAACCACACGATTGTGTCGGTCGACACCGTCTCGTTGAGCGCCGACACGTCCTTGTACAAGAACAGCCACGACTTGCGACCCATATATGGCCCCGTCAACGAGTTTCTGGGCCAGGTCCAGACCGCCAAACGGAGGGCGGTCCAGGAAGAGTTGAGGGCGTGGCACGCTGTAGAGCCGCGGCCGAGATTCAGTCACAAGGTGGAAGACCTGGGCAGCTCAGACGTCAGCCGATGGCCTAAGAGTGGCGACGCCAACAGCCCCGACTGGCCTACCATCCTCCTCACGCACGTGCCGCTGTATCGCGACCCAGGGACGCCATGCGGTCCGCACCGCGAGCACTGGCCGCCGACGAGGCCGCCCAAGGGCCAGACGGGTCCAGTCAGTCCGGACCATCGCAATGCCATCTCCGTGGCGGCCGGCTATCAGTACCAGAACGTGCTGAACCAGGAGGACTCGGTCAAGCTCATCAAGAGCGTCGGCAACGTCACCCACGTGTTTTCCGGCGACGATCACGACTACTGCGAGCTGGTGCACGCGGAGTCGAGGGGCGGCGTGCGGGAGATTACGGTCAAGAGCTTCAGCATGGCCATGGGAGTGCCCACGCCGGGCTTCGTCATGGCCAGCCTCTACAATCCGGTTGGCGTCGACGGGAAGCCGATGCCCGGGTCGCCCGAGAAGACGCTGCAGGCGCACCTCTGCCTGCTGCCGAACCAGATTGGCACCTACATCAGGTACGCTGCCTTTGTGATGCTCACCCTCGTCATCCTCGCCGCGCGAGCCTTTCTCGTGCCCATTATCCACCTGAAGCCGTTTGCGCTGGAGCCTGAGAAGCCATGCACGGCCGTGCTTCCCGTCTACCAAGAAAAGGCCAAGGCGGAGCCGCCAATCGTCTCTCCACGCCATGCGCCCCTCCGCCCTACGGCAGCGGCGGCGACGTCGGGCGCGCGCAACAACTTGACGGCCATGGACAGGGGCTCGCGGTGGTCGTCGTCCAAGAAGAGCAGGCAGAGCCGGCGATGGGGGTGGGCGGGCGAAGAGGGCGGGCCGCGCATCAAGCTCGACACCGACTTTTACGACGGCGGCAAGGAGTGGAAAACGGGCAGGGGGCGGCGGGTGCTGGGAACGTTTGGCAGGGAGATGTGGACGACGACGTGGAGGGTCGCGTGGATGGCAGCCGTGTTTTGGGCGTACTTGGCGAGGAAGGGGTGAGCATGGCTTTGGTTTGGCCGCGACGTTGGTCTGCATGGGCGACGGGGCATTCTTTACGGTGGGCAGAAGCATTGCGTAAATTGTATAGTAGAAACACGTATCCGTACATTAATGGGTGTTTGGGCTTATACTATGCACGGGGGGGGGGGTGCTAGAAGTCCGAGTGGCGCATGAAAAGCACATGAAATTGAAGAATGCGGCACGAGTTATATGTACATGGGAATGCATGAATGTTTACTCTGTTGTGTATCCAGCCACCGCTTTCGAGGCCGTAGTTGACGAGCCTCTGCTTGAGGGGGAGACGTCGACCGCGGGGTGTGTGGTGTTGTGCGAGCGAAGCTTTGTCCAAGGGGGACAACACGTATTCTGCGGCGTCGGAAGTCATGACGGCGCAGTTTCCCCACCGTTGCCGGCGTAGGTGCGAGGTTTCTGCTGTCCGAAGGGAGGATTCGTAGCTTGGTGTTGTAGCCGGGCGTCGCGACTCTTGGCTGCGGGCTGGCGAGGGCGAGGGAGCGGGTTTGGCGCGCCTTGGCTTGCTCGTCGTCGGGCCTTGTTCAACGCGGGTGCGCCGCTGCCTCGGTCGCTGCCATAGTCATCGTCGTCGTCGTCCAGACCATGGCCCACCCAGCCTCGCGCGGCACCCTGGTCCAACCCTTCACCACCCCATCACGCCGACGCCCACGACCGCTCCAAGCAACTCAAAGCGGCGCAACGCGCACAGCCCCCCATTCGGGACGAACTCCCTCCCCGCCAACCCCCGTCACCGGCCCGCACGACGCGCCACACCAATCCGCTCCTCCCGCGCGCGGCGCGGACTCACCTGCCGAGGCGGCGCGGCGGCGGCGGCGGCGTCCGGCTGCTGCAGCTGCAGCTGGGCCTCGGCGTGCAGGGCCTCGGCGGCGCGGCGGTCCTCGTAGGCGGCCACGTCCTCGGCCGTGATGGCGAGCGTCGTGGGCGGGCGGCGGAGCATTGCTCTCCGCGTGCGCGCGTGCGTTGCGTTCGTAGAGTGTGTTTGTGTGTGTGGGTCCGCAACGGCGCGCGAGAGGGCGCACGCGCACGTTGGAATAGGTGCAGCGACGGAGCCGTGCGAGGGCGCGCGCGTCGAGGAACCAAGTCCAGACACCGGGGGAGAGTCCCGGCCGTCCTGCGCTCGCTCGCTCCGGCGGGACGAAGGGGGCTTCTCGCTCCCGGTCCTTGCGCCGCCGGCTCTTATCTCCCGCGCGCCGACTCTCTGGAAGGCCTTCGAGTCGGGTGTTCGGTCTCGGGCGTAAGCCGTCGGGGTAAGTACGAATCTGGGGCGCAGAAGCGTGCTGTGTAGCGAAACAAACCAAGGGATGAAGAGGAGATGACGAGAGAGACGCGTGCGGGGGCGCGTCTAGATGCCAGCCATTGGTGGGTACTGTGTACCTTGCCCTTCTTGCCCTTTGGCGCGCGCCTGGACGGCTCGTCCCGCTTTGTCATGGTCAGGGGTACCCGGTACACGTGGGGCTTTGTCCCACCATGAGCCGAGCGGCGGCTTCTCGCCGTTCAAGCCCCGGAGAAGCGGCCCGGTAAATACGTCATTCTTCACCTTGCATTCCGCCAAAGAAATAGACTCGAGTCTTTCATCTATAGCTATTCCGTCTACTGTAGCAAGCTGCCAGGCCACACTCATATCTCGTGATTCATCGCCATGAGCAACGCGTCGGAAGATCCCCCAAGCAGCCTGCGCCTTGACCTCCCAAATGCCCCAATCCAAAAAATAGTAGAAGCCCAAGGTATATCCAGACGCCCGATATGCAAGACACAAGCGATGAGACTCGCCTTGCTCAGAAGATACCGCCGTATGCATACTGTCTCTCCCAGCGCAAGAAATCGTCTAGATCGTGCTCCAGGTTGCACCCCATGGGCACTCTTTCCGCCAGGTCCTCGGAAACATCTTCCGGCACCTCCTCCCCGACCACCAGGAGCCGGGCCGGCCCCCGCTTTGAGTCTCCAAGGAACTCGTGTTTCTTCTGATGCTCCTGTCCCGGCACGTACCGCCGCATGTCGGCGTTGCTGCCGCTGCGGAAGAACCTGACCGTGTCTGTGGCTGTGTCCGACTTGCCGTGCGCGCCGCCATCATGCGGCGACTGCCTCTCGCTCTGCACGGGTATCGGGAGCTCCGTGTCCGAGTTGATGGTCGATACAGACGACGAGTAGATGTTATGCGGCGGGTCCAGCGGCGGCCGGCCGTTGCCAGCAATCAGTTGCCCGGGCGTTTCGAAGCCAAACGTCTCGAACCATTCAACCATGTCGTCGGCCATTTGGTTCTGGTCGTCCTCGTACATGCCCGACAACAGGTCGCCTGCTCCTCCCAAAATCGCCATCTGAAACGCCGTCCAGTCCACCGTCTCGTCCACGTCCTCGGCGCATCCTCTGCGCTTGCCCGCCTCGGGTCTCTGAAAAGAGATTGGTCCGTGCCGAAAAGCGCGATTGGCGGAAGAAAGGGATGTGCTCTTGAAGTAGATTCTTTCTTCATCTTCCTCCGGCTTCTCCTCCGGCTTCTCCTCCGGCTTCTCCTCCACCTTTTCTTGCTTGGCCCGGCACCGTCGCCTCGTCCCCGGCCGTCGTCGCAAGCTACCAGGGGCGGCGGAAAACACTTCGGGTATTGTGGGTAGTCGTGCCGTTCTTGCTCCCTGTCGCGCATTGCTCTTTGGAGGAGGAGAGGGGAACGCATGCTCGTCGACAGGCACGGCCCCTGATCCTTTCGCTTCATCGTTCTGGCCCCCCACGCCCTTTGACGCCCGAAAGTCGGCATGTACAGCATCCTCATCGATGGCAGCGGCGGCAGCGTTGTGCTCGGCGGGTGCCAGGGGTGAATCCGCGACATCCGCCGCTGCATCCATGTTCAACGTCAGGCATTCTAAATAAAAGGGCCCAACGGACTGGTCAGACAGGTCGGTCAAGGTGCTGCGGTTCGACTCTGTCGATGATCGGCACTCCCGCAGCAACTTGGCCTCTGCCTCCTGGGCCTCTGCCTCTTGGGCCTCCTCCCGACTCCGCTTAAGCTCTTCCATGCGATCCGGGGTCAGCATCTCGTCGGCAACGACGCGCTTGAAACGCTGGCCCAGCGCGTTGCCGACGCTCTCCGCCAGCGTCCAGGGGATGGCCTTTGCCTGGAAACGAGCGCTTCCAAAGACGTCGCGACTAGCTTTTCTGCCTCTCTTTCTTCGCTGGGACTTGGAGATGGATGCTTTGCGAGCCAGTGGCTTTCTTTCCAAGAGCCCTTCTTTGTTACGGTTGTCTTGATTGGACCGGGTTGGCGATTGGGGCGGAGCAGTAGGGCGCGTTGGAACAATGGGCGCTGGTGCAGCTGGCTCGGAGACATCGTGAAGCCAAGAGGTCAGGTGGACCTCGCTAATGGCATTGCCGACGGCCTCGAATGCTCGTTCGGTTTCCTGAATCAATTGCTGGACGTTGACAGACCAGTTCTCATCGGACTGCTCGCCCGCAGGGGTCGGGCTGCGATCCTTGACGACGTCGTACATCTCGGCCGGGCCAGAGTTCGCTGGAAAGGGTAGCGGATCCAAAGGATCCCGGGAGGCTCCAGCGAGGCCGGACCTGGGGTTGTCGTGTGATAAGGATGATGCACGGCGCCTCCACAGACGAGAGGTGGTGCCTGGGTCCGGCGCTTCCCTTATGGAGGCGGCCAGGCGCCTCTCCGAGACTCCAAGCTTGCGGCCTTGGCGGTGGCAAGGCAAGTCGGCGGCGGACGGAAGTGAGGTGGATAAGACGGGAGGAAGTGGTGTCGAGATTTGGTGGAGTTCACGTCGGCTCCGGATGATGACGGGGGGGCTTTGGGGTCTGCGCCAGGCAATGGGCGGGAGCCATGAAAGAGACGACCTCGAAGTCTTTTTGGAAACCGTGTCGCTCAAAGAGATATCGTCCGAGATGGACGGTTGATGTTGACTTATGTGGGGGACGCTGTCGGCCGATTTGGACGGACGGTGGACCGAGAGCCGGCCGATGGAGAAGCTGTCCATGATGGCGTCCAGTCTGACCGGGAAGAGGACCAGGCGGACAGGGCCGAGAGGAGCGACCTGTTACTTTGGGCACATGCAGGCCAGGAAATTAGGGGCTTGCGGCCGGGAGACGAGTTCGGATCAGAGCCGGGTCGCACGAGCACATGAGGTATCAGCAGGATTCGAGATGAAAGGAGGATTCGGGGCCGGGGAGGGGGGGCGGAGGGATGATATCGGATGAGGAGGACAGCCGAGTGGATGCACCCCTCTCGGCACTGGGACAAATAAAGAAGCAAGCTGATGGACCTGGACGAGGAGAAGCGGAGAGCCTGGGTCCAGGGCGCCGCTCCACACGGCGGCCGGGACTATGAATGTACAGTACGTGCACAGATGGATGGGCGCAGCAGTGGTCGATGGCTGTATACTAGGCTGTATACTAGGCTGTAGACGCGTGGTTGGGGGGTTGCTATTCTGGCCGAGGCGACATGGGGCCCCCCAAGGCCATGCATGCCCGTTTGGTTTCTTTGACGCAGGAATACCAGCTAAGGCTGGTACTCTGGAGCCTCGCTACCACGGCCCAACGGAGCGGCATTGTTGAGCAGGTGCCGCAGGGACCATGGTTGGCGCGAGGCGTTGCGTCGTGGTTGATGGGCATGGCGTTGGGCCCTCGGGGTCCCTCGGAGTCAAGGCCATCATCTGGGGTCACGCCTCGCCGGCAATGTCAAGAAACCCCTGGCGCCTCTCTTATCCCCGGCGGCCATGGAGCCTTCCGGCCGCCACCGGGAGGGAGCGCGTGGAGTCAGCTTCGGCCGCGACGGGGGGGCTGCATGACGTTTGCGCAGCCACTCGGCATGCCAACGTCATCCTGTCGGCGAACGACTGGATTGACCGTCAAGAAGGGCGTTTTCTGAGGCGTGTTCAAAGGCCCTCGCGTCTCTTGAATTCCGCCATGGCGACGTCATGACGAGATGGCGATCTGGTTCGCCGGAGTTATCAGACTGACACCAGTGGTGTACAGGAGAAGCGGAGAAGAGGCGACACCACGTGCGACGGGCTATTCATGCACGAGCTCAGACGTGCCTCGAGGTGGGCCTTGGGGTGCTGCTGAATCGCCTTGTCGATGGATGCATCCATCCTTATGCAGCTGCCTGGGGCGGCGATACGTACCAACGGCCGCAAGCGAGAGACAAAGGCTGATGAACCAAAGGTGGCCATGACTCTGCCCTCCATCCTCTTTTTCTTTCTCTGTTCCTTCGTTTCCCCAGTTTGTCCAGGCCCGCGTGCTGTATACAGATGAGATGCAACCCGTTATCTTTTGCCAAGGCAGGGCACAGCGCAGGAGCCGTTGAACGGTTCAGCCCGCTGCATGCGGTTCGAGGTAGAATGACGAAAGTCCTTGGAAACGCTGGTCTGCGTGGTTGGTTACTCTCTCGTGGTGGGAAACGTGGGTTTGTTTTGGGCAGGCCTGGGGTGCGCGTTCGCTTCGCTTGGGGCCGAAAGGAGGCCTCGGCGCAGCTGCCCCATCTTCCCGCGGCCGACGGGGGCAAGCGGGCTAGCGAGCGAGCGAGCGAGAGAGAGAGAGGGATAGGAGATGGAAAGAGGTTGTGCTGCTGCTGTCATGCATGGATGGATGGGTGTGTGCGTCGCTGTCTGTCTGCGGAAGACGAGTATGACGAGGGATGCTAGACGAAGCAGCCGAGTTAAGGCCTTAGTCACCAGTCCAAGTGCCTGAGAAACGGCCCGATGTTCAGCCCGTGCCCCGTTGCCAGAGCATCTGTCTGCCCTCCTACAATTACAGCGAGTCCGTTCATCGCTTAGCAGCCATGGCCTGACGTCGCCGCAAGGTCAACCATGCGTCTCGAGAGGCCATGAGAGCATACCGACGCTCGCGCTCTCCTCTCCATGGCGACGAGAAATGCCGCCACAGTTACTGACAATGCCCAACCGCTAATTCGGCCTCCCCCGCTTTCCATCCTGTTGGCTCTCTTCTTCTGGCCGGGCCAGCTTCGTCGTCCCTTTCTCCGTCCCTCTCTCTCCAGCCTCCGCTACAGGCAACTGTCTTTCCTTTCTTTTTCCTCCCCCGGTCTTTGACCGACTGGTTGCAACGGATGGTTCCGCAGAGGAAGAACAGTCACGGGCGCCTTGACGACACCAGTCCTTCTCCCTTGCCTTGCTCGTCGGCCCGGAGCAGGGGCCCTGTGCAGAGCCGTCCGCCATTCTCATCGCATCGACGGGGGAACCTCCACCCCTGTCAATCATTGTTATCTCGCGTTTTTGCATCATCCCCCGCTCTATCTTGCCTCTTTCGTCGTTGGGCTCCCGTCGTGTAGGCACGGGGCCACAGCGGCACGGCTCTCGACGGGCGGCCTTGGCCAACCGCTCTGGCCAAGACTCGCGGCCAACAGGCGATTCATGCCATCTCAACCTCCGACATCGCCGCAATTGTTTACCATGGACGATTCCCCGCCGAGCCGAAGATGGGAAAAAGAAACGAAAGAACAGACTTTGTTCCACGCACCTGCATGAATGGATGAGTGAATGTATGCAAGCCCAAGGTGGACGCACGTGTGTGGGTGCCATGGAGCCCCCCGGCCCTCCAGCCCTTCAGCATCTCGCCGAACCGGAAAAGAAGAGGAGCCTGCTTCGCTGCTTCTTCCCTTTGCGTCATGATGGTGTGCGCATGGCACTGTATTCTTTGAATACTCTGCAGTCTATATGGCTATCACGCATTCACCCCCCCTTGTCTTGTCATGTCCTACCTGACCAATGACTTGAGTAGATGCAAACAAAAGAGAAAGAAGAAGACATGGCTTCATGCTCTGTTGCGCAACGTGGATCCAGACTCTTCAACCGTTCCCCGGATATAGAGTCAACCTTCCGTTTCCACTCTGCTGCTGACGGCCCCCCGTCCGGACGTGCAGCCGACGGCACCCCATGTCGGCCCCCAAAAGGGCCAGAACCAAACCCCCTGGTCGAGTCCTATATTACCTATGTCAATGTCCCTTTGCCCACTCGAGTCCTCCCCTTTTCTGATATTGCGTGGCCTGCGCCGCTTCCCTCGGCATCTGCTGGGTATGTATTCGCATGAGCCGCCTCCTTTAATCTCGGGTGCGTGAGAAATAGATGGCGAGAGATTGAGAGGGGGATGCCAAAAAGGAGAAGGTGGAAAGGGAGAGAGGGCGTATGTCCCTCTGCGTCCGCGCTTATGCGTATCTGCGTGTCATCGTCGTCTCCGTCTCGCATGAATCATGTCGTCCAGCTTCCTTGGACAAACAGGTCCGGCCTCCTTTGACAGACAGGTCCGGCCCGTCACCCTTTAGAGAAGGCTCTCATCCTCCTCCTGCAACCTCCTCGCCCCCCCCTGCCTGAAAAACAACGACGCCACGTGCCTCGGGAACCGCACCGGCCGGTCGTTGAGCAGCGTGCGGCAGTCGTCCTCGTCCTCCTTGTCGAGCTCGTCGACCGCGGCGCCGCCGTCTCGCGCCCGCCACAGCGTCAGCGATGCGACCGCCCGCCGCGGGAGGGCCGTCATCTTGCGGAAGCTGCTGCGTCGGCGCACTCGGCGCTGGTCCTCGTCGCCGTCGCGGAGCTCGATTCCCTTTGTCAGGAGCATCTTGGATAAATTTTCTGTGTGTTTCAGAGAGAGAGAAAGTGACGGATTTGTCTCGGAGAAAGCGAGTGTCTTTGTGCACTTGAGTGAAATGGGCCTCAGGCTTTCTTCTGCTTTTAAGGACGACACATCCCCATTATGTCTCTCTCGGTCCAAGGTCTCACTCACCTCCCTCCCTTGACGACACCTCTCCTGCCCCGCCCCGACCTCCATTCCAGTCCATTCTCCAGTGCCATCATGTCTCCTCCCTCACGCTGGCCATACCTTGACAAGCTGTAGTATAAACTCATTGCACCACAATGACGCTCGCCGGCGCCGCTGCGTGGGCAATTCATTTGCCAGAGAAAAGAAATAGACTCGACGGCACATGCTTGCAACTTGCGACTCGTCTGCCTGAAACGCCCGGCAGCCAGCCACCTCCACCCGCGGCGATAGATCATCATGGACGGCCAAGGACCCGTCGTGAACTACATTGCCAAGGGCGGGACACACTCTGGCGAGGCTGGCCGCTTCGCACCCGGTGGAGAATCGCATCATCCAAGCTTCCACCTCTCCTGCGCCATCTCAACACATCCTACCCGCGTATACACCTCCAAGACGTTCCCTGTAATACTGCGCACTTTGTAGAATGCGTAGGAATCTGGTACCGTATGGCGGTTGGCAGCAGCATGGGATAAGGTCAAGCTGCGAGGCTGCATTCCTTTCCATCCCACCTCCAGACTGGCCCATGGCCCCTCATCCACGTGGAAAAGATTAGAATCAGAGCAAGTAGGGCGAGGGGGAAAGGTCTGGCCGCCATATGACTTCATTGACGCCTTTATTCTGAGCACAATCCACCCATCCAGGCACCTGAGACCCGTAAAGGCGCCCCTCAATACTCAACGAATAGTCTCACGGCAACTTCTCCGAGGCGTCTCATCCTTCAGCTTCCTCTACCTCTTCCCCTTCTCCCTCCATGTCATCCTCATCCTCGTCATGCGCCACAAACGGGACAAATCGAAAGTCTAAGAAGCTCCTCTTGCCGCTCTCCATGTCCACCATGAACTGCAAGCTCAGCACACCCTGTCCATCGCCCCGCAGACTGACCTTGCTCGCGATCCGCATCGCCTCACTCGAACTCTTGACAAAGTCGAACTTGTACGTCTGCGACCACCGGCCCGCAATGGTAAAGGTCTCCAACAGGTCCCTTCCCCGCGCAAAGTCCACACCAGAGGTGCCGAGGTCGCTCGTGCCGGCAAGTGACAGGTACGGCGGCGTCTTCATGGCCGTAATCGTGAGCTTGACAGGTGCCGTTGGGGAAATCTCGGCGAGTGACTCCAGCAGGCACCGAGACTGCATGATGATTTTGAATGCCAGGTCGTTGCGGTCAAAGGGAATGTCCTCTGGTATCTCCGGAAGATACGTCGTCAGGCCGGCCGTAGTTTTGACTCCAGATTCTTCTATGGTGATCTTGAACGGGTCGCCCTCCTCCGAGTAAATCAGCGTGCAGGTCCCCGAGATGCCCAGGGTTTGGTTGCTAAAGGCGTCGGGTCGGTAGTTGCGCAGATTGCTTCGGTAAGGATCCTGCTCCGCCTTTTGCGCACGCGTGGCAACGTCGACGGCCCCGAAGATTTGTAGAACCTCAAGAAAGGACGCCAGAGATATCTGGAAGTTGGGGAGCTCGGGCGGCTCGCCATCTGATGTCGGGGCGAGATTGACCGTGTACGCCGCAAAAAGCGCCTTGTCCAAGAAAGCAACACCTGAAGCGCTGTCAGTGACAAAATAGAAATAGAGCCCGGTCGCTCGTACCTTGCATGACCCGGGCGTGGTCAGCCGCGAATCGAATGCCCTCCTCGGTAATCTGAACGTGAACTCTGGGCGCAAAGTTGATGCAGCGGAGAAGCTGGTATAGAGGCCGCGTGGACGTGGCTACCGCACGGAAAATGGGAACGGATTCAGGCGCCATAACAAGAGGCGACGGCTCCGTCGATGGCAAGACGGCGCGGAAAGAAGGATGGAAAGGCTCGACGGGGGGGCAACAGTTCGCGCGAGCGCGTTTTCTCTTTCGTTTTCAACTAACGTACAAGCGTGGGCCGAACCGGATGACTCTGGTAGAGGGTTGGGTATCTCAGACGTAGACTCCGACCGCACAGAACATGTAGACGACTCCGAACCTACGCAGGTTAGCATGCATGAGCGAGAGCAGGTCAATTGCCGCCGGTGACAACGTACGCCAGTGCCAGCGAAGCCGGGATGCCGATGACGGTGAGGTTGACGAGCGAGCGGTCTGCATTCGGGATTAGAGCCGGGACAGAAGCCACGTCAGGGTGTAGGAGAAGGGCGTACTCAGCGCAAAGACGCCCGTGGCCGCGACGCCCGACAGCACCAGCACGGAGCCGACCAAGAACTGGGTTCCTTTGCCGACGGTGGGGAGGAAGGGACTGCCCGCAGCAGCTTGCCAGACCTCATGCAGCGAGGGATCCATGTGCCAGGTTTCGCGGGATCTATCGGAAGGCTGTTTCGGGAGGGTTGACTTTGGACGCGAGTGGAATTGCGGATCACTCGGCTGGGGATGATGAACTGAAGCTGAAGCTGGGAGCTGCCGAGTGCTCCAGATGTGCATCGTGGCCCGTCGACCGAAGGAGCCTAGCGCGACCTGCCCCAGCCTGTCATGCACAGAATTACATAAGCGTGGCACGGGCCTTGTTCTCAATCCCACGCATCACGAACAGCGCCGCAGCGGCTGCACTACGTAGTACAGCAACTACGCCAGGTCCCCACTCTAACGCCCAACGCAACGAAAGACAGCACCTCAACAGCCCGGCTGCGAACAACTTGCATCTCCCTGGCCGTTGGAGGCGCGCTTTCCATCATCGCTATCATAGCTTGAATGTCGACATGCCGGAAGTCAAGGAAGAGAGTATGTCTTGCTCGCCCGACGTCGCCCATGACGAGCTAACCGCCCCAGCAGATGTTAAGCGCAAGGCGTCCGAGGATCCCACCTCTCCGTCGGCCTCGAAGCGCGTCAAGCACGATGCCTCGGCTGAGTCCCCGGGCGCCAAGAAGCCGGCCATGAAGCCTATTCCGTTCCCCGAAAAGGCGCGCCCCTCCCCTCGTCCTGTCGCGCCGTGCGCTCGCTGACGCCCCGTGTAGCCGGCTGTGATAGAAGAACGCAATGGCGAGATCGAGTTCCGCGTCGTCAACAACGATGGCGACCGCGAGTCGCTCGTCATCCTCACCGGCCTGAAGTGCATTTTCCAGAAACAGCTCCCCAAGATGCCCAAGGACTACATTGCGCGCCTCGTCTACGACCGCACCCACCTCTCCATTGCCATTGTCAAGAAGCCCCTCGAGGTCGTCGGCGGCATCACGTACCGTCCCTTCAAGGGCCGCCGCTTTGCCGAGATTGTCTTTTGCGCCATCAGCTCCGATCAGCAGGTAAAAGGATACGGCGCCCATCTCATGTCACACCTCAAGGACTACGTCAAGGCTAGCAGCGACGTCATGCACTTTCTGACGTATGCCGACAACTACGCCATTGGCTATTTCAAAAAGCAAGGCTTCACCAAGGAAATCACGCTGGATCGCAAGGTCTGGATGGGATACATCAAGGACTACGAGGGCGGGACCATCATGCAGTGCTCCATGCTGCCCCGGATCCGCTACCTCGAGATGGGTCGCATGTTGCTGAAGCAAAAGGAGTGCGTGCAGGCTAAGATCCGCGCCTACTCCAAGTCTCACAATGTGCACGCGCCGCCCAAGGAGTGGAAGGGCGCCGTCAAGGAGATCAACCCGCTCGACATTCCTGCCATCCGCGCCTCGGGCTGGTCCCCCGACATGGACGAGCTGGCGCGCCAGCCCCGCCACGGCCCCAACTATAACCAGCTCCTTCACCTGCTCAACGACCTGCAGAACCACAACTCGGCGTGGCCCTTTCTCATCCCTGTTAACCGCGACGACGTCGCCGACTACTACGACGTCATCAAGGAGCCCATGGACCTGAGCAACATGGAGAACAAGCTCGAGGCCGACCAGTACGCCACGCCAGAGGACTTTGTCCGGGACGCGAAGCTCATCTTTGACAACTGCCGCAAGTACAACAACGAGAACACGCCCTACGCCAAGTCGGCCAACAAGCTCGAGAAGTTCATGTGGCAGCAGATCAAGGCCGTGCCCGAGTGGTCGCACCTCGAGCCGGAGAAGTAGGGTTCAAGCCGGCAGTGGCGACCCGGGACGTTCACATGGCAGAAATCGAGGTGAAGCGGCTTCGGACCCTTGTTCCTTGTCGGCCTTTTCTTTGCTCATGCTTCCTTGCTTCTCTTTATTTGTCCTTGTTTTCCCCTTTGATGAACGTCGTCGCCGCTTTTGCCGAGGCCCTTGGGTCTCACATTCTTTTGCCTTTGAACTCAGTTGTTGTCTTGTGTATTTGGATGGTCAAGCGTGGCGTTTGGAGCGGTCTCGCTGGTGCTGGACACGGCTCGAATGACGGCAGCGCCCTTTGGCTTTTAGTGTGGCGGTGACGCCTTTGTGTTGCTCCGAGACTAGGGAGAGGCTTTGGATGATAGTTTTGGCGCAAAGGGGGATGATAGCACAGATTTTTGGTGTCGGAGAATCAAGACGGTGTTGACTCTGGCATTGATAGGGTCGGATGAGCTTTTGGCACCACAAATCACCGACTCAACTCGACATGCAAGCTGGCTATCGCAGTTTCTCATTCAAACGTGAGAGGATTCAATCGCATGAGCTCCCCTGTCCTCACCAAGGGGACAGAAGTAGGGAGACAGAAGTAGGCCAAACTGCCCAAACAAGTATAGGTAGTTGGCCGGTAGGTCAAGACGCCGCACCTCCCATTTCCCTCTCTGCGCTGCACCAACTAGCCATATTTCACCAAGCCTTCCATTCCCGTCTCCAAGTATATACGGCCCGCCCACTGGAATGAGATCGCTCGCAAAATTCCCTGGAGTCTGCCAGTATCGACAGTCATCGACACCCCCAAATTAAGAAAGAAAACGACGAGGGCCGGAATAAGACAGTGATTGCCAATAGATCGCCTCGTAACGCCAGTAACAGCCTCCGAAACCATATCTGAAAATAGCCCATGTCTAAAAAATAGAAAGAGCCAAGAAACCACATCAATGTCTCAACTTTTATTATGGGCCCATCTCTCTGTGCTGCCGGTAGATTCCCACGGCAAGTGACGACGTTGTCTATCGCTGTCGTAAATCAGGCGCGGCCCCAAACAAGTGTATCATATCCATGGGGGTCTCTATCGAGGGCGAAAAACAAGAGTAACAAAAGCGCAAAGGCCAGATTTGGAGGAAATTGGTCAACAAGCCGTGGAGGCTCCCTTGACCCGAAACAGAAAGAAAGCCGCGCCGGCACGGATGTTGTTGTTTTCAGGCGCCGCGAGCCTGGGCCGTACGCGAAGCGTCCCCGACCGGCAAGCGAAGGTCCGAGTAGGTCCGTCTGGGCCAGGGAACTCGCACGCGGGTCTGGTCGTCGGCGACCTGCCGCCTGGAAGAGGAGCTGGACGGGGCCGCCGACCGCGGGGGTGCGCGGTGGGAACCTTCGGCCTCGAGGGTGCGTTGTAGGACGGGTTGGAGGAACTCGGGAATATCGGTCCAGTGGCCCGCTCTGGCGGCGGTGAGCATGGTGGGTGGGATGAGGGCGGCGGGAATGGCGGATGAGCTCGAGGTGGCTCGGTGGAACATTGGATCCGTCATTTGCGCGGTGATGATGTCGAGCTCGCCCGTCTCGATTACAGACTTGAGCCACTGCTCCCACTCTTCGTCCAAGACGGCTGACGTCTCGCCGGCCTCACGCCTGGCGGCCTGAGCGCGGAGGCGCTCGTTGAGCTCGAGGCCGACGCTCTCAAGCTCGTCGTCGCTCTCGTCGTCGTCGTCTTCCTCGTCGTTGGCTTCGAGCACGCCGAGGCTGCGGACAGGGGCGGTCCTGTCCTGAGGCACGCGTCGTAGATCCGTGGGCTCGACCCAGTCGGGGAAGCCGTCGGCCGTGGTATCTCGGATGGTGACGCCCTGCTCCTTCTCAAACTTTTCCTTTGCCCACTTGGTGCCCTCCCACTTGGTCAGGGTGGCGATCTCGGCGTGGGTGAGGCCGAGGGCATTGAAGGCGCGAAAGAGGCGGCAGTGCCAGGGCCAGCGGCTGAGGCGGATGCGGTGGGTGGCGTGGGTGTAGTCGAGACCGGGATACTTAGCCTCCTGGGTCTCGAGGTGCCCGTAAAAGGCCTGCGTCTCCTGGCGGACCTCGGGGACGAGGCTGCGCTGGAGAAGAGCGTTGAAGGTCTGGGGGTCGGTGGACTTTGGCTTGGGGAACATCCACTCGTAGACGAGCTCGTCGACGGGGCGGCCCTTCATGGTGTCGGGTGCGGGTGCGCAGAGGGCAGAAGGGTGGCCGCCGAGGGCTGTTTGCTCAAAGGTGGTCACGAGGGGGGAGGGAAAAGAGGATGAAGGGGTGAAACGTGGGGTGGTTGGACAAGCAGACGGCCAGAGGCAGCAGCGGGAGACGGGTTGTCGGAGTGACGGAACAAAGGGCGGCGGCGGAGAGAGAGAGAGAGAGAGAGAGAGAGTCGAGTCGGGCTGCGATGTCAGCAGTTGGTGCGGGTCCCTTGGGCAGATTGCTGATTCAATGCGTAGGTAACTTAAGTCCTCCGTAGGTAATCTGCAGAGCACAGCAGAGGCGCACACACGAGAGCGGGAAAGCAAGGGACAAGGAGATGGTGGGTGGGTGGAAGGGATGGATGGAAGGGCGACGAAAGAGGCAGAGATCAGTTGAGAGGAGCTCGTACGGAGAAGGCAAGGCGTGGCTTTCCAGCATGCCCGCCGACGAATCCTAAATGGTGGCTTGCTTTGTGCTAGTGGGAGGGAGATAATACCCTACATGACCTCGCCTCCTTGGCTTCGGCCTCTGCTCTCTTTTCTCCCCCACTGCTGCTTGCCTGTCGATGAGCGCTAGGGGGTTGACATTTGACGGCGCTGGGTGTGCACGCACGTACTGTATTACAGTGCAGCACGAGAGGCATTCATCATGGCCTGCACGCGTGGAAGCCTGCAAGCATGGAAGCAAGGAGGTACCTAAGTAACCACCTAACTACCGGTACCTAACTACCGTGAGGTACCTACCTACCTACCTTACCTAAGGTACCTTAGGCCCGTCATGCCTAGAGAGGGAGGCGGTACCTTTCGAGTGGCCCAAGTCTGTGCACACACAGCTGCCGAGGAACAGTACCTAGTTCACTGCTAGCGGACTCGGTGCAGCCTTCGGTTCTGGCCAGGGGTCCCATGGCTTGCCCAGGCACTCACCACCTGTGGATTATGTGCGCGCATACAGATATGCAGGCCAAGGCAGGCAGCATGAGGCTACGCAGCTCCCTCCCAAGGCTCGGGCACAGCGGAGCTGCTAGTGGGCCCTGTATCCGTAATGCCAACTGTACGGAGAGTATGTACTCCACCCCAGCACGCCCCCGTGTGCCACACCCAGCTGTCAGAGTTACAGTGGGCGCTCTGCTTACCTAACAGACTCACGATCCTGACCACCCCCTTTGCCCTCGAGATAAACGGCATTCCTCGCTTTGTAGATTGCACTCGCTGTTGACCGTTGGAAAGGCATGGCACAAACGAGCATCGAACTCTGCTCGCACGATCCGCTAACTGGTAACCTAGTTACTCCTACACACAAATCGATCGACCATCAAGCCAAGGCATGCCATAGGCACACCCTACCTACCCTTTTGCTCTCCGTCTAGTTGGCCTCATTCCTCCGCCACGATAAGGCCAGGCAGGTCTGCAGCTCTTGATGCATCTACCGAGTGCACATAAACCAACGGCCACCTCCACACCCCGCAGACCAAAGCACATCCCGCCAGGCATCGCTGGCTCGACCACATCCCCCTTCCCCGGCCCTTCAGAGCGGAGACGAGGGAGGTCTCCACGTGCGCGCGTACAAGAAGCATCAAGAGTATCCGTAAAAAAGGTCGGAAAAGAAGCAAAAAAGGACAGAAGCCGTAAGCGTAAGCAAACACCACGACAGCCCGCAGCACATGGAGAGCCAATCATACCCAACGCCCGTCACGACACCTGCACGGCAGCCCGCGTGCTCGAAATCCATTGGCGGCCATGCGGCAAGCAGGTCTTTCTTTTCCTTGCAGCCGCCAGGCAGACACAGCAGGCAGATGCCACATGGCCCACCTCGGATGCGATCCGCCACCCCCTCGCTGCCTAGTCGCTTCCGCACCCCTGCGGAGGGTCTTCCCGAGACATTGGTGCGCCTCGCCTTTGCTCTCTTGCAAGTGGCCGGATATTTCATGTTTGCTTCTGCCCTCCTACAGTAGACCCTCTCTGTCCTCTATCGCCTGAACTGAATTACATGCTTGCGCGTCTACGCTTGACTCTTGCCCCGTGCATGCGCCCACCCGCCCAATTTCTCACACCGTGGGCCATCGCCGCAACTCACCCAGTGCTCCGTCCTGACACGGGAACTGGCCCGGCGACGGGACGCGCCCTCAGCAGCGTGGCAAGAATAAATATTGAGCCAAAGTCAGGGAGAGAAATAAGAGAGCCAAACAAGTATGACAAACGAGTGTCATGCACGCGCCATGACTCGGGCCCAAAGTGAGTGCTGTGAGCCCTGTTCTCTGGTTTAAACTTGTCTACCAAGTATCATCAAACAAAAGAAGAACAAGGATCCGACATCATAAGTTTCGTCAAGTGGTGTCATGTTATTCATCCATCAATGCCTGTCTCCAGTAGCATCGAGATGCCATGTCTGCTCGTGTTTGTCCGTTCTCGTCTGGGGTTCAAGGATCTGTCCCCCGTAAATGCTCTAGCTGTACGCCGGCTCTGGGTATCGTCGCCCAGCCACGCCTGTGGTTGGGGGCGCCATGGCTGCCTCGGGTGACCGCCTCTCCCACTTTCTCCTCTCGTCCCTCGCCCGGTCCCTGTCACGCAGGTCCCACCCCGCCGCGTCGCGCTGCCGGTCGATGTCGGCATGGCTGCTGGTGCGCCGCTGCGTGTCCGGCCGCCGGACGCGGATCCGTTCCCGCCGACCGCCCGAGTCCCGTTCCTCCTCCCAGTCTCGGTCTACGTCGCGGGTCTGCCCCCTCCGAAGTCGTTCCCGCTCGCGCTCGTCTCGCATCCTGCGTCTCCTCCGTAGATCGCCTTCTGGGGGGCCGCCGTCCGAAGAACTGTCCGAGTCCAAGTCAGAATAGCTTTGACTCAAGCGGGAGGGCTGAAACGGCTCGCGACTCCTCCGCGGGTGTACACCATCGTTTACCGAGTTTTGCCGCGAGCCGGGCCGGGGTCGATCCGAGGTCAGTCCATTGGGCAAGATGTTTGACATTGTCTCGCTCAATTTGTTGCGCAGAGAGCCAAGCGGGCTCGGCACGTTACGCTTTTTGGCCTCGTCCGACCGCATTTCCGAACGGTGCGGGCGGAATGAGGTTGGTATATTCTGGGCGGCAGGCGGCGGTACCGGCGCGGTAGGAGGCACAAATCGGCGAAAGGATGGCGGTGGGGGAGAGACGGGATGGCGCCTCCGCTTTGCGCCGTAGTCGACGCGCACAGGCGCCGAATCCGAGTCGGACGAATCGGTCGATAGGCGTCTCGGGTGGCTATGTCGCCGAGGCTGGGGCGACCGCTTTACGCCCGGGTCGAGGTAGCTAGATGAACCACCTTGATAGTGCGGCTCGGCATCTGGCGGTGCGGACGCGTAGTCGGAGAAGCTCTTGCGCCTCATTCGTTCCTCGGCGACATCGTCGCGGTGCGGAGACCGATCTGGCCGGCGCTGGCCTGCGTGCCTTGCCGGTACGTGGACGTAGACTGGCCGTCCAAAGTAATCTGGATCCGCCGCCCTCGGGCGTGGCGACGCCGGCTGGAACGGATTCGAGCGAACGTAGGTGAACCTGGGCTCGGGCTGCTGGGTGGCGCCAGCGGGATTCGGCGGCGGCCCGTCGTCGGCCGAAGAAGCGGCCTCGTTCCTCAGTCTGGCGGCGCAAGACTTATGCCAGCGGTCAACGTCCATGTCGGTCTCAGTGGGGAACACATGCGCCGGCAAGTCGGGGGGAAAGGCCTCGCCTGTTTCTGGGTGCTTTAGGTCCCAGTTCTTGACGGCATACTGCATAAACGGGACATGCTCCTCGGGACCTAACAAGATTTCTAGCGACTCCCAGCGCGAGAAGCCTCGCATGGTCAGGGCGGGAATGGTAGGCGGGGCGAAGTCATCGTGGGTGGGTTGGAGCGTGTGCTGGCAGCCGGTGACCTGCCAGATGAAGGAGAGGGAAGGGTGAGGCATGTCGACGAAGAGGGCTGCGGCCGGTTAGAGAGGGGGATATGGCAAGGCAAGCAGCGTACTCGTGATGGTGGACCACCTACCGTCATAGTCGCCGCCGACGGCCCGGTAGAAGGCGGCCAGCTTGGTGGGCGTCAGATGAGTGTCTGTTTTGTCGCCAAGCTCGAGGATCTGGAGGGACAAGGGCGAAAGCAGCCATCATCAGCTTGAGGGGCCCCATGTCCGGGACTTGACAGGTTGAAAGGAGAGCCTACAGTGTGGCGGGCTATGGCCCTTAATAGTGCGTCGAGCTGCTTGGTCGGGCCCTTGTTCTTCTCAAACATGTAGGCATACTGGACGGCGGAAGCGGGCGGCGAGTCGGGGCATGGCGTCGACATGTTACCGGCGGTGCGCACTCAGCAGCAGCCGGGCGCTTCAGCTTGTCGAAGGCGGCGCGAGGACGTAGGCAGCGAGCGACTGGGGGGTACAGGGCAAGAAGCACGGGAGAGCATCAGCCACAGATGCCGTGCATGGGAGCGCGGCTGCGGCGAAACTTAGAGAGCGAGGAAGCAGTTGGCGGTGGGCGAGATGAGGCTGGATAGAGGAGAGCTGGCGCTTGCAAGGTCGGTGAGAGTTGAGCTGGCTTAGATGCAGCAGCGGCATGCCATGGCGGAGGTGCTGGTGCTCGGCCCGAGTGTCGGCGAGGTCGGGTATGTTTGCGCGTGCAAGGAGGAGGAGCAAGAATGGAGGATGAGGAGAACTGAGGTCGACAAGACGGTGACTTTGGCTGACCGATATTTCTTGAGGGGGGGGGGTTGGTTAGGTAGTTACACCATCAATGCAGTACTAATACTTGCTGGAGAGCGTGAAAGCACGGCTACCCCGCGAAGAAGTCTTAATAAGCAGGATCGGTATAAGAATAGATGAGTGCCTTTTTCTTTTATCCCGTACTAGTGTTTACCGGAAAGAAATGACTGACTCTCGGAGAGCCTTGGTCAAAGAGGCCGATGATGGGCAGGCTCAAAGGCAAAGAAAGGGACAGCGTTTGACGTCATGGGTGGCGACTCTGTTCAACAAAACGTGGCGCTGCTAATTAATAACAATGCACTTCAGTTGAGTGGTTGGCGGTGGTGGCCTTACAAAGAGCGACTGGGCCATCGTGGGGACAATGCCGTCACCTCCACAGAGGATCGTTGTCGATGGTGGACATGGTTGAGAGAAAGTTTGGTGGAGACTGTGCTGCCAAGCATTTACATGCGCGGCACTTGTTTGGCTTGATGCCCGAGTAGCAAACTCGGTATCATCATTGCTGCTCGGTTCTTCAGAGAAACATGGCCTGTTCCGCAGTTCGGGTTGGTCAAGGCATCGTTTTTGCGGGTTAAATCGGGTTTCTCACTCGTCATACAGTTGCTGCTCGTGGCCTGTGCCATGATCTTCTCGCCTTGCCGCGCATCTGTACAAGAAGATGGATACGTTGGCGCACGTTGGAACATGTAACTTATGGGCCGTACCTGGAGAACACCGTTGGGGCCTGGGTCTGTGGAAGGACATTCGAGTACCTAAGTGGTACCTTACTGTACAGTGCCCCTTCAGGTCTTACAGGCTCTAAAGCGGTAAGTTATCGTTTGTAACCACCGAGCAGTACAGCACAGCAATCAGTCGCGCTATTTCTACGGTACTGCCTATCTAGGTAGGTACCTAGTACGTGACTGAATAAAGTACGTACCGTGATCCTCGTCCTCTACTTTAGGATACATGACAACCCCAGAAGCGTACACCAACTTCAAAGTCGATGCAAGGAGAGTCACACAGACAGGGGACCTGTGGAGCAGTTACCTCTTTGGAGCCTCTGGGCCCTTTGAAGGGATCTCGCCATCTCGTGGTTGTGGCTGTAAAGGTCGGTATCGCAGCATCTGTAAGCTACAATGTGGGAGCACAAAAACGGAAGCATTGTTGCACAAGGCAGGTCATTTATCTAATGCGACCTTTGTTGGCTCTGCCACAATGCGCCAGTCTACCTACTGTGCTAATTACCTACTACTGTAGAACCACGCCAAGGGTGGGCCAAGGGACATCAAGACAATGCGGAGCACATGAGAGCATCGTGGCCCTGCTGCACAGTGCAGTACACAGTGCAGTACTGACATGTACATGGTCGCGAGATGCAATTCCGACATGCCATTCATCCGAGCAATCAGACCCCCTGGCCGGAGCCCCCATCCACCCACCATGCACTCAAGCGGGCTGCCAAGCGGCGCGAAAAGCCAGACACCGCCAGGCCTCCCGAGACACCCCAAAAGACCCTCGAACCCTTCGGCCGCCCTGAGCCTCGAGCGCCGCCCGCCTTGCTTGCGTTGCTTGTCTCAAGACTGGTGCCCTGCTGCACCGCAGCCTCACAGCCTCAATGCTGAAGCGACGGAGCCCCTGGCTGTGGCCCTCGCCCGCCATCCTCAGATACCTCGCCATCGCCTTCCTGCTGCTCTTCGCCCTCGCAAGCATGGCCCTCTGGCACGACACCAAGTTCTGGGACACGCCCGCCCTGCGCAAGATCCCTGGCGGGCACAACCACCCCATCATGAAACTCATGGTGGAGGCGAGGACGCGCCACGAGGCCATGCTCAGCACCCGCAGCTCCGACCTCGACACGGCCGCCGCCAGGTACCGCGCCAGGAGGGGGAGACATCCGCCCCCGGGCTTCGATGCCTGGTTCAAGGCCGCCATCGACGCCAAGGCCGTTGTCGTCGAGGACTACTTTGACAGGATATACAGGGACCTGACTCCCTACTGGGCCCTCGACCCCGACACACTCAAGAGGCGCGCCAGCTACTGGCATTTTGTCGTCAAGGTCCGAGACGGAAAGGCCTCCCCGCAGGGCGACGTGGGAAAACTAGTGCCCTGGCTGCAGCTATGGACAGACTTGGTGAAAGAGTTTGCCGCCCATCTCCCAGACGTCGATATGCCTGTCAACTACATGGACGAATCTCGCCTGGTCGTGCCCTTTGACGCCGTTGCAAAGTTGGTAGACCAGGAGGCCAAGGAAAGAAGCATGCCCAAAGCCCAAGAGGTGACGAATCACTTCAAGGGCCTAAAGGACGTTGACGAGGCCGATCCCAAGCCCAGCCCGTATGACCCCAAGTGGCACGGCCCCGGCGAGCAGTATTGGAACCTGGCCGTTCAAGGCTGCGGCCCAGACACGCCGGCATATAGAGTCAAACAGGTCGAGCATTTCTCCGGCCCGGCCGAGTATCCGCAAAACTACCGGCCAAGCTACGCATACAAAGGCTTCGTTCACAATTGGACCGCAGCCATGGATCCGTGTCTGCAGCCGCACATTCGACAGCTTCACGGCACCTTCATCGAGCCAATCAGTCAATCGACCTCGGAGGAGCTCATCCCTCTATTCGGCGGCTCCAAGCTGCCCATGAACAACGAAATCCTCATCCCCGGCGCCATGTACCTCAGCAAGATGGAGTTCTACTCGGGCGGGGAGAGTCACGGACCGCCGTGGACGCGCAAGAAAAACGGGCTCGTCTGGCGTGGCGACGGGTCGGGTGGCCGTCCCAAGCCTCATACCTGGCATCACTTCCAGCGCCACCGTCTGGTCGATATGCTCAACGGCACCTCGGTCGCTCGCGTCGAGGCCCAAGGGACTCGGGCAATGACCTTTGAGCTCCCGTCGCGAGATGTATACCCGAGACGTCGCACTCGGGACGGACAGCTGGGCCCCTGGCTGAGTACCTTTGCTGATGCCGCCTTTATCCACCTCTGCTCGCCCCCCGACCACTGTAGGTTCTTCAACGACACCTTTCACGCAGTCAAGAAAATGCCCATGAAAAAGCAATACCGCTACAAGTTCCTGCCCGATGTCGACGGCAACTCCTTTAGCGCGCGATTCCGCGGCTTCCTCCGGTCTACCAGCCTGCCGCTTAAAGCCACCATCTACGCCGAGTGGCATGATGACCGCCTTGTCCCCTGGCTGCATTTTGTGCCGCTCGACAACACCTTCCAAGACCTCTATCCCGTGCTCGAGTTCTTCGCCGACGGCAACGGGCCAGGGGACGTGGCGGCGCGCCTGATCGCCGAGCGCGGCAAGGAATGGGCTGAGACAGTACTGCGAAGGGACGATATGCGTCTATACGTGTGGCGCCTGCTGCTCGAATGGGCGAGAGTGTGCGATGAGAATCGTCATACGCTTGGTTTTGTTGACGACTTGAAGGACAAGTGAGAAAAGACTGGTGCTGAGCAAAGTCTCGGCCAACGTGGCCAGACCGCGTTGGAGTTGAGCTGCAGCCCGACAAGATATTGGCTCTGTGAAGACAGCAAGAAGAGCTTAGCGATGCAGTCACCCAGAGGCACATCAAGCTCCGACTGATATTGCCATTTACTTCTTCTCAGCTTAGCAAGGGTGGCCGCGGACAATGGTGTTCCAGCGGACCGACTCACAGCTGCGACCGGAGACCAAGCCATCTTCAGCGCCGCAGACGGAAACAATTTCCTTGGCGCCATCGGCAATACGATACCAGCTGTCGAGGGTTACCGAGGTTGTGTTCTGCGCCATCGGAGCGGTTGGTCAGCCTGGATCTTGGAGCAGAGCGTACAAGTTGCTGGTTGCGCATCGCCGTCAACAGGGAGAGACAACATTAGACTCACATATGGAAGCATCAGGTTTGCAGCTGACGCGGCCACATCTTCCGGGGCTGGTGGGGCGTGTAGGTCAAGCCACGGAGGTAGCCGATGCCCTCCTGAACGCTGTCTTCGGCCAACAGCCAGCCACCGCAGTCGATCGCGGAGCGCTTTTGCTGCGACTTTCTCGGCTCGAGGGCTGTGGCAGTGTGCACAGGCTTGAAGTCGAATTGATCGCTATGGCTTGGGCATGGACTTCCTGCATCGTGCCACTCAGTACCTCAATTTGCCGAGGCGCGGCTAGGACAGTCTTGCAGAGTGACAGGCTGGACTCTCGCTATATCAGGATTGTGATGGTGCTAGTGCCGCTGAGGATGAGAGCGGCGAAACCCAAGACATCTCTCGCCAGGGACGCGTGGAATCCCGTCGAGTGAAGGCATTGTCAGATGCTCTTTGTCGAATACAAGGAGACCTCGTGAGTGCGGACATGCCTTCAGCTACGGAGGTCCTCAAAATCGTGTGGTCTTTTACAGAGTGTCTCCCTGAAGTATCCGACCAAGGGAGGGTTGTACTGCCCATACATGACGTGGAAACTCCATTCCACCCAATGTATGATTCAACTGTATGTCAAGAGAGTAACACCGTGTGAACTATGCAAGATTCAAGCATGCTAGGGCATGTCAAACAAAAGCGAGAATCTCACTCGGCCGGTTCCATCGCTCTGCCTTTCCGTCCTACCTACTTTCCCTTTGATAGGCACTCTCAGCTGTTCAAATGGACTCTCGTCAAGCACCATGTTCGTGCTTAGCTTCTGGCTGCATGTGAACCCTCCAAGCTACCCAGAACTACGACGGTCGAGTTGAGTGAGCTTCTGGTTTCTCGGCCACGCTGAGCGTCTTGTCGACCATATTGATCAACGGGGAATCAGCATCCTCAATGCAACCCCAGGCCCTCTGCGGGACACAGGTTTCGTGTCCTCCACCGCGATTCTGCGTTCGCATCGGCGGGATGTCACGACAATCGCTTAGACAAGCTCTGGTGGAACGAGCTGTGGATGGGCTACTCGGCTGATGTCAGCTACGAGGATTCCTCAGATGTATCTCATGCGCACAATTTGGGGGGGGCTTTGATGCTGGCGATGGGTGAGCTGGATACCAATGTTGATCCGTCATCGACGCTGCGCCTGGCCCATGCCGTCATCGAGGCGGACAAGGACTTCGATTTGGTCTTTGTGCCGGGCGGCACGCATCATGTCATTGACATGCCTTTTATGGTGCAAAAGAAACACGCCTTCTTCAGGAAACACTTACAGAGCTACTGACCGCTGCATCTGCATTTGCCAATGGCTACAAATCAGTTGTCAATGAATTGGAGCGAATCAAACTCTCTATAAGTAGTATGTGTTCGGGAAGTCTTACCAGCGCTGCTTATATATAAGCAGTTTAATATGATGTCACGTATGTCAAGAAGAGATGGAAAATGCTATACATTTATTCTGCAAATTGTCGTTCAGTTAAATATATATCAAGTTTAAACTTCGTTTAGTCCTTTCCTTGAGCTCGTTATTACGAGAAATCTAATCCGGACACAGGTTTGTCTTGTCAAGCATCATAACAAAGAAAGCTAGATGATTCGAGATATAGATACTTGGCAAGTACTGTCTCCATCCGATGTGCGAAGACGTGATATGCCTACTTCTTGACGATACTTGGTCTCGTGATATCCACCGGGCTAATAGGCTCGAGAACAGGACAGCCGTCGAAGGTCCGCACGCTTACCACCCATAACCGCGGCATTATCGCCATCGTGTAACGCATTCCGCAGCCTTGTAGAAGCTGCCATGGTGTATCACGGCCGCCGCTGCATTCTGGCCCCGGCCGAGCTTCCGTAGCAGCCGACGCGGGACAGATCAATCCAAGGCCGCGATTCGGCAGCGGTGCGCATCCATGCAATGCGATATGCGAAGCCGGCGTCCTTTAAGTTCTTATAGCAAGCGTCGTGGAAGGCTTTTGAGCGCCAGTTGGTACCTATGCCGTCGACGCACACCACAACGTGGCCTTGGTTAGCAACACTGTGAAGCTTAGTTAGGTCCTGGAATGCCTTGGGGGTGTAGAAATTCTGGGGGCCTGCGTAGATGCGTTCAAGCATAGGATACTTTTTTGAGCTGTCAAAGTCGACTGGACAGACAATGTTGCCATAGATGCTCGTCGTTCCGTCTCGTCCGGACACGACGAATCTCTCTAGTGGTACTCATGTCTCCTCTAAACACGGATCGAGCGGTTTCTGTAAGAAGACTTTCTTCTTCGTCTTCGCTGATCGAACAATAGCTCGGGGCAGGAAATCGACACTCGACCAGCTGTCAATTAGAAAAAGTTTCTCCAGCACCCATTGCCAGTTGTGTGTGTCGTCCCCTGCGTTATCACACGAAGGCCAGATCCGTTAAAAGCGAAGCAGGCTAAGTGATATAGTAAGGGTCTTATACTAGTATTATGCTAAACCCCTAAAACTAGACGTAACGTTTATCCTCGTTAATATACTTAATAGAGTAAATCGCCTAAGTTCCTTTAGTAACCTAGTTCCTTAGAGTACCGTCCTAGATATTAAAAAGGTAAGGATAATTCTAGCTATCTTACTTACTTACTTACTTATAAAGAGCTTATTACTTTTCCTTAAAAAAACCTTCTCGCGAAACTAATATACGCTTATAATAAGTATATATTATAACTAAAATACTAACTAATACTAGGAATTAATTTAGTAGTATTAATTACCCTTAGTAATAATACTACGCTAAGGCTAAGGGGTATATAGATATAGTAGCGGCCCTTAATATACTAAGCTTAACTATAGCGTAAAGCGCGAAGAGATACCGCTTAAATTTATATACCTTAATAGAGCGAGTTAATAAACCTAAAGTAGTAATACGATACCTACCTAAGCGCCGAGCGACCTTATAGAAAAAGCAATATATAATAAACTTATAGGCTTTATCCTAAGTATATAGTTTAGTAGGGTATAGGTAGTAGTCGAACGGCTCTCTAAGGTAAAGAGTCGCGCTAGTAGCGCGTTATCGGCGGTACTCTACGTAGATAAGAGCTTTAAGATAATAATCTAAAAAGTAATTAAGGAGGTAATTAAGGAAGAACTCTACCTAGGTATTACTTTAGGCCTAGGGGGCCTAAAGTAAACCTAGGCCGCGATCGTAGCTAAGACTAAGGGACTAACCTAATATAAAGCTATAGTAAAGTAAGTCCTACCGCGCTATAAACGCGAGATTATTATGGTCCCTATTAAGGTACCGCTTAAAATCCTAAGCCGCGAACTAAAGGATATAGTAAAGGCGGTAAATATAGCCCTAAAAGCTATATATACTATAGTAGCGAGGCGCCTTTAAAGTAAAGATATCGCGGTTATATTTAATACTATAGTAAAAGCCTATTAAAAGGACTAAGGCTAGGTTACGGCTATATTTAGGCTAGAAGCTATAATTACCTACTATATATATATAGTAGTTACTAAGAACGTCCCCTTAAGGGTAGCGATAGTAAATAGGGGGCGATTATTTTATAAGATTATAAAGGTAAATAAAGTTAAGGTCTTTTAAGCTTAAGCGCTATACCCTTAATCTAAGATATCGATAGTAATAACTATACTTATTAAGGTTAGTAGCTTAAAGGTTACTAATAAGCTCTATAACCTAAGCTTAGTCCTTAAAGTATAAATCTTTTAATATAAACCTTATAATAAGTTAGTTTAATTATAAAGGTACTATAATTACTATAGGTATAGCTATATCGCTAAGCGGTATATATTAATATAACTTTATAGCCGATATAAAAGTATAGTATATAATAAAGGGGAGGGTAAATATAAGGCTAAGAAGGGTAAAATCCCTTATAACTATATCTTATATTAAGGGGACTACTTATTATAGACCTAAACTTACTTTATAGGGAATAAAGCCTAAGAAAAGGTAAGGGAAAACTACCTATAAAGACCTTAATAGCTTATAAATACCTAGGTATACGCTAAGTAATAGGTACTACTTACTATTAAAACCTAAGGCGTTTCTAATCTAACTATAGTTTAAAAGTAAGGACTAAGTAAACTATACTAAGATAAGAGGTCGAGCTAAAGATAATTACTAGCTAGTAAGGCTAGGAAGGCTAAACTAAGTATAAATAATATTTATAGGTATAGTAAATAAAGAAGCGCTAAGAGATAAGGCGCTTCTCTCTTTATATAAATAACCCTTTTTACCTTAACCCTACCTATATATAACTAAAAGTATTATTTTAAAATATATAAAAGAAATATAAGCTAGTATAGCTAGCGCTTTACTACTAAGCTAGCTTTAACTTAATAGTACTATAAGAAGTAAAAGCTATACTAAGAGGTAGGACCCCGCCCCTTAAAGCGGCGCCCTATAGCTTAGTTTATAAAGAGGGGAGGTACGCGCTATATATATATAAGAGGCTTAGGCTAAAGATATAGTTACCTTAGTTTAAACTAAACTAAAGTAAGGTAGTTTTTAAGGACGGTATTAAACTATAAGCGATTTACTTACTACTAAGGGCTATAAGGACTAAAGTATTATAGGACCTAAGTATAATTAAACTAAAGTACCTTATAGTAATAGTAAGGGACTTTAATATCTATTACTTACTTTAAGATAAATATAATAGAACCTTAGATAGTATAATATAACTTATATAAAAGATAATAAGACTATAACTTAAACTTATTACTTTAAGAAGGGAGTATATAAGATTTTTCTATAGCTAAAAGGATAGTACTATTAACTTAGTATAAGTAATACTAGAAACTAAGATATAGTATATTAGACCTAACCTAGACCTAACTAGGTGAGACTATATCTCTTAAACTATTATAATATAGATTAATACTTAAGTATAAGCGCTTAAACCGGCCTTAAGGTAAAAAGAAGTAAAAGCTAAGCTAGTTAAAGCTATATAAGGAACGGTGTTCCTACTATAAATAAAGCAGCTATAATATACTCTCCCGATTATATAAGCTAATAAGTAGTATATTAATTATAGACAAAATCTCATCCTATAGAGCAAGAATCGCTCGTCATTTTGCATGTTATTATGCATTAAACGGGTTGCCGGTTATCGTATAATCGGGAATCGAAGGAACAGAGCTAGCTTAGAATGCTAGCTAAGACCTCTTAAGAACACCGGCACGACCAACCTCCTTTAAACACAAATATCAGTGGAACCAAGACACTTCCAGATTCACTCGAGGTATCACGGAATTCCCTAGTCTTAGGGCTATACGGCAGCCTAAATCTAGTCCCGAAAGGTTCTTCCGTTTAGCTACAATTGTCTATATAAGACAGCATGTCCGCTAGTAGATAGATAGAGCATTATTAACTTTAATACCTCTTCTATATACTAATATACTACCAATAAATTCCGTTGAAAATCCTACCTTATACTCCTTCTTCCCCTCTATCACGTAGTCTTACGTGATTCCTTGATTTCCTAAAATTCCGCTTTTACTTATATACCTTAAGATTACTAAAGTAAAAGCTAGCTATCTTTTTATAGTAAATTAAGCTAGAAGACGTTTAAAAGAAGCTATCCTTAGAAGCCCGCCTTAAGAGTCTACGGGAGGAGCTAATAGTATATAAGAGGAAGGAGACGTCTATAGCTAAAGAGAGGAACTAGGACTTATCCTAAAAGAGGGCCCCTAGCTTAATTAAGACTTATTCTTTTTAAAGGCCCCCTTTTAAGGACTTATCCTTAGAAAAGCCCCCTTTTCTTATAGGACTTAATTTCCTCCTTAGGCCCCTTTTCCTAAAGTAGGTTTAAAAGAGCCTAGGGCTAAAACCCGGATTTCTTAAGTAACGGATAAGTATAAGCTAAGACCTCCTCTATACGCTTACCGGCCTAATTATTTAGCTTTACCCTTTTTATAAGGGCAGGCTATAGCTAAGGGGGTATATCGTAAAGCGTAGCTTAATTTCGTAGTTCTTAGAGATATCCCTTATTATAAGGGACTAAGGAAGCTAAAAAACCGGTTTTAAAGAAGGAGCTAAAAGGAGGTATAGAGAGGAGGGTAGGGGTAAGAGGGGAAGTAAAAGTAGCGATAGCTTCTTATAGAGGTAGCGAGAGATAAGACGGATATACCGGTAACGGCTAGAATAAAGGGGGAAAAACCGGTAAAAAGCTTAGTAGTTAAGAGGATATTAGTAGCTTCTTTAAGTAGGATCTTCTTTATTTATTAAGATACTATATAGGTATAAAAAGGGGCGTTAGATAGAGGAAAGAAGGAGAATTAAGGCAATATAATAAT